AGGCATTGGGAAGATGTGATTAATGATATAAAATGTGATGATGTTGTAAATGATACTACTGATTGGGAAAACCCACCAGAAGATATAGAGAAACATAAATACATAGATGTAAGTACATCTGAATCAGAGAAAAGCAGTGACTGCAACATACCAAGCAATATACCAAAACGTAAAAAGAAAAAAAGACACATTAAAAATAAACGGAGAAACAAGCAAATAGTAGAAGAAATACAGCCAAAAGAATATTTTAAAAAGCATAAGGATATAAAACAGGCTATAATAGATGATATATATATAACAAAAGAAACTGACGTCAAAAATAAATCAACATATACTAATATAAGTACAAGTATAACTAATGGATGCATAAAACATAAATATAATTGGGCAAGTAAATGAAAGGTTGATGCGGTCAGTTTCAATATGAGATTTTTTAATAAGCAAATAAGTAAGAAATTAATTTAGAGCTGAATACCATGTGTGGCCATATATTCATGTAGCATTTCCTGGGAATTAAACTTATCAACCGTTAACCAACTATTATCCTTTACACTATATCCAACCCACTTAACCTCAAATATGTACTTATTATCAGTATACACATGTCCTACAATCTTCTCAATTTCATATAAATTACTATGTTCTATATTTCTCTGTTCTCTTTGATTTTTTCTCTTGCATTTAGATGTATTATTTTCAGTTTCGTCCTCACTATCTATAGCCATATCTATTGATTGATTAATGTTAAGCTGTAGAAATTTCTGCTGCATATCAACCATTTCGTTGTATTCAGTATTTACTTTTTGCTCATTTGAAAGTACTAAGTCAAGTTTGTTTTTCTTACTTGGGAATTCAAAATCTTTTCCATACCATAATTTATGATGTGGTTGTACCTCTATATTATACTTATTTACAAATCGCCATATACTAATAAAAATACAAGCAACACGAAACTGAATATTATAATATCTTATATTGGTTATTTGCAATGCTGTACGATTATTATTAAATCGTTCAAATTTAAAGCCTAACATAGAAAACTGTACTTCTATTGCTGAACGAAATGATCCAAACTTGCTATTAAAGTATGTCTCATTGATTGTTACTTTTGTCCTGGTTCTTTTCTTATGGGATGTAAAAAATTACGATCATAAAAACTATATCCAGCATCTGTCGCATTATCTTTAAACTTTTGTATAAATAAATTATATCCACCATCCATTCCTAAACAATTAGCCTCACTTATTTTTTTATATAGTTTCATATTAATAAACATAGTACCATCATTTCCAATAGCACATTTTTCAGATACTGAAACATGTGTAATTATTTCATTCATATCCTGTATAACTTGTGTACGTACAGCTGGCCCTTTTAATTTATATGAATATAATTGTGAATGTGACTCATTTGGTTTATAATACTTTATTTTACTATTATGTCTATCAAGAAATAGTATAACATTCTTAAAACCATCTGGATTGTTTATTATTGCTGATAGAATGCGAATACGTGGTAATGAGAACATACTATCTAGATCTTGTTTTACCTTTTTATTCAATTCATTATAGTTAGTAATCCAGAACCGCTTATATAAATCATAAAATGTTGCATATGGCATAACAGTATGCATATCCTTTCCTGATACACCTGATACCATATGATATAATAATGCAAGTCCTTTTTCAATCTCGCGGTAGGTATTAATTCTTAATAGTTGTTTAAAAAAGGTTTTATTAATTAAGTATATATGATTGTTTAAACATGTTTAAGAAAAAAATAAAAAATTATATTGTAATTTTTTTATTTTTTAGATGTTTAAGATATTTTTATAATACGTTTAGGTTTTGTATAAACTTGTTTAAACTGTTTAAACAATGATATTCTTTTATGTTTAATTCAAAGCTTATAGTAGCGGAACAGTAGTGAGCATTTCCCTCCTCTAGGCTAGAACTTTAGTTCGACGCCCGGAGTGAATGAAATGAACGGAGCTTGACAGTGAAAGATATAACTAAAATTTATTAGCAATTTATTGCTAAATTAATTGTTATGGATTGAAACACGGTATGGCCCTGGATATTCAATATTTCCATATAAAACTGTAAGAAAATAAAATACAGGTATAAATCCAAGTCTATTAAGTAATACATCCTTTATATCATTTATTGTATTATTCTTCATATCTTTAATAGCTGTTCTATGATTAAATCTATGTTGCATTTCAGGCCAAGATTTATCAAGAAAAGTCCATTTATTATCAATTAAATTTTTAATTTCAATATCGAGTTGTTCAGTGTGTTGTGTTATGTTCATTTTTATTTGTTGTTATGTACTTTAAACAATCGCTCTTTTTTTTCTCGTGGGAGGCTACCAATATAAACAAAAAAATTCAATTTTTATCATTTTTATTGTAAATCAATAATTAATTCGGCCACTGATGGTTATACCGATCATAGCAATTTTATTATCTATATTACAGCTAGTGGATTATAATTGGTTAGACAACTAATAGTAGGACGCCTCACCGCCGCAACATCCTTGCAGCCAATGGCTTCAGCGCCAAAGGTATACCAGCATCGAAACAGTAACTGCTTCAGTTAAGAAGCTTAATGTCGAGTATCCCGGTTATCTTCCTTCACCACTCGACCTCCATCCTGACAGCTTTTGCATTCCCTTCGCTTCGCCTATCATTCTGGACAATGTTAGCTACAGCCGCCAACCAATTCTTATGGATGTCACGTACTCCTGCTTTGGCGACCGCTATTACCTCTGCAACTCGGTCATTTATCAAGAAAAACTGGAAAAGTATGTTCCAGTTTTCCAAGCAGTTCTTGGTGGTTTAACCACTGAAAATTTTGTTTCGTACCTCACGACAATGTCCAAAGTCTCGAATGTAAAGAAAAACGACGACGGTGAACCATCTATATGCGGGATAATGATGGACTTTTTCCCAAGCGCAAAGAACCGGCTTTTTTATCGCGTTCAGCAACACTTTGCCCGGTGCCAAAAGTGGCGAGACTTACTTGAAGGGCTGCTATTTTCACTGGAAACAGTCGGTTGAACGAAATTAAAAAGTGTGTTTCATTCATAGATTCACGCATAGCCATTTGCGAGGCCTGATACGTGGAGGAGCTGGCAGTGGTGTTGAGAGACATAACTGGCAAAGATGTGTTAAGAAAAGTGTAGTATTGCAAGAAAAATAAAAGCAACGTTTCTAAAAATAATAACCGGTCTTTTATTTATATATCATTCGTTGATAGCAAAGAAAACACTGATGTTCTTCTAGTTGAGAATGAGTCAATCTACGTGTTATTGTATTGCTACTGCTACGCTTGTTGAGTCTTCGAGTGTGTGTCATGTCAAAGGCATAATTCAAAATGTGTCCATAAATGATTCATAGCGGTGACCTACAATGCGATTATTGTGTGTAAGGTCACAATTTGGCTGGTGACTCATTTTGTGACCCAAGCCAATCCCCAAAGATAACTGTTTGATTCATATTACTTTTTTGATTTTAAATTATATACAGAGTTGCACGATATATGCATCTCCAAAAATTCCCATTTTCCACTTGAAAGGTTCATCTTTTCGGCTCCTTCAATAACTGGGCAATACCTAAATTCAACAGAAGACATGAAAAACTGCATTTTTCAATAGAAACCTTGAGGAGTACGTATTACTTACCAAAAGCTCTGGTCACATATGATACATGCAATACAAAAGACAAATGGAGTATTTTGACAGCATAACCATATAACCTACTAAGTAATAATTTTGTGATCTTATCAACGTAGTAGGAAATGAAATGTATAATAGATTTACAGTGAAAAAAAAAGTTTTTAAAATAGTCACCTGTTTTCCTCTCATGGGACAGGTATATTGCATCGCAACCAAGTATTGCGAAAAAAGAAACGTGAAAAATTGCATTGCACTCAAGAGATGCCAGACGCAGTGACAGAGCAATCAAGTATAATGCTATAAAAAAAGGTCGCTACTCAAGAGACATCTTACCAGACGCAGTGCCAAGAGCAATTGGGTAAACGGCCATCCAAAAGTAAAAGTAAAAAGTAAAAAGCTGCATTGCATTTGACAGACATCTTCTCAGACGCAGTGGGAAGATGCCTTTCAGACACAATACTTGGACATATTCGGTCCTCAATAAAAGTCGCAACACAAGAGACATCTTACCAGACGCAGTGCCAAGGTGCGATTGGGTGTACGACCGTCAAAAAAAGAAAAAAAAATACACTAGAGAATTCATCGGAAAAACAAGCACTTGGAAAAAGGACGCACTCATCGGGGTGACTCGTTTTAGGCGTTCTAGATGGAGTTTGAAAAGCCTTTATGAAATTGGTTCGTCCGTCCGTAATGCTTTTCGTTGCCATGGCAACCGTGTTACATCACATATCTATGGTCAAACATCAAAGCTATTTGGGCATTCAATTGTTAATAAACAATACATGCGATTATAAATAAATACACGAGCGAAGCGAGTGTTGTTCAAGGTGCCGCAGAGCTAGTGTTGTAAGATTGTGGAAAGCAGTGGCAGGGAAATAAACTTTTTTCATAATAATCTAGTTTTCTATATGTCTATATTCCTCTTATATCTCTGTTGTGAAGAAAGTCAATCTGTGGCGGATGAGCTGGGAGCGTATGGGTGAGTGGTGGTGGTTTTCTCACACAAAACGAGAGTATAGAACGCCGTATACGGATTCAGCACTGAACCTTCCCAGAGTTTTGAATACTTACTTTTGGCCTTGTGGTCAAGGTAGAGAAGTTTAGTAAGATATATAAATATGTTGAGATAGATGGATAACTAATTAAAGTGAAATCTAAGGTCGAGATAAATGGAAACTATAATGGAATTAGAGATAGCGAGTGAATGGGTGGTCGTCACTCCACGTTCTTTGTCTTGTTCGTCTGGCTCGATACTGGCCGACTACTGTCAAATATTCGTCGAGTCTATCGGTACGAGTGCGATTGCGGTCGACTACCTCGCGCTGTCGTCTTCCAAGGATTGTACGATAATTATTGATTCTTGCATTCAACTCACGAAGAGTATCGGCAATCCCTTGCACCGCATCGCGCTGCCTCGCCTAATCATCGTCGTCTTCATCAGGCAGCTGTGGTTGTGGTTGCGATTGCTGTTGTTGTTGCGGTTGTCGTAGTCGACGTGGATTTAATAAAGGTTCATCTTCTGAGTCAGAAGAACTGACTACATCAGACGAGGTAGGGCGAGGAGTTGCCAAGCGTGTGTTGCGCTCTGTATCTCACGTCTAACTGGCGAAGTACGTACAAGAGGAGACGGAGAAACAGTTGATTGCATAGCTGGCACAGGAGACGTAGTAGTAGGTGCTGGCACTGATGCTGATGGCGGATGTGATGGTGGTGGAAGGATGACGTCAGGGAGTTCCACTGAACCATTAGGATAAAAACGAGCCTACAAATAGCTCAAATAAGATATTTGTCTCTCATTTGGTGGCAGAATAAAAAAGTAAACTTACTTCTTCTATTTGTACAAAAGGCGGTAAAGAGCTACGATGATTGTAATACTCGTGTGCTGCAAACGGGCTTGGGAGAGAGGGACTGACGCGGTGATAACGACTGATCAAATGTTTGCAACTTCGGGGATGCTGCTTCGGGCCCATCTAACCCACCATTCAGGAGCATACCATCTCCTATAAAGATACACCCGAGCATCAGGCAGGGCGAGATCCACGCATAAGTTGTACATTTCTTCAACAACGCGAAACTACAACTGCTGCTCGTTTCGGGTGCCAACTACATATTTTGTTTAATAATCATTATGATATGATTTGTGGATCGACATAATGTTCAACCTACCTCCTTCGAGCGCAATTAACGGGTGCCAATTATAATGCTTTCGCATCATATCTATGATGGCATTTTCGATTTTCCAGGTCACCGCATAAACTGTCAGTTCTATCTTCCCCAGGACGAAACATTGCACTTATGAACGGAAATAAACCTCGGGCCTCGTCCGGAATATTTTGCGGTCTGGCTGTTTCGGGGTCTGCTAAGCGTTTCTTCACCGAGTGAACGAGATGCCACAGACATAGTCTAAGCACTCTCCCATTTGTCCAGACTGCCTCTAAAATAGCACAAATCTGTCCCCAGTCCTTGTCTGTAAACATGAACTTGGGTTGAAGACCAGCTTGCTTTAAGCATTTAAAAAATTCGGCAATAACACCAACACGAAATGTGTCATCCTCGCCATCATTAACTAGCTGACTCTGTGGTGTAAGCTTCAGAAGCATGTATGCAATCGGAAACCCGACACCGTTTACAGTTGCAACTATCCCAAATAGTTCGTATCCTGCTCGGTTTGTTTTGTATGTAGAATCGACATGGTATTCCTCTGCTAGTTGCTGTGATCCGCAAATTACATCAAATAATGGCATGGTAAAACCAATAGCCGAGTAATTGTTTTGTGCTGAGATGAAGATCTGTTCATTGGTTATTAAATTTTATTGATTCCATTATTAATGGTTCTTGTCTATTTCTCAACGCGTCAAAGTGATTGTATACACGATCCTCACATGAATTTAATATTAAGTAGTAGCTAATCATTTAGGACATTTTGACATACCTTACGGACACCCTTGTCAGCGGCTCTGTCGACGAGCATCTCTGCCGATCTGAACTGGTTGTCGTGCAGTGTATATTAGTCTTGGATCGACTGGCACGCCCAGTAATACACTTGACCCTGCGTTATTCTTGTCGCTTCTTGTTGAAACTGACGGATAATGTTACGAAGCAGCTGTTGTGCATCCAAATCGATGGCATTTGCAGCAATGTATGCACGTACATTTTGCGGGACGGGGTTATTTTCGACATCAGGTGCAGCCCTATGCCCACAGGAGTGTTCGATGTTCAAGTGAAAGTAACCATTCACTCGATCGACCATGCCGCTGATGCGGCCATTGCACATAAAAGTTGCCATACGCCGATACAATCGTAAACGAATGGTAGCTTGACCCTGTACATTGAAATCTTGCGAGCATCGAAAAACGAAAGAGTAGACGAACTTTCTTCGTGGTTCTGTTTGGTATGCTTCGTAGTAATGGTATCCGTCAACAGCCTGGATACGATGGCGAATGTTGATCACAAGTTGCGAATCTGACAACGCCAACATATCATCGTCAAGTTGCACATACGCGTCGAGGCTGTAATCTTTGAGACTGTCGGCTACGTTCTTCAAATTTTTGACGCCAAGGAATCAGCTCGAGTACTTGGTCCACTGTCAGGAGTAACTGCTCTGCGATTGGTTTACCGACGTCACTTTGGCGTTCACGGCACGTGTTGTAATCTTGTCCATTGCCAACAAAAAATAGTAAAGGGCGATAAGATTTGCAATTACTGCATCTTTTCAAATGAGGTTGCTCGGGTGTTTCTTGGGATTGGATTTGTTGCTGATTTTGCGGTTCCATTTTGAGGAAGAAGTTAAACCACCCAAAACTACCGAAAACTGGAAAAACGGGGATTTTGGTTCGGTTACATGATTAACCGTTCGGAAAAAGAAATTGCCGAAATCCGTTTCCGCGATTTTTTTTTGAAACGGCTATAGGTAGGCGGCTAGGTAGGCGGAAAAGGCGGAGACACATGTGTGAAACATGCGCGCATTATAACGAACGCATGCGCCACAACAGCGCCATAAGGCGACACGACTTACGATAACCCAACTCACCCTACATTGTCTTTCTTTTCTCGTCTTTTTATAGTCACAAAAAGCAGAACTATGCAGACAAGCAAAAAATTACTGCTGCCATGTGTCATTGTTGGAGCCTTTTTTTTGGCTCTCTTCACCAGCGCTCCTATATTTTTATGTTGACCTCGATCGCTGAACTGCTAATTTTACTCATCCTGTCATTCATTAGCCACTGTGATGGGTGCACTGGTACTGCTATCATATGCACCCTAATTTGCTACCTTGTTCTGCTTCCGGTATTTCTGAACTCGTCTTTAATTGTTGCCAGCCTTGCTCAGAATGGCTACCTTCTTCATGTGTGCTTCCGCTGCCACCGCCTCCCTCCCCCCCCCCTTTTTCCGCCCGAAGCCCCCGTCCCCAAACGCAGATAGAATTGACGAGAAGGATGCTTCTGGATCTATTGTCTATGCAAAAATCTCAGAAAACCCGTTTGAAGCCTTTTGGTACCTTACACGGCTTTGATTTGTAACACAAGCGGCAAGAAACGAACTTTTTGAGACGTCGTACCTGTTGGAGTTCTAAAGTCGCTATTGAAAAAAAAGAAAAAAAAGTTATTGCTGATCGTGCAAGGCACAAGAAAACCTGTCGTCGTTTGAAGTCTCGCAAAAAGTCGTCATAGAGGAACAAGACGTCGAGTTTTGTTTGTAAGAAGAAGAAGGGCGAGATGTATGAAGCGGACGACGCGATTGCATGCCAACAAATATGAACGCGTTTTTGCTGCTAACCACCATCAGCATCGACAACTCCCGCATCCTTTGATTCTGCTGCCAAAGCAACATCCATGTTTTACTTTGCCGCCTTTTTCTGCTCCGCTTCTGTTCTCTCCCGCTGCTTCCTGCGCTAATAACCAGCAGCACCTAACATACCACCACCTTCAGCCTTCAGAGGAGGAGGTCGATTGCCAGCAATTAGTTTCCGGATGGTGTGACAAACGGTGGAGAACTGACGACAGTATAGCCGGAATTCTCAATCAAAAAGGGGATGTAAAAGATGCTTGAGCGTCGTAGCTTGGGAAAAATAAGAGAAAAGTGTTCGACATGTATATCCAAGCACCCTGCGGTTCTTCTTTTTCCTGCCATGGGTGATTCAAAGCAAAGTGTATCCAGATTGTTTTCAAGTGCTCTCGCTCCGTTTCATAGGATCTCATCATTTATAATAGTGAACGGCTCGAGTAAAGTGTAGTTCGTGCAGCAGTTCATCACATACATGAGCACCAACCCCCCTTCGACCCATTGGCTATGTGGTGGGGGGTTTCTTCCCCCTCTCAACCGTTATTATGCGAAGCGATCTTTGGGAGGATTCAGATATTACTAGGAATGCGATGCCTTCCCCGCAAACACTCTTTTGCCCTGCTCGTCCGCAGGTGAACACACGAGTACGTCATTCTTTGAAGACAGTGGTAAGGTCGACAACGTCCTTGAACAGAGGAGGGCTTTTGGAAGTAATCTCTTTGGAAACTCTGGAGTGTTTTCTTTTTTAAGCAACGTAACAGCTGCATTACTGACATTATCATTATTATACGCGGGGAGGGGGGGCTCAAGGCCTTTTAAGCGACATGATAGCATAGAGCGGCTCATAGCATAGATCCAATGACGTTCAAGAAAACTTACATAGAAGGTACATCTTACCATGGCTACCGACATGAGCTCTACCACTGCTATTACTATACATATCAAGAATCGTTGTCATCGATTTGAAAATTAAAAAAAAGCCAGCTGTGGTCATCAGTAGACACACAGCATGATTTTATCTGTACAATGAACCCACCGTTTTACTCGATCTACCCATGTCCTACCTAGAATTTTATAATACCAGACTCTGGTCTACATGTATACTACCGCAGCAACGTGCATCCCCTCTTTAAACGTGTCCCAAAAAGCCATTAAAGCATTTTTCTACCTTGTGCATACCACTTCATATATATTTTTCAGTATACGTGTCTGGATATATAGTATAAATATAAGATTCTTGACAAAACCTCTCGAATCCGTCACTTTAAAAGGAGGGGCAAAAGCAGTAATGGCCGGATGTACAACACACGTCCGTCGCTGAAAATCTCAATGATATTACTTGTAAAGCTGTGCTCTAAAAACTGCGGCCTAGCGGCTTTTGGTAACTCGTCTCCGATGTGTGTGCGTGTGCCCTTTTGTTTGAGCCCATCGGAGTACAAGTTGTCCATTTGCGGAAGTTTGTTACACGGCGCGTGCGTGTGTACACCACATATGTATTATGTGCCGCCAAAAAAAAAAAGAGGGAACACGCGCTGCCAAAGTTTAATATACAGTGTGTTTTTACTACTGCCATGACATGGCCTTCTTTAGCATAAAGTGTGTGTATGTATATCTTTGTTATCATCGATCGCTCTATAGCATCGTCTTTGAGTTTTTTTATAATTTTGTCAGTTAAGGGGGGTTAGTGTGCCAAAACAAGATACACGCACCTTATAAGGGGTTTTCATGCAAAATAAAGAGGTAGAATACTTAAGTATCGTCAAATGGAGTAGTAGCTAGTAAATGTTGCTGCTGCTGCTGCTGCTGCTGTTGGGAGTGGGGAGTGGGGAGGGGGACATACTCCATATTTAAAATGTAGGTTGGGATGAGAGATCATGTCAGTCGTATCTCCCCCTTTGGACCATCATCCATATGTCAAGTTCGCATATGCTTGGGGTGAACCTCGTTCTACTTGAAAAGAGTGCAGCAATAGTAGCAACGTTAAAAGAAATCATCATGTCGCCGATAAACGTTGAAGCGAGAAGGACCCGTGTTTAGAGTTTTTGGATCTTCAGGATATACAAAAGACGATCACAGACAAGGGGGCTGGGCAGCAAAGAGAGAGAGAGAGAGAGAGTTTTGAATGTGAGTGTTGTGTTTATTGTGACTGGGCTACATTACACACACACGCCAAACAACGATTAAGAGAAGGGACGTAGTAAAAGTGGTAGTAGTAGTAGTAGTAGTAGTAGCAACGCTTCCTTTGCTCGTACTGGACGGGGTGGGACGACACAGTCAATTGCGTCGAAAGCTCGGGGCACCTTTGAGTTTTTAAGGTTTATCTTTTATGGAAGCACACACGTACACACACACACACACACACACCGACGGAAATCCTCACATCTGGGGAAAAGGGGAAGAAGGTTGCTTGGTTAGTTGTGTGTGTGTGGTTTAACGGTCTTTCTCTATTAAACTCCCGCTTTTTTGTTCTGCCCTGTTTGCCTTTTAAACTCTTATTCTTTTTTCCCTTTCTTGTTCTCTCCGTTCCAAATACATATATGCACGCACCACCTTCAACAACATAACAACAACAACAACAACAACAATACACATACACCCTCTATATATATAATATATAATATAGCACATATACTCATTCCACAACCCTAATGTCGCAAGTCAAAGCTTCACCCAGCGCTGCTCCAACTCAGTTTTCTCTGCACGACCAAGAGCTCCACTCTTCTGCGAATCGCATAATGACTCGTCGAGCAAGCAGATCTGCTCAATCTCAACAGCATCACCCGTCTGTGCCGCTTATTGTCAAGACTATTGCGGACGACGAGAACAGCGTCGTTCCTTTGGACAATGATGGTTCGACAGCCGCTGCAGCAGAAACCACAACGGCGACGACGACGACGACAGTAACAGCAGCAGCAGCAGCAGCTGCTGATTCGGATGGTGGAAGCCATCCTCGTATGGCAACACGTTCCCGTTCGATTGATTTAAATCAATCCGCTACCTCTTCTGCAGAAGAATCGTCATCCACTACTACGCCTACGCCTACGAGTCCATCACCCAATACAGCGAAACAACAACAACAACAACAACAACGGCGTAGTACGAGCACTAGCACCCATCATGCTACTACTACATCCAAAACGAGAGCAAAGAAGACTCGCAAGAGAGGTGTTAAAGCATCGCTATCTCCCACCGTTGCCTCTGCAACATCAACAAAACGGGGACGCGAAGAGCGAGGGAGTCGACGGCGAAATGCCAAAGACACTTACAACAACACATCCTCTGCTGGTGCTGCTGAAACAACTCAGTTGGATGCAGTCAAACTGCAAAAGTAAGGGACTACTTTACACTTTGTGTCTTGATTGCTCCTCTCTCTTTCAGGCTCTCGTGACATGGAGTCTTTTTTAACTCATATCCTATATAATAACAATGATGATGATGATGATGATGCTAGGCTTGCTGAACTGGATGAGCTAGAAAAGACGGTTTTGGACGGCACACACGCCGAATATCGCGAGCGCATGGCGCACGCCGAAAAGAAACGAATGCATGAGATGAACAACGCAAAGTTAAGGCGTGATCTGGAAGAAGCAGATATCCGATATACCTTTGATGCTTTCAAGAAAGCTGCCTATGACCAATTCTACGTAAGCCTATCCACTTGTCCCGAACGTTAAGTTTTTTTGCAAGCTGACTTTTTTTGTTTATCCCTATCAGCAATGCAAAGCCGAACTGCGCAAACGAATGATCAGTCGAGTGCAAGCGCAAATAAAACAACTCGAAGAAGAATGGCATGCTTGCCACGAGAACGGTATGATGATGACATAATTGGCCCTTTCATGTTCCGGGGTAGTAGTGGTAGTAGTAAACGTTGTGAACAAGTGGGGAATGACCCCCACACACCTCGCTTCTTTTATGCTCACATGACACCAAATCCGGGGGGGGGTCTTCTCTTCCCCACCCCCCACCCCCCCTTGATATATATACCACGTATAGGTTGCTCAGACGACGATCAGGAACTTTATGATTGGGTGCCATCGGAACGACAGGCGTCAATCTATATCCTTTTTTTTTTATCTTGTGCAACCATGAATCTTTTTTTTTTCTGCATCGACCTTAACTACTGTCCCCTGCTGCCATTTACATTTTGAGCCCTTAGGTTTGAATCAAGAAGAAATCCTCGACGATCTTGCGACGGCTCGAAAATTATACATTGCAAAAGAAGCAGACCACCACCACAACAACAACAACAACAACAGCAATAGCAACAACAATTGAGTCAATGTACAGAAAATATACTCTCCTTATATTCTCTCTTATCGTACTTTATCGTGTTTGTTGTTCTTTCATCGCGAGTTTTTCTTTAAAAGAAAGGCATATTTCAAGCAAAAAGAAAACAGAGGAGAAAAAGGCAGAGTTGCGGTGCGTATGTGTTGTAAAATAGAAACGGAAAAGGGGGTTGGAAATGAATAGTTACGATGATGATGATGATGATGGTGACGACGATGAGGATCAGTAGTCTGACCACTGTTGATGATGTTTCGGTGTTATCGATTGTCCTTTTGTTCTTTTCTTTGTTGTTGTTGCTTAACGGTAACGATCGTGTTACTTAGCGACGTCGTGAATACGATGGGGATGGCGATCGTCTTCTTCTTTTGACACTAGGACTTCTGCTTCCACTTCTCGACATCGAACGTGAGCGCGAACGTGAAGGAGTAGGTGAACGACCACGACGGCGTTGTTGCTGTGGGCGGCTCCGACGAGGTGATGGTGATCGAGATCGACTGGCGCTACTACTGCTATGGCTGCTGCTGCTGCTGCTGCTGCTATAACGTGCACGGCGACGTCTTTGTGGACTACGACTCGTTCGGCTGCGAGCAGAAGCATACGAGGACTCAGAAACTGAAGAGCTCATGGACGATGATGACGACGAGGACGATGATACAGAGTCTGAATCTGATTCTGAGCCAGACGATGAGGACGAATCTGAGGATCCCTCACTATCGCTTTCACTGCTGCTGCTGCTGCTTACGCTTCTACTCATCGATCAAAGCACTTTAGACCCCCTCCCAGTGTATGAAAGAGTTTTTCTTCTACTATCTATTACCGCCACTAGTGTGTCCTTTACCTTGTATTCTTTTTTTGTTTTTTCTTCTTTTTCAGGATCTTATCGGCTAAACCACGTCTAACAGTACGTCGAATGAATAAACACACACTCCTTTTTTTTTAATCTTGAATCACACATACCGATCTTGCAGTTCTTCAGGAAGATCTGGCTCACGAAGCTCCAACTGTTTATCGAGTTGTTGCGTACGTGTGGGTCTTGCTTTATACGGTCTGTTATTTTTACATTCATAGGTCTATACAAAACATGTTTTAGTAACTGATCAAAATTCAAGAGGAAAAAAAAAAGAAGACTATTCAAAAATTTGCGACAGTATAATTTTTAAGAATGCGTTTACCCAATGACCGAATTCCAGACAGCGTTGGCAACGCGTTGATGGGGATGCCTTGGGTCCTGAACGCGCTTGGCTTTTTTTTTTTAATTCATTCCATAAAAATGAAGGATTCATTAGCAACCATCCCATTGAAAAGAACACAAAAGATAACGACCGATTCTGTGATTGCATACTTACCGAGCACCCGTTCTGTACATTTTTTTGTTTTGCAATCTTTTTTGCTTGACAGAGGGGTATGAAGGTCTGGGGGAAAGCTTAGAATAAATTTTGAAGGAGGAGGGGGAGCCGTCCAGCGGAAATCGGCCAACAGCCAATGAATTTCTTTTGCTTGTTAGTGCGTTGCCGTTACAGTAGCACTAGGATATGCTTGGCTGCTATCATATGCAACAAACAATTTGTGTATTAAGCAATCAATGACAAGGGCCCTTTTCAGTAGAATCAAAGCGCTTTGTGTATACTTGACAGTAAACATGTAAACCATTCATCAAAAAGGGCCTGAGAAGTGTATGTGTTTAAGGCAAGCAACCAACAACAACGTAAACTAGACCGAGAGGGATATCTTTCTCATACAGTCCACATATACACCCGGCCATGAAGCAGTTTTCTTTTGCTTTAATAGCAAAGTATCATATCTGCAGGCCCCCTCATGCAACACAACTAGGGAGCGAGCAGCCTGCCCTGGCTTTTTATTTAATTCATTATATGCGAGCTGCTGCATAATCAACAGCAAGGACAATACGATGTCAGCCAAAACTACCATTGGCCATTGTTATCAGCTTGTCCGTCAAGATGATTCGCCAGAACTTTTTAAGCTTAATAAAAACGTACGGAGCACAGGGGAGTTGTGTGTGTGTGTGTGTGTTGATCTGACGAGCACATTTTTGCATATGTATTGTGTGGTTCCCAATTAAAACGGATTATTAGGACTGACCGTTACACAGGCTCAAGAACACATCCAGAAGGAACCCTCTCAAAACTCCGTCGCAATAAAGCAAATACTTGGCACCAGCCTACTCCAGTTGTCTTCTCTTTGCTTTCCTTTCTAGTCTAGCACTACCTCAATTTTAATAAACCATGGGTGAAATGCTCAGAGATGTTCCCGAGTTCTTTGAAACAGAACTCGGTGAGAGCATTATCGCCAGAACGGATGCTTTAGGTATTTTATTTTCTCCTTGCTAATAGACGCACAGAAAGAGAGAGAGAGCGCGTGCGCGTTGCAAAAAAAAAAAAAAAAAAAGGAACATACACACACAATATTATTGTTTGTTTCATGTCTTACGCGCGCGTTTATATATTTTCTGTCCCTGAATTGGAGAGGAGAAAAAAACATCATCTCGCGACATTGTGTATACGATATTAACCCAATGCTCTACTAGGAACGTTCCGTGAACTGGGTCCTCCTGACCTTTGCCATATTATCAAGACAAACGCAAAGCCTGGTGTACGAGAGGTAATACTAGTATATTATGTAGTGGGGAATGCGAGAGGTCATGTAATCCCCCACACACCCCTTTTCTCTTATTTAGCAAACATTAACCCTCTATACATCTTTTAGTTGGGCAGTTACCACTACGTTTCTGGTGTCGACGCTTCCTCATCAGCTACACTTGCAGCTTATTTGAACTCGTTGACCTATTCTATGGTATGCAACTGGCAACACCTTCTGACACCCTTATTGACGACAAACTAAATATATAACATATGCCTCAAAAAAAAAATATTCCAACGACGTATATTGTAGGATGATACGCAGTCGTGGTTCTCTAAATCGAATGCTTGGAGAATTCGTTCTGGAATCTATTGGTAAGGTTTTTTTTTATCGTGCTACATGTATTGGGCAATTAGAAACAGAGAAATGCATAGGCAGTGCTCTGATCTATACCTCCATGGACGCGAATGGAAAAAGAAAAAGACGTTGAGCATCAATACGTGTCGTCTAACACTCATATGATGAAAAATCTAGCTGTTTCAACGCTTTTTCGCGTGTGGATGTTCGTGTTGAAGTCAAGATTCCCGGAGGAGTGGAATGCTACTTTGTGGATGTGCGCGGTGAACGGTAACAAAAAAATGATGATTTAAAATGTTACATGACTTTATATGTAAAAGAGACTATATAACTCACTTTATATATACATCTGTTTAGACACGAAGCGACGTCGGCTATCTGGCAGGAAACGTATCTTTCAGCAGTACTTCGTGCAATCCTCTACTCTGACGATAGCTATTATCGATTAGCTGGCTATCGCAAGATTGATCCTATTACAAGCCTAAACGCCGAAGCCAAGTTCCTTGAAGCTGTTGAAGCCTTGTTCTGGAAGGGTAAAAAATCAAGCGAAAAAGATGGATTTGGCGAGGGGAGCAAAATTTCCCTTTGAAAGGAAAAAAGAGAGAAGGACACGTTTTATTTAAAAAAAGAAAGAATAGGTTGGCAGCTTGGCAGCAAGCCCGAAATCCAGGTCGCTACCTCAGTACACAACCACCTGACTGCAGGTGTCATGAAATATTTTGGCGACAGTTTCCGTTATGGGCCCGCCATTGAACTATTCCAAAGACTGCAAAAGAAGGATCCCGAAGTGGGCGCTTTGCTTGCCGAATCCTATATCGGTGCTAACGAGGAAACCAAGGCCGTCAAGGTGCTGTATGACGACCTTAAACTGGCTTCCTTAAGCTACCCGCTTTTACATGTGCAAGTCGAGTTTTTGCGTAGCAAGGTAAGAAAAAAAAATAACCACCAAAGGTTGTTATGTAGTAGTATCAGGGAACATAGTCATGCATATATACTCACGCCGTACATGCATCCGACGTGGAAACAATAGGGAAAGTATGATATGGCATTACAGCTGGCCAAATATGCAGTAAACACGACACCATCCGAGTTTCTTACATGGGCTAAATTGACTGATGGTATGTGGAAAATTTAAAGTTTTCAGGCAAGAAGAGGTACTAATTCCATCTAATATGTTGCTTATATTATATCAAGTGTATATCGACATTGGAGACTACAAAAATGTAATGCATCTCTTGCTGTCAGTGTAGCTTTGCTTTCTATTACTTTAAATCGTCTAACTTTTTTATTCTATAGGCTCTTTTGACCCTAAACTCGTGCCCCATGTTCACATACAGCGAACGCGATATGCATCGAATGCCTGCGCCTCAAAAAACACATTTGCCCATCAAGCAAGATATTGTCAAATCGGGAATCATGGAAGATGATATTGCTACCCGAGAAGCCGAGGTAAAGCCAAAGAAAGATATAGCAATAAGTCAGAGTGTGATAAGCTGGGATGCACATAGTTTCTGATTTGAAGCTAACACACCTATCAGCCTGATCCGAACCTGATGCGTCTACCAGCACCAGCATTGCACGGTACCTTTGCCAAAGCATACTCGTTACTTACTCGACTCGCTGCCAAAATTGGTTGGGATGATCTGTTGAAATGCAGATCTGGAGTATTTGTTATGGAGGAAGAATACCGTATCCTCAAGGCCAAGGAAGAAGAGCGTAAGACAAGCTTTTCACATAGCTCAAAGTCGGTTATTCAACAACAAGAGTCTTCTACGCCTTCTGTTCAAACCACCACAAGCACGCAACCGACGACTGTTGCTGACCAAGAAGAGTCGACACCAGAAGAAGAAGAAAAGAAAATAAAAGAGACAGATGCGGCAGAAGAAGAAGAAGAACAAACACAAGAGGAGAAAGACGAAGCGGAAGAGAAAAAAGATCAAGAAGAGGCTGAGGTCGTTGCCGAAAAGATGGAAAGCGTCGATTTGAACGATGATGAGCCAAAGGCTTCCGACGTTCCCAAGATGGACGAAACGTCCTTGTCACGTCCACAACAAGCCGCTGAAGAATCCAAGGTAAATAAAAAAGATTTCACATCTATTTTTCCCAATTTGGATGACTTTTAACGTCTTTTTAAAAGGAGGGTAATGAGGCCTCAAGCAGTGCACAAGAGGCAAGCTTTTCGTTCGGCAACAAGCGTCTTTGCGAACGATGGCTGGATAACTTGTTTATGGTTTTGTACGAAGACTTACGTGTATATACATTCTGGAGAACTGAGGCAGCACACTATCGCTCGCAACAGATGCCTTACCGCAAGACGGGTACTGAATGGGAGCTTTTGGGTGATCTTGCATTGAGACTCTGGCACGAGGTAAGAAAAGATCTGTATTGACCATAACGCACATGAGAAATACTCCATATGTGTATATATTTAAGAAAACCCGTCAGATAGTAGTAAGAAAAAAAAAAGACTCATCCTCATGTTTAAAATGGATTAGAACGAGGCAAGAGAATCCTACGAGATGTGTCTCGACCACAAGTTCTCTGCAAAGGCATGGATGAAACTTTTGGAGATTTACGCCAAAGAAGGAAATGTTCAAAAGGCTTTGCTTGCTGCCGTCAAGTTGACAGTGTACCATGAGCGCTGGTACCATGAAATTGTGGTAAGCATACACAACTTTGCAATGTCCCCAGTCCGTACAACTAAATGATAATATATTTCTTGGCATTCAAGTATCCTACGGAAATCGCCTGTAACTTGAACAAATTGATCCGCAAGGAAGGTCTCTCCAAGATGCAAAACATTTTAACATCCATGAACCTCCCGAGACCTGTACAATCCCTGATAACCCGATACTTTGACTATGGTGAACTCTTCAAGGTCGAAGGCTATGAATTCTAATCAGGAACTAGTTTTTTTTTTTTTTGTGTGTGATGATGATAAAAGAAGAAAAAATCTTATTAGAACAACCTCCACCTAGCAACCTTTCTTGTTACACTAATCTTTCTTTTTTTATATGAATATACGTATATATAAACAGAAAAAAGTGCTTCTTCTTATTTTTTTTACTTGTTGGGGGCACACAATTATTTATTCAAATTTTTTACTGACCATGCACGGTCATCATACTTGTTCATCGTCAAGTTTTTGTTTCTTGGTCGGAGAATGGCCATCTTCTTCGTCTCTGTCGTTTTGTATGCTCTCTGATTCCTGATGCTGCTGTTGTTGTTGTTGTTGTTGCTGCTGCTCTCCAGACGCACCTTCTTCTGCGGGTGCTTGTTCAGCCAATTCTTCTTCTGGTTCTTCTGCTGCTAGTTCAGTATCATCGCGAGGAGGAGCTGCTGGAACCTTGGCGTTTATCTTGTTCTCAATGCCTAATAACTGGCAAAAGGCAGCCGTCTGGGGATTGACGGCAGGTTGGTCTAGACTGATTGTGAGCATCTATATGATTTCCTCTTTTTCAGTAAGATAAACACTTACATGTTTTGCTAAATACATCACACGTAGCTGAGAAATTCTTTGGAATCGTCAAGTCCAATTCGTCCATATCCTCTTGCATGCCCAAAAACATGAGCTCCTGTTCAATCATGCTTGAGAAAAAAAAAAGTTTGCAACGTTAGAGATAGGTTTCTTTGGCGTAGTAAACATATTCTATCTAGTGTGAAGAATATAGTACCTTTGCATTTCTTCATCTGTTGGCAACGGAGTAGCTTCTCTGTTTAGACTCAAGTACGGATGAAGCGCCTTTGTGATCGCCAGCCATTCAAGATCATATTTCAAACTGTCGCTCGTCTCGGGCTCTGGTGTCGGTACATCGACAACCTACAAAGTGCATGATGGTGAAAGCATCATTAGCCCCAGACAGTACTTTTTATTTGGAGATATATACATGCTCCCATAAGACTACAACAAACCTGCAGAAACTGCCGACGCGGTAAGCACTTGTCTAAGCTCAAAAACTTGGTAACGCCTTCTGATGCATTACCATCGCCCGGTTTCAGTTCTTTCTCTGACTTGGCATGATCAACCACGGCTGGATAATGCACATGCAGATGGGCTGCAAACCAATAATCTGGTTTTAATTTGAGCAAAAGATCCTTGTTGGGTCGACTACCAAGCGAGCTGGATCGAATCTATGTATGTATTTATTATTGCAGTTAGTAACCTCCATGTATCTACGAAAACTCAGTAGTAGATAACCCCCCTTTTTTTTTGTGCTCACATCGTTTTCTAGGAACCTTTTCTTTCGTAAAAGTTGATCGAGGTCGCCACAATGCTCGATTGATTGAGGCCAATCGTGAGATAAAAATACATCCATTGGTTTCCGTATCTATTACACGTTACTAACAATATATAAAGACAGAATAGACTGCGTGTCAAATAGTTGTAGAATGCATTTTATTACCTGCAAAAGTTTGCGAACGTCATATTCTCGGACATGATATACTGATCGCAGATCGGATGGATTGTAGGGGTATCTCTCATAGTGTCCTGGCCCGATTGTTTGTATCAATACATGTTGTGCAAATAGATGGGGGGGCTCGTCACACAAAAGCCGAGAAAGAATATGGAACAAACCTGTTGTATAATCATGTTGTTTAAAGATACCAGATACGCCGCCAATGCGTAGGCCTTTGTAGTTGACAACACCAGCATGACCCAGATAATAGATGTTTTCGCATACCCATCCGCCATGATACCTATGATCCACTATTAAGTTCTTCGTGGCTTCCTTTTTTTGACAAATTTGAATGAAAAACTTACAGTTCCCACAAGTGATTACTTGCTTCATGATTGCCTCCAATGAAAATGGTTAAATAAGGAGCCTTGGCTTTGCCCGAATAATATTTCCAGAAAGAACCCAGTTTTTGATATTGCGGTGGCACAGACATACACCGCATATCGCCTGGATTGCGAACTGCCTATATAAGAGTAGATAAGTATCCACGAATAGCAAAAAAAAAAAAAACAGAAAAAGAGAGAGAGAGAGAGGAGAAATAATGGAGGAGTGAAGCTTTTTTTTCCCTTACTTGAAAATCGCCACAGATCAAGAGTAGATCTATTTTGCATTTCTTGCGTTGTTCCAGTAGTTTAAGACTACCGTAAATCTCGTCCAAGTGACCATGGCAGCAGCCCTCAACAGCGATCTAAATTTTAATAAATGTTGCACATTGTTATGATCCCGTTTGTTTTCAAAACCACTCAGCATACAAAGTTTCCATTGGAGAGCTTTTTCTTCCATTACCTTCATAGTGGTTCTTAACGCGGAAGAGGAAGACAATTTTATCCGAGATAATAAAGACGCAGAAATAGAAGGCATGGTTTTTTTTTTTTTTTGCTTGTGCGACGAGTGATGGTGGGATCTCTCCACCTGCCCCATTGTTATTTATCTAGTCTCCCGCTTATGACGCCATTGTTTCTTATGTTTTTGAAAACCATCACTATATCACGGTCGTATAACATGTAATTGCTCGAATATTCACCCTGTTGTCCAGCAAAGAATAAAAACAACTTTCTGTAGACTTCTTGATACACGACGATATATCAATCACTACTGCTCTGCTTCTGACAAGTTTAGAAGCATGGTAGTAACAGTAAGCGCGCTTTTGCTGTAGTATATGTAGCCTTATATCTTCTTTATCCCATTGATAGAATCGTTCATAAAACGTCAGATTCTCTTAAAAACTACACAAGAATATCACACAGCAGTAACAAAAAAGCACTGGAGCTAGATGCATATGTACAGAAACATGTAAATAAGGCATTATTATCGCCAGTTGGTATGATTCCTTGTTGTGAATACATTCATAGCTATGGCTACATACGAAATGAGCTCTTTGTATATTATACCTAGAGTCACCAACAGGTTACTACTAGTTCGAGTTCCATCCAAGTCCGTTTTTAGCCTAGCAAAATCAGCAAATGCCCCTCATGCCTTGAGAGCGTCAAATTTTATCTGCGCAAAAGAAACTAAACTACTACATCTGTACAACACCCATGGTAACGTGCATAAATTCCTCGACAGTTGAATTTTATACTTAATTCCTTCTTATATGATTTTATTTTAAAATAAAGGGGCAGGTTCAAGCGACTGAGAATTCCACCCAAAAAAGCGACGATGGTAGATTATTAAACAGAGCAAGCATTAGGCTTTGTGCTTTTTGTCTTTATTAATTCGCTCTCGCGACATAACAGTAATAACCCGGCAATTTTAAATAATCTGTACATTCTGTTACCAGGTGATCCTTCGAAGCAATCGCTACAAAGTAATTTAGATACTCTTGACGATGGTAATATATACGTTCTCAAGACGAGAACTAAACTAAGGTGAATGGGCCACCGTACTATATATTTGCTGGCGCTTTTAAACTTCTCTCAGCTCGCTAAATATGTGTATCATTTACTATTGAACATTATCATCAGCACAAGAACGCAACGATGGTTATATTGAAGATGTAGCCAACACAAATCGTGGGAATGATGAGGGCCACATCAATATACAGCAAAACTTGGATCAGGATGACGAGGTGAGTTATTATTGCCCGGTATGATATAGTGCTTACTTGGATGATGGACGCAAAAGAAAGCCAATGAGTGATATTAAGAGATTAGGGTGTGATACAAGTGACATACGCAGAAGAAAATGAAGATGAGCCGGAATTACAACGGTTACGACGCATCAAACAGGTTGTATATTAGAGAGTTCGAGCTCAATGTAGTTCAGGCTAGTACTCATTGTACCAAGGCGCTATATAGTTCCAACCACTTATTAAAGATTCGGAACGTACGTTTGGATTGGAAAGTCTACTCGGGATAACTAAAGGACTGAAAGGATCATCCGCAACCCCCAAAGAGGATAGTAACTATGAAGGTAAATGGTTGTAAAGTAGAATATGCCTTTTTGCTTGTATTTCGTGGATAGGGGGTACTCAACTTACATGAATGACTCTTATACATAGTCGATCATAAAACGTTGGCAGAACTAATACTGGAGTTACAAAAGCATACGGAAAACTATAAAAGAAAAATTCATCAAGACCAAGTAAGTTTTTTTCCCGCTTTGGCTATATGTGAGTATCCCGCTCTTATTTCTTGCAAATTAGAGCGTTAATAACAAAGCTATTATAAAAATGTGTAGAAGCTACTGTTACAACGCTTGAAGCATGTAGAAGGTCTTAGTGTGCAAACAGCTCAAGCACTCGTACTAGGCCTTAATCAAACAAGGCACGCTTCCGAGAAACTGGGCGAAGCGAAAAGAATCAAAAGTTACGCTCAACAGACCCAAAAGTGCGTAGCGGATATCTTTAAAAGACTCTGCATCATTGGCGAGCACTTACCACCCGAGGATCGTGTAGGCCATGAATCATTTGCAGCTCGCTGGCCTGATTTGGACAAGCTTTATAGGAATGCAATCCAAGAGCAACAACGACCGCGTATGGATATCATGAACGGGAAAATGTCTCTACTACGTGCATCTGCCGACCCATCCGTAGCAACCGTAACCATGGTCATTGCTGAGGGGACATCTTCCATTCATGACGATAACAGCAGCAGTAGCACTACCCACTATGATTAAGATCCCACACTCTATCAACTTGTTGATTACCATAAAGTATACCAAATGAAGGGCTGTGTCAGCGATTTCAAATTTTGACAGCAGAAAATTTTCTTTCTCCATCGGCCTACCACCTTGCTGGTTCTCTAAGCACACCATGAAAGAGGAAGAAGACGATTTTAATTTTTTTGACGATTTTTCATCCGATGAAGCGTTAATAAACAATGAACGACGAGCACGAATGCAAACAAGTCTCAAAAACAAGCTCGCCAAGTTTTCCAACGACCCACTGAAAAGAACAACACAAGAGAACCGCACTGTTTTCAATCGCAATAGACTTTTAGATCCTGGCCACTTCCAAACACCACAAAAACGGCAGCATGTGTTCACTCAAACGGAATGCAACACCATTTTGAATCAGTGTCGCGAATTGACCACTACAGAATGGACGACTGCCCGCCATTCAGCGTTTCCAACAACTGATATTCCTATTCGCGACGCCATTGCAACGCTCGCTTATATAACAGACATGGTGCGTGAACGACTGTTTCCTCAACTAGCAAGCTATTTTGGTTTCCATCCTACCCGAGATTTGGATTTCCGGGATGTGTTTATCGTGAAATATGCTGCAGACGCACAACGTGGACTCAAGCTACACACCGACGGGTGTTTGGTGTCATTTAATATATTAATCAGTCATCAGGATGATTTTGAAGGCGGTGGTACCTATTTTGAATCGATCGACGACGATGTTCACCTCACTCAAGGCGACTGTGTCTTTCATGACGCACGGATTATGCATCGTGGTATTGATATTACGCGAGGGGCGCGTTATATCCTGGTCGGGTTCGTGGATACCGTGGATACACTGGCAAAGGATAAAATGGCACCCAAAAAGAATCTTCGTGAACAACACATACTGTAGAGTAAGTCTTTTTTTTTCTTTGTTTATTACAAGTATTAGTGATAGTAATAGTTGCTGTAGGTGTTGCAGTCTATGAATTAGTCGTTGGCCAACGATCGTAGATCGCTCCTATTGTTAATATGATCAATGTAGAGATATACATGTATTAATAGACAACTGAAATACTACTTCACATGCTATGTAAATAAAGTAATACCTTTTGGCAGACACGATCTTGAATGTGACATCGGCGTCTTTATTGTTTCGTTTTGCTTCGAGTTCATTAAGAAAGTCACCGATTTCATTGCTTAGGTCGATTTCTGGAGCTGGTGCTATAAACAAATCGTTGCTTAGTTACTTGTTTATCAGGGACAGATAGAGAAGTAAAGGGAGGGCGTCGCGTCCTACTGACCTCCTACTTCAAGACCAATCAAATGGGTGGTGACATGCAATCTCCCAGGTTGGAAGGACGTTGCAAAGTTCTCAACATAATCCGTATATCCTTCTTGAATTGCCAGTTTCCCTTGTGTAGTGCGATAGCTGATTGATTCTGTATATGATTTAGTGTAGGGGTGGATGACATTGATGGAAGGGTGTACTTCGAGCAGTTCAACAAGTTTCGGTATCGCAGTCGCCATTTTCCGTTTCCTAAAAGATAGTGTTTTAGTTCCGCTTCCCATTTGTCGTGTCAAGCAGACTTACCAAGTGTCGTTACTTTTGATTGTTTCTGACATAACCATGACGCGCAAAAAATGTCTGTATCGAGCAAAGAACTTTAATTCCTTAAATAGTTTCGAAAGAAGGCTATTGATATCTAAAAAGTTGTCTGATTTCATGATGGTTCTAGCTACGTAATACCATGTGTAAGTAAGTCCAAGTGCTGTGCTCGTTCAATATAGCCATCGATATATTAACAAATTCATACCTCGTTTGAGCTCTTGTGTTAATATTTGAAGAGTAGAAGCTGTGACAAACGGCGCTGAATTGCATACTGGATAGCATGGTGATACAATGGGCATCACCGAATGCTCAAAGTCTTCCTATACCGGCCTTATCATTACTTTTTCCTTATATACACACTGGGCCTTCCTGTCTCTCTTTTCAACGACGATCCAAAAAAAAATACTCACAAGGTCTTGAAAATCCATAAACTCGCCATGAAGGCCGGGTATACGTCCAGTTAATAATACGGGCTCTGGCCAAGGCCAATCGGTCCACATGTCAAAGAACTTGTGCAACAGATTGTACGCGTCAACATGATCAGAGTTGGCAACATTCTGATACGTCTTCATCAGCAAAAAGGTCCAGGTGCTGCCGTTCAGGTATCCCATCGGTTTTCCATACAGATATCGTTGGGTAGCCCAGTATTTGATGCACTGAAGCCCGCACTGGAACGCCGGCATATGCTCAGGTTTGATGTTGTCCAAAATATACTGTTGTGTACGTGGTCCTACATCCACCACATAAAAGATAGAGAATGTCCGTGAGCATCTTTTTGTCCAAAGAAGAGTTGGAATGAGAAAGAAGGGAGGAGAGCAACCACCCTTTCTTTTTCTTTTACCATCCATGCTTGCAAGGCACTCTTTGTCAAGACCTTCCATATAGTCGTCGTTGAGTAAATTGATATTTTCAGGCACGTCTGCCAATCGTAGACGAACAAATGATATATCCACCTAAATATTTTACGAAATGAAGCGAGAGGATGTATATATAAGCTGGTTTCTTTCAACACGTCGAAAAATTTAGGCAAATGAAGGAGCAGAACTGTTACCGGAATAGAATCAATGGTGCACTTGATAATCGGAACCGCGGTCCGCCTTATCACCTGCGTGCGTGATTATTACTCAATTATCACGTACATACCATAAACATACGCATTACATCTCATCCGACCCCTTCTTTTTTTTACCTCAATACCATCTTCTGTTATTCTTCTCAGAAGCTGTGGAAATATCTTGTAAAAATCGCGTCTTTCCACTGCAAAGGCACTTAGCAACACGAGGTCCATATCAGCCCCTGCAAGGTATCCGCCCAAGCCATACGATCCGAATGGCATTAACTGACACACGAAATCGTCGCGTCGAAGTGATTTATTTTGTGCTGCTCGGCGAACAAAGTCCTCAAGCAATGACCGTAGTTTCTTTAATAATTCGTGTCTATAACAGTTTTTGTGTGCACACTCCATTCAGAAAAATGGCATAAATCGTTTCGTTGATCTCCCGCCATCACAACCACCGGTTTTCCTTTTTTTATTATTATATATATTAGTAGAAACGTACCGTGTTCTAGCTTGGTCGTTGTCTTCAGTTACTTCTGCTCGAGCAAGGTAGCGCTGTATACGGTCATTGCTAATGTTCGAGCGCATGACGTTAAAAAAGAAATTAAAGTGTTGCCGCTTGATTTTGGGTGTACGCCAATGAAAGTTGCTTTATGTGGTTCCGCTTTTTTTTGCACCACACATCCCTTGACGTGTTCGTTTTTTCTCGATTTGATGATATTACTGTAAGGATCATAGCAAGACAGATTCCATTACCGTCGTAGACCCACTTGCTAGTTTTTATACTGTATCTCATGCATCTATGCATGGAGGCTACGTTGTAGGCGAAGATGAGCAGGTGGCTATCTTGTACTTCAAGGTAGAATGTGTACTTGCAGGTGTGCCTTTCTTTGACGAAGTTTTCCGTCAGTTGGACTGCCGGTAAGATGACAGGGATAGAGAACCAAAAAGAATTCGGGGAATGGGTCATTTGGCAGTGTAAAAAAAAGTGTGGAATGGTCGGCCAAGGACTTTGAACGTGTTATTGCTGCCACACGTAAAACCACGCCAGGTGGGGGTAGGATCCACTGACCCCACTGATTATGCATGCTAAGAAAGATAAGCTGTTTGATTAGGCTTCTGACTGGTTGAGAAGTACGGCGGGCTAGTCGGAGGACTTTATACGCATCGCATGGATTTGTCGTCCATGGTCATGCTCAAGACAACCACATCTGGGCGTCAGGTAAGCGCTATGAGAAATTCAAATGTGTGACATAGTGACAGCTGGACTGACTCGGATGCTTTATAACAATAACAGTGACGATAACAAATCGATTTAAACTCTTTCTTTGTTGGTTAATTAGGCAATGTATTCCAATGAAAAAAAAAACCCATCATTATAGAAACCTGCACTAAATTGATTATTGTTTATTAGGACGGGTGATCGTTTTATTTCAAGCTACAGTACTTCAGGCATCTTTGTGGTGTGCCTGCGTGTAGCTTGCCGGATCCTGCTTATAAGTTGCTAAAAGGTAGAGGTAGTTGGTTTACTTTCCATCTACTATCTTGTTCCCATGCTCTCTGTGCCCACGGGGTGTGTCTGCGTGTAGCTTGCTAGATCCTGCTTATAAGTCGCTGAAGGGTGAAGATGGTTTGGTTTTTACCCTTCTACTGTCTTGCCACAATACTTCCGGAATCATTGAGATATGCCTGCGTGTAGCTTGCGGGATCCTGCTTAAAAGTCGCTGAAGGGTGAAGGTGGTTGGGTTTTTTCCCTTCTACTTTCTTGCTGCAATACTTTCTACATCCTTGGACGAGTCTGGTAACTTGCTGGATCGTTCTTATAAGTGGCTGAAGGGTAAAGATAGTTGGTTCTTCCATAATGTATTGTCTTGTTGCAATCTCTTCTGGGTTCAGCTGTTGTCTGTTCGGACGTGCCGTGGCGTTACTTAAAGAAGTTTGGTATAGTTAATATTATTTTCATACACTTGAATGCACATTTGATCAAATTCGGATTTGTGTATTTATAGTGGATATTTAGCCATTGTTGGATGGAATCTATTCGATATGGAATTATTGCAGCGTATGCAGATCCTAGTAATACCGATGCACCAGAGCTTAAAGTCGCCCTATAAATTGCGGTTGATTCCATTTGTAGCAGTAGCAGTAAGACGTGTCTTCTCTCCTTCTCTTCTCCCATTCCTCATAATTACGAATAATCAAGCCACCCAAACGAGCATCAGGTTTCGGCAGCAAGCCAAAAGCATCTTTTTCTAGCTACAGCAGAACTGGCGCGAAAAGAACTGTTAGAATAGCGCTGCCTTTATATTTTGGAGGCACGCCGAACGTTCCACCACCGCTTGATCAGCCGTCATCGAAACGTTTTCTCATACGCGATCAGGAGACAACTGCTGCTAACAAAAGAAGAAGAGCAGGCAATCGCGACCGTAACTGGGCAGCCATTCTACCTTTTCTTCTTACAGCATAATATAAGCAGGGCTATGGTACCGAGGAACCCAAGCCTCAGGCTTTGGCTCCTGTCGAGGATCTTCTACTTTGCCCTTGCCGTGAGACAAAGAAAAAAGAGAAGGCTATCACTTGCATCTACAAGTGTGGTGGGTATACAGCGATTAAAGCATGATGATAAGAGAACAATGTGCTAATAGACGTAATGTGATCCAGGTATCCAAGTTACTAGAATTCAGTACTGCAGCGTGTGCGTAGACCATTCATTGCCCGTAGTTTTGATGCGTCGCCACCTCTTCCCTCTGACACCATGTGATCCAAATCACGCCATACATGTCGAGCAAATGCGTAGTTTGCACAACCTGTATAATCATTGTCGCGCTTCTGCTCATGCGATCGCCAACTGGGCTCGCGCAGAGTATCAGTACGAGGTATATTCAGACGAAAGAATCATTGATCAACCAAAACTTATTCTGTTTTTATCCAGCTAGCGATATCTGCCAGTTTCAAGCAGCTACTTAGTGAAGCACTCCCAATGTATGGGAGACTATTGCTTAGCTTAGAAAAAGGACCTTAGAAAAGGATTTGACCTACAAAGAGTATATCTGGCATCCATGTGTATAGTTTGTGTTGTGTTGAAGTTGCCTGTCGTGTTAATATATTGAGCTGTCAATCATCTACATTCTACTAGTCTGGTCCCAAAATTGTTGCTGCAGACGGCGCCATGCAACTACGACGCTTTGCGAAAACGAAGAACCCAAAAGGTGTCGTGTTTACTGAGTAAGAAAAAGTGGATTTGTATTGGGTCAAAGAGTCGTCCAATACCGTAACGCAGTATGGTTTTTACTTATTAAATAATGACAGGAAGCATTATTTTTTGTGTTCGAGCTAAAAGTGTAACATAGCTTCTGGACAAAGTCACGGAGCTACAACAATAAGCGCAAGAAAGAGCCGCATAACACATGTAGTTGCTTAGGAAAAAAATCAGGCGCTCGGAGAAGATCAAGTGCTCCAATACGTTGATTATTTGTATATCAACATTAACGGTAAGATGTGCTGTCATGCAAGCAAAAATGTCGTTCAAGCGAGTCATTGTATATGATCCGGAGAAAAAGGTAGCAACTCAAAGATGGTCGATGATATAATTTACATTCAATAATTACAAGGATTTCTTGTCTATCGATGACTATCGGGGGCCCTTCCTTACATGATTCTTTATTGAATTAAGTTCCGTGTTGGTACCTGAAAACCGTACCTTAAAAAACGATAGAAATATCAGAGCATAATGCAAAGGATGTTGTAGATATGTTTGAGATATATATTGTCATAAGAAGCACTTTTGGGTTTGGCAACGAGCTAAACAATGCAAAATAAAGAAAATTTTTAGGTCAACAGCCATCAATGCAAAATGTCGAATCCTTTAATTTGAGTGTAGCTTTCAACCTGTATTGATATAATAGGAAAGGTCCACGGCTTCCGTAATTAAGATGGCCGACTGCGCTCCGTCCAGTTATACGGGCTGCACAATTTTGACAGGGCTGGGAAAGCTTCACTCCCTGGTTCTTCTTAACAAGGATATGCTCTGGCCCGGTTTGGTAGAGCCACCTGTCGACATTACGATACCACCACCCATTGTGGTGCGCACTCCAGTACTTGTTGTGTTCTACTGGATGCTCATGTCGTTGGATTACCTTGTATTAAAATACGAAAGCAAGATTCCGTTGAGCAAGATGCAAGTACGAATCGTTCTAGCGATTGTCCACGTCGCAATCCCACTTGTGATTGCTTCATCGCGTGTAGCAGCCAACTTGTTTTTCATCGCCTTGCCGTGGTTTTATGCGGCATACAGCTCTCTGATACCCGTGGAGAAATATTCGTACCGTGAATGGTCTGAATCGCTTCAGTATTTATTATTGGACGCACCGGATGATAAGCGGTTGCAGCTGGCAACACGAATGATACCCAAGCTGGAACTTTCTAAACAAGAACAACGGGATGCGCGGATCAAAGGTGCAGCAAGGATTGGACGTGGTGTATGCAAGCTGATTGTTATGAAACTAATTGTCGATCCATTGCTTCCGGAACAGCAGCAGCTGTCATCCATGTTGATGCTCCCGTGGCTGCATCCGACAAGTTTGCTTCTTACGCTATTGTTTGGATGTAAGGCGTATTTTTTTCTTGGCGTCGCAGATGTTGGCATGGGTTTGCAGCAAGTCTCGTTGGGAGTGCCAACAGTTGACTTGTTTGACCGGCCCATGATTGCAGCCACACCTAGGGAGTTTTGGAGGTAAGAAGAAGGCGTATGTTTCTTTACAGATCCGTTGTGATAGCACCCATTTCCTGTCAAGCACATAGTAGATGGCGATTAACTACCATGGTAACCGCTATTTAATCTAGTCGACGTTGGAACATTTATATGCGGCGGCTTCATCATTTATTGATCTTCGCACCGGGCAGAGGCGCAAGAGGAGATGGTGGTGGTGACAAAAGAAAGGTCAATCGAAAGCTGCGCGGCTTGTTTGTGTTTTTTATCAGTGGCGTGTACCATGAGGTCCTTTTACTCTCTTTGTTTCGCCGGACCTCTGGAGAAAATCTGCTCTTTTTCACTCTACAGGGATTGATTGTACTACTCGAAATCAATGTTCGCGAGAAAACTGGCTATAAGCAAGATGTGTCGGGATGGATAAAGGTGTTATGCTATGTGTGTTTCTGGACAAGTCTTGCTGTCTCTGGACGTGTGTTTCTGGCACCATTCCTTCGATTTTTCTCGATGTAATATAATAAGCTTCTTCTCGTTTCAGTTTATTTTATTTATTTACATGTAAACAAAGAGCCATTTTTTAGAAAGCTGTTTATGGTTCTTGCGTATCGTGAATGCATGTGTAGGGAGCGGATATACAGAGCAAAATGACATTAGGGGTATACAAGATAAGAAGAAGCAAAGCAAACTATTTACAATAAGCAATTTTGTCGCTCAAGTCAAAGTCTAGTCCCAACAGCTCTTTTCGCTCTTGCGTGTATCGGTGGACTTGGTCGAGATCAACGTACAGATTAAACTATAACCCGTAATATTCAAGTCTGAGAAACAAAAAGCGCTAATGCGTCATTTATTCCCTTCCCGCCTTACTGCTACCCCGCCGTTGTCCCCGCCCTTTATTAACTTACGCTGACGATGGCTAAGAAGCTGCGTTCCATTTCAGCCAGTTCGCGAGGCCCGTAGAGAGGTGCGACAGCTCGGCAAATTGATTTTGTGAGACGGTTATGATCTTCGATGAATTTGGAAGCCAAAAGAATGGCAGCGAGAAAAAGCTTGTAATGCGTATCGAACTCTATCAATGGATATCTGTGAGAAAAACAAAAAACCAAACCGCGCATGGATCATTCTTCTACCTCCTCGGGCTTGGCTCGGAAGATTGCGCTTTATACGATCAAGGTAGATGAGAGCAATAACGAGAACAGTTGGCGTCAAACGACATCGTGTATACATGGTAGTGATAAAACTTGTTAAACTGGGCAGTAACATGTGCTGATAGTGTTTTTTTGCTGATGCACACTGAATGATGCCATCCACGCTGGAAACGGCATATGCTAGGAGAGCGTCGATATTGGATGATCGAAGTTGTTTGATATGCGACAAGTCCATTAGATTAGAAAAGAACGGGGGCAGAGCGCAAAGGAGTTCAGTATAGGCAAAAGTCGTTTGCGAGAGAGGGAAGAAGAAAAAGAGAGAGAGAGGAAGAGAGAGGACAATGAGCTGCCTTGTTATTATATATTTTTGTACGAAAATGGATAATCATTCCTTATTTAACTTGGGCCGATTAACCCACGTCCTCCTTTTCCCGCATCTGCCGATCGCGTCGTGCATACAAAAACTGAAATAATCTTTTATTGCACACGTGTCCCCCCTCTTCAGTAGTCTTTTATGCATGCTTGAAATTTGTACCACAAGCAGCCGAAAATGCCTTTCTTCTGTTAATGGAAAAATAGCAGTTAACTATGCAGTTCTCGGCGGTACCATGTTTAACATTGAGGTACCGTTTTCGCCTTGTTAGTGCTTTGTTTTTCACTGTTGTTCTTCTTGGCAGCTCTATTTAAAAAATTTGATAGGCTTGGTCGGGTTAAAGATTACGAATGGACGAGGCCAATAGAAAAAGAGCGATTTAGAGAAGATGGTACTCGTTATCATCAACTCACTCCAAAAGATGGAAAGTAAAGGTGATGATCTTGTTACAGCAGTGTAGACCGTGCGCTGTGCAGATATGCAGATAGAAAAAAAAACTTAATTGGCTTACTACTCAATTAATTGCCATTCCAAGCTTTTAACGATCATGCCGTGTAATAAACTCTATGTTACTCGAAGTATACGACAACATGTGAGTAGCACATATTTAGCTGGGGTGTTATACTTATTTGGAGCAAGGAGATAGTAATAGTATGCCTTTTTTTAATGAATGTTTCATAATAGAAGTTGTATGCTGATAATAATAGCTAATTGTAGTAGATTAATAATAATGCGGTTGCATAAACTGCGAGCGACACAGGGGCCGGCCAAGGCGGGTTTCACCGATTGAGGGACGAGCGTATAAACGGGGAGGACAGGGCATGAAATGTCTACCGGCGACCGAGCTTTTAGGTACTTGGAGAAGATATATTTTAGGGGTCTTAGAAGCAATAAAAATGTTAAATTGAGCTATATACAAAGCAGGCTTCTACGCATGATGCAGATCCTTTATTATATTTCTACATAGTAATGTTGCCGTTATGCTGCATCGAGCATAAAGAACATGGAAATAAAACAGCCCACAAAGCTGCTACTTTTGTAGCTTAATATGATTAAAGATCTGGATTAATATATGAATGTGTGTTTTTAGATAAAGCTAAGAAAATTCTAGAAACAAAGTTCTGTGAGCACGCATGCATACAAACATGAGGATAGGCCTCATTGACGAGGAGCATGCCAAAATATCAACGATACTCTGCCGGTCATTCTAATGAAGAAGACAGCGACGTTTGATTATAGGGAATGATGAACAATTATTACAAAGCCGTCAACTTGTAAGATAGCATAATACACTACTTCTAGTAGCAAATGTCCGTGTAAAAGGTCTAATTTATAGCATGAACTTGCTCACTATACACTGGAAAATACTTTGTGCGTATCAAAAATAGCAAGCCATGATACTCCAACCGCTTGCGGCATATCACGGCCCTCTCGGTCGATGAATAAAGGCGGGGTTTTCCATGGTTGATACCCGACACTTTGTATCCACAACTGTCACTTGCATTGGCTCGATCAAGAGGAACATGCACAAGCCGACGTAGCCAACTGGGATAGATATAAAATAAGAAGTTCTTATTATTGCTACTAACAACAAAATCTTGCGGTCCTAGTTACAAAAGAAAAGTGAAGGCGCTCATTACTATAAATGAGTTTTTAGCCCCTTTACCTGTTTCTTTTGTCAATGCTTTGTTAAACGTGCAATTTTTTCCTTGATGCAGACTGTCAATAAACCATGAGGTACAAGAACACCCCAGAAATGGTCCGTGCTTCATCGCCATTAAAAACGTGGTACGGTGCATATTGATAAAAATTAAAGAACAAATCACCCGTTTTGTGCGGCAAGCAAAAGGGCTGTTTTCAAGTGTTAGTAAAAACACCTGGGGCAGCAAAGATGATAGCAAAGACCCTTTTGATCGTATTTGCCCACGTTTTGGCTATAATTATTATTCGCCGTGACACAAGTAATAATGTATCTCATTGCTTGATGAATTGTCTGTCTTTCGACTTGCATACACGTACATAAGCAGAAGACCCCGAAAAACTTTTCTCTGTTGTAGTTGAATTCGGGCCCGTCGCCGTAAGTAGAAAGCTACTAACCGTAACAAACAAAATGAGAGTGTCGCAAGGCAAGAGAAGCTGTAGGAAACGAAACAGGGTAATTATAAATAGTAGCAGTAATAATTGGTAATGCCTCGGTGGCCCGAACGTTTATTACTCTGTGAAGCTTGCCGTTCTCGCTGTTTGCATAGACACCAGGAATCTGTTGCCTTGAGAACCCCAAATGTTCTAGGCAGGCGGGTCATGGTACCTTTGCTGCCAACGGTACTTTGCTGAATCTGGAAATCCATAGTATTAACGCCTAAACACACGCTCTTTTTCTTTCTTCCACTGCTTCCTTTTTCCTTCCAAGTGCTCTTTTTTCTCCGTTTTTACTTATTGCCAACGCCAATGGAGGAGCCAATGTCAAAAGAATCACACACCTTCAATCACAACGAACATCCATTGCAGTTGAATGGGCTCGCTTGGCCAGCATTTATGGCACCCTATATTAAGCAAGTAGAACCTTATTGGAATTCAGCATATAAAGCCGCTCTGACGTACTGGCACACGACGCAGCAAGTGGCAAAAGTTCTGTGGCAATAGTAAGGATCATTTGGTATTTGGAATAAATATCTGCAAGGAGTTCAGAAAGGGGGAGGATTCAGGAAAAGAAAAAGTTATTGTGTTTTTAGGTAACATGGAAGTGGGGGTTTTTTTAGTCCCGATGTACGACTCGTGCTCTATGTGCTGGCTGTACTTTCTGCGCTTCCATTGACACTATTCATCCTATATGCTGCAGCAACGCTGTTCATAGCAACGTGTGCGGCTAGTATACTTGGTATATTCATTACAGCAGTAGGACTAACACTTGGTGGGCTTGTACTTGCTCCTTGCATCCTTGGAGCTGCATTTCTATCCGCTGGCGCCGTCGCGGCGTATAAAGTATACACCTGCTTTTGGCGTCCACAGGCCAGCAACATTCAACATCAGCAGGACTAGTCTCAATCTTTTGTTTTATTATTGTCTCTTCATCAAGTACGGAAGAAAAAAAACTTTTTGCTCCTAACTGCCATTAGTGCATACATACATATAATATATACGATCAATGATCCATGCGACATATTTCGAAACGTGGCATTGCAGGCACATCCCGCTGTAATTGGAATTGGCGGATACAGTTCTAAAAAGGTTTAGGGGTTAAGCATCTATGCGTTCGAAGGGGGTCCGCAGGGTTGGTGGTGGTGGTGTAAGAGATGGGATTACAGCTGTAGTAATTGTTTGTTGTTTATGGGTCAGCAGAAGGTTCTTTTACTGCACCCTTCCATGAATACACAAACACATAGTAAAGCCACAGTTTTGACCAGAGATACATACACATATGATTTAGAATGACGACGACGGCGATAACTTTTATCTTGTGCTGGGTGACACAAGAGATGTCTGCTAGTAGCGCTGGTGGTGTTGTTGTTCATCAACAGCTCGAATCTGTTTGTACGTTGTGTGGGCATATGTTGTATCTCAACATATGCATTGTTTTTTCTTTAAAAGCTGCTTATTGTCTTGCCAAGCGACAGACCCAAAAAGAAGACTCTCTTAAACTACATTAAAGGCGCGGCAGTTAGCAGTCATGATGTCCGTTTAGATGGGAGAAGAGAGAGGAACGAGCCTTTATTTGTGGATGATGTTATGTATTATTTCGTTTTTGTCGTTCTGATAACCACTAGTTGTGAACTTTCTGTTAGAGGAGAAACCCGACAGTGTGGGAACGGACAATCTCTTGTGTAGCCGGGTGGGGATCGTTATGGGTGTGTATATATACGGAGAAGAGGGGAGAAGGGATAGTGGGCGGCAAATGGATTAAAACGGCATCGATCCATTCAAGAAAAGAGCCAATGAATAAAAGAGTGTATCTTGGCTCCGTCAAATACACGTGGCATAAGAGATTACTGATCCAAGCGAGTGACTAGAGAAAGTAGTAGTAATGAAGATGGAGGAATTAGTGCTACTCTACTGCAACAAAACTTAATAGACAAGTGACTAAAAATGATTTTGGGTTACCAGGGGCAGGAGTTATTCGTGCTACCTGATCATGTATTATATGCATTATGGTAATGCCTTCTCCCCCCTCCCCTTCCCCGGGCCCCCCTTTCTCCGCTTTACTACTTACTATTACTACTGCTACTGCTAGTAGCGGAAACTCGAGAAATTACATATTTGTTCATTTAGGCTCTGCGCTCTATGGCTTTTGTATGATCACACTTTTGTGCTTAGTGCTAAACAAAAAACAGACTTGGGGGTTTACGCTGATTATCATTTGCTGGCAAGTGCGTACCTATTTGGCAATAGTTCTCGGATCGGCTCAATTGATTCGTATGTGCTTCTCTGTTTGCCACCACACACAATCCACCCCGCGTCCCCCATGTCTATTTCTTTCCATATCAATATAGTTGACGAAATATAAAAAGGTTGCCACGCCCATGAATAAATCAAACGAGTTACGAAGGAGAGAACTTGAACTCTTTTTTCCGTTCCTTTTCCCCATTATTCACCGCTACTATATAAGCACTTGCACTACTCTCACCCGCACTCAAAACAACAACAACAACAGCTCTTAAACTGACGCACCCCGTAAAGAAGTTTTCTCTTTTATTACCCTAATATTACCATTGTCACCGCTATACCGCATGTCGCAACCATCGCTTCCGCTCCCGAACATCAAGCAGCCCCTTCATCATCAACCATACGAGAGTGATGCAGCAGCCTACTTTTGCAGCAGCCACGCTCGCCAGCAGCAGCCAGAACTTAGATCGCATTGTATGTTCAAGACCAATCTGTGCAGCGGACCAATGCATTGTCGCTACTGCTCCACTGGCAACAGTACACATAATCCAACCAACGACCATCTGAACAACAAGCCATGGCGGATTGCCTTTTTCCAAGACGATCGCGAGCATCATCACCAGTACTACCAACAAGATGTACTTCGTTCAACCAAATCAACCATCCACCAAAACAGCAATGCTGTGCCCCGGCGACTTAGCTCTGGGTCAGCTTGCGAGACGTGTCGTCGTCGTAAAACCAAGTGCGACGGGGGCCAGCCATGTGCATATTGTGCTACCAATCGGATTCCTTGCATTCATCGTGCCAGTAAAAAGAGATCTGCTCATCATTTAAACAACAACAAGCAAACTGCAGTGATGATGGGCTGGACAACGACGGATAATAACAGCGGCAGCAATAACAACAATTATAACAATAGCATTAATAACAGCACCATTAGCACAAATGCTGCCGCTGCAGCTGCAGAAGAAGAAAAGCAAAGGTTACAGCGGACGGAGCCTTTGACTCGCAAAGTGGAGCGGCCGCTTTCAGCAATGGATGTTGATGATCATGGTAATACAGCAGCACAAGCATATCACTACCACCTTACTATTGTATTGATTTATCTAATATCCCTTTACGTTTCAGAACCAAGGTCCATTATGAAACAGGCTAGCTGCCCTTCCTTGATGGTCACGCAGTGGCCACAACAACCACGGGGCAGTACCTCTCCAATCAAAAGTCTTTCACCGCCGTCGCCATTGTCCGACCATCATTCGACAAGCAGTGACAAAGTGACGACAACATCAAGCCCAATCTTTGCAGATCATGTGACAAAGGAGACAATGCCGAGTGTGATGGGTAAGAGGGGGAAAGAGATCGACTCGCACGTAAAACAGAAAGCTTGCTTGGAAGAAAAAATGGACCATTACTACCATTATAACGAGAAACAGTGTTAGCTAACATAGCATATTTATTAGATCAACTATCGTGTAGAACTTTTTCCGCTGTCACATTGGCAGCCGTTGATCGAAGCCCTAGCTACCCCATCTACCCTTTGTTAGCAGGAACAGCTACACACGAGCACAACATGCGTCGAGGCTACGCGTCGGATTAACCGTTAAAGAAAAAGGACAAAAGTAGGCCAGCTGGGCCTATTTTTATCCAAGAAAAAAGAGTTTTCTTCTACTTTCCTATTCTTCTATTATGCAAGCATTCAACACCCCTAAATCCTTCATCTTTGCACGTACGTCCCTCTCTCTCTCTCTCTCTCTCTCTCTCTGTGACTCTCCACTCTCTTCTTTTTGACCTCTTTCTTCTCGCCCTATGCCCAAAAATTTTCCTCTTTTTTACAATATTTCTTTTTCTATATGCATAAACCCCTTCTCTCTCATCTCTTCAGCAAGCCCCTCACTGTGGGGTAGCAAAAAAGGATGGAGAGGGGACAATACTTTATGTACACCATATACACCACTCGTTTCCCGTTCCTTTATATATCAATGTATCTATGATTGTATTCTTTCTCATCCACTCACACGACACCCATCTTCTTCTCTTTTCTCTACTGTTTCTCTCTCTCCTGTGAATGCTTATTTGACCATTTGCAGACTTAAACGATCTACTATACTTAAACATCTGATTTCTATTTTAGTCGTCATTCACGCTAGCAATATACATATATTTCTCTTTATCATCAACAATATAGCATTCTGTCGATCACATATATCGATGATTATTTCTATTGTCATTATGCTGTCTGCTGGATCAGATCGTAAATGTACCAATGCGACACACGATGTGAATACCAGCACGCTATTGCTAGTATACGCATACAGGATAAGCACGACAGAGCCTTATAAAAAAGACATCGATTGTATACGCTTATACGAATATCAGGGACAATTACCACTTGGGCCTCTGCAGCACAACATGTTTATTATAATATTGCTGCATAAATTTTATGGGGAAGCAATGGGCTGCATAATGACGCGTGATGCTTACCAATGGCATCAAATGCTAGTATATGTATACTTCATACAGGAGGATGTAAGGGCAGGGCGGCGTACATTATGGTCATTTTAGGCCAGGAACGTCTTGCATCGCTGATCTAAAAATGCGCAATATCGTTGTCCGCAAAGCTATTCTGAAAGGTTGACGGCAGATCCATTTGAGCGATCATATACTGTAGTATAAACGAAAGAAGTAGAATTTGTCACTATTGCTGCCAGATGATAGCTAGATATCACAAGTATCTGTGGGAGCGTGCCACTATGAAACCGAGCTACCAGTCTGTATGTTCGTTATAAATCAATAATCGCTGGTAATGGAGGTAATACTTACAGTCAAGGTATCTTTCCTTATTGTGACAGCAATCATACGCTGCTAATCTCGAGCATCGATTTACGCTCACCAGTGTTTGCGCAGTACACAGTAAGATTTGTTGTATACGTTATTATGTGTCGAGTCATCTAACAAATAAAAGAAGTGATCGACGATCTGCATATTCTACTTCTGAATTCTGGAGCGATCCTTCTTTTTTCTTTTTAGCAGCCTGAATTGCAACATCTGGTAAACATATACTCAGTATCAATTCTGTGTGGAAGCTACCGACATAAACATTGTACTACCGACAAGGTTCAGCGGTTTTTTCAGCCGGTGTTCGTATGCTTTCCCTCTTAAATTCTCCCAGATACAAACTGTTCCGACTCTTTTTCTCGCCAAATCGTGGAGGGGTATTATTTTTTTTACATTTAGCATGCTTTTGCAAATTCAGTAGCAGTATTCCAGATTTCTGATGTCGGTCGTACTCTTTGAATTGTCAAGGCAGCATTCAAAGGCAGTTGCAGCATTCATATACACAGCTCTCAGATTGACTCGTAGGCCACCCTTGTAGCTGTTACAGTTGTCCTTTTTTTGATTCAGCGTTAGAAAATGCGCGGCTACGATAACTTAATCAAAGCGAAGTATATCCAAAAGGCTCGGGAGCATTGTCTGATATGCAGATGTCCTCGAAATTATGCTAGTTGCCTCTCTTAATATATTTCCACCAAAGTCCAGTAAATATACTGTAATCATTGTATCGCCAGCACAGAGTAACGTTGGATACCCAAAATCAATACTATGATGTTAATCTGCTTTGAGCGAGTTATGTGTAGTTGTTACTATAAGGTTATATACCACGCAGTATATCTCTACACGAAGAGGTTAGGTCCCTGAGCATCTTGAGAAACTCAATAAGTATAGACTTTGCCCCAAGCAAAGATATTGCCATTCAGTTTTAATGGCTGTGGTGACCTGTTGTGTATCTTACTTTCAATTTAACAGATCAACTACTATTGGTCCTTATCCAGTGATCCCTATGTGTTAAGAACGAGATGAACAATCGATCCAGAGTTAAGCTCATCCAAGGAGAAGGCTTAATTTATAATCTCCACAACTGTTTAACATACGGAGGCATAGTATATTAATCTTGCATATCGCCTGGTCATTCTCTCTTCAACGACTACAATGGTGCTGTGCTTTGTACTACTTGAGACCGCTCATGGTTGACAACGTCGTGAGAACGTTACTTTGTAGTCCGCTTTATCATTAAAGAGAAATTGGGAAACTTTAGGAACCAAGCGGCCGGACACTTCCGATCAGGTTTTAGTGTAAAGACGCACATCTACAATAATGCTAAATATCCGAGAAAGACATACAAACACAGCTAGTGGGCAAAATAAGATGAAAAGGAGGCGGTTTTCCATCTGTGAGTCATAGGACGACAATTCTCAAAGTCTAGGCTTGTTAATCAGAGCTACACCGAACCCTCGGCAAACGATATCCTTGCGTAAATATCCTAGAACTGACATTGTTTTATCGGAGATTTCTCACGAGTTATTCGTTTACTTCTTGTGCAACGAGTCGTTCCTCGGTTGCTACATCAGTAGAGAGGAAGAAAAAGAGGCACAACTTATTCCCGGTGGCTAGATGTACTCCAAGTAATAGTGTGGCGTGCAGATAGAGTTTGTGTTGTTGTCCAATGACAAAAACTTGCAAAAGCAGTTCTGTTTTTATTTTCTATTGACAAAATTAAACCATACTTCAATATGAGCTTTTGTTGATCCGACCGTCGGATTTTGGATCAACAACGTACGCTAAAGTCTTTAACGAGATCGATTATCTTTTCCTTCTTTTCCTTTGCTATCTATTTTTTTCTCAATTGCCTCGTCCAGCTATCATTGTCCTAATATACACTTATGCCCAACAGAAGTGACGACAAAAACAGCAACAGAAACGAGAGTAATTCGGATGTTATTTCTGTCGAGATGAATAAGCAACAATCAACAAGTCAATCAAACGGTGGTGGAGACGACAACGCCGTTCTTGATAGCAATCCAAAGGCCCCAAGTCATTTATCTGATACATCGACTTTGGATCGTGAAACCATTGTCAGTAAAAACAAAGACACCAACACGGATCAAGTTACTGCATACGAAAAACGACGCTCAAATTGGCTCAAATATCATCTTTTGGGCGATATATATGCTGATGATGATCCGAGCGATATGTCGGAACGAAGGCAAAACATTATCATTCTCGTAGTCGCTTTAGGCGGTGTAGCTGGACCTCTTGGAAGTATGATGTTTATGCCGGGCTTACTTGCTGTTGCGAATGATTTGAATACGAGTACATCGGCTGTCAATGGATCGGTGTCCGCATATGGTAGGCGTACGGAATGGATAGATGTTTGCTATAAAAACGAGACTCGCTAAAGGATAATTCTTCTCTTTCTCCCAATTCCCGCGTCTTTACATAGTTGTCTTCATGGGCGTGGCGGTAAGCACGATAGTTCAACAAAACCCGATTATCTCGCTATAGAGTACCTTGAAAACGATTTCATGACTGCTATGATATACTCATACTAAACAGGTGGTATTCTATGTAGCCACTAATATGGGCCAGCATCAGTGATCAGTATGGAAGGAAACGCATGTATCTCTTCAGTAATCTTCTAAGTCTAGTAACATCTATAATTTGCGCTGTTTCGTCCAATATCGGAATGCTTATTGTGTTTCGAGGGCTTCAGTCATGCGGCGCCAACGCGGGTCTTACTTTAGGTAGGTATACATAATCTCTTTCCCGCTCATCCAAGTACTGAAGCTTATCAGCAATGCAATTTATCTTACTGGGTATATTATTCTTATAAAACCCTAGGTGCTGGCGTTATTGCTGATACTATCCCGATATCTATCAGAGGCAAGGCTTATGGATGGTTCTATATAGGACCTTTAATTGGACCTGTACTGGTATGTTTATGTTTATGCTAATGGAGAATGGCGTTGCCCTTTGCATGCGCATGACGGTTAAATAATATTTATATCTAAAACTACCAAAATGTTTAGGGGCCAACTATTGGAGGTTTGTACCTCATATTTTAAGCAAGTGAGCATGTGGTTTGATTGGAGATTTCTATCGATTATAGGATTCTTGTGCCAATACCTTGGATGGCGATCCACATTTTATTTTCAAGCAATTCTCAGTGAGTTTCGAGTGAACGAAAGTTGATTTCTTTTCTTTTCCTTTTGTCTGGTCCTACGAAGCTCATGAAGCTCTTTCTTTTCAAAAAGGTGGCCTCCTACTCATTATGACAACTGCGTTTCTTCCCGAAACGCTTCGAAAAGCTAAACCCGAGGAAAATCTATCTAGCGAGAAAACATCTTCCCATCCAGGGGTGTTACAAAAGCTAGTGCGAGACTTTAAACCAATGTTTCTCATGCTAAGAGACTGGTCCATTATTAGTATAACGGTGTATCACACTGTTATTTTTGCATGCTTGTATTTTCTGGTAAGCTAAATTTAATCATTTTCAATATTACTATTAATTACCATTTTGAAAAAGAAAACAATACTGATGTAAATACTTTTTAGAACCCTACCATCACCAGTACGTTTCATGCGTTGTATGGGTATAACGAGTGGCAAGTTGGTCTGTGCTACCTTTCGCTTGGTTTTGGTTTGATGATCGGCTCGGTCATTAGTGGACGGCATTCTGATTCAGCATTAAACAACACTAAAAAGACGAAAAGACACACACGGCAAGTACCAGAAATGCGATTGATGGCGTCCGTGCCTGCCTTTTTCTTCATTCCAGCCGGTTACATCATCTACGGATGGACGGCTGAAAAAGGTGTTGGTGTCTACGCTCCTCTGATTGGGCTTTTCGTTTGTATGCTCTTTTTTTTTGTCTTTTAACTCTCTATTATATTTCAAAAACAAATATCTCGCCGCTAATTGTTCTACTGTACATATAGATGCATTGGGACAAATGTGGGCGTTTACACCTACATCTGTTTACCTTGTCGACTCAAAACCGGGTAAGCTACATTATACGTTAGAAGTGCATACTTTAGTCTAACTATGATGCTATGCTTTGACTTTTGTAGGATCATCTGCAACCGCAGTATGTATCAAGCGACGCCCGCATAACCCCTACTGCTCCTAATTCATTTACTAATATTCGCTCAATTGTTATGCTACTGTAATAGGTTGGAGTAACAAACGCAGTACGATCGATTGTTGGTGCCGTCACTGCCGTATTTTCAACGGATGCTGTTGATGCATTAGGTCCTGGCATCCTTTTTACCATACTTGCCGCAATAAACATTGTTAATTTTATATTTGTGCTTCTCACCTATTATTATGGTGAAGCATGGCGCACGAATTTCGAAACAAATGTTCTTCATCGTCCTCCTTCTGATAGTAAAGCCTTTACAGCCACTGACGACATTGAAGCAGCTGCTGTGAAGGGGAACAGCAACATCGCTTCAACCACTGCGGACGAGCAACATATGGGCGATTTACATTTGGCACGGATCACATCAAAGCATAGTGCCGTCTAGAAGAACGCATTATAAAACTATACCAAGGAAATTATCATATTCGCAGCATCATATAACTCATTCATTACATGTCACTTTTTTCTTAAGCATATATGACTATAACTATACTTTACATTTTTTCGACTGACTTTTTTCTCGTTTCCATTGGATCTTATTTGTACTTTGATTAGAGTTAGTGTTTTTTGAGGTGTCGGTTGGATTTCGTTAGTGTCGCCTTGGTCATCGTCTTTACCAGGGATATTTGTTTGTTGCAAAGCTTTTGTTTCGAAACAATCGTTCAAGTCCTGTGATTTCTGAGCCGCTTTACCCTTCTTCAAAACACGAATTGAAAATTCACAGTTCATAAAAAGACCTTTTGCCAGTATTTTGTCGCTCACACTTATCTTTCCGTCCTATACTTTGGCTAATGGTAAAAGTAGGTTTACCTTGCGCTATTTTTGGTAACTGTTTTCCGTTTGACACTTTCCACAATTACCCCTCGATTCCCTTTTGAACTACGGAATTTCGACGGTCCCGGTGGTGACACTGGGAAGATAAATTTACTAGAAGAGGCTGTCATTTGAAGTTAATGTTGGCGTATGATATGTAAACTGGTGTGCTTTTATATTAGGCACACACTCGCGAAAGTATATAGAAAGGAGACACGGAAGAAATTCTTTTTTTATGCGCGCTGAAGGAGCGTCGAGTTATATTTCAGACTACTTCATACATATTGAGCGGTAGAATAAAGTGATTAAAGTACATAATTTAAAGTAAATACAATTTTGTGTATAAAAACTAGTGAGCTTTAAGTGAATGGAAGAAATAATATTCTAGGGAATAAAAGGAGTGTTGTGAAAAACATGATTTCAGTGAGCTTTCTTTATAGTTTCTATGACGAAAGCGAAAATAATGTGCCACTGGATAGGTGGCGGGTTCAGGGAGAAATGCAGATTGAATATGCCTTGCTGGTAAGACCAAACTTTCTTCCGTAGACACTGAATAACTCACTTTACTGTTTCATTGTGTAATACAGTATATTTTCTGGCTATCTATCGTGCTTTTTACAGTATATCCCGTTCAGTATTATACTTCAAATCATATATTATAGTTAATCAAGGAAACCAACAACTCAGCCAATGTAATCAGTAACTACACTTTGCGATGGGATAAAATACGAAATGATCCACAATGTTCTCTACCTGGCCATTAAGCTCATTGACTTCAATAGTGAAAAATAGTAGTAATGTCGCAGCATGCTTCTTGGCCCGAATCATGAATTAATTAGATCCACGGACTAATACCATGTACTGTTCATGTTCCTTTTTTATCTTTGGTGTTTACAAGAAGCTACCACACTGATCGCAATAACACTTCTTTGACTACAAAGCGCCAATCCTTTTAAGTCCTTCCATGATTATTACCAACATTCGTCAGATTTTTAATAATAATAATGATATCGTCGATATTGTATACTATATCGGTTCTTATCGCAATAAACAGTTCAATCAACCGTCCTATTCTGTGGTTATCTGGTGGGATTCCTTCGAGGTGGTTATCTTCTTCATGTGGTTTCTAAGTTTCTATGTATAAAAATACGACAGTAAAAATAGTGGCATACTACAGTATAAAAGACTGGTCTTTTATTATTCCGTTTTGGCTATTCTAAACTCTTGTCACTACGCACCAACATAATACCGCCGCGCTACTATACGTTGACAATATAAACAACGATCACCCTTGTAACGAATAGAAGATAGTCAGGCGGGATTCCACAGCACCGTAATTGTAATGTATTATTGATTGAATCATATGGCAATTGCTGAGGCAGATTATCAAAAAGAAAGAATAAAAGTATCCCACTCCATTACAGGCAATAAAGGATATCTAAAAACAACCATGTATCTTCTTATTGCCTTTGTACCTATCGTTTATTACTGGCTACAGATCCACCTGCCAAAAAGCGACTCGAAATAGTCACAAATTACAAAAAAGAATTGATGCCTGTACGCTGATTCGAACAACGAACCTTTGGTTTACAAGACCAACGCTCTAGCCAATTGGAGCTACACAGGCTTCGTTGGCACTCCATCTCAAACATAAATTATATACCTAAAAAATTGCGAAAATTTTATTATTATTTATTATTATTTTCTACTCTTCTTTAAATATTATTTAGTGACTTTCTATGAGAACTAGGGATAATTTCTACCAAAAGAAAGGGAAAATTATTACAGCTGTAATAATATAGCTGGTAATACAGTAAAGAGGCTTTAAAAAAAGATATTTTATTTTAAAGGTTTATATTTTTTAGAAAAAATAACATTATACAATATATAAGTTTATAATGCCTATACTAGAAAAAACAGTGTGTATTAAACTTATATTCAACCATTTCACACGTTTAAAATCAGTACGTATTCAACTGATACTCAACTAATAGTCAACTATATATGTGGTATACTGATATTCAACTGATATTCTACTCTACATATTTAACTAATATTCAACTAATATTCATCTAGTATAATCATTGTTCAACCCATATACCCATTTAACAGCGATTCCACTTACCCACCATCAAGGATAAGTATGCTGATGGTAATATAATTAACTATCACTGAATTTTAAGCTATACTGCATATGAGAATGATCATATTGTTTCTTGATATTCTATATAAGAACAACTACAGTTTTCCTACTACTATGCCTAAAGCAATGTTTTATTTCCCCTTCGAGAAAAAACGCCGATCCCATGACGCCAAATTCCAAAGATTGCTGTTGTCAATGCACAATCAGCTCTGGGAGCAAAAAAGAAGAGGAGCTTCAAGAGACGATAGAGTGGCTATGATGATATGATAGACGACGCCGCCTGCAGGAATAATATATTTGTATCATCATCTACTACGTATTATATAACTTAGTTTTCTATAGTAATAGGCAATCCTCAAGCGCCTCTTTGTGGTATGACCACATTAGAGCTCTGGCAAGTACTTGAAAAAGGCGCATTCAGAGACGATTAAGAGCTAGTTGAGCACATTAAACGCTATAGCATCATCAACGTTTAGGCAGCATATACATTGATAAGATGTGTTCTTTTCATTTTTCTTTTTCTTCTCACCAGGCGACAAGAGGAAACACAACAGCAACTGGAGCATAAAGGAAGTGGGTTGGTGTGATGGAGATGTACGACGAGGAGGAGTAGTAGTTGTCAAAAAGCGCGTCAAAAAAATATAATTTATTCAGATGTAACTTTATAGACACATTCTGTTTGATAAGCCATTGTCAATACCTAAGCAGTGACAATGACGCTGCTAATGACTCGTTTGCGAGAAAGCTCCACAGCTTATCACCCTAGAGTAGGAACTAAAACTGTGGCCTTTACGTCAAACTAGCACAATCAGCCCTTTACAACAAAGTTGTTGGCAACGGACATGGTCCTACACTATTGGCCCTTGTGTTCAACAGAGCGATGAACGGTTTCTGGGATTTAAAAACAATTTCCGCGGCAACTCACGAGAGAAAAATCGCAAACCGTATCAAGCAAATGACAAAGATTGTCTTTTTTCCTGCAACGGCAGAAAGAGCAGAATATTTTAACGGGAGCCAAGTCATGGTCATTGATGAAACATGCAGTAGTAGAATGGAGCCACGCTATGAAGGACCGTATACTGTTGCACGAAAAAAGAAAAGGCGGTTCTTATATGTACTCAAAGATTAATAGAGTACGGTTTTGCTAATTAGTCGCAATTAGACTGCACCATCACAACATGAAACGAATGACACGGTTGAAGAATTTGAGAAAAGCGGTCGATCTTTTACGACAGCAACAAACTGCAGCAGGGACGAACCACACGCGGTGAACTGATAGGGATAAGCTGCGAAATCATTTGAGCGGGATCTCTTGGAAACGAGGACTTTTTTTCGTGTATATTAAACGATAGACGGATCCAGCAGGATTGCCGATGACGAAAGCCGCTACATGAAAACCTAGGTTGGTAGATATATTAAGAGACACAGCGGTAGTTAACGCCAACATGGAAAACTCTGTCCCAAAAGGCAAAAGCTGCTCTTTTTACTTTGCGGATTGTCGCTTTTGTGTTCAAAATTCGCCATTATCAAAAAAACACCTTTTCCAAAATCTCAATAGCGCCTGACGAGCAACGGATTCACCAGCAGCTAATGCTCTATTCTGATTTTGTTGCTCGGTAGATGCTTGAGATATTTTTACCCTATACATGGCAATGACAATGAGAGAATTTTAGTTAAAAATCAACCAATACAAACACTAAAAAAAAGCTTCCGAGCTGGCTCGTATTTCCGCCGGATAAGAACACTTGGCTATTAAATATCAGACTTGGTATTCGAAAAATAAGAGCGTCTTTGATCTCGTCTAAAGACATTTATGTTGTTAACAATTTTAACCCACGTTGACTTTATTAAAAAAGACTAGCAAACATCGAAAACACACCCTCCATACAAGAGCAAAGAGATATTCATGTAGCTCAGCTGGCTCTGCATCATCAAACTCGACGGCGTGGAGAGTTTAAATTTTCGTGAGGAATTCCGCTAGTGAACTTAAAGCCAGTGTACAATGCGTCGTCTGCATTGAGGAAATGGAGTGTGCACTGGGCTGCACAATGGCAGAAGATGTTGGTTTACATAAAAACGTTGGTAAAGGAACTACCACTCAATGTCATACAACTTACTGCTTGAATCAGGTTTCTATAACAATTTCAAATTTCACCTGTTCTACGATGGTACCATACGACAATCGCCAAACATCTTTGAAGATGAGCACTTGTTCATATCTTTTTTTTTTGACGTCCTCAAAGTGCTGCAATGGTCACCGAGTGTTCCAAGTGCGTCTTTTTGGGAATTTCAATGGTACTTTCGCGCTCTGTTTTGGCCTCTTTAGACGCTTTCGCTCATGTTTTGTGCAGGCACATACATAATCGATTAATGCATAGCTACAGTACTGTTTTCATAGCATCAGAGCTTACTTATTGAGTTTTAAGCATCCCCTCCCTTTTCATTCAGCAAACAGCCGTCTGGAATCTCTAGATTAGAGACGACGCATATCCTGACGTGAATCTTAAGGTTGCGGGCCACGTCCCCTTTACAAAGTTTTTTGAAGGAAAGGTGCATGTCTGATGCGCCAGAAGCTTTAAGGAACTTTTCACAGAAAACTAGGACTGCACTGTGCGCAATATAGAATAGTTCAATTTAGCCCTATATGTATTTGCCTGGATCAGTTCTGGAATTTGGCCTTTTCCCAACTTTGTTTTTCTTTGGCCATACGTCATTTTCGATATGGAAATCATATTGCCCAGCGATATGTTTCCAGCTTTTCAGATCAACAAGTTCTTGTCACGTTAGAAACTAATAAAGTGGGAAATATTTCCAAAGGTTTTTTTTTAAAATCAAAAAGAGGGAAAAATAGTGTGTGAAAAGCAAGCTCGGCTATAATAGCATGGTGAAATGAATCTCCGTCAGCATACTGATACTTTTGCGGCGCATACACCACCAGGTACTCATACCATTTGCCAAACATAGTGTTCACGTACTTTATGCTGATGATAGAATGTGTCGGTGACCCCATTCGTATACTCCACAGCAAAGCGAGTAAGAGAGTAGCTTGCTGATGATGGCTCAACTTTTTGGAACGACTGTCGTCAGGAAAGAAGACCGAGTGAAAGGTTTGAGGTAAAGATTATGACAGTTTCTCGTCCTGAAAGATAAACTACATACTAAAGACCAAGGACGGTCAGATAGGCAACAGAATGTACCATGTCCCTTATACATAAAGTAGGATCCTCTTCCGTGCGACAACAAGAATGTGACGGCACAATTCTTTGATCTAGAAGCCAAGCTTCTTCCTTATACAACAACAATCAAAAACTCCGTAAAGCCGTAGCCATAGCACCACCTTGATCTGATGCTAATCATCAGAAATAAACGATAATGCTGCTTACACATACAGAGAGAAGCTGCTGCTTCTTTACAGCAGAAATGTATTAATACAAGCATCTTCCTCTAACAATAAAAAGCGTTGTTTGTAATGATAAAAGTCACCACAGAATAACTAAAGACCTATGCTATAATCCCTCGCATTCTATGGGGACTCTTGAGACGGATCGAAAAGACAATGTCGTCAACTGGCTGCTCTTGATGGTTTCTCACGTTATACATGCGTAATGGCTCAGCACATCTGCTTGAGTTCTGCCAAGTAACACTAGAGACTGTAATTTGACGGGGTCTAAAAAATTGATCGGCTCTATCGGGGCATTGCCGTGACGCGCCGAAACAAGACGAGCAGGAGAGATGGGGGGGGAGATGCTTTTTAGTAGAAGTGATGGGAAACAAACAGAGGAAAATCGGCGTTTATAAAAGAGAGGTCCTGCGGTTCTTTTCTTTCTCTCTCTCTCTCTCTCTTCCTATTTTCTCAAATTTGTTTGAGTTTTGTTGAGCACACATTTCCTGATCATTCTGGCTACCACCGTATCAACATGGCATTCCAATTCGGCAACACGAGCAACAATGGTAAGGATGACGGTGGGGGTGGAGTGTGAATTACATGAAAAGAAAAGAAATTTTTCTTATTGTTTATATAATTGTTTGCAGAAAAGTGGGTGTTGACCAATGCGTCCAAGCGTAGAATGGATGATGACGACGACGATGATTATGCTGCTGGCACAGCAACAGGCGAAGAGGTACATCATCACACGGTTTACATGACCCAATGCATAAGAATAACAAATGGGATTAAACTAACGGTCGTGCACAGGGCATCAAACGGCTGCAGAACCAACAGCATCACCAGCAGAAAACGCAGATTGATCTCACCACGCAAAACCAGCCAAACCTGCCGTCAATTACGTTTGCCTCTGCCGACTATCGTCCACCCCCACGACCAGACGCGCTTTGGCTACGAGCACCACCACCAGCAACGCACACTGTGATGGACGAGGACCTGACCGATGAAGACGATGGACAGGCAGTTTTGACACCGTCGACGTCGTTGCAGCATCCATCGACGAGCAAACCACACCAGTACAGCACGACTCCCCTCGCCGGTTACGGGGTGGCGACTCCCCCCATGTAGATAACATCATCATCATCATTAACATCATTATCATCAGCCATTGCCATCATCTGTTCTTTCTTTCTTTCTCTCTCTCTCTCTGTGTGTGTGTGCAGCTTGCTGGTCATCCTGTGTATATATATTAAAAGTCAAAGTAGTCATAATAAAAATATAATAAATCAGTGCCTGGGTTTGAACTTGCCCTCTCTCTCATCTTTCTTTCTCTCTCTTGGCCCTCTTTTTTGCGGTTCTTTCTTTCCCCTTCCTTTCTTCCTTTGAGCTATCATTCTTGCTACAACAGAGGCTAGTACAAATAACGCACCCCACTCCCTCTCTCTCTCTCTCTTATTTATGTTGGAAAACCTTCAATGCTCCCCACAACAACAACAACAACAACATACGGTTTTGTGCTTGTCCTGCTTCTCGTTCTCTCCTTGCTCGCTGAGCCACCCGTCGACGCCAACGTCGACGCCGCCGAGAAGCTAATTCCATTCGACGATGGCAACATCAAGTACTTTGGCCGATGGCAGCTGACCGAGCACGACATGCGGAGCAACTGGCCTGGTGCCTATTTCAAGACAAACGTGTACGGTGGCCGTAGTATCAAGCTGAGGCTGAATCAGCCGACGCATATCTACGTCCAGTTGGATGAAGGGCCAGTCCGCCAGTTTATTGCAAAGTACACCGGCGCGTGGCCCATCCAGGTCGATGTGGCGCCGGCGGACCTCACCGATGACCACCAGCACCAACTCGTTGTCGCCGCTGCTGCCAATGCCACCATCTGTCTCGAGTCGCTCGTCTTGGACATGGCAGGCGATACCACCCCGCCTGCCAACGTATCGCCACAGCTTGTCGAATTTGTCGGCCACGACCTGGCGCTTGGCGTCGGCACCTCACAGTCTTTGCTCACTGGGTTTCCCTGGATGGTATCGACCCTGATCGGCGCCGAGCATGCGCAGATCGCCTATAGCCGTGCACGGCTCATGAACGATACGACGATCTTGGGCATGGAAACCCGCTATTTTGACTGGTCGCCGCACGAGCTCTTGAGCGACGGCGATCCGTGGGATTTTAGCAGCTATGTGCCTGCAGCCATTGTCGTCTTGCTCGGCCAGAACGATTACAAAGAGAACGAATACACCGATACGCTCGTCGGTTTCTTGAAACGCATACGAACCCATTTACATTATACGTCGATACTTGTACTGTCGGAACCGCTCGGTGATTTGGTGCGCCAATCACAGGATGCAGTCTATCAGCTGAACGATCAAGGCGATCAGAACGTTTTCTTTGTGGATACAACCGGCTGGGTCCAGTATGGATCGACTGCATTTGCTGACTCTGTAAGTGTTTGGGGGGGGGGCAACCCACTGTGATCACCCACAAAAAAACCCAATAGGCAACCCACGACCGCTATCCCCTTAATGGTAACAACAACAACAACAACAACAATAATAATAATAACCTTGTATTTAAATTAGATGCATCTGAATGACGCAGGCCAGGATCGTTTAGCACGAAAGCTCGCACCGTTGCTCACAGCACGCCTGTCAACACCACCACAACCGTTGCCAGGGCCACCGCCGAATCCAAGCCTGCCGCATGACTGGCAAACGATGGACGTGGGCGAGGAAGATGCCGTGGGACTGCCTGGATCCGTATCGTTCGACTCGCCACACACGTTCACGCTATGGGGCTCGGGGATCGATATTGGCAACGGTGGCAGAGATGCATTTCGGTTTGTGTATCAGGCCCTGTCGGCCGACGGTGCCATTGAAGCCACCGTCGTGTCGCACTCCGCATTCGCTTCATGTGCCAAGGCGGGCATCATGATGCGGGAACACTTGGCACTCGGCTCCCCACACGTCATGCTCGGAATTTCTCCCGCCAACGGCATCTTTGTCCAAACCCGTTCTTCGAATTTCAACCAGACTCGGCTGGTCAAGAAGCTGCGTGCTTCACCGCCTTATCGATTCCGTCTGGTCCGCAAGGGGACGGATTTCATTGCGCAAGCGAGTGTTGACAACGGCACGGATAAAGGAGGCGATGATGGTGGTAGTGGTGATGAAGGTGGTGGTGACGCCAGCGGAGGAGGACGCACAGATGATGAAGGTGGTCAGGCACCAGTTACTGAATGGCAGACACTGGCCAACATGACTGACTTGCTCTTTGCACGAGATATCTATGTTGGTTTGGCAGTGACAAGCTGCGATCCATCCGTAGTCAGTGTGGCAAAGTTTGCAGACATTTCTCTGAGTGGAGGCGTTGGTAATGGATTCTATTCTTCTTCTTCTTCTTCTTCTCCTACATCCCAACAACAACAACAACACCCTCGTTTGATCAATCAACAGTAAATGGAGAGACACTCTCTTTCCAGCTCCCATAACTCATTCATATACCACAATCATATAACACCAAAGTAGTCAGTAGCATATAACACCAATTAGTAGTAGTATTAGTTAGTAGCAGCAATATATTCCCCCCAACCCAACACCATTACGCAAAGCAAACTTGTATATCTTTTTTTTTCAATTGTAATATATAAACAACAACAACAACAACAACGTCTTCATTTTCTCTCACCACACCAAAGAAAAAGCGCTCATGTCCTTTACGCCATCGCATTATTGATTGCATAAGCTGCAGCGCTGTCGTCGATTTTGTTTCGGCATCAGGTGTGCATAATATTGCGGTTTGGTGGCTCCCATGACAAGCGCCGTCATAGTGCAATTTATGATGAGCTGTGTATTCATGCACGTATGAACTGATGATTGCCGTTATACATGATACGTATTTACTATGATTAAGAATAAAGAGGCACGTTTTCTTGGTGTGTGGATTAAAAATGATGATGGTGTTGATGATGAGCAGTGACAAACAAAAGGGGAAGAATATGCTATGTATTATTAGGTGATTTCGCTAAATGCTATTTACTAACTGGGGGATGTGTGTGGTGGTATCTCGGGTGTTTGGGAGAAGGGCGTAGGTTGGGATAAATTATAGACGTGGTGGGAATTTTCTCTTTTTTTTTTTTTGCTAAAGCGAAAAAAAGGGGAGTGTGTGTGTTTTTTATCCGACGGAAGGTGTATCATCATCGCTCTCCATCTCGTCGTCTCCATCGTCTGCTGATAATGATGACGCTGACGCGTTGTACGCAGTAGGCGTCGATGATGGTTCCACTGGTTGTTCGGAAGCGCTGGTAGTGGGTGGTCGTCGGTGGGCCCATTCAACAAGCCCGACTGGATCAGAAAGTGTCAGGTCATGGTTGAGAAAGTGCAGAAATTCAATCTCCATGCGTAACGCTCGTAACGCACGCTGACTCTGTGAATCTTGTTGTTGTTGCTGTAAAGAAGACAGCTGTTTCTTCTGCTGCTCGGGTGAGGAAGCGCATGACTTTGGTGATGCTGGAGGAGACACCATGCTGGCAGTGGCCGTTGATGAAGGCGGCTTTCTCAAAGTGGAGCGTTCTGTCGAAAGTCGGCTGAATAACAATGAATCGACAGAAGATCGCCTTCGTTCTTCTGCTGTTGCCTGTTGCTTCTGTTGTTGTTGTTGTTGTGGCTGCTGGTCATGTCCATCATCCTCGACGGTAATATCGACAATAAGACGGAGGTTGGCATGGATGTACTTGACAGCCATCATGTAAGCAACAACGATCAGCCGATGACTGCAGCCCACAGCGCCACGAATATTATTGTATTTCTATACACAGCCCCGGGTTGGATGAATGGGTCAGCTTATGAGTGTGAATGCCAAAAAGGGTAAAAAAAGACGGCTTACCTTTTTTAATCGATCAATATAGCGCATGGCAACAAGCAATGCCACAGTAGGACAGACGGTCGGCAGAGCGGCAGGGTTGCGACACGACTGCCGAAGTGCGTCGTCCAAGGCCAATGTCGTATCGACCTGAGTAGTGTCAAGCAAATGCGTCATTACGTCGATGAGTTCTGTCACCTTTGCTTCGGCAGGATCCACTTCCCACGCTTGTACAACATACGTTGCAAGATGACCTTATAAATTCATGTTGCGTTTAATTATTTTTTCATATTACAAGAATAAACTTCCTTCCCCCCCAAATCGTAAGGTTTTTTTCTTTCTTTCGGGAAATGACACTTACGGAGACACTGCGGGCTAACCCGCTCACGACGATTTATCTGAATCGCGCGCAAAAACATGCATGCTTCTTTATAACTAGGTGCATACGCTTGTTTTGTGCTAGTGATGTCGAATGCTTTCGTAATAGCAGCAGCATCAGTACTGGTGGCGGTAGCGACATCGGCAGCAGCATCAGTAGTATCGCTTGCAGGCGTTTGTTGCTGTCGTTGTTGTTGTTGCTGACGAACTGATCGAGGTCCTGTTGTATAGGGCGTCCGTACTTCAAAAACATCGTATAGCTGTCCATTCGCTGCGCTTTTGATACGATGCGTATAGAGTTTGACTCTGGTTTTCATGACGTATAGAGATTCAATGCTCAAAAAGAGAAAGAGAGGAAATGATGTGCTTTGGTAGAAATGATGATGTTGTTGTTGAAAGGAAGAAGCGAAATAAAAAATGGGAAAGGGCTTTTTATCGTCAATAGCAGCTTAAATAATAAGCCGTTGCATGAAATACCGAGTAATCCCAGTTTGCGGCTAATCAAAAGGACCGGGTTGCACAATAATAGCTATCGGCCCCGATAGTCCCGTTGCTCTCTTTTCTCTCTCCCACCCCCCTCCCCTCTCTCTGTAGTCTACACTATGTATAAGGCGACGAATGATCCTCACGCCACCGTTTATAGTATGCACACTATCTACCACAGAAGCACACAGGAGTTGAAGCATATCTGTTTATTACGCTTATGCGGGAGCGACTCCTTTTCTTTTTTTTTTATAATTATCATGGATCCGACATATTGCTCCTCTACCTAGGTTTAGAAGAATTTCTCTCAAAAAATGATTCGCTCACTGGTCGTGCAGGAATGTTCGTTTGTGTCATTTCTGAATCACCTGTTATTGTGGATCACGAAAACGAGAAAAAAAAACATAGCCTCCCTCCTTCCCTCGAGCGAACAAGCGCAGAACCGTTGTGATGATACGATAGCTACTACTTGCTGCTACTACTCGTACTTTGTCGTGATGGTTTCAAAATGAAGGTGGGGAGGGGGGTGCATGGGTTGGGGTCGGCAGCAACTTTCAAAAATAGCTCCCATCATTTCGTTCTTACGAGAATCAGAGGAAAGGAGCTTGAACTTATATCCGATCCTCTCTCTCTTTATTTGTTTGTCAGTTGATCTACCGGACGACTTTTTTTTCAATAAGCTTTTTCGGTGGGTTGGGTGGCGGTTGCTATGCTTGTCAATAATCGGAACATTATTAATTGAGACCCGGCCGCCACTAGTCCGCTTGTTTGTTGCTATGGTTGCTTGTTCCGCGACGTTGCCAAGGTGTTGTCAAGCAGCACTGATAAACTACACCCGCTTCGCAAAAGCATATGTGTCTTTTGGAGAGAATTTACTCATTTATAGATTTATTCACACGTTCACCACCACTGCTCTCACCTTCTTGCCAAAAACGTCACTCACTCACTCACTCACTCCTGATCTTGTACTACTATTAGCCTTTTTTTCTATACTCCAATAGAGAAGGATCCTCTTCTTTCTTTACACGACACCAGTCAACGCAACGACACATGATTTTTTCACAAAATAAATGAGCCATGACACCAAAAAAGTATTACGTTCCCATCTCATCAACAAGTTACCTTTTTTTATTTGAAGTGCTTAATTGTTTGGCAAGTCGTGTTCCCTTATGATTCGATTTATGCACACCACCCGTTTATACATAATGTTCAACACCGCGCATCATCACACAATGAGCGGTACAGACGGTAAGAAGTTTCAAGGTGTCAAGTTGGAACTAGTAGTGTACAGTGGTTCTTAATAAGCTTCCCTTTTAGGCGACTCTATGAATAAGGAGAAGAGAAGAACGGCTCGTACATAAATGGATCAACTGTTTTGCCTCAGAGATTTTCCCCGGCATCTCTTATTTGCAGCAAAGAAGGACATATGCGAACAAAAGAGTGTTACTCAATTTTCTCTGATCTATCCCATTGTTGCTATGTATTACGGCGGAGGGAGTATAGGTAGAAAGAGAAAGGGGCGGAGACAATTGAGACGGTAATACCTTTTTCCCTGTTGCCGACTGTCCTCTTTATCCATTATTTGATATGGGCGATGTTAACTCTTTTCAATTCTAGTGTTTCAATCCTTGCAAAACAAAACAAAGGTGGGTTCTTTCGCTCATGTGTATTCAAGAGTACATAGGGGTAAGGAACATGACCCGAGGTTTGGGTTTTTTTTGCTACAAGAAGTGTGCTTCAACCTTGGAAATCAAAACTATCATCGCTGTGTCACCAAGGCAAATTCGGAAAGACTATTAATCGATGCTTACTGATATCCTTCTACGATAGACCTCTTAGAATGCTTGCATAGACGATTTTGATTGGAGTTGCTTTTGCCAAACTTACAAGTTGATTGCTTACGTTCTATCTTTCTGCTCAACGTATGTAGTAAAAAAACAAATTCGGCTTATTTCCGTCCCATGGTAAGGTCAATTGTCCCTCCGCTCCTTGAGTTACACGACGCCCTTTTCCTTTTATGGATATCAGCTTACATCGTTGGGATAAATGTTTTTTTTTGCGTTTTCTAGAACACTGTAATAATAGCAACATGTCTTTTTGTTTGCCAAGATTCTGTTCTAACGAGAGAGTGATTCCTTGGTCACGCATTATCTGGAACGGAGGAAAACACTTCCGGCATCACGATTTCGGATATACCGGCGCCAGGGAGTCTCCGACCTTTTTTTGATGATATCAAAACTACAGAGACCAAATATCCATGAGCTAACTCTCCCAAGCATTATATTACAGGCTTTTCTGAAATATTCACAGTAGTAGTGTACCTTACTGGGACTCACTGTTGATTGTTGACTTCATAAGCAATGCTAATGTCGATATCATATAAATACAGTGTGTATGGTGCTATGATGAGCTCATAAGACAAGATTGATACAATATGTTCGACCCATGTGAGGATACCTACAAAGTATATCTGAAAGGATCTTTAACAAAAGCTTGTATTTGCACTAAATAACATAATCTACTTGAGACTTACATCTGCTTATTAATCGTTGTAGAGAGCATTTGTTTAATCACTGGGCAATTGATTATTTGCATTTCTCATGCCTTTTACACGCACGTAGCGAAAATTACTTCTACTCACATCAGCAGCTTTAAACGAGATTAGCACTAACGATAGTCCTAAAGCTACTGTTGTAGGATGATAACACTTAATAATGGTACGTTCAAAGTTTTCACCACCGCTTAGGCTACTCAGTAAGCCGATTTTATGTTGTGCTGTCGAAGCGCAATCCTTTTGAAGCTAGTTTGGGTCGCGGAAAAGCGTGCTTTAGCTGTGTCCGAGACTCGGACACGGTTTCTATAGCCTTTCAATATTACATTGTCAGCACATTAAAGAAAAAACAGGGAGCATAACGAGAGGAAACAGGGAAGCAAAGCAAGTGTCGTTATCTTTGATGAAATCGCTATACTTAAAGAGGTTTGATGGGAACGCATTGATAAAAAGAGGGTGGAACGACAGCAGTGACGCTTGGGAGTGTCATTCTTTCAACTTGAGGTTCTCAACGAGCTTTTATTAATACGGCAGTGATATAGGTTCTTTAGAAAGTCTCATTTTATACGACGAACTGCATCCATATTAGAATCATGGTAGGCTCGGCCCGTATTATTTCTTCGCCTCACTGTCCACACTACTATCATAATCAAGCTTTTCCGTCCACTCATACTTTGATTGAAACGCATGAAGTGTGGCTGCTTCATCATTGTGCAAAATCAGCTTTGCTAGTTTCACGGGCTAAAGATAACAGAGTTTGTACCGCCGATCCACTATCGTTCGATGTTCAATAAGCCTAAAGTCGACTCTTGATGATTGTCCTTCCTCTACGTAACAGCCGTTTTTCTAGCTTCTCTGTGGCGGCTGCTGTAGTTTGTCTCGGTAATGGACACTTTCCATCTAACAGAAACGGGTAGCATTCTGTCGAGCCAATGGTTGCCGTTTCCATAGTGCACATAGCATACCTGAATCCAGGGTTGTTGTTATGTCAACCAAGCCGTTTTCTTTGTGGCCTGCAGAGAATGTGAAGATTATTATACCAAAAACTCACGTGCTGGTTGTGTATACAACTTGCTTGGAAACGGCACATACATAAAGTATTGCGTACTAGTACATAGTTTTCAAAGTCATCACATTTATAAATTGATAGATCCAAACTAATCCAAACAGACACAGACACATCCTCTCTTACACAATGCCACAATCGGTTGTGCTACTATAGCAAATCAAATAGAGTGATGCCAGCAAGAAGGAGCACTTTCAGAGAAATACCGATAAGAGGCATGAGATCTGAGCCACTAGATACATCAATTCAAAGAATTCATAATTTCTTATGTATAATGTTCATATGTACACTCAGACCAGAAACAGCCAAATTGGCCTTTTAACATGCTTACGGACATCGAATCAGTTCCGCCTGCTGACGCTCGCTATCGCTACGTTTCCTCCTTGTACATCAGTGGGTTGCTGGTCGAGTGCAAAGAAGATGTAGAATCCTGAAGAGGCACAACATCTCGTGCACCAACATTCCGTATGGCCAGGAATGGAGTATGAGTGAGGGCTCGAAACGAGGTGAAACCGGCGAGAAACAAAGTCGAGCTGTATACTTCAACCAAAACCAGTCGAGAAACTGCGAAGCGAGATGGAAGAGAGTACAGACAAGTTGTCTCTAGAATGTCAAATACGCAATATATAAGAGCATATGTTTGCGGAAGTTGAGGAAGAGCTTTTACAAAATATCGATTGCTTTTAGCTATTTCTTTATTGCATAGAAAATAAGGGAAAAATAGAAAGAAACATGGCACATACTAATCCGATGTGCAGAGCGTATTGGATTTGATCACTTTGCAGCCATGTTATTAATATATAACGGTCATAGCAGATGCTTCAATGAATTAGTTCTTCAACCATTCTCATACTTGAAGGTGGTCTTAGCTCCTGATGAGAGCCGTAAGCTTAAGGGACGTTTTTTAATCCCCTTCGATCTTTCTATTTTACTCATAGTCCTTAACGTGACATTCTTCTGCACACGATCCTCAGTACTGGCGTGGAAGCAGTAGGAACCTAGTAAAGCTGACGCGAGGTAGTGCATGGGGACCAAACAGGGTTTCCACTTTTAGATCAGTACGCTGGTCAAGGTGTAGTGAGCAGCAACGAGGCGGTCGGTTAGTATTATTATCCTTGGGTATTGAAGGTTTTGGAGGATGGGGTGGGTTTCTCGGGTGCTCACGAGCATAGTAATGCAATAAGCCAATAGAAAAGGTTCAAATAGAGAGAGGTACGGTCGGCATCGGGGATCCATTTAACCAAGAGTGCTTCTAGTTGCGAAAGACTTTGGGAAAAAAATAAATTCTGCCCCAGCAACCTACCACTTTCTCTTTTTCTTTATTTCACCCATCAGCACATCATGTCCGAAAACGTATTTGCCCCTGTCAAGATTTCCCGGAGCTCATCTATGACCTTGGAGGAATATCGCTCGCGTAAGGTTGCTCTTGTCACAGGTAAGAAAGGTTTCCACGGTTAGCGTAGTGCGTCTCTACCAATCAGGATGACAGTTGTTATGGTCACACATCGTGATGAGCGAAATGCTGAAGTCTTTCGTTTATGCTGGCTCAAAAGATTTAACGCGAGTTGTCCCCAATTGCAGGTGTCACTGGTCAAGACGGCTCCTATTTGACTGAATTTTTGCTTGACAAGGGTTATGAAGTGCACGGTATTATCCGTCGTTCGTCGTCGTTCAACACTGGCAGAATTGAGCATATCTACAAGGATCGCCATGACCAAGGTAACAACAAGTGAAGGGTGGACCCTATAATATATTTATTAGCTGGAACAGAGAAGGAGAGAAAGAGGGCTTACTCGTCCATCCGTTTTTCTTTGTGCTTGCTAGATGTCAAGTTCTTCCTCCACTACGGTGATCTGACAGATTCCACGTGCCTGGTGCACATTATTGCACAAATCCAACCCACCGAAGTGTATAACTTGGCTGCCCAATCACATGTCAAGGTTTCGTTTGACATGTCTGAATACACCGGTGATGTCGATGCCCTCGGCACGTTGCGTCTTTTGGATGCCATCCGCACCTGTGGTCTGACCGACCGTGTGCGCTTCTACCAGGCCTCCACCTCAGAACTGTATGGCAAGGTTGTTGAGACCCCACAAAAGGAGACCACCCCCTTCTATCCTCGTTCGCCCTATGGTGTCGCCAAGTTGTATGGCTACTGGATCGTCGTCAACTACCGTGAATCCTACGACATGTATGCCTGCAACGGTATCTTGTTCAACCACGAATCGCCCCGCCGTGGCCGTACTTTTGTCACTCGCAAGATTTCCCGCGCTGTCGCCGATATTCACTTGGGTCGCCAGGACTGTCTCTACCTGGGTAACATTGATGCTAAGCGTGATTGGGGTCACGCCCGTGACTATGTCGAGGGTATGTGGTTGATGCTCCAGCAGGAAAAGCCCGACGATTTCGTCTTGGCTACTGGCGAAACCCACACCGTCCGCAGCTTTATCGAAAAGGCGTTTGCTGTCACTGGCCGCAAGATTGTTTGGGAAGGTGAGGGTGTCAATGAAGTGGGTAAGGATGCTGAAACTGGCAAGGTCCGTGTCCGTATCGATCCCAAGTACTTCCGTCCTGCCGAAGTCGAACTGTTACTAGGTGATCCCACCAAGGCGAACGAGAAGCTCAACTGGAAGCGCAAGGTCTCCTATGACGAGCTCGTCACTGAGATGGTCGTCGCCGATATCGAAGGGTAAGTCTTTATCTTTCAGGCTATACTGCTTACTTGTATTTACGGACGTTTAGCTTGCATGATCACCATGTATGAACTTCATCTGTTTTCTTATGCCTTTCTTTATTCACTTGTAGATCATTAAAGAACGACACCTACAACTAAGTAGAAGTAATCATCGCATCACTCTCTTTCCGCTACATCCCACAAAAAACAAGCGAGCATACATACACACCATAACAAAGTCATACTATGTATTAACTCTTTCATGAATAAACTTTATCATCCTTTTATCCATCTTACCACGAGAAAAATAAAAGGATCAGCGCAACATAATGTTAGCCAATCGGACAGAAGCTGCCTCAATTCACCCTCCGTTAAGCTGGGCTTCAATTGTCTGTGTGAACGGTGCCCTCCACGCCGTGTTTGGCCTTACGCGCTTTTTTATCCAACCTCACCCTTCTCCCACTTGTCTCTCATTTTTCCCAGCCGATCGCCGTGTGCAAAACGTGAAAGAGCAATCCCTACTTTAAACCAAAGTTGCTCTTTGATACAGCTGCTCTCAACTGAATTTGCATATAATGTCTGGAGAAGCCCCATTTGCACCTTCTACGTCACCACCGCGACCACCGCAACCAACAAGGTATTATTATATTCTTTCTCCTGCTGACTTTCCTTGTTTAACAATCCGAAGTTTATGAAGCGTGCACGAAAAAGGGAACATTCAGTTTATGAACCAATGCTTGAAGGCTAATCGTCTTGATGTTCTTATCACATTCTCCCTCTAATATATTAAAAAGCTTTACTGTAACCGGAGAACCGACAGACGAACCAATGCAAAACAGCACTGAAAGCAGCGGCGGTCCGAAATACCCTTCCAATCCAACTACCGAATCTCAGGCTCAGACGAAGAATGAAACTGACAACAATGGGATTGCAGACAAAGCTGTGCAACAACAACAAGTCAACACATCATCGCCTGTTGCTACACCTACATTAGCTGCCGCCAGTACCGCTCACAACAGCAATAACACTATGAATAGCCCTTCAGGGGCAACCACGCATTCTCCGAGCCAATCTACACCGCCGCGCCATCTACTCGACAATGCAGTGCCGTCACCAACGGCAAGTCCCGCATCAGAAAATATTACAACACAGCAACAACAGCAGCAGCAGCAACAGTCGCGATTGGTGAGTCCGTCATCTTCCGCGGAAGCAGCAGCAGCACGATTAAAAGCAACGAGTCCTGCACCATCGCAACCAACAGCCCCTACACAACAACTACTCCATCGCACTGCTACTGCAAGTCCAAAAGCTACGTCTAGTCCTGCAATAGCATCGGCAACATCACCTGTATGGCCACCCACTTCATCTGTTGCACCTAATGAGTCAGCTTCACCCATATCAACTGCTGCTGCTGCTGCTGCTCCTACAACAACAGCAGCAGCCCCAATCCCTCCTACAGTACAGGAACGCCAAAGAAGTTCAATTTCGGATGCTTATCAACGTTCGTCTCCTGTCACACAACACGTTTCTGCCGCACCTGCTGATTCACTACCATCAACAGGAGCAGTTGCTGCTCCTGTACAGGAACAAGAGCCAATGTCTGATGTACGCTCATCTCCACCGCCATCACCTCAACGCACCCCACTATCGAACGGCTATCGACCACTTAATGTCAAAGACGCATTGACGTATTTGGACCAGGTCAAGATACAATTTTCCGATCAACCAGAAATATACAACAAGTTCTTGGATATTATGAAAGATTTCAAGAGTCAAGCGTAAGTTGTGATTTTATTTTTCACATACAGAATGCAAGGAAAGAAGCAATTATGCATTAGTGAAAGGGAGCTATATTTGGATAATGGTGCTCTTCATTGTTGATGGATAATGATGACGGGAACTCACGCCACAATTGGGCTGTTTTTACATACCATCTAGAATCGATACACCAGGTGTCATTGAACGCGTTTCGTCATTGTTCCGCGGACACCCTTCTTTAATATCTGGCTTCAACACGTTTTTACCCCCGGGATATCGGATCGAATGCTCTGTGGATGAACGTGCGCGTAATATTATCAAAGTGACGACTCCTACAGGTACAACAACCACAACGGACGGCGAGCCATTGAACCTCAACTCGGCAACATCCGAATCGCGTTACTATCAGCCGTATACGACGCATCAACAACCTCCTCAACCACAGCAGCAGCCAATACTTACGAGTGGTTACGCGATACGGGAACAACCAGCTGGGATGGGCATGGCTACATCGACTCATATTCCACCATCACAACCACCGTCAGCAATGACACCGTCTTCACAACAACATCCATACACAAATCACCATCATCACCCCCACACGACACCATCACCTTCAGGGCAGGATGATCCCAACTCGTCCCGAAAAGCACCTGTCGAGTTTAACCACGCTATTAATTATGTGAACAAAATTAAGGTCAGTAAAAAACTTTGGAGAGAGCTATTCGCCGATAATCACATATCACAGGTCGTATGATTTAACGTAAAAAAACTCGTTATGTAGAACCGATTTTCTGGTGAACCCGACACTTATAAGCAATTTTTAGAGATTCTGCAAACGTATCAGAAGGAACAGAAGCCTATCCAGGAAGTGTATGCTCAGGTTCAAACATTATTCAATGGTGCAAACGATCTATTGGATGAATTCAAGCAATTTTTACCAGAAGCATCTGGAGCTGCTCCTGGAGATATGTCTGTTTTCTTTGGAGCACATTTACAAGGTGATGATCGTTATCAATTTAATATCTAAATATACAAATTGGGCTTGTAAAAATAACTCACGTGTGTGTGTAATTTCATGTAGGAAAACGGGGCTCTATGATGGTCCCTAGTCTTTCAACGAGTGGTAATCGCAAGAAACGCATGAGCGCTGCGGGTATCAATAGGGTAAAATATCAAAGAACAATGAGGAAAAGGGGAGGGAACGTCGGAGAGGGAGAGCGCTGTAGGTTTGTTGATACGTGATATGGTAGATGTCTAACGTTCGTGGTGGCCTGGATACCGATGACGACTTGCAGCCTTCGCGTGCAACTGTTTCTGCTGAAGAAGCCGAGTTTTTTGAACGCGTCAAGAAATACATTGGCAACAAGGCAACTTACCGGGCTTTCCTAAAGCTTCTCAATCTCTTCAGCCAACAAATTCTTGACCAGAACCTACTGGTTGCGCGTGTTGAAAGCTTTATCGGCGGTAATGGTGAGCTGTTTGAATGGTTCAAGACGCTCGTTGGCTACGACACAAAGGAGGATCTATTAGACAATGAACCGCGGTCTAAGGAAAAGCTGGATTTGGCACTCTATGTATCTTATGGTCCAAGTTATCGTCGTGTGCCGAAAGAGGTAAAGCAAAAGAAACGTCTTTTCATGGCTCTACAAGGACAAAGAACTATTCGGTTCACTAATGGGTGTTGTATGTTGTTTGGGGATTGCTGAGTAAAGCAGTGGCAGGAGCAAGCATGCTCAGGACGTGACACTCTTTGCCGAGAAGTCTTGAATGATGAATATGTATCCCATCCACGCTGGGCAAGTGAAGATAGCGAATTTGTTGCATCCAAAAAGAACCATTTCGAAGAGGCATTGCATCGTGTGGAAGAAGAAAGGTACTTGAAGAGTATTTAGTGTATACAAGATTGGAAAGGGGGGTGGAACTGCTTTTTACTTTATGTATCATGAGTAACTGACAACAAACTTTGCTAAAACAATTAGATACGACTATGATCTCAGCATCGAGGCCAATCTTAACACAATTGCACTTTTGGAACCTGTATCAAAGAAGATCTCGGTCATGAGTCTTGACGAGAAGGCTACTTTCCGTCTACCACCAGGGTTAGGTGGTCCTTCGAAAGCAATCTACCAACACATTATCAAAAAAATCTACGGTCCTGAGAGAGGCGTTGAAATCATTGAGCTTGTACACGACAATCCTGTGCCAACAGTGCCTCTGTTACTCAAGCGCTTAAAGCAAAAGGATGATGAGTGGAAACGTGCACAGGTAGATGATCAAACAGCCTTTACTAAGCAAAATGAAACACAAGTTACTTATCCTTTGTTTTTATAGCGTGAATGGAACAAAATCTGGCGCGAGGTCGAGTCTCAAAATTATTACAAGGCATTAGATTATCAAGGCGTCACTTTCAAGAGCAGCGACAAAAAAGCAATGGGAACCAAGGCGCTTTTGGGCGAGATTGAAAACATCCGCAGCATGCAGCCAGAAAAGCGTCTGTTTCTGAAAGGACGACCCATGGTGGTACCTGATGGTGGCAGCCGGTTACCCCCTCAATTCTCATTTTCGTTCAAAGACCAGCCGACTTTCAAGGACGTGACACGTCTTGTTTTATCGTTCCTCGAGCGTCAAGACATCTACAGCCAAGAAGAATGTGACGGCTTACGGTCTGTGTTGGAGACGTTCGTGCCAGCCATGTTTGACGTGCTGGATATCTCGCCAAGCACCGTGCTGCCGAAAGGCCGTGGTCAAGTAGAAGGAGACGAGGATGAGATGATGGCCGAAGCTGACGATGAAGGTGGTGATGACGAACGGGGTATGCCGTCGTCCTCTTATGACTCGGACGGTGATATCGGTATGGATGAAGCCTCGTCATGGCGCCGTTCAATGCGACCCAACAATGGCAATAGCACCACCGACAAACAAGCCGCAGGTACGCAATCCGGATCAGCGTCAAGTCAAAACGATACTGCTCAGCGCACAGCAGAAGATGCGCCCAATCTTAGTGGCGCTGTTGGAGGTGGTCCGTCACCACCGCCAGAAGAGGCGGTTGATAACGACCCATTGGACGAAGGCAAACCCAAACCACCAGTTATCACCTTTTTTGGAAATGACACATTCTATTGCTTTGTTCGCTTATTCCAAGTAAGCTAAGAAAGGACGGGGGTTACGAATAGCCTAACAGACATATTAATCGTTTTTTGTTTCGCTTATACAGCTGGTCTATACCCGCCTTCAGAAAATGAAGTTGGCCGACATTGCATACCGCAAATCCCCAGAAAGCACAAAACGAGCAAACAAGGCTGCCCTTGATTTAAATGCAGACAATGTCGTTATCCATGGTAATTATCGCTTAGAGTAGTAAGATAATATAGCGTGTATGTATGTATATACTTACATATCTTTCAATCCTTTAATAGATGTTGAAATGGATTTCAGCCACGGCTACTATCATGCACTATTGGACCTTATCGACCTCTTCTTTGATGGAACTGTTGATCAAGCTTCATTTGAGGAGTGTTCTCGTTACATTTTCGGCTCGAAGGCATATATAATGTTTACTATCGACAAGCTCATTCTACTTTTAACCCGTCACGTAAGCTCTATTACGAAAGATGAAGGTGCATATAACTTACACGACAACCCGCGTTTTCATTTCATTGTATAGATGCATCATATTATGTCAGACGTTCGATCTCGACAATTGGTCGAACTCTTCCGAACTTACAGAAACCTTGAGCATCCACCTGATGCTCAACAGTTAGCAACATACAAGCTGCGAGCCGAACAAGATGTAATTGGTCCAGAGCAAAACATCTATGGCATTGTGTTTGTGAGTATATTCTTTAATCATGTCCATATTTATTCTTATTGAAAAGATAAGGTCGATACTCATTGAGTTCATTTCAAAGGACACTGGCACGCGGATACTGTCGATCCAGCTGCTTGATCAGGAAGACTACCCTCTAGAGACCGACGCACGGACCGCATATAATGACTATATTACAGACTTTGCCGACTTTAATGTACCAACACGTGGAATAGACGACCAGAATCTCAAACAACAATTCTTAAAACGGTATGACATAAGAAGAACGAGGATCAAAATCGCAATAAGTCACACGCTAAATCTCGAGGAACTATATAATAGAAATGTTACGGGAAAACGTAAACGAGAAGACAATGAAGACGCTTATGTCTATCCCGGAATGCAGTACAAGATAAGCAAGGAGTCATACCACATGTTTTACATTATCGACACAGAAGACACATTTATACGGAAACGGAGGGCGGTAGCACGAGAAGAAGAAGAAAAATCAGCAGCAGCAACAGCAACAACAACAACAACGGAAGAGTCCAAATGGCGAAGCTGGCTGGAGTCTGAGAAGGGTTGGAGTCGCGGTGTGGATGACAAGGGGAAGGCTGAAAAGGATGCCGAGGCATTGCTTACCGGAAAGAAGACAGTCAAAGACAAGGAAAACGGTGGCGATAATGACATGCAGATAAAGAACGATATTGGGGACGAAGAGCAATCAAAAGCAGCAGCAGCAGCAATAGTGCCATCATCATCCACACCACCAACAACCGCAGCAACAGAAGCACCGCCACCGTCTATTACTGCTGACAAGGACGGACCAGCACCGGAGTCAAAACCAGCAGAGCAGAAATCTGCTCCTGACAAGAGACCCAAAACCCCACCACCATCACAAACAACAGACAGGAGCAAAAGCCCCGAACAACAACAAATAGTACCAGAATGAAATGGTGTTGTCATGTGTGAATAAGACGTTAAAAAAAAGCAAAATAAATATATTTACATATCACAAATCTACTAGCATGATAGTTTGGGGCGCGGGTTGGATTATAACATATGCACGGTGGAGATGTTTGGTACAGCGCCATGATTGACGAGTATTTCAATCATATCCCATAACTCCTTCTTTACACACTGTTGAAGGGTTTCGTCATCGGGTTTGACGCCGAGGTCATCAAGAAAGTACAAGACCATTTCGGTGTTTTTGCGAGCAGCGCATACTCGGAGGGCCATGTTGTTCTTTGCGGTGGCATCAGCACCAAATGCCATGAGCGTCTTGACCATATCCAAATGGCCAAGCTGTGCAGATTTGATGATAGGGTATCCTTGCGGTTTGTGTGGCGACGCACCGCGCTCCAGCAAACGTCGTACGAGTTCATGCGTTTCGATGGATATGAACAGCCGAGGTGGCAACATGCGGTCGTTGAGACGAATGGTATTGCCATTATTGTAAAGTTGGTCGAATTTCTCGAGTAGGCGTATTGAAAAGAACCGGTATTTGAGTCCTTCTTCTACAGCTTGCACACGATTGCCTTGACATTTATACATGAGCCAGTCTATCTTTGTAGTGTCCGAACAGTGTTGCAGTTGGGGACAGACGAGGGCGAGTTGGGCATTCGACGACAGAATGAATATCTCAGAGACGAGTTCGTAAGGTAGAGCATTTATTGGAAATGGTTTGCATGGTATTAATGAGGAGATAGACGATAGCCGTGGCCGTTTACGACGATCATTACTCTTGTTGGGCATCAAGAAAAGAAGAAAATAGAATCGCCTGTTGCTATATATGTAGAACTTCCATGAGAAGAAGAGTTAGGGTGGCTTATAGCAGCTGCTTGAAAGGGAAAATTATGCGTACTCCCCCCCAATGCTGGCTCTTTTTTTGTGAAGTTTTTCCCAAACCTACCCTCCCTTTTTAATTATACTCAACATGGCTGATCCTAGCAACAAACGCAACGCCAAAGACGACGGTGCTGCTGAAAAGCAACAACAAGCCAAACGTATCAAGGTCGGCGAGACTCGCAAGAGCACCGATGTTTTTATGGTACCCCAGGCACCCAAGGTTCCAAAGACAGAGATCGAAAAGGAAAATTCACGCAGATTGATTGTCGTTCTCGAACAAGCAACACTCGAAACACTTAAAATTGGCAAAAACAAAGAAGGCAATTATCAATTGCTTAATGTCGACGATCACTTGCACATTTTGAAAAAGAACAATCGCGAAACATATGAAGCCAGACCGGATATTCTGCATCAGGTAGAGAGAGATATAATTTAATTGTGACGGAAAAAAATAAAGAAATGGGACATGGTTTACTCAAATTTAGGTCAATTTATAAAACGATAGTGTCTTTTAACGCTACTGGACAGTCCCATCAACAAGGCAGGTTTGCTGCAAGTCTATATCCATACCCAAAAGAACGTGTTGATTGAAGTCAACCCACATATCAGAATTCCGAGAACGTTCAAGCGATTTGCCGGTTTGATGGGTAAAAAAACAAAAAGCTTTTGTGTAGTTCATTTATTTTTTTGATTTGCCTTACTGATAACCCATTGTTCACCGGATGGATCTATACATATACACACATCTAGTTCAATTGTTGCATAAATTGAGCATTCGAGCTGTGAACGGAAACGAAAAGTTGCTGCGAGTGATTGAAAACCCAGTCGAGAAGTATTTCCCTACCAACTGTCATAAAATAGGTAAAAAAAGATTTATAAACAGGCAAAGCAAAAAAGGGTTGTCATAGAAATTAACCGTTATCATCATCATCGATTTAGCTCTTTCATGGGACGCTCCATCAGTACGATTATCAGAATACATGCCTTCGATTCCGAAAGACAAAAATATCGTTGTAGCTGTCGGTGCCATGGCTCACGGTACGGATGATTTCGCCGATTCCTATGTGGATGACAAGATCAGTGTGTCCGAGTACTCTTTATCAGCATCCGTGGCTTGTGGCAAGCTCGCTGGTGCTGTCGAGGAGATGTGGGGTATTTTGTAAAGGGGATGGGGGTTCAAATGTTATTTTTTTTGTTTTTTTTTCTTGTATGTATATATGTAATGTGGTTAGATTATAAAAAAATTGGCAACCAATCTCAATTTTGTATGATTTTGTAATATGTCTGAAGACTTATATCCCGCGTGCTAGTTGACTGCCAATGTGTGTATATCTTGTTCATTGTTCTGGTACATGCCGCATAGTATCGTTCAACATATCTTCTTTCTGTTTCTTTTCTGTATGTAAGCTCGACCGTGGATTGAACCAATAAGATAGGCAGCTCATCAATCAGTGTAGATAGTGTGTGATATCGTTGAGTTCCTTGGAACCCATTAACAGTGAAATAGACCACAAGATATCATCTTGTAGTAGCTGAACATATAGTACCTACCTATCCATTTCCTCTTACCAAAAACACACACATATAATAAAAGTTTCTTATGTTGAGTTTCACGATGAATTATATTTTGCAATAGATAAACGCTTAATGAAAATAAATTACAAGTACAAAGAAATTGGGTGCCTAGATAGAAAGGAATGTTTGATGTTGAAGAACTAGTAATAGATAAAGGATAAGAAGAAGAAGAGTGGTGATAAAGAAGTAGAAAATAACAATTACAAGGACAAAAAGTGAAATGGGGAATTGGTATAACAAAGGAAAAGAATGCGTTTTACAAATTAGGAAAAAAATAGCGTAGAGGAGTGGTTGTTGTGAGTATATACATTTCTTATGCCGTCTTTCGTTCTAGCAAAGTAACGATCTGATGCTCATTTCTACTTTGCGATTAGAATCCGTCTTGCCCGACGCCCTATCGTTGCCAGCCATACTAGACGCCGATTGATATGTGTTGCGTGAGCTGTACTGCGCTGCAGATGCTGCTGCATTCAAAGTACTGCTTGATGTTTGCAGAAAGTACTGTGTCGTTGGATGCGTGACGTTCGGTCCTCCCCGTGGCGAGCCAGTCGTCATTTTTGTTGGAGGCACAGGTGCGAATCGATAAGCCAGCGTCGAATACCGACTACTGGATTCCCGGGCGCTGCTCAAGGGAGCAGAAACAAAGGTTGGTTTCGAAACGGTTGCAGCAGCAGCAGATGAAGAAGGAGTATAGGTCGATGCAGATGAAGAAGAAGAGGAGCTTGTCGTGTCGCTGTTGTCTGGACTGCTGTTGTGGTGGTGACGATGGTTGTTGATCGTGTTGATAGTGTTGTTATTATTATTATTCGTGTTGCTGCTGCTGCTGCTGCTGCTGCTGCCATGGTCATATGCATTATTGGATGCTGTGAACGAGTTCCTGCCGATCCGTGTTTGCCACGACGACGCTAGAGATGATGATGCAAAAGAAGGCGATGAGCGATGCGTGACAGGGGCGACGTTTACTTTGGCAGGCTCGATCTTGGAGATCCCGACGAGGAAGAAAAAAAAATGTTGTTGCGGAATATCAAATGGGCACTCCTCGTTCTGCAAAGCTGCACGACTCTATAGTATTATTGTTACTAAAAAACCGGGCAGTATCAGTAGCAGCAACGGGTACTGTCCACCGTTCCTATTACAAAGCATTACCAAGGCCTTTCACGACCCAAAGGAGATGCCAAAAACTGAGATCGATCCTGCCATCGGACAAAAATTGCCATTCTTCTGGCAACATTCCACATAAGCAAGATCTGTACTACAATTCAACAACAGTGACAGTTGAACAACAACAACATAGCTATTGCCCAACGAAATATCATGTTGGTAGTCATAACAACAATGCAAGCCCGCGTGCCTATGCAATAAAACCCCCAACAACAACGATGACTCAACATGACTATCAAAGACGAGGCTTTATCAGAAACCAATTGTTGCGCAGCACAAGTGGCAACAACAACAACAACAACAGCAGCAGCAGCAAAATTCGGTCCTTTTCTTCTCCTTTTACTTTTTATCAACACAACCGCCATTTCCACTGTGCAAAAAGGCAACTCATGACCGGAACTGATCCTTCTATTGCTCCAAATCCCTTACCACGATCGTCAGATAATATAACCGACTTTGATAATGGCGGTAATCGAGGACGTGGTCGTGGACGAGGCCGTGGTCCTGGACGAGGACGAGGACAACAATTTCACAATACCAATGACGGTGAATTTCATACCCATCAACGCCACTTTCATTACCAGTCGTCGTCATCCCATTACTCTAGAGGACGTCATGAGGTTCCTTTTGGATATACACCAACAGCAAGACAGACACAAGAATATACATCATACAGTAACAAAAAGCAAGGGTTACCGTCGTCGCTGTTGACCAGACAATCCCCACGCGAAAGTTACATGAAGCTGAGTCAACAACCGTCGACTGTGCTGGCTGAACCTATTGATGACAAAAAGCTGCTTATTCTTGATTTGAACGGCACTTTGGTAAATGAATCAAAAATAAAGAGAGAGAGAGAGAATATATGTGAGGTGATATACCACATGTTACGCAGACTGATACAAACAATGATACTAAGTGCGTGAATGCTTCACATTAAATCTAGGCGAGTCGTACCACTAACAGACGAAGCATGTATGTACGACCGTATCAGGACAAGTTTCTCGACTACATTTTTCGACACTTTAAAGTGATGGTATGGAGCTCTGCACAGCCCCACTCGGTGAACAGCATGTGCCGTTTGTTTGGATCCTATGTGGACGATCTTTTGCTTACTTGGGACCGGCGCTACTTTAATTTGTCTACGGGTGATTACAACCGGAAAACCGTGACGCTGAAAGATTTGGAGGTCGTGTGGCGTGCGCTGGGCCAAGATACGTATGATGCCTCCAACACAATCTTGGTGGATGATTCTCCTGCCAAGGCGATCCTTCAGCCCTACAACAGCATCCACTTGAAAGAATTCGACCACACGTCGCCCACATTCCGCAAGTATGGCGAGGCCGAACTGTTGCATGTTGTGCGGTACCTGGAGCAAGTGCGGATACAGAGCAATGTGTGTAGTTTTATGCGAGAACAGCCGTTCGTGAGTCCCGATCCATCGCAAGACAAGGAGAACGAGTTCAGAGTGTACCACTATGTGTTTGATCAAGAAGGACGGCGATTGCATAGCTTTGAACCAAAAGAGCCAGAAGCGGGAGAGGCAGAGGTTGGAAATGAGAGCGATGACGACGATATCGATGTAGTAGTAGCGCAACTTGAACAAAAGCTCAAGTCGACGACGATATAAAAATAAACTTTTTTTCTTGGTTGTGTGAAATGTACTACATACAACGTCGTTTTGCTGTATGGGCGGACCGTGAATACGGGGCGTACGGTGTACAAGGACTTATTGAAAGTGCCCTGGTTGAGATCACTTTTTGCGTAACCTCACTCCCGAAAAAGAAACGCTCGAATCTTCGCAACTTTTTTCGTTTTATTTTTACCTTTTTGCTATCATTTTCCTTGCTCCCTCTTTTCCCTTTCTCTCTCTCTCTCTCTCTCTCTCTCTCTCTCTTTCTTCGCTTTTATATAGTTTCCAATATCCTTTCTTTTGCTCTTCCTCTTCTTCCCTTGACAGCCCCACCCAATCCATCCTAACGGACAATGCTGTATCTGACTAATGATACGGGCTTGTTGCCCTTCTTTCTGCCATTGGGTATCATTGGTGTCTACCGGTACCTGTGGTTTTTCATTCGAGTTATTGCATGGCTTACCTACAAACCACGCCGTCCAAAGCCCAATCCAACATACAACTCCGAGCAGGATGTCACTATTATTGTACCCACCATCGACGCAGGTGAAGAGTTCAAGATTGCTGCACGCAGCTGGCTCGCCTGCCGACCCAAAGAAATTGTCATTATCACCGAAACGAGCATGCGGGGCCCGTTGCAAGAGCTCGCCAACGAAGTCGACCCCGAACGTATCCGCGTGCTGACCGTACCCAAAGCCAACAAACGATTACAAATGGTGACGGGCGTCAACGCCACGACGACCGAGATTCTGGTGTTTGCGGACGATGACGCCATCTGGAAACCGACCATGCTGGACTATATTCTAGCATGTTTTGAGGATTTAAAGATGGGAGGTGTTGGCACCAGCCAAAAGGTGCACGCGGTTGATCCCAACGGTCATCAAACCATGTGGGAAGTGCTGGCCGGCTTCCGCTTGACCAGTCGTAACATTGAAATTGCAGCTTCGACGCACATTGATGGTGGCATCTGTTGCTTGTCCGGTCGCACAGCTGCTTATCGTACGCTTATTCTCAAAGATCCAGCCTTCCAGTATTGCTTTACGAACGATCTGTGGCTCGGCAAGTACCCGCTCAATTCAGGTGACGACAAGTTCTTGACGCGGTGGATGTACTCACACGGATGGAACACATATGCTCAGATCTGTAACGAGGCTGAGCTGGACTCGACATTCAAGAATAACTGGCGATTCGTCAAACAAGTCTTGCGTTGGACCCGTAACACATGGCGTTCTGATTTCCGCTCATTGTTCACCGAACGCTATATCTGGAGTCGTCATCCTTATGTTGCTTTTACCATGGTCGACAAGATCTTTAACCCGATCACATTGCTCGCCGGTCCTGTGTTAGTGACCGTCTATGCTGTCAAGCAGACCGTCTTTATCCCGGCTACTGAAAACCCGTTGCCTGGTTGGAACATTGCCGTGTCCTATGTCTGCTGGCTGCTCTTGACGCGTGCCATCAAGCTGTTCCCGCATTTCCTGCGTCGTCCATTGGATATCTGGGTCTTGCCGTTCTGGCTGATTTTCAACTATTACTTTGCTATCATGAAGGTCTACGCCCTGTTTACATTACACGAGGTATGGCTGGGAAATTCTGGAAGATTTTCTTTGTCCTTCTTTTTTTTTTTTTTGGTGAGGCGCAACACACATGCACACAGATACTTACAAGAGTGGCTATGTATAATGAAATCTTGATAGGTTGGCTGGGGAACTCGCGCAGGTGTTGGCACAACTTTGGCAGCAGATATCAAGGAGGATGACGACGAGAATGGTCATGGCGACAACCCTCAACTTAAAATCGAAATGTCGCAACTAGGCAACGGTAACAACAACAACAATAATAATAATAACTACCAGCAACAGCAGCACGGTTATCGCGATGAAGCAGTAGCTGGTGGCGGGTACCAACAGAACCAACAGGGATACTATTATCACGAATCATCCTCAACCGAAAATACAAGCTCTCGACTGGTTGAATCACAAAACAAGCAATGGTAAACGCGCACTCGAAAGCCCGAGAGAGAGATATGGACTTTTTTCGAGGCATAGATAAGAAAGCATCGTTTATCACACATATACACAGTACAACATACAACACAGCACAAGCAGCAGCACACACACGTTTTTTTATTCATCATCATCTATACATCATCTTTCAAACCCCCTCCTCCCTTTCTCCTTTTCCGCTTCTTCTGTCACATACTAGTATTTATTCTTCTTCTTTTTTTAAAACGCAACAGCAGCACCAGTAGATAGGCCACCCCTCGATTCTTTTTTTATACTTGTAATATTCCCCCTCCGCGTTCAGTTTTTTTTTATAAATTCTTCTATATTTGTTGATTTTCCCTGTTACGGTAACTCGGAATCCCGCAAAAAAGAAAAAAGGAAACATTGCTACTGATCGCTGGAATTGAAATAAGTTCTTGTGGAAACCCAGGAAAATTAGTTCTTGACATTTTTTTCCTTGTTTGTGCGACCGCATACTAGAAAGAAAGCTTAGAGTACTTTTTATATTTTTAGGGCTTTTCTTCTCTCTTCTCATTAAGAGTGAAAGAAACTAACTCAGTATTAATGGAATCTAAAATGAAATGCTTCGTGTAAAGCTAGCAATACAAACATGCTGTCCTGTTACAGTATGTTACCACATTTATACATTTCTGCATGACGATCTGGTTACACTAAACTGGTAGTTACACCAAGAGTGGCTCAGCTGGTATGTTTGTTGTTCATCATATAAAATGATATACGTGGCGTGAGGGGAGGGAGGGAGTAGATCTTTACAAAAGGGGGAGTTGCATTTTATGCTATACAACGTAAAGTCTAGATTGGGAGGAAAGCATAGCACTTTTGTTGTCAACTTCCAATATGATGTGTGTGCATGGTAATTCAGGTACGGGATATATAGATACTCGTACACTAGATCATGCTTAGGCTTAGTTAGCGGTAAGCTTTCCTAGGGAGTTACACAGACGGAGAGCCTTGTGTACTTGAGCGATGCTGCTTGGAGTATAGTGGCAAAAACATAATTCATTTTACAGATCTCTGTAAAAAAAAAAGAGGGGGGAGAGACATGCGGATGCTCACTATCACATACTAATTGCTTTACTCTGCAATGATAAAGCATGTTATATTTGAAATATCCAAGGAGACAACGTCGATGTGCTGAATAACGTTAGAACGAGCTGTTGTCAGAAAAAGAGCTGTATTACGCATTTCGTTTTTTTTTGTAGGTGGGGCATGATAGAGATATAGAAAATTGTAAGAGTTTGAGTTAGTGATTTAAACGAGGGACTGATGATAGAGAGCCACAGAGCATCGTAAGAGGCGACGAAGCGGATGGTTGGAATCTGGATAGAAACTGCTGGTTGCTTTGGAAGGGCGTAAATTTGTTGTTTCTCTGTTATAAAATGGGAAGGTGGGAGACAGAAGGGCATAGTGTAAGGAGGTTCATAAGAATTCAAAGGGCGGGTACCAGTAATGAGGAAGTGAATGTCATGTCCTGCAAGAAGGGCACCTGATATACGCATTTCGTGTGCTTTCTTCGCAGTAATGAAATATAAACTCAGAACAGTTGCTGCTTATTTCTTTATACAATGGTCAGATCAAAAGCCCCTGAGTCGATTTTTATTACTACCTTTCCGCCTTCAAAGAATGCATACTATTATTACTACATTTATTTTGATTTTGCCATATGTATTTGGCTGTTGTACTCATCAATCGATAGAAGAATGAAGTTTTAAACAATTATCATAAAAGGCCCAGTACATAAGCTCATAAGGAAAGTTACATCATCCAACTTGTTGGGTCTTGCCACCAATCTCTCATGCTACTGTCCCTCAACATTACTGCTACTGATACACGTATACTAGTAATACTCATAGATAGATTGAATATGGAATGTACCATCACTGCTTAAGATTATATCAAGTTATCCCGTCAAGTTATTGATGTTTCTTATCTACAATAGCTTTCACTGGCGCCAAACCTGCCAGGAATATGTAGAGGTGTATTGTGTTGTGCTAGTGATGATTCAAAATTGTGATGTGCTTAACAGATTTTAAAGTAAAAGCCGAATTAATTTACTCCCCTCCTTTGTCTTGCCATGATCGCTGACGGTACTGCTTTATCAACTACATCTATAACCGCACCCGGCAAGCCGGTTTTCAAAAGACATTCAGAAATGTGGTGAGGTCCGTACAATTTTCTGTGAGCGTTGAAGTCTCGAAATTACATTGAGCTGTACTATTGAGATTCTTCATACCATCTAGTGAAGCTACTCTAAGTTTTTTGATTTGCTTGACACTACTTGGATATCAACACTAGCGAAAGTATAAATTGTAGGGGATGATGATAAGGAAAACCCGATCGGATCTATACGTTTACAGTAGTTTGATCCAAAGATGATAGTAGTGTGGACACACTCAGTCGATTATGTACCAGGTCTCTCACAAGCTCGATACAACGGCGTTTGGTCGCAAGTTAGTGCAGGCACTCGAAGCAGCTGCAAAGACGGAGGGACAGACGGCAATTATGTTGGAGTGTCACGCTTTGAAAAAAAAAAACTGTCGACATTATGATTCTCTAGGCTATGTATTACAAGATCCCACTTAATTATACGCGCGTTAAAAGTCCTCAACAGCAACTATGGAAGATGGGACTTTAACAGATGCAATCCGTGATATTGTACATATTGCGTTAATTTCAGGTTCGAAATTTTATCTACCTTTCTTACTAAACAAAACTTATGACTGTAATTTTCATTGATCGGCGAGAAGCATCTGTCACAAGAATATATGTATATATATATGTAAACCGGTGAGGTATGCCAAGATATAAAAAAAAAACAGAAGGGCCTGCTTCTACATGATAAAAATGATGTTACCAAATAAAAAAACCTTTGCATTGAAAACTTTGTCGAGAAAATTAAATCTGTCCCGTGTTATTGCGATGGACAGGTTATGGATGATTCTGTTGCTGCATTGTTGGCGAGGTATCATTATTATTGTTGTTTTCTCCTTTGGTAGTAGCGACAGGGGTATCGTCACTGGACGTGGCAGCATGGTCCTCCAAAGTCCAAGCATCTTCTTGAATAGGTGGTAAGCTTCACTTATAAAAATCATCACGATCCCCACGTTTCATAAAAGAGATTGTCAAACCGTTATAAATTGCGCTGATGAAATTGGCAGCGGCCGTTTCTTGATCGTCAGCTAAGAAAAGAAGGTCATATCGAGTATCAATAGTATTGCTGGGTACGCTTCACATATAAAAAATCATCATGATCCCCAGGTTTCATACTCTTTTTATATCGCCGGTTCTTTGTTCCATTAAAGCGCACAGACCCGTCGCCGACAATTGTTGGATCAGAGCGGAGCACGGCAAGCGGAGCCGCATAGTGAAACAAACATATACGCACCATAAGAAAAAGACACTAGCATGACAGTCGTCAGACTACAACGATAATTATGATCAAGGCACTTCTTCACATTGCTGCAGTTCACTGGCTCCTTAGGGCAGTAGTGACAACAAAATTTCTAAGCTCCGTCATTTTGTTTATCGGGCTCATAAAAAAAAAGAATCGACTGCGCGTTTTGCCCTTTATTCTTTTCTTTAGTCTTCATATTCATCTTTGTACGTTTGCAGTGTTTCTTTCATTATCACTTTTTACCTTTCTTTTGTTTTTCATCCCGCTCGAGTGTCCCTGTGGGTGTGCATAGTTGAAGGGAGCTAGTCGTGCACGGCTGGCTCTTGCTCATCTTTTGTACATTTGCAAAGTTCTTTGTTTCATCTTGGTTTTTGATCTTCCTCAAAAACTGAAAGCGAGAGTGTATGCAAAGAGGTACGTATATGTTCGCCGCTGACAGACCTTTGTGCTATTTCTTTTATTTGTAGGAACTGTGGAGGAGTAGGTTCTGTCGGGAACTGAGGCTTGCGGACAAGAAAGGGAGAGGTGTAGGTTCCGACGGGAACTGAGGCTTGCGGAAAACAAGGGAGGGCAACCTCCCTTGTGGGTACGTATATGTTCGCCGCTGACAGACCTTTGTGCTATCATATTTCTTTTATTTGTAGGAACTGTGGAGGAGTAGGTTCTGTCGGGAACTGAGGCTTGTGGACAAGAAAGGGAGAGGTGTAGGTTCCGACGGGAACTGAGGCTTGCGGAAAACAAGGGAGGGCAACCTCCCTTGTGGGTACGTATATGTTCGCCGCTGACAGACCTTTGTGCTATCATATTTCTTTTATTTGTAGGAACTGTGGAGGAGTAGGTTCTGTCGGGAACTGAGGCTTGCGGAAAACAAGGGAGGGCAACCTCCCTTGTGGGTACGTATGTGTTCGCCGCTGACAGACCTTTGTGCTATCATATTTCTTTTATTTGTAGGAACTGTGGAGGAGTAGGTTCTGTCGGGAACTGAGGCTTGTGGACAAGAAAGGGAGAGGTGTAGGTTCTGCCGGGAACTGAGGCTTGCGGGGAACAAGGGAGGGCAACCTCCCTTGAGGAACGAAGGATTCATAAAAGTCGGTCGACTTGTCAGGCAACATCAAATAAACTTGGTTTCTTATTGTACTTTCTTAAATAATGTAATTGTAACTATTGGGCAGATCGAGTGACGATTGTAATAAACGCGATCTTTTTTTTTATATCTTCCTACTGCCATTGCGCTTGGTACTTGTTGGTGCTTTCTCTGGAGCAGTTATGTAGTTGCAAATGAGCCTTTTTGTGCTTGAGTCGTCGAGAAAACCATAGGCTGTGCATTCGCATGTGTGCTCTCAAAAACAATACTGTACAGCTGGTTTACCTTCACGATTATACAACAATGATTGCAAATGGCTGGTGGCAAAATAAAAAACCGTATCGCAAAGCAAACAGACCATCCCCATATTCACATATACACGAACCAGATCGCCAACCCAGCAAGTGTTCAACTTTGACACGCGATATATTGGAAAAACAAATGATGTTTGCCTTGAACTCTTTCCTGTATATCATATACAAAAGACTAGTAATAATCGAACCGGTATTATACAAAGTAAATTTATAGACAAACTGCTCTCTTGAATACTTTGTTTTATCATCTAGCAGCTCTTGTCGAGAGCTCGCTCTTCCTTCTTTTATGCTATTGTCGGTATGATTACAACGCGTGTTAGCTATGCCCTCTAACTTTGTCGATGAGTTGATCCTCTGGACATGAACATTACCCAGATAGTGCTCCTTCACATCATAAAGACGTTCGTTTATGTCAATGCTTTCTATAGCAGTACTACCATCACTAAGTGATAAAAACGGTGTATTTCTGCTGCCGCAATTGTGTCGTGTGCATTGCTGAGACTGATATACTCCTCGTCGTTGACATTATATGCTTTCTGCATAACTCTTGTCAAGTGTAGTCGTCCTTGGAGATCTAACTATTACTGTTTACTGTTGTTGCAATGATCCTTTACCATAATCGTTGCCGTATCTTTAGAGAAAAGTTGATCGTGTGAAGGGTCGATAAGTGGTATTAATCGTTCCAAAAGCCTGAATTTGCACAAAGATGGCAAAGCAATGATTTGTCATAAAGGACCAAGCTAAATTATTAGACGATCCTATAGGGGCTCTTTAGTCAGTAATTAAGAAGAAGCACGTTCAAGACAATGTGGAGGGACAAAAGACTAATATCGGAATTACCGAAAGACGCTGCAAGTGTGTACACCTTTTTGTCTTGGATAACAACTTGTCCGCTACCTACCGGAAACATGCTCAAAAATTGTGGCGATTGTGGTGCTTTTCTTGATTAAACCTTTACTTCGAGCTCTGAAACTGTGTTGTATGACTGGAAAAATTCAGCCATTGTCGGCGGTCAGGTAACTGTGGTTCTCGTAATGGATATACGTGAAGGTTCTGGGTTCAATGATTAATGATTAATCGCTGTTTGTTTCTTTACCATTCGCGTCGGTTTATTACCGGGTTTTATATTCCTTTTGCAAAATCAATGATGCCAGTAAATCGGCAGTTGATAGTGATATACTTTCCGATGGTCCCGCGTGTTTCACCTCCCGTCAAATGAAGCACATTGTCTCGCATGCGTGGTCGTTTCAATCGGATTAAAAAGCTTTTTGGAATAAAGAGAACATCACTGACACTGTATCGGCCTTGTGTTGGATTGGTATGCAATAATAGTAGGAGGAAAAAACGGCAAACAGATGACGGATGATGATGTTGTCGGACAATGTTTTGCTAATATCAGCATCGACGTATCACTGCTGCATAGTTGTAATATCGTCCTGTATAGAGGAATAAGAAACGAAAGGGAAAAATCGAAGCGATTGGCTTCAGATAGTATGATTGAGTGGCTGGGAAGGAGAGAAGTTTGGTTCCAGACTTTTGGTTTTTTCAACCTTGCTTTTTATACACGTGTCAGCGCGTTGCACTTTTGTGTAAATGACGATGACAAAATGCCTTACATGTATAACGTGAGCCTTTAGGTACCAGTTTCTCGGTGAAACTGTCCTGCTTTTATTCAAGGTACAATAAATAATGGGATAGTAGTTTATTCTGCAACTGCATGTTAGGTGCAGTTCAGCTTGGGATACCACTTTTAAAAAAGCAACTTCGCACAACAGTTACCTGTTATCTTGAGCTTGTCTTGATTGGCTTGCTGTAGATACTGTACAGAACTACACAATTTCAGTAATCTTTGTGAGACCCTTGAAGTGTGGCAATTTATCGAGAGATCAGCGGCTCAATAAAGCAAACTATACTGCATCTTAGAAAAGACGAGGGAGACAGGAATGTGATTATGTTTATTTTGTTGCATTTGTTCATAATTGGTAGAAAAATTTTGAAAGAAGAGCAAACTGTAGTAGAGCTTTCAGTTGCTTGCTGGTATACAGATAGAAGAGGAGGGTGGAATGAAGTTTTAGGAGCGTCCTGGAGAGATACAGGTATCGTGTGTACAATGTATTTTTCGTGCATGAATCAGTATGTAACATGCCTCTTTTACTGCAGCGACGAAATATATACAGGTTCCAGTCTTTTGATAGAAAGTACATATATGTAGTAGCAAAAGATTCAACAAACAATAGCAAAACACTAGCGTTATGGTTAGCAAACATCATGCAGATTATTTATTCGCAAACAGTAGCGCCATTCTTCTCCCTGCTGGTACTACTACTGTACTGGTGGTAAGAATCTTGCAAGTGCTTGCTAATATCATCAACCTCCACCCCGACCCGACCCTAGGTTCCCGGGCAAATATATAGCTATAGCCCTTACTGCATAATCTGCAACACCAAAAAAAGGTGTATTGTGGAGTGATATTTACCAAAATATTGTACACAATGACAGGCTTTTATATTAGTATGGTTTTAGCGCAGCAATATCTGTGGCTACATATCTACCGACTGTAGACTTTCTGCAATAGCCCAATGTACGCTAAAAAGCATGTTTTGCATGATCGCATGTCAGTGCATAAGAAACTCTAAACCCAGTTTTGCCTAGACTACATTTCCTGTTTGCGTTACCAGGTAACCAATTTTAGTAATACTCATTGTTTTGTTTTCTGTCGCTTTAGTTTACAAGGAAGAAGATACAAAAGAAGCCAGTTGTTATGTTAATAACTACATGAGTTCAGGAGAGACCCTAATTGAATGATTACTGCTAATGTTTAGCGATCTTTAAATCTTCTTATTTGCTCATCATAACAACGGCGTATAAGACCAGTAGCCAGTACTTTCTGGTTTTTGATTTTAAAGATTGTATTGCACATGCAAACTGGTGTAATAAGCTGGGATAAAATAAACCGTGCGTTCACGGTCTTTAGAGAAACCACATATACGGTAAAACATCAGAAAGCGGATCTGTTATGTATGCAATACCACATAATATGGGTAGACAATTAGATGCCGCAGGGTGCGTTAGAGACACCAATCAATGCTGTGCATCTTTGGATACCTCGAGGAAACCGGAATAGAGAGAGGGAGAGAGAGAGAGAGGGCGGGTTTGGTTTCGGAGCGAAAGAAAGAAGCCATTCAGGAACAAAACCGCTTTTTCTTCGGGATAAAAATCATACAGCACAGTAACGCATGATCTCTGCATTAAAGCAAGTACATTCCACTTGATTTGGGAGTATCAAATACGATATGCGTGCAGAATGAAACACCAAAAGAAACACCAGAAAGCATCGCCTTTATCATGTTACTGGGTCTTTCGTTTTCAACATCCGATTACCTTTTTTTATACAACGGGAAAACCGGCAAATACAGAGTTGGCATAACACAATTCTCCCCCCCACCTCCCCTTTTTGCAACACAAGGCAATGGGGCGAGCAGCTATCCACTGTTTACAAATATTAGCGGCAGTGATACTTCTGCAAGCCCTCCTCTTCATATCTACAACCTCCTGTATTGCAGAATTAGAACATCCTCCACTACCACTATCGGCATCTCCTTCTTTGTCCAGGCACATTGTCCCCCGAGATCCAACAACGAGTTTAGCAGATCCCGTCGCAGCCACCGCATCTCCCGCCAACCAAGACGACGGTGATGACGACGAAGACGCACTTGATGACAGTGACGAAGAAGCAACACCCACCACAACTACTACCGCTTCACCGCCATCAACTTCTTCACCACCGCCGTTGGAAACCAATGTCACTGGCACAAATTACACAGTGAGGCTTAATTGTGATGAGAGCTACGGGGAATTTTGCGAAAAGGTCCGTGGCGCAGCTGTAGACGCAGTTAGGGAGCTTATCAATGTTGTTAAATTTGACAACGACAACATAACGTAACGGAAACTTTTTCTTATTCTATACTTGAGGAGCTCGAGAGAGAGAGAGAAGAGAGAGGAGAGACAGAGGGGGGTTGTGGGGGCGAGAAGGGTTTGTTTAGAGGATTGGAGAGGATAAGGCGGTAGTGCAAACTCTGTGTATGTGTGTGTGTGTGTGGGAAAGAGCAAATTTGACGAAACGAAATGGAAGCTAATTAAACTAGTTGACTCATTTTTTTTTGTTATAGTGTTCAGCTCAATTATACCAGTTTTTGCGAGAAAGAATGTGCCAATGATACCTTGGGCTGGGGAGCCCCTGCTTCGCAGGTAAAGTCAATACTTTTGTAAGTAGAAATAGAGTAATGCGCCAACGTTGTGAATTTGTCAATGTAGTTTATCATGCTGCCAGGCGACCCTATCGACACAGATTACTTATACCCTCAAATCCTCGCAAAACAATTTGAACAACGAACGTCAGAATGGGCCGATCACGATGTTTATGTTGAAATCAATCATGATGCATATATGAGTGCAGTAGACTACGATGCCGCCGAGGAAGCTGGTTGGAACGGTACAGGTGTTCCTCCTCGCGGAAAATATTGGTTCAAGGTACTACACAAGTTTTTTTTTTGTTCTCAGGAACAAGAGCCGGGAGCGAGCGAAAAAGAAAAAATAAAGAGATAGGAGTAAAGAAAAAACATCATGACAAGATGTGGCGTATTGAAAATGCATTGTATCAATTGTTATTAGGACGAAGGGCCAATCCTAGACTATCAAATCGATATGACTTACATCGTTCTCCACGAAATCCTTCATGGAGTAGGTATCATTAGCTCGTGGGGTGCCTATTTCATTGAAAACTCTCCTCTTCACCAATTAATTCGCCAATTAATCGGCGACTTGTTTGAGGAGGAGGAACTACGTTTGGTGACACCGAGTCCGTCATCAACCGTACTGTATGGCGCGGGACCAGTCTTTATTACCGGTTTTCAACGCAACATGCTCTTTGACAAGTACCTCAACGTCGACTACACCAATCTTAACGAAACCAATCGCGTCAGTCTGAAAGACTTTGGTCTTGATATGCTCAATTTTTGTGTTCAGGACAACGATGCATTCATCGTCAACTTTGTGCGCAAATTCTTGACAGAAGAAAATATATCGAGACAGTCAGCGCAACTTTATGGCGCCTTTGCCATTGCTGGCACAGTGACGTTTGATTTCCCCCTTTCGTCGAGTAACAAGAGCATATTCAACACCAATTCATATTTGAACGAAACGTATCGACGCATGACGTTATTGACAGGCGACAGTATCAATAATGGGCCACCTGAACACTTTAGCGCTAGCAACAATCGTCCGGACATGATGATTTCGCACTTGTCCGGCGAGTATGCATCAACGCCTGATTTCATCATGACTGATTCGTTCAGAACAGGGGCCACACTGCCTCAATTGATTGACAGTGTTTACAATGACACGCCGATTGTCAGCTATACCGAAGAGTTGGCCAACGGTACCATTGTCACGCATGTCTATCGATCGCCTATTGGTCCTGGTATATTGCGTATGCTCGGTTCCATGGGCTACTCAACTGTCTTGAAGCGGACGAATTATAATACTACTTTGGACGATAGCAAGAGTTCGGAAAATGATAGCAAGGATGAAAAGTCATGCCGATTAAATCGCAGCTATTCACGGAGACGTAATAGCAACAGCAGTGCTGCTGTCTTGCTCGCACCAAGCAGGGGGATCTTCATGCTACCTGTAATATTATCACTACTACTGCCACTACTATACTACTAGCACAAACGATCACCACCACTACTAGCTTTCGTTCACTTTTCCTCTGGTTTAGACTTTACTCTCTCGTCTCTCTTTGTTCTTCATTTGTAGCATATTCTTAGTTTCACTCTTCTTTATTTTCATTCATTCTAAATTCATTTCTTTGTTCATAGTAGTTTTCACTTTGTTACCTTCTCACCCATTCACCTTCTCTTATACTGTGCATTTTTTTTTTGCTCTTTATCTTTTCCTCTCTCTCCTCCTTATCTCAATTCGTTTTTCGACTAAATGTGCCCATGTTGATCCCCGTCAACATGCAATTATAGTACATAGCAGCAGAAAAGAAAAAGTAAAAAGAGAGTCATCATTATTAGCATCATTGTATGATCATTATTCATCATCATCATCAGCAGCAAGGGAGCCAGGAGCGGGAAAATGGCATATAGAATCAACCCTTTGTACAATGATAGGAAAAGAGCAAGAGAGAGAGTAAAAAAAGAGGAGAAGGAACGTGCAGCTGCTACATATGAACAAGCTCAAATTTCCCGAAATGAAACCTTGCATTGTATAAAGTTTGTGTGTAGTATATCTGGGCCGCTGCAGCCCGAGTACTACAGTACACCAGTCGGGACACCACCACTAAGTTTACAGGTAAAACTTACCATGTAGTAACAGACAGCGGAGCAAGAAGAATGACATAATGTGTAAAAGGAGTGAGGTTTACAAAGACCCCACTTGGTAGTGATATTCAATTTATCAGCAGATCGCCGCCATCTACAATACTTGTAGCTGCTACTACTGATGATGGAAAAAGCCTGCTGTCGCCACTAGTAGGATAGAGGAAAAAAGGGGAGCGATCGAAAAAGTGTTTAGACATGTAGTGGTGTATGTAGAACGCATTGCGAGAACCAAGATGTATATATTAGACAATGATATGTAATGCACTGGGCTCTATTGTACTATCCTCAAGTTGGCCACCAGGGAGATGACGCATATCGAGGTACCACCACTCATTTGCATGATCTAGTAAAAGCAATAGGGGGGGAAGTTAAAAAAGGAAGAAGAAAGAAATATGGGATGTTCATACATGATATATACAACAACAACAACTCGTCGTCGCTTCTTTGTTCGATAGCAATACGTGCAAAGCAGCAGAAAGATCGAGGTCGAGCGAAGAAGAGAAGAAATATTGCCTCCCACTCCTATTTCTCCCCTTTCAATATTACCCGACACTCTCTCTTTGTCTCCCCTTTCTTCCAACAATAAAACCCTAGCTTTATATCTTTATATGTCGACTTTCTTATTATGTACCTCGCCCTCTTGGTGATATACTCCTTAGGAGCACTATCGTTCCGTAAATATACATCCTTGCGAATGAATAAATAGGACCTGCTTTTGGGTCCTTTCCCCACCTTTTTCTTTTACTTTACTTTACTTTTACTCCATTCTTCTATATATAATTTAGCCACTAAAAAACAAAAACTATTATGTCTTTTCCACAATCTTCGTCATCATCCTTCAAATCCAAATGGTCGTATTTCATGACTCGATTCAATCCGGACGAACACCAACAACAACAACAACAGCAACTACCACCCTATGATGAACAATTACCACCCAACGTGAGCACAAGCCGTCGACCGTCACATGTCAGCAGTTGCTGTTCAACGATTGCTGAAGATACGTTTTGGAGCGATAGCATGTCGACGATATCTGAGCGATCCAACAAGTACAACAACAGCAAAAGAAAAGACGGTAACAGCAATGATTCATCGTCACGACCACCTCGACGAAAGCGCCATTTGCTTCACTTGTTCCGTCGACGAGGATCTGGCGCGTCGACGTCTTCATCGTGTTCGTCCCTTGCAGGCATGGACGATACAGACTATTTTGAGAAGGAAACACAGCGGCTACAGAGTCTCTATGAGCTTGCTCTAGATGAGGTACAGTATATCTCTATTGAAGTGTATAAAGATATCACCCACTATATATATATATATATATATTACAGTCCCTTGATTCTAAATTAACATTTGAAACCCTCTCTACAGATCAACTATGCCGAGGATTCCAGGGGCTCGCCCTATTACGTAGGCGATCGAGTGACGGCGCGTGAAGCAATCGATGGATGCGCTATTGCTTTTATGCAGCTTCAACAACAGACAACCGATTCTTCATTACAATCGTTACTCCAATCAACGATGGCACCACGGTTGATTGAACTGCAATCCAAGTTTGACGCCTTACCTTTGGAGCAAAAATAGCAAAGTTAGTAAACCCACTTAGTAGTAATAATCTTTTTTATCTCTCTTTTTTTTCTCGTTTGTAATTGAAAGAAAAAAAACCAAGAGATTGTGTATATAGTTTTGTTTGTAATCCTCGTTCTTCTTCTTCTTCTTCCTCTAATTTCCATCCCTCCGTTTCTGTCTTGCATTGCACAAGATGGAAAGACACACACACACACACACACACACGCCCTGCTTAAAATATTCACACACACAACCATTCACAAAGAGCCACATTATCATCAAGTGCTCGTTTCTTAGTTTGATCATTAAAGACCGAGTGAGAGCACTCTCCCACACATGTTCTTTGTATTTTGTTGCCAAATGCACAAGTGCGGTTTTCAAAAGTATTTGTAGATGCAATCTAAGCGTGGCTCTTTATTATAGAAGAAGGTGTCGTTGGATGGATGGGTGAATAAGGACAGATGTACCTGTCCTAATCCTGGATCAAACAGCACTCACTATATCAGGTGATAGGTGTTTGGGGTGTGGGTGGGTGGGGGGTGAGGATCTCCAATCTGAGTAAGAAATCGTTCAAATATGCCGCTCTCTCGAGTGAGAATAAGCAAAAAAAAAAGCGGGGCAAGGTACCACCAAAACGGCATCACGGGTTTCCCATTTGAGATGACGAGGCTCTGTGTGGGAGAGTACCGAGAGAACAGAGTGTGAGACAAGCGAAAGTGAGGTGAGTTATATAGTGAGTGTGTGCGTACACAAAGAGATGGCCAAAAGCAGTTCAGCCCAATCGCTTGAATCCTCCCCTCCCTCCCCACTACTTTTCCTTTTCCCTCTTCTTCTTCTCATTACCCTTTTGTTCCCCATTTTTAATAAATTCTAACAACAAGCCGCTTTTACCACACGAAATACACTCATGTTCATCCAACAGCTTCCTTTCGACATTTTACTCGACCATGTCATGCCGCGGCTGGATGCGCATTCTCTAGCTCAGCTGTCAGGTACCTGCCGTTTGTTTTACCGACTCTGTAACGACGAAATAGTATGGCAACACCGGGTAACGGCCGATTTTTCGTTACCCATGGCTACGGACCGACTCAAGAATGGATGGAAGCGATTATATATTCAATTGGATCGAGCACAGACGTACACATGGGGCGAGAATAGTGATAAACGACTCGGCTTTAGTGACCAAGATCATGCAGACCGAGACACGTAAGGATATTGCCCTGCTGCAAGTTTATCTTTCAAACGTGACTGATGAAAAGTTCCACACACACGCACAGATTCATGCGACAAATTACGACACCGCGGGAGCTGCGAGCATTACGCGGTAAAGGCATTGTGGATATTGTGGCCGGTGGTTGGTCTTTCCATGCTCTTGACCGTCGAGGACGAGTATGGATGTGGGGCTGGGTAAGTACACATCTCTGTCATCGTCGTGGTCTAAAATCGCACCAAGAAGTTGTTCTTGCTTCTTTTGTACTAGCAACAAAACATCAAAGACAACAAAAGGAAATAAGCCAAGATATATGGATGGAACCTTCGAAATTAAAAGATATTCTGACACTAGATGCAGCCAAGACATCCCTTCACCGATGCCGGTATGACAAGCCAAGCTCTTGTACGAAAGCCAACCCATGTACAATTCCCTGACAATGTCCATATCGTATACATCGCCAGCGGCCGTTCTCATGCCATTGCCCTAGACACCGCCGGCCGCGTGTGGCATTGGGCCAACTGCTGGCAGCCACGCCAAGTGCACGTTACGCAGGCAACCACATCGAAATTCATCCAAATCACAGCCCATTGGAACTCGTCCGCCATTCTCTCTGCAACGGGTGAGTTGTTCCTGGTCCCATTTCCAAGCACCGGAACAGCCACCACCACCACCACCGTTCTGAACGATCCACCTGTCACATACCCCTCCTCGCCATTCGTCCAGATTGCAGGCACAGAAAAATACACCATTGCCCTCACACGATCGGGTCGTGTGTTTAAATTCTGGACGGAACGACGAGAAGCGTTTGTTGCAGCACCCGAGAATTACACGACGGAATTGATCCACTTTGCTGTGCCTCCTCATCCTCAAACCCTCTTGTCAGCTCAGTTTCGGCATTTCGCCATCTGTTCCCAGGGCAAAGTATTGATTGGCAAACAGGACTGGGATCAGCATCAGGTTCCTCGTATACTCGACGCTTCAAACCATGAGATTTGTAAAGTTACTTTTGGCGAGTAAGTAAAATAGTTTGGCATTCGGTTTTTTAAAAGAGTGGGAAACACGGCAACCAACTCTTCCGAAATCTTAATTTTTTTCGTGTAGTTATCATTTCGGTGCACTGACCACCCAAGGTCGCTTGTTGACTTGGGGCCGTTATAGCTCGGGAGCGCTTGGACGGGGCTATGATCACAGTGACATCAACGAACGGGAGCCTCAGTTGGTAGAGACGTTAAATAGCATGTTTGTGTTTGCCGTTGGCTTCGGAGGAGTGCATTCTGGCTGTCTAGCCATTCCTCGTCAATCTTTGTTGCAGCACAACCATATATGATGAAGCGCCTTTGTCTATGTACATACATCCATATATAAAAAAAAGATAGCTTGTTTTTTTTTTCTTTATTACCCAAACTCAAATGTAGAAAACAAATCACAAAAGATCTGCTTTTCTCTTCCTTTACTTTTACTCTTCACGCTCCTTGCGCTTTGTTCCAGTCTGCTTGCCCTTGCCCTTATCGGCTGCAGCAGAGGACGATCCAGAAGAGACCTTTTGAGGGGTATTGTCGTCATCGCCTTCTTCTGCTTCGAAATCTTCTTCTTCCTCTTCTTCTTCTTCTTCGCTTGATTCCTCGCCCTCTTCGAAATCCTCGTCGTCTTCACTGTCGTATTCTTCATAGTTGGACTCCAAAAAATCAGACAAGATTTTCTTTGAATCCTCCTCGTCTTCGTCTTCGCTATCAGCGTCGCCTGATGAAGTCTTTTTATTGCTACTGCCCGATGATGATGCAGGTGCCTTGCCCTTGCCTTTGCCATCCTTTGCTGCTGTGGTAGATGTTGTTTCTTCTTCCTGCTTTTGTTTCTTTTGTGGCGGTTCTTCGGTATCGGCGTCTACTTGTTCGTCTTCTTCATCATCTTCTTCCTCGTCTTCGTCATCGTCATCGTCAAACATGCTAACAGACACTGCTGCTGCTGCTGCTGTAACCGGCTTCTTTTTTTGTTGCTGTTGCTTAAAGAGCGAACCAACGGCACTCTTGACGCTGTCAACCATTTGTTCACGATCCTCCAAAAACTGTGTGTCGTCAAATCGGTATTTCTTCTGCTCGATGCCTCTGAGTCCTTCGTCAATCTTTTTCTGCAACTTTTCACGCTTTTCTTTCTCACGCTCTGGTAATGCGTCCAGTTCTTCTTGTAATCTAAACATATGAAAAAATAACAAAAATTAGTAAACCTTATTCTTATTCAGAATAAAATAACAGCAGCAATTACAAAAAAAGCAACTAAACATGTATTTTGTTTTTCTTTGATTCGATTCTTACTTTTTAGAATCATTGACAGTGCGAATACGTCGACCTTGCAAATCACGACAGGCTTCAAAATTGGTAGTCTTTTGCGCATTCATACGACCACCTTGTGCACGCAGCATGGAACCAAAACCACCTTTACCGCCCAAAAGACGCAGAGACATGTTGAAAATGACAGGACTCGATGAATCGTTTTCAAACATGACATGGTCGTCTGTAAGGGGTCGTCCACCCATGGTGCTGAAGGATTGATCGGCAACGTCTACGTTCGTAAGTGCATTGATGCGTTGTTTGAGATGGCGTACAGTATAATCGTCGTCGCTGTTGGATTCAAAAGAAAGACAAAGAGGAGCGTGGCCTCCGAAAAGGTTGACAATAGCTTGGTGATCACGATGCATGATTATGGATTTGGTTTTTTTTTCTGTGTGTGTGAGTGAGGGAAGGTGGAAGAGAAATGGAAAAGCGAACAATCAAAGTGAAGTATGCAAAAATTAAACCGCCGACGGGCTTAATGAGCGAATCGGGAGCTCTCCTGTAGCTCTTCTAGAAGGTACGCATTTGTTTTTAAACAATGGATCGCGTAAAATACCTGTACGGATCCTGCTGATGCAATAGGGAAGACGTTTCTTTGATTTCTTTGTGAGTTTGGTAACAATACTAGAATACTGTTATACTATACAGAGCTATGTATAAAAAGCAGAGCTGGTGAAGAATATATACGTGTCAGACATGATATATCATATTATTGTCTCCGGAGAGATAGAGGAGCAGGCGTGCTTACTGATTACTTTGTACACCAATGCGAGAGTGAAATACGGACGCAATACGAACCAATTTTACACAGTGAATTTATTTAAGCTTACGACTTGCAGTGCAGTACCACGCTCAACTGGCTTTGTTGCCAGGTACTACATACTTTCAAAATAAAGTTCTTATGCAGGTGATCAATGTACTGGCGAAAGAAATTAACAGTGCTTGTATGTCCAGCTGCGATAACTGAACAACGTAAGTTGCTCACTACGTTTCAAACATGGGCTCATACTAAGAATGTGTACATAGCCCACTTCAAACGAACAGAGACACGATGTTTTTCTTTTTTTGCTTTTATACGTTTCATCCTTTATTCTATAAGTTCTACATAATCATTACACTTGACAACGCTACTAGTATCACTACATATAACGCAACGCAGAAATAGGAGGCAATGATAGACATACTAGAATACGAAAATGATTTTCGGTCTGGATTCCAAAAGGACTCAACATCAAACGGTCGTAAAATAGTCAACAGTACTATAAGGAAGTGGAAAACTGCCCAAGTTGTTACAAACATGTTAATGTACAGTATTGAGATTATTTGAGACGCTAGCATGTTGAATATTCCTTTGTTTTGCTAACCGTCCATAAAAAAAGGCTCTTCTAGCTATGTAGAAGGAAAGCGATTGCCGGCACTTCTCTATGTACCCAAGAACGGTTTATGTCAAGCGAGCTTTCGAACACATTGAAGCAACATCATTTGGTGTATCGAAGAGATTTACAGTGCTATAATGCTACGTCGAACACACGGAAAAAGGGGAGCCTCAGCGGTATCGTCGAGAAAATAAATTGAAGCTGCATATAGCTAGCCACTTCTTCCCATTACAGAAAACTGGCTAGGAGTTGATTATGTCTCAGAAAAAGTGATGGTACTAGCTGCCATCCATGATGGCAAATACACGACAACAGAAGCAATGTATCTTAAATCTAATTCGATTATTGATATAATTGCAAAGAGCAGATATATGTTGTGAATATCTATAGTAAATCATCGCTTGCCTTGTGACGTATATGTATGTTCTGTTTTATCACAGTTTAGTAGCTGTTGGTCAATTTCTCTCCAAGAAGAGTACCCAATCGAACATTCTGCATACAAAGATATGGCACGGATTATCCGTCTCTATGCTTCGGCAGCTTTGAAGCGCGCTGAACTTCAATCATACCAATGCTATATACTGGGTATCCGGGAGTTCGGCGCGCACGTCTGTCATACCCAATAATGCTTAAAAAAAAAGAGCGGAGAGAATCTAATCTGTGTTTCCAATCACGCGCCACAATTAAAAGAGAGAACCACAAGCCTTTAACCCCTCCCCCCCCCACGAACCACCGCCAGAGCTAAATTGGTACATGATTGAAGCACATTATGTATACGTGAGGCGGCTCTTTTATTTTGAATGACAACAACAGCCCCGATGTTGCGAGCGCCTACAATGCTTAGGTGGCTAGAACTTTATTTTTAACTCGACATTACAACCGCAACATGGCATGCTTCTTTGACGTTGTAGACATATAAAACCAGGTGGAAGAGACTAGAACTACATGCTAATATGCGCGTATGTATAATTAACTTGCATGCTCGGACTCTTGCAGGAGACATGTGAAAATGCGCTTGACTGTGCATAATACAGACAAAGCATGTATGCAATATGTATATCTCGGACATACTGGTAAGAATAAGATAATCGCTACTATGATAAACAAGATACAAGTCTCGCTGTTGTCCATCAATTATATCTAACCAACCGAAAAAAAAAGCATTTACTGAGGTAAGTATCGAGTACAGCACATCATCATCACTTAACGCCGTGTTAAGCTTTCGTAATTCATGTGCGAGGACCTACTGCTACTTTCTTTTCCGCGTATGATATGTCTTGGCGGCAGTATCGGAACATGCATCGGAAATTCATGTTTGTAATTTATAACGCCTATCTTGAGATGCTCGGGAAAGCTATCAAAGGCTTCTAACGCTTCAAATAGCATCAGATTACAATCTCAAACTTCCGACGTGTGCAGTAAGAGTTTTTAGTGTATACATTAATCGCCGCTTTCCGTCACTTTGATTACACTAGCAACTACCACCAAGACAACAAGGCTCTGCTTTCCCAATTAACCGGCGCTATAGCATTCCGTTGATGACTACAGACACGGACTGCTCAAGTGGGCCTTCAATAGGATTCAGCCGTTATTACATACATATGTATAATGTGATCACATTCTACTTGCTTATGGCATTAGTACATATGAAGTTGCTTTTTCTGTATATTTCTTTTTTCAATACATATTCCTATTCGGACACGGATACATCTAAGTACGGGAGTATATTATGCTACATAATCGCCACCCCATATGCTGGTCTGGATTTTTGATAGACGCTTCTTTTGCCAAGACTCGTCGCAGAAACAAAAAGCTAGTGCCGCATAATAGTTCAGTAAGCGAACAAAACCTCGCCTATTAGTGGGGGGCCCATGTACTACCACAATGATGGGTGGTATCCAATGTTGTCTTTTTTTTCCCTAATCAGTAGTGAAGGGTTTCTGCTCTAGGTAGCGCCGAAAATGTTTCCGTAGCAAAGGGGAGAGCGAAAAAAAAAATAAAGACAGAATCCTTTCGATTACCAAAAAACATTGTGTGAGAGTAGCTTCTATCTGTGTAACGTGCCTCTTTGCGTGTAATCAGACGGATGATTGCCTATTTTGGCATATATTACTACAGTGTGTGCTAGTAAAGCTGCCGGATAACATATGTACTTTATTGAAGCCTTACTATTGTCTACACTTCTGGTGAACGTGTGTCGTGCTGACGTGGCAAGTATTAGAAAGGTTCTATAATGCAACAAGGAAAAGTTAGTTGGTAGAATTAGGACATGTAGACAGATCGCTCCTTTCCATATAGGAAAAAAAATGATCAATGTTATTGTAAAGCTTCTATTGGAACAATGATAAATGGCAACGAGCTGGATGGTGTCACGCACATCTTGACCCTTGGCGAAGAAATTACTATATTCGGTGACCCGCCCGATGTTCATTAAAGTCGCAGCACACCACTCACAAGTGAACCCTTAAACTGTCATTTTCTTGTACAATGTAGCAAGGCATTTACGTCCACCACCACCACCACCCCACCTCCCTTGCCTTTTCTCTAATGTCTTTCTTTCATGTGCCTGAACGAGTAGCAGGCGAATTAGAAAGAAGAAGGGAGTAAATCGAAATACAGGGACGTAAGCATTTGGCGAAATAAAAGGTGGAACGAGCAGCACTCTATTAGACAAGCAGAAAGGGGTGGAGGAGAGAGTGAGAGAGAGAGTGAGTGAGGGAGGGGAGGAATTAAAGCAGAGGAGTAATGTGGAGAGAGGTGGTATTAGAGAACCCAAGAGGGAGAGACGTCTAATGGGGGGTGAAAGAGAGAGAGAGAGAGAGGATCAGCGGAGAAAATTTGTCACACGTTCACTCCCACAATTCCAGATCAGGGTCGCCGCCACGTCGTGGCGAGTAATTTCCAAAGCTTATCGTTGTGGCTCGGCAAAGAGTCAGGCACGTACGCCCATTCTCTGTAAGCAATCACCAGTATCTCACTACCACATTTCAAAAAAGTGTACGATTCTTATTTAAGCGACGGCCAATTTCATTTTATTATTCTTCTTCTTCCCTCCCTCTACCTTTTCCCTCTCTTTTTCATCTTATTTCCACTCGCTCTTGTACACTATACGACTATGTCTCCTCATTACTCTGTCGCAATCGAAGGCGGTCCGGAGGTATTCACCATCGACACTCGATATCGCATTGTTCGCAAGGTCGGCTCGGGCTCCTATGGCACCGTATGCTCTGCATATGATCTTCATGGCGACCGTTTCTGTGCAATTAAAAAGGTCCATCGTGTCTTTGACAAACGGGTCCTGACCAAACGATGCTTACGCGAAATCAAGCTCTTGCAACATCTCAACCACCATCCTCGCATCATTGAGCTCTTTGATATGGACGTTGTTGACGTCGACGCGTTTAATGAAATCTACTTGGTGTTTGATTGCATGGATGCGGTAAGTGCATGTTCATTTATTCAGAACCCTTTTTTTGTGTTACATCAAACAAACTAGTAAAGCTCATGTTGGGGAATTTCAATAGAGCTTGCATGACGTGATCCATTCGGATAAGCCTCTCGGTATCGTGCATGGTCAATGGATCCTCTATCAAATGCTGTCAGGGTTAAGGTACATTCATGCAGCTCATGTCATCCATCGCGACCTCAAGCCTGGTATGTGTTATTGTTTCATCCGCATACTTTGCAGTAAAACTATACATGCTTACGTCTCACTTTTAATTGTTCATCAGCGAATATCCTCGTAAACATAAGCTGCGACATCAAGATTTGCGACTTTGGTATGGCGCGAGGATACAGCTATGCAGACCAAGCAGCATCTGCAATGACTGAGTATGTGACAACACGGTGGTATCGTGCCCCAGAAATCATGATCAGCCCCAACAATTACAGCGAACTAAGTAAGCCTCTTTCTGAATTCCCATGCCATTACGCTCCATTCAAGCTCATGCGATCGTCTTTTATTGCACAGTCGATGTTTGGTCTGTAGGCTGTATATTTGCTGAAATCCTTGGACGTCGCGTGCTGTTCAAGGGTCGTGACTACATTGACCAGCTGCACAAGATCCTCGGTATCCTTGGTCTTCCAGAAAATATTTCCTTCTGGGATCCATCCGAATCCATTGCCTCGCATCTCCAACAACTATGCACCGTCGGCGGCCAACCCCCACCACGCCATGCCATGGATTTCCGTGCATTGTTTCCCGAATGTCCAGAACAAGGTATCGATATCCTGAAACAGCTGTTACAACTCGATCCACAGGCCCGTATCCATGTCGTGGATGCCATGGCACATCCGTTTCTGTTACCGTTCAGTGACCCTGTCGAAGAAGCACTGCAGCCAGAAGACGCGTGCGATTTTGCGTTTGAACAGGAGGGTAATGACGAGTCTTATTTACGTTCACAGATTGTCAATGAGATCATGACTTTCCGACGTAACGTGCGGTTGCAAGAAGCAGGAGGTGCAGGGGCTCAGGCGATTCGACGCCATCATACTTTGGAAGTAACAGCACAACAGACCCCGCGTCAACAGATTATGCCAGCGGCCACCATGAGTATTTTGGATCAACCAGCACGGCAGAGACGTCAATTGACTGGCAACAGCGGTGGTGAAGGTGCTTGTGGTTACGGTAGTAACGAGAATGGTGGTGATGATAACGACGACAACGACGGCGACGGCGACGGCTATGGTTACGACCGAGACGATGACAGCAGTAATATGGTTGAAGAGCCGACAGTCATGTCAGGAGGATTAGTAGGAGAGCCAGAAGAATTCGACATGGAGGAGGAGATACCAAGCCGAACGGCTGGAGTGAACGTCGCGCCTCACCGGCGGTTCCGCGCCCCTGCACGCGGACCGCTTCGAGACCGACTGGAGCGTGATCTAAGTGGCACTTGGTGATCAGTAATATGCAACAACACAAGAAACAACAACGACCGACTCCCTTACTACACAAACCACACCCCCCCACCCCCAAATGCTCCCTATAATCAGTTGTTCCATCCCTCCTAACATCCTGTTTTCTGTCCATCTTTTATGCTTTTCTTTCCTTCCCTTTCCAGGTGTGTGTATGCATTTTTTTCTTTGTTTCGTTTTCCTTTTCAGTGTCGGCTGCCGTTCTTCACTTTAGAGTTTTTCTGTTCTTCTTTACAAAAATTATGTACGTTCTTTTCCAACCGATTTCACTGGGTTAATCCAACAGTCTCTCTCCCTTCCACTTTGCATGTCGATTTGTCATATGCCTTTCTTCTTCTTCTTCCTCTTTTATATTTACGTTTGTTGGTGAGGATTTCTTCAGAACCCCCGCAACTTGTAGTAACCTTCATTGAATATGATCTTGATAAACCGAAAATTAGGCTGCAATATATCTCTTTTCTTTGTTACTCGCTGAACTGTGTTGTATATATCAAGTAGTAAGGTGGCGGTTGCCGGACCCACCCCTAACCCCCGAAAAGAAAAAGAAGCACAATGTTATATATTATACTGCCACATCAGGTTTTCTTCCATCCTCCTACTGTACTCCTGATTGCCCGCATATAATATGCCTTTTATAATTCAGGAAACACAGGAGGACGAGGGGTTGCAACAAAGCATGCACACTGCTTCTAGTAAGTAAAGGTCACTTACCATTTGTGTACATGCTTCCGCTTTCTCTGGATCCAACACGAGCGGCCAAACGTCACCACGGCCACATTGTTAAGGACCTCTGTTCGATGACCTGTTTGACCTTTAAGGTTGCCATACTCAAACGAATCCAATTTAATTTTTTGTTTCTGAGCGCATCTTGTATAGCTCGTTAAAACCTGTTTTACACATAGAGTATGCAAACCTTTAAACATCCAATGTATAACTATTGTACGTTATTGAGGATCAGCATTACATACTACTAGTATATACGTATCTCAATAAATCGCACGTCGAACGTGATTTCTGCTAACCATCACAAAAATCCTCACTGTAATGGTGGGAACTCAAGTTTTACCTTCATCCGAAAGATACAATTTGCCGTTTGTATCCTTTCAGACGTTTAAAACGACCTTTCAAGACCCTGCAAGACCTGAAAAGGCTCAAACGGTAAATTCAGAATTTGGATGTATAAGAACCAAAAAGTGCTGTCATTTTATACTCAACGTCTTGAACCACGCGTGAATGAATTTCAAAATTCAGAGTGAAGTTTATGCATGGTGAGATAAAAAGAATTCTTATTTTTTTTTGCAATATGTTGAGAAAAAGCAGCAGCACGTCAGCTTCATGGAGATCAAGGAATTCTGAAATGTTTGGGTTGTACTGAATAGCACAAGTGACCTTCACTGTATGTTGGCTCCAACAAAATGTTGGCAGAAGGAGTACTGGGACCTATATATACAAATAGCACATTATGTTTACTGTTGTGCAAACGATGGCGCTCTCATGCCATTTTATTTGAAATGTTCTGAACAGCACATTGAGCAAAAAAAAAGGGGCTGACTGCTGATAGACAAAACAAGAAAATATATAGCTAGCAATGATGATGCGTCTAAAACTTAACATGGTATATTAGGTATCTCTACTTAGTTTACTAAGGTGAACAATTGGGAGGCGTAGGAGCAAATGAGAAAAGTAGCCAAGGGGTGCTTATATAACGCTCGGCAAATCACTAAAATTGAGCATCTATGCTGATACTTTTAAAGTAACTTTTTAAACATATATAACAATGACACCGAATGAGATGGCTATTGTTCACTTCCCCTAGATTGGAAAATCATAACATTTATGCAAATGATCGAAACCTACTGCAAGTTTATAACAAGTCGATCAGCGCTTATTACTACTCCCTTATTCTTTTATACCCCTCAATCCCCACCCCTCTCAAATGATTGCTAATATTCAATCACACATACTGAATCCATTCAGTATACGGTTTTTGTAAGCTGCTTTGGACTTATTGAACTCTATGTGTCTGGCCTGTACCTGAGCGCATGGTAAGTATAACATCAGGTAATAGTTAACCAAAAACACATCCTCTTATGGTCCTGCATTTCACCTGGTAACTTGATTTTTTACCGCCACCAGTACATCAGCATTCAATCAATATGAAAAAGCAATTTTTGCTTTCACTGAATTTACAATTAATGGCGTAATGTACAAATGTTGTCATTCCTGTACTTCTACACTAGCATTTATACATATCATTATCTCTCTATTCCCTTATTACAGTGGGGACCAGAGCACCAACTATAGCGTATTATGTTTACGCTCGTAATATGTATAAGGTAATGCAAATGCTTTCACATAGTACCGCCACGAATAAAAATAGTAGTGAGAGGACAACAACAACCCCAATCAGGTGCAGTAGTCTCTCCCCGTGTAAAACTAGGTAGGTTTATTCACAGGTGATACGCCTTTCTTAGCGTATATAGTAGAATACATATGCTTCAATCATCTAGAATCAGGGCTGCGCCATAAGGAGCTAGCAACCGACATGTTTCAACGAGTACGCCATCTACATTTGTTGAAAACAATATTAATGTTTTCAAAAACTATTGTTTTTTTTTAATTAGCATGTGACATTACGCTATCAAATCGACAGGCAATAACAACGATAGAAAGGTTGACACGGTGCATGATATACAACAGTACAAAACAAACTTGCTGAACGCCTTACACTAAATGGAAAAAAGCATATTCGTTGTAGAAAACCACTCGCTTGAAAATGAGCGGATCAAATGCTGGTCTGTTATGCATCTACTCATCTCTCCCTTTGGTAATGATGAAGCACACAAGCGATGTCCTTCGCATCGGATGTGCAAGACACAGCAGCAACTCATTGACTTAGTACTTGACATTGTGTTTCAAAAAAAAAGTAGGACAGCTCAATTATGCCGCTCCTTGTGCAAGCTTTTTGACAAATGGGGCGGTTTGGACCGAGGCCGACTTCATTCAACACACGCATGGCTAACAATGAACCATCCACGTAACAAAAGAAAAGTCTTATTTTGAGCCGCGGGGGCGAAGAAAATGAATCCATCATTGACCTCAGAGGTCTGTCGGCATCCAAGCTGGCTCAAGTGTCACCGTTATTAATTCCGGTGGATTAAGCTGTGATTCTTGATGCGCAGCACGGAAGCAAAAAAGACATAGACGTCTGTGCGCACGCTGTGAGTACTAATGCCCTCAGATTATCGCTACTACGTTAACTCAAATGATTTACCTTGGTATTCCAAAAGTATCAAACCTTAGTCATTCGTTTTTCGCATTCATCTGTGCTTTCAATCAATCCTAGTATATGACAGCAGTAAATTGTGCATGTAGTATGATATATAGAGAAAGCGATAGGACATGAAAAAGCAAACTGCCGTCTTTGATTTCACCGCGCTTTTTCAATGATTAAACACGTGAAGGGGCTGAGACCATAGCAGCAGAAAACGGCAGCGAGAATTATAGCAAGAGATTTCATTTGTTCCGAGTAGAGTGTGTAATATAAGGAGTACCGTGGTTTCTCTTCACTATAGTGTTAAACATGCACCTTCATGTACCGGTGCTGTTTGCGTAAAAAAACATCCCTACCCTCAGAGAACACGTTCTCAGAAAGAAACCCGAGAATCACTCAATATGCTTTCTCAAGAATCAGTGCCAATACTGTTCTTCGGAATAGACGCAGCCTATTATCGGGTGAAAGCAGACATCACTATCAAGTATCTCGTTGCTATGATGTGCATCATTTCATCATGAAAGTAGGTGGGTTAGAGCCAAAGAAAAGCACATGTTGTTTCTATTTTGTCAATACCATGTGAAACGTATAAAAGGATCGAGACTGAGACATAACCATGATGCTAGACCTAACCATTTATTATGAACTCCTCTCAAGGCAGGGCAGCAGTCAATCATTGAGCTCTTGATTGTAAAAAAAAAAACAACAACAACCAATTACTCGATTGGTCTGCTCGAATGTGACTTTGTGAAGATAGGCAAACAGATGCCAATTGCCGTTGACAAGCTTGTTGACACTGATTGTGGGTGATCCTGATGCGCGCATCAAGTCCTATGTGAGTCCCCATTCCTGGAGGCTTAGCTGTTTTTAATACTCTTTCTCTGTTTCGAATTATCATAGTTCAAGAGACTCAAGTTAGCACCTATAAAACACTTTTTGTGATGCTCATATCTCGCAATAGTGCTTTAAATCTTTTAGTGCGTAAAAATCTTCTCTGTTCTATATTTATGAATATTTAAGATCACTGAAAAATCATGCCAAACTCAAAAAGGAGCGATAACGAAATAATGACGACGTTGTTGTCTTGAACTAGAGCCTTTTTTTTTTGTTTTTACAAGCCAGTTGCGTATTATCATGGGCCAGAGCACGCACTCGATAGACTCGACTTTCTGGCCACTGTAGCAAGATGTTAACATGGATCACTGCATAAGAAACTGGCCACAGGTCCGGGTTTTCTTAAAGGGGGGTTCCTATGACATGACTAATCCAACGCATGCTTGTTCCTGTATTGATAACGACTGCCTGACTGGGCATTGTAATTTTTGATGTCCCGTGTGTGATGTGCAGTATAAGAGAGGATACACAGTAAACAAACAATGACAGGAGACGAAACATATACATTGAAAAATCATCAGACCAGTTATTTGCTGGTACCTATTTGTGATCTGATCCAACTCACTCACTCTCGTATAACACATATCGTATTACAGCACATTGTAAGTAAAGCACTTTATTTTCTGGAAAAAAATTTGGTTTAGTGGAATGGGTGCCGAACTTAACCCATATTGGCTTGGGTCGGGTAGTTACACAAACAACACTTTTTTTTTTAGCTCAAAGTTTGGGTAAGTGTGTGTCGCGTTGTTGCCGCGATCGTCCATGGACTGGAAATACGTGTCACGACGATTCTGATCTCTCTATGTAAAATGGTTATTATTATTATCTTGTAAAAACTTTTCCGTTGATCCGGCGCCTCGTTTCTTTGTAGAAAACTCGACCCTGCTCATAGTTCTCCACCGGAATATTATTTTTTTTTGTACTCATCATTTTGTGTGGGAGCACATAAATTATGTATATACCCGAGTACGAAGCAAAAAGAAGGGCGGTGCTTCTTTCTATTCGAGGCTGCTTGAGGTGTGTAAGCGGTTTCGGATGATGGGCTGACGAATCATGTGCATGCATGGATACATATAGCACAGTGGAGAGTTGGATTGAGTGTGTGTGTCATTGTACATGGCAACAGTGGGGCCTGTCTGCTGGCTGGAATACTTTTATGCGCCCTTTTTTAGTTTGTAGTGCATATACACTCTGTATGTGTTGTATGTAATGTACCTGGGAGAACATTACCTAATGTGTCTTAGTGCGTATCTGCAAAAACGATTCGTGACCCAGCAACACAATTTTTTACTTTTGGTCACCGCGCACCTGGACGACAAGCGCGCTCTCTCTCTCTCTATGTGTGTGGCACAACACATGTTGAACAATTACGCTTGAACTAGACAAAACAAGCATACAATCACGGATTGCACGTTTGGATCAGACAATAAGAAAGATGTAGTTTTCGTAGTTGCAATATATTATTAAGTAAGAAAGAGCAATAGTGAGTAGGTGTTTTACCGAAACAAAAACAACAAAAGGCGGAGGATGATGATGATGATGACGATGATGAGAAGATGAGCGGAGGGAGGGGGGGTTGCGTTTGGGGGAGAAAGGAGGGAGGGAGGGAGGGAACGAAAGGAAGCAGAAAGAACAGAGTGTACAAAAACAGGGTGGGGATGAATGTAATACAAAAAGAGCAAAGAAGAAGGTTGGCCTAGGTTTCATCTGTATCATGTGGATGTTCTTCTAAGGGACAAAAAAGGTGATGATATCACATTCGAAGGATCCGGCTTTTCTTCCTTTAGTGTATAACAAGCGATAGCGAAGGAAAAAGGAAAAAGAAGCCGGTAGAAGACGTAATAACAAAACAACAACGAACCGTTGCCGTACATACCCAAATAATAATAATTATAATAATAATTATGTTGATAATGATAGCACACACACCAAGAGCCCATGTTTTTCTTTTTGCGCCACTCGGCCATTTACGCTACAGCTGCAGCGCCCTCGTCGTTCGTCAGCCGTTGCTTGTTGCTAGTACCGGTAGGAACAACAGTGGCAGTGGCGGCAGAGGTTCTAGAGGCCGTCGTCTTGCTCTTCTTCTTCTTCCCGAACCTGCTTGACCGTTTCATTGCCGTCCAAAAGATACTCGAAAAGTCGCCGCCGGTGTTTGACACGGGGTAGTGTCGGTTAGGGATGGGCTTACCCAAAAATTCGCAGAGAGGCTCCCACCCGTCGCCAAGCGACATGATCAGAAGCCGATCTGCAGGCACAGTCCGCTTGACTTCTTCAATGTGTGCGTCATACATCTGCATCATCTTCTTGCGGTCAAAGAGAATCGATATGTCGTTCAGGCTCATCTTGTGACCGCGGACAAACGTGCCAAACCATGTCTCGCGTACTTGTCGCACTCGTTCCGGCATCATGTTGCCCATGTGTCGCAGCTGAACCAACGGCAGGATCGTCTTTTGAATTGACTTGTACCAACTCTCGGCCGATCGGACTGACAACACCACCTTGCTTTCCGGATACCGTTCCATCAACTCCTTGTAAAAGACGCATGTTGGCCAGTCTGAGGCAGCGTCATAATCGCCATATGCATCCTCCCATTCAACACTGCCAGGGTTCTTGTACGCCTTTAGCCATATTGATGCGTTCTGACTTGGGTCTGTAAGTACGCTCATGCCATGGTGTGTTCGGTATCTGTTGATGTTTGTTGTTTTGTTGTTTGTTGATTTGTGAGAAAAAAATAGGTACATAGAGAGAAGGCGTTCATTGTGGCCAGTTTTGTGGGTTAGAATATGAGTCAACAGCCATTCTGGTATCCAAGTTATATAGACAGATCAGAAAATTTCTTGCTTGTGCATATCAAGCACTTACCCGAGGATATCTAAAGCTTGTTGAAGGCTGAGGGTGCCTGTTCTACTGTATCCGGCGCAAATGACTTGAAGTGGCATGTTTAAATGATGTGTGTGTGTGTGTGTATGTAAAAAAGGTAAAGAGTTCAATGAAAGATGAGAAAGAGAGAGAGAGAACAAAAAAGGACAAGAGATTGATCTGGACAGAAAAATGCGTGCGTGCTTTCTTTTATATAAAAAAGAAAAAGAGGAAACTCAAAAAAAAATTGGATTCAGTTCCGCACAACCTTCTATGTTGCTCGCTACTACTCGGTAAAACTGAATATGCAGCCAGTCGTTTCTGCGTGTGATGATGCTATTCTGCCAAGAGCACGCACACACACACTCTCTCTCTCGTCTTTTTTACCATTATCGCTCCATAACAAGTCAGCCAAGAGCCCACTGGTAATTAAATAGCGCCAAGTTTAATATTCCTCCCCCCCCCCACCTTCCTTCATTCTCCGGCAACCCTCCCAATCTCGGCTCTCTGTCTTTGTCGCCATGGATACCCCACTCGTTGCGTCCCATAACAACAGGAATAGAATTAGTTACATGGTGACAAAATGGGATCTCTAGCTCTGGTTGGGTATCCAAGTCAACGTCTTTATGTCTTTTCTGCAGATCATCATCATCGGTCGTCGTCACCATGTCAACCTAGCAGTAGCCTCATCGGGGAGAGAGGCGCTGTTCCTGCAGCCTTGTAACCAAAAGTGGTTTGGTTTCTATTTTCTGTTGCTGCTACTTCTTATGGGAGAAGAGTGGAACTTATTTTTTGATTCAAAAAGGTTTTTTGTCATTTTTCAAACAAAACAACCAGCTAGGCGCGTGATGTGTCCGCCAAGTTTCTGACTGGATGAATGATGCAGGGACTCTCGGTTTCTGGAAGTGTCAAACAAAAGACAAACAGCGTCGGGTAACGAATTTTTGGTTTCTTGTGTTTGAATGAAACATTGCTACTGACACACTCTACCCCCACCCCCTTTTTGAAAAGCATAATACATCATGGGCAGTGATGATGTCTCCAAGGCAAGCCGTGAGTCAGTTTTATGACCGAGCAATTCGTATTTGTACAGGAGAAAAACCATAGCGTTCATTGGTCTCCTTGTACGGTATATCTCTCTTGAAAAAAAAAAATCGGCGCACAGTTGCTTCCGGACTTTCCTCTGTGTTCATTTCCGCTTACGTGTTCCCTTCTTCTGCAGGAAAGTCCACGTTGTTGTACTTTCCTTGTCTTGTTGTTTATTATAAATACTCTTAAAAATAAGTAGCGATCCCACTACGGTATCTTGTATACAGTTGAAAGGTCAGCGGATTGAGTAAATGATCTTTATCAATAACTCATTGTTAACTATTTTCTACTCAATCAAATAATGCCAAGCTTGCGCTTAAACCCCAATTCTGTTGTTGTCAATTCCCTTCATGGTTAATAGGGTCTTTTCATTTTCTCATGTCATTAACAATGATACATACTGTCGTGGTCTGCATCCGCTGAGTTTTTTTTTTGTGCCTTGGCCCACTTGGCGGCAGAAGAGAATTACCGAGAGTCGAGCATTCTCAAAATTATTTGCCAAGGCTTAGCTTATAGGGGGGAAAGAAGGGTCGTTGTTACGGGTCGTGCATGCGAGTTCACGGCTTCAATTAGTCAATACATATGATTTCGGAGTTCCCCATCTTGCATACTAAAAGCTCTCAAACTGTTTAGTTTTACACTGTCCTCGCAATTAGTGTTCCATAACGAACGCGTATTACACATGGCAGTTAAACATACGCCGTACAGCAAATTATGAAGGCTCATTCTTACAGGACTACCGCCTTTGAGAGGAAAAAGAACGGTATACTTATGTAACACATGGGATATGCTTGTAACACACCAATAACATGTATCCATTGTATTAGTGTAAAAGACGTCGGAAAAACTGCATCAAAAATATGGTAAAATGTCAAAAAAAAAATCAATGACCCGTATACTGCTGGAATGGTTTTCTTTCTTCCATTCCTCTATTTTCCAGTGTTTCTTCGACAGTGGACTTTTTTTCCCGTTCGACATTGGACGGTGTGGCCAAAAATAAAAAAAGATATATCAGATGGGGTCAATTCCGGCCCTCATGCGCGTTTCTCCAATTAGACGTTCGGATCAAAGGAAAAATAAAACTCGCATTGCGATCCGATCAGACCCAATGCGCCGCACATACTTTGGACGTGGGGAGGGGGCCTCCGAAGCCCCAAGTCAAAACCGGCAAACAGCGAATTTTTTAGGATCCGTTGGGGAATACCGAGAAAGACAGCAGCCTCATCGTGCACACATGCAAAAAAACAGTTTTTATTATTAATATTCGCCGATGATCACAACACGTTCATTGAACGAACAGTTAAGGATGGCTATATAGTAAAGATGTATATAGCAAGTGAACAAGAAGCAAGATCTATTTTAGGGCCATCAAACTAAATAAAGTTGCATGAGTTCCATGTCAGGTTACATTTACGTATAAAAGGATACAACAACGGGCCTTGGCATGGCATCATGAAGATAAACAAGTGACAATACGTCAATAATAGGAAAAAATCATCAAGTCTCAGAAGCAAAAATGCAGTCGACTGTAGCTACATTCACACTGGTGCAATAAAGACACGCGTGTATATCAAGTTCTGTGACAAATGACAGTGCCGAGCTTTTATAAATGTTACACTTTCTTTTATACTACAGAGTCATTCGAATCATCCTGGCTTTTTAAGCTGCTAAAATGCTTGTGCAAAGAGGAAGATTCTCAAAGACCAAATCAATTCAATACGACGCATCACTCAATATCTGAAGCAGGGCAGATTTCCCATCTGTCCATACGTCCGTGGCGTGGGGATTTGGAGGGATCAACTACTGTTATCATACTCTAAATAGACATGATATCTCTCGAGAGCCAGAAAAGCACCATGAGTAAAGCAAATCTTTCGAGTAACATTGCATTCGTACATACACTTTTTCGTTTCTCTCTTCTACCAACATGTTTTGCGATACGTACACACACATCATGTGTAGGTAACCCCACTCAATACATTCGCTGCAGGTGTAGCAAACAAAAGTTTTTTAAAGCCGCTTATTTATAATGGACACATCAACATAAAACAAGTATAAGTTTTTCAGCCAGACATCTTTGAGCAAGCGGGTTAGAACCGAAGCCTGTCTCGTTAACTTGACATGCAACATGCTATTTAAAATATCAAGATCGTGGATGGTCCCACTCCCCCCCTTCCTCCTGCGATTTTTTGTATTACATCACTTAAGAAACTGAAAAAGACCGTCGTGGATTGTATTCGCGCCATTACAAAAGTTAACTCTTTGAATCTGATCACTACTATAACAATAAAAAGTCGACTGTGTATGTCCTGCGTATGCATGTATGCACTGGGTGCAATTGTCCACTGGAGAAAAAAGGTGTGAGAATAATCGGGTTCTAGAAACGTGGGCTTGACCACGTAATACTTTTTTCACCAACTACGGTCGATCATATACATATATGTCACAGTAAAGTGTTTTATAGATATTCATTCGTTAGGCGTAAGCAACCAGAGCCCCCCTCCACCATCTCAACTTGTGTTGTATGACGATGAACACTATTCCAGCAGACAGCAAACGAAATATGTATGTAGTTATGCTGGTGACGATTCGTTTTTCCGAAAAATTGATATGTAACAGTGAAACTATTATCGAGTACCTCATTGAGGAGGCATTGCTACCATCATACATAGCACAAGCGTTACAGTGGGTGAGGTGTATATACCAGCATATGCCTGCCAAGGTATGTAGATGATGAGCAAATCTCTGCTGCTACAAAGCTACCGTAAAGCTACCGTGAGTTTCGCAAGGAAGAGATGGTGCGGATGCTGTAGGCAATAAGGGATGTTTGGCATTACGCTGTACGACTCTTCCATCAACGCGCCCACTACAAGTTTACTAGCACCTATTTCGCCTCTCTATATTATTTGTAACACACACGCACGCACAAAAACAAATTTACTAAAACTAGATGCATCTTTGTTTTACCTCTTTTCCTTTCCATTTTATTTACTTTTTCTCCTCTCTCCCAATTTTCTTTTAAATCGAGTATTCCATCGGGGATGATATTCACAAAAGCCCAAGTCAACGTCATTGCTGCTATTGCAGACGCAGTCGTAGCCCCACTCTCACCTGAAGAACAAGCCAAACTCCAAACTGTCAGTAACACAACAAGCAATACTACGCAACAAGCAGCAGCAGCCCTATCAGCCTATATAAGCTATTCGGGATCCACCGATGCCCATGCCGTGGTTGAGCTCTTGGAACAACTACGACCGGACCAACGCGAGCGATTGCAAACGATACTGAACCTATTGGACAGTGCAGCCGGCACATTTCTATTGACGGGCCACTTTAACAGATTCGCGCAACTCGAGCGAAACGAGCGGCAAAAGGCGATGACAAGTTGGAAGACGTCCATGTTGCCCCCGTTGCAGAGATTATACTCTACCTTGACGGGTCTTGTTGTCAATGCGATATATCGAAATCCGTCCTGTCCTGCTTATCAAGCTATTGGCTACCAAGGTCGAGACCCTGTCAGGTCTCAAAAAGATTATCAGCCTAAACACGTTACGGAACGATTGCCCATGGTGACCTTGGACGAGGTGGAGAGTCAATTCATGTCGAAACGGTTTGATGCTATTATTGTAGGCAGTGGTGCTGGTGGAGGTAGTCAAACACCTTTTTTATTTTTTTTTACTCCCCCGAATCATTTCTCATGCAAGACGGACGGAAACATTTTAGGTGTGTGCGCTGCAGAACTAGCCGCGGCAGGCCAATCGGTACTCGTGATCGAAAAGGGTACCTACTACCATGAGAGCGAGTTCCATTGGGATGAGAAAACAGGCATCAAGAACTTGATTGAAGCACAGTCTCTGTTGATGAGCGAGAACGGTCTTGCACAGGTCTTTTGTGCTTCGGCGTTTGGTGGCGGTACCACGGTCAACTGGTCAGCTTCTCTCAAGGTACCACTTTTCCCGTCGCGTTAAAAAAAATGTCCTTGAAAACTACTCACCGGAAAGTCGTGTGGTGTGTGTATATACTTGTTCTCATATCAGTCATCCTTTTTTTTATCTGTCATATAGCCTCAACACTACGTGCGTGAAGAATGGGGTAAAAAGTTCGGCTTGACGCACTTTATGTCTCCACAGGTAATGTACATATAAAGCTAGCTCTCTCTCTCTCTCTCTCTCTCTCTCTCAAATATATACACATGCAATAACTAATAGGAACAACAGTTTGTCAAAGACCTTGATCGTGTTTACGAACGTATTGGAGCCACTGCTTCGGGGATCAAGCACAACAAACCTAACCAGCTTTTCATTGAAGGATGCCAGTACGTACAATGTATGGAAAAAGTGGAGGAAAGACAAACCAAATTCATGCAATTTTCCCATGACTCTTTTTTTTTTACCCCACACCCTACGTTAGTAAACTAGGGTATCCCATTGCCGATGTTCCACAAAACACCGGCGGCCAATCCCACGAATGCAATTGGTGCTTTTATGGCTGTACCGATGGTATCAAGAATGGCACGATGAATACCTGGCTACGCGATGCGCATGCCAAGGGTGCTCAATTCCTCGACCGAACCAAGGTCACGCGCGTATTGAGCGAGAACAAAAAAGCAGTTGGGGTTGAATGCGTTGTGCACAACAGCGACACGAAAATCAAACTGTATGCCGACCGAGTGATTGTTTCTGCCGGATCCATGAACACACCTGGGCTGCTGCTCCACAGCGGACTGACCAACAAACACATTGGCCGGCACTTGAGACTCCATCCATGCCAATTTGTCTATGGCATGTTTGACGATCCAGTGGATATGCATGCTGGCTCCATCCTTACGACGGTCAGCAATGTGGCAGAAAATGAACTGGGCGGTGGCTATGGCGCCAAGATTGAAGTGCCTGCCAGTCACATGGGCTTATTTGCTGCCATCTTGCCCTGGCGCGGTCCGGTTGAGCATAAGCAGACGATGCTTAATTACCGCCACTTTATGCCGCTTGTCTTGATCAGTCGTGACAAGGATTCGGTCGGCACTGTCAAGTACAATGACCAAGGCCATATCGCGTTTGATTACACCTTGTCCAAGGGTGATCGTCGCTCGCTCGAAGCCGCTTTGGATCGTGCCGTCATGATCTTGGCTGCTGCTGGTGCGCGTCAGGTCCACACGTGTCAGCGGGGTGTGGGTCCATTTGTGTTTGCTCAGGACGAAGAGATTCGTGCGGATCTTCCTCGGTTCCAAGCATGGCGACACAAGGTGGCCAAGTATGGATTGCCCGAAAATGGCGTCAATTTGTATGGCAGTGCACATCAGATGGGATCTTGGTAAAACGTCAATGTTCTAGGATTTGTTCACGGTTTTGTCAGCTCTCTCACTCACTCACACACACGTTACGTATATATGAAAAGTCGTCTAGGCGTTTCGCCAAAGGTGTCCGCTACAAAACCCACGGGTGAAACATGGGACGTCAAGGATCTATATGTGGCCGATGCATCCTTGTTCCCAACAGCCAGTGGCGTCAACCCCATGGTGACCGTCGAAGCTATTGCGTTACATGTTGCAGCCAGCATTATCAAGTCTACCAAAGCCTCTGCCCATCTGTAAAAATAAACAGCAGTGATACTAAACTGTTTCAAGTTGTTTACTGTAGTTCATACGCGTTCTTGTTTCTCCATGTACCATTATATATATATATAGCTTTGTTGATCGACTCATAGAAAGACAATAATCAATCCTCTTCTCTCTTTTGGCCAGAAAGCACACTAACATTATAAACTTCCATGTATTTTGTAAGTACATTTGTTTGACGAATCAGTAAAAAACGAAATCAAAAGGGAAGAGAGAGAGAGAGAGAGAGAGAATAAATAAATAAATAAAAAGACGCAAATGCTGATGAAAAAAGAAAGCAAAAGAGAAGAGGGAAAAAAGGAAGAGAACACAACAACAGCTAAAAGTAGAAGAACAATCCTGACGCATTAATAAAAAAGTGTCAACTCTCTCTCGTCTGGTGGTGGTGTGTTGGAGAAGGAAGAAAGTACGCGCGAGAGAGAGAGAGAGAGAGAGAAGAACACTTGGATTAACTGCCAAGGGTAACAAGAAAGAAAAGGGGAGGATGTGACCTTTTTACAACAGAAAGAGAGGAGGGCTGGTATGTGTGGATTTGGGAATAAAGGGCGGAACCTGATAGGGAGGAGGCAGGTAGGAGGAGGAGTGTAACAGAATATAATACGATATTATTTTTTCTACGGGTATGGATAGAGTGGGTCACTGCTGTTCCCAATCAATGGAAGTCCAAACGCAGCAAGCGACCCCTCTCCGTTCTGGTATCCAAACGAGCTGCTGTTGCTGCCATAGCGCAAAGAGCCAAGACTTTGGTGTTGTCTGACACCGCGTTGACGGCCACCGTTGCTACCTGCACCGCCTTGCTGCGGTTGCTCACGTTGGATCTTGCTGTGGATCCGTTTACCATAGGGTGTGCTCCTGATCGAAGGCAACAAGGGGCGAATGTATTCCACAAGCTAGAAAAGTACGATCAATATCTGGCTGCTACTACATAAGCGTTAGGTGCTCTTGGGAGTATCAACAAACCTGCACACGCTGGTCTTGATCTGCGTATTCGAGACATGTTTGTACAACATAGTTTGCAAAAGAGTCTCGCAGTAGCTTTTCAATGTTGGTTTCGTTCAGTAGTTCAGTGACCATCAGTCGACGCGTATCTGGTTCGGCCACTCGAATGCACTTGATGAAAGGAGGTCAGCTCAATGGGTGTGTTTCTTTTTGACATGAACAGATAAGAATTGGGGACTCACCTTTTCAATGACATTGGAGCTGAATTTTTGCACACTCAAGTCGCATACGTGCTCAAGGAAGCAACGGACCAAGGTATCGGTGTATGCGATATCACCCAAGTCAAGGACGTATTGCACCACGTAATTACCAAACGGATCTTGAACAAGAGGCAATGCATGCCATGTAATCACTTTGACAAGTTGATTCTATATAACCCCCCCACCCCAGCATGAACAAAAAAAAAAGAGGTAAATGAGAAGGGGGTTGGCGGGGGACACGAATAGAAGCGCAGCCATTGTATTTAGCGGGCAAAAGAAGCAGTAAGTTAATTTACCTTTTGTGCTTCCGATGCATAATCGATGCAGCGTTGGAGTACACAGCAGCCATGACGGTGCGTAGCAACCTGGATACAATGTTCACTGACTGCATCATAGATAAACTGTTTGTGCTCAGCTGATAACCGATGAAGACACTTTTGGATCACGTGGTTGCCGTTCAAGTCTTTGATCAAGGTGACTACGTTAGGGTTTAGAGCAACCGTCACTGCATGAATCTATTGGAATTACAATGAGAGGATAATCAATATAAGTAAGGAAATCATGTGATCACAACCCCTTCCCTGGCTATATATACCTGCTGAGACGTGGATAGAAACTCGATGAATCTTTGAACTGCACGCGTGCCATGCATATTCAATGAGATTTTGAGCAGATCAGGTGCGACGGTATCGACCAAAATATCCCGTTGGCTATCGTCGCAATGCTCAATGAGCTTCTGGCACAGATAATTACCGAATGGCTCTACATGCATCATTGGTTACAAATGCGAAAAATGATGGATTATTATCACTCTTCAAGTTGTTACTCCTAGAAATCGTCCGGTTGCTACCTGTCATTAATTCCACAAAATGAGGCTGAACTTCGTCAAAGATAAGATGCAATTGCTGTCGATCAGGTTCTTCAAGCTTCTTTTGCAAGAACCGACATCCATTCTGGTCCTTGCATAATTCATAGATTTTGCCTTGAAAATCTTCCAATTTGGCACCGGCGAAACGGTTTTGTTCTTCGGATGGCACGCTGCTCGATGATGTCGCTGGACTGCCACGACGGCTCAAAGGTCTGGTTGAAGCAGTAGCATCAAATCGTTGCTGTTGTGCAGTGGGTGTTGTGGGTAATGAGGATTGATGATGATGTGGTGGGACCAAGTTGTTGTTGTTGTTGTTGCTGCTGCCGTTCATAGAGGACTTGTTGAAATTGGGTGATGTCGAAGCCAAGTTGTGGAGCATGGAGTACTGTTGATAAATGGATGAAGGATGGTAGAAAGGCAGAGCAGGCATGCCTCCTTGTCCTGTTCCAGCTGTCAGTTGAGGTGACGATGGAGGGTCGGCAGCATCCAATGGATGATGGTGATGGTGATGAGGAAGCTGATGATGCGCATAAGGACATTGGTCCTCGAGCATGCAAAATCCAAACTGATGATACTGTGGACACGGGACAGACGACAGGTCTTCATTGGTATTGTTGGCGGCGGCGGCTGCTGCAGCAGCGGCTGCTACCAGCGCGTCATGCATTGTGGTCGTGGGTGTTGTAGGCGGAGCAGGAGCAGACTGTTGTTGGTAATAGGAGCGCAAGGCAGCGCCATGTAGATCCGAATAGGACTGAGAGGCGGTCAATCGACTGTTTTTATATTTCATACCGTTGGATAAGTAGTGTTGTTGTTGATGATGGTGCTTTGGATGATCTCCCGTGGCACCAGCAGCGGCAGAAGTGGGTGGCCAGCCATAGGAAAATCTTCTGGGCTGTTGGCCATAAAAAGCAGCCTGAGCACGTGCATTAGGGAGAGTGGAAGCATCCTCAAAGGGCGCAACATCCGCATTCTCCAGATACTGTGCCCACGACTTGCTCCTCAGGGACTCGACGCTTCTATTCTGTCGTGCAGAGTTGCGACGAAGGGAGGATGCCAAATCAAGCGCCGACGACGATGGAAACTAGGAAAAAACATCTTTCATGTAAGTACATACGCACTAGTTGTTGTTGTTGTTGTTGTTGTTGTTGTTGTTAGTGTTTACCAGTCCATTGTCGTTGACAAGCGGGGACGATAGTTTGTCGGTGGAGCCGTATCGGTTGCGGAAATAAGGATCGTTTCGAGGTGCTGTTGGAAACATGTCTAAAATTGAAAGAAATTATGCAACGGATGAGTAGAAATTTTTTTTAGCTTGTTTGGTAGGTAGTGCGTGCTGTCTCTCTCTCTCTCTCTCGTTCCAACCTGACCCTCACCCCCACCCCTTTTTTTTGTCCTTCTTCCACAACTCACTCAATATATATATATACACACACACACACACACAAACGCCATTTTATTATCAGTGGCCCCCCTCTCCCATTTACCAGCAGTTTTGTGAGGATCGCCGCCGTCAAAGAGGAGATTCTTGGACAGGAGATCCTGAATGCTTGTTGACGTAGGCACATTGTTTCCATTCGTACTGCTATTACCGCTAGCCCTTGTTGTTGAGGAAGAAGACGCAGACGAAGGCAGTTTATGCTGGTGGTGGTGAGGGTGCTGACGAGGGTGATGGTTGTGATGGACTGATCCAACATCGACACTCATGGATCTATGCGCTGCAGTTTTGACCCTATCATCACCATGTTTTGCACCCGGCGAAGAATTTCTTTTTGTTCGGATGGAACCAAGAGAAAAACAAAAGTGTTAAACCATGGGGGCAAACTGGTGGAAGGAGGGGCTCTATCATTCCATATCCCAAAAAGTCCATTTACCTTCGCTGGTCTTCCGTTTTCAGCTTTTCAAAGACGGAGCAGAGACCGGATTCTTCTTCTTCATTGTTGTTGTTGGATGTTTGTGACAAGGTATCAGACGATGGCAACGACGGCGATGGACGACGTATTTCGTGAAGTGGATGAACACCAGCTCCTCCGTTGTTGTACATGTTGCTGCTGTTGCTGTTGCTGGTGGTTGTGGTTGTGGTTGTGGTACTGGAATCAAACAATGTGGAGGATGAGGTTGTTCTTGGCTGCTTCTCCACTGAATCCATATATAAAAAATACACGATAGCTTCTTTTTTCTTCTTCTTCTTTCTTGACAAGGAAAGGAACGAAACGAGGGAAAGAAAGAGGTTAGATGTGGGATGAAAGAAGGTAAAGAAGGTAAAGAGAGAGAGAGAAATTAAGGAACAAGAATACAAGTGAAAAAGAAGGAGCAAAAGCAAAATAGGGGTCGTGTGGGTTAAAAGAAAGAAAGAAAGAAAGAGCAGTGAGCAGAGCAGTCCTTTCTCTTTTGCCTTTTTGCTTGGATCGACGGACACAGCACAGCGCAGCTCTTTGGGAGAGAGTCCTTTTTGTCTGGGATGTGTGTGCGTGCGTTCTTCTATTATGCGTGCTGTTGCTGCAGGGGCATACTCACACCCACAAAAAAAAAAAAAAAACCTTTCGAGCACCGAAGGGGTTATTTCACTAACTACGTGCTATCACACTTACCATGTTTTCCTTTAATTCACTGTGACAAGCGCGTGGAAGGGGGAGGGTGGGGGTGGGGGCCCATTATACGTTTCTTGTGAGATACACCGAGGAGAACTCTTTTTTTTTTCTAAAAACAATACACCAGTGTTAAGACAGATCATGAACAAGAAGGAGGGAGGGAGGATGGTTGAATGAGACAAACGGTGATTTCGCCATTCACAATGTTTTGGTCCGTGCCTCCCTTTTTTTCTTTCTGTCAACCCACTACACGGAAATAAAATAGAGCCACAGACACACCTACTCGCACCTCCCCCTCAAAAGAACACGTTCATCTGGTGTGTGTGTGTGTGTGTGTGTGCAAGTTATGGAGAACGCCTAATCAGAAAGAACTCCTTCTTTTCTTTCTACTACTACTACTATTACTACTACTACTATCCCTACTCTCTTTTTTATTTTAACTAGCCTGTTTGACATTCAATGCTCAAAAGGATAAGCATTAAATCATCTCCCCTCCCTCAACGCTTTTGCTTTGCTGTGTGACGAAAAAAAGTTATATAATAAGCCCTAAAAGAAGCAGTAAATTCCGTCGAATTTTATGTGCTCTTTTGTGGCTCCCCAATAGAGTCCACATGAGCATCATTAATACAAAGAGTGTTACCGATATCTGACTGCAAAGATGAGGAGAAAGCACAGGAAGGAGTGGGGGGGGGTGGTTTGACTGGAGGAATTGGGAGGTGAGGTATCTACCCAAAAAAAAAGGTGTGTCTGTCAGTCTCTACTACATACTCTGGAGGGTTCCTTTGGTTCAATGCATATATAAAGTAGTGTTAAAAAGTAATATAAAGCCGAATGGCAAATATTCAGGGTCGTAGTAGTAATACACATTACACTAAGCCAGTAAACGGGAGACAAAAATGAGAAGGAAAAGGGGAAGAAGTTATTAGTTCGTACATATGAATATTTAAGCTACTACTACTAATACTACTATGATACTTCACAGAAAGGATGTATATTGTAGCAACAACAACCAACACGCATTTCAGACTGATGACAGGCAGGTGTGGTATGATGGGCCCATCTAACTATAATTTTTTTTAAGGTTGAATTGGCTCGAAACAATTAAATAACGCGTTGGAAGAATTAACCTTTTAATTAAAAATCCCATTTGTCTAAAAAGGGGAGAATAGCTACAATACAATACATAACTTGAACTCTACTATGTATAAATTCGATTCTCTTCCATCATCACTGATATTTATAGGGTGATGATGGTCATTACGTTGACGACGACGATCCCTTACTACTACTAGTACCCACTATACTACTACCGTTACTGCTGCTTCAAAAAAATAAGTGTTTGAGAGAGGGATCGCCACCGTTTTTGTAAAGAGTTTTCATTTGCTGCTGTGCTCAATATAAAACTTGCTTAGAATTACTCAAAAAGTGTATCTTACCAGTTCTTGGCGGGCTTAATATGATTTTACCTGTATATCAATCATGCTATCATAGAATTCTTAAAGTGTGTACATATACAACCAGCATTTGAAACGAAACTTATAACACACCACAAAGGCAGCACGAGCACGTGGATGTGATGTGAAGCAAACCTAACCTTTTTTTTTTACTTTTTTTAGTTACATAAATGATGTACACTGTAATGTGCTTGTGCACTGTATAATTAACCTCCACCTGACACATGGGGACGGATCACAATTTTTTGCTGCTACTGCTACTACTGGTAAATCTTTTACTGCCATGTACTACTGCCTATCGACATAATGTATCATTCTGGAAGCATTTCAGTACATGTGTTGTAGCTTGGTTCTTTTTGCTATCAATGTAAGATCTTGATGAACATACATTACCGAGAGCGACGAACACGAAAAAAATAAGGGATATCACATACTCTGGTAATGAAATTGAGTGAACAATTGATAACTCTACTCCTTATTCTACCAACTCTTGGTGATTCACACATGCTTTTATTTCCTTTTTTTTCCCCTTGTTTTCTACAGTGCATATATGCAGGGGGAACACAGGGAAACACAAGCATTTTTTTTTTCATTTTGCAAAGTCAGAAAAAAGAAAGGCTAAAGTGTGATGTATGACAGTAGCAAGCAGTACACTGGATTTCTTAGATGCAATACATGAAAAGGCTGCCCACTAACTACATATAATTAAACTGAGGGGTGTGACTTTAGCTCATACTGCTTCTCCTCGATTTTCCTTATTACATTCTCGTATTTTATTACGATTTACAGAGATTTAAGCATTCTGATGGCTGATGTAAATGTAATACACATTGTTAAAAGAGGTTAATTTGTCGGACTTCATTCCGAGGATACTGTAGAATTCTGCTGCATGAATAAAAAAAACAGCGCTAGTGATGGATGATGTACAGTAGGCGTTGTTGTTGTGTGACGACGAATACTACTCTTCACATATGAAATCGGGATTGTGTCAAAATAACATTTCTTCACTTTGATCGTCATCCCCTTTATCCTTCTTAAACCATGAATTTCCTGTGTTGTACGCTCAAGACACATATGACGTTCACTATCCATCGGGGGAAACATTGTATCAGCCTTTTTTTTTTGTATATCATCAAGCACAACGGCAAAATAAGCGTTTTATGGCACTCTGGAAAATAGTGGGCGACCCTACACAGCGAAGAATTACGTGCCTTGAAACGGGATATAGATGCTGCTGAGAAACAGATGGAAGACTACAACCAAAAAAAAAACTCTAGATTTACATTTATTTATATCAACAAGGTAGGTTCACATTACATACCCGCGATACGTTGACAACAGCAGAACCGCATCAGCACCATTATCAACAAGAGCAACAAGCGTTGGTTAGTTTCAAAAGAGGGTTGGATTCTGGCTAGTGTATCACCCTCATTATTAAGAATCAACTCGTTGGAACGTGACGAACATTACACCTAAATACGACGATCTTTTGCATTCCTACTTCTCAACAAACGGGTATCGTGCCCAAGCATGGGACGGAGTTCTGCCTTGGTGGATTTTGTCTGCAGCAACATCCCATGAGGTTTTTGCGTGTGCGAATATTTGGTATGTTCCTCCTCTCTCTCTCTCTCCATCTTGCTGACACGGTGGGTCAGGTATTGAATTTTTTTAGTGACACCAGAACTTTCTGGAGGTCTGTTGTGATTGAAAGCCAATTTCACAGGCTGTGGAGAAGAAAAGACATTGATTAAAGTAAAAAGTAAAAGTAGTAGTAGTAGTAGATACACCGCTGCTCATTGACTCATCATCCGACGCGAATGTGCGATAGTAGAAGCAGGAGTTAGTGGGTTAGACAGAGAAAAAAGCATAATAAGAGATGGATTTTCCAAGTGAAGGGTATGTATATACTATGTAGGATTCAATAGTGGCTGAACTCTACTTATCGGAATTGTTTCTCATGGTACATAGAATTCCATACACCATATCATTATATCCACTAGAATATAAAACATCAATTCCTCAATGTGAGTTTTTTAGATCTTTATTCATGGTGAAGGTCTTCCGTCTTTTCTGTTGCTGCTAATAGGAAACCATTGAATACCTTTTTCTTGGATCATTGGAAACCCTAGAATATCATAGATAAAAATAAGTGATCTGTTGTATACAAGATGCCGTGTACAGTTTTGTAGTAACCGGTCGTGGCTCTCTCATATTTGCCATATCAAGTAAACAGTTATATCACCTCTCTTAGAGGATCCTTCTACTATCCTTATTAGACTAACATATACGCTTCTAGTGACGTGTATGTCAGAGCAATCATGAGTGCTCAAGATACGTCTTAAATGCTGAACATATGAATCCTCTACCTGTTCATAATAACAGTAAGCACCAATGGGTGGTGCCACTATCTTGGGTCACGAAAGTCGCATGCGCCACATACTGTAACAAATGGAAAAACGAAATTTGCGAAAGGCGCCGAGTAAAAAAAAAAGGAATTTTATTATATATAGGGAAGAAGGGGGGGAACCTACTAGCGCTTCAACACCCCTCTATCTTTTTATTGCTATGTCCCCTTTTCGAGTACGCTCTTGTGTGAGTGCTTCAGAAGCCTCAGAAATCTTGTATCCATGGGTTGTCGCGGAAAAGTGGGACCCAGGAATGAACGGTAATGATATCAAGCACGCATACTATCCATCGGACCCTGCTAGTTTCTTTGTCGGTACGATAACCCAGCAGACAACAACAACATCGGCAGCAGAAAAGATTGTATCATCTATTTGTGCCATCAAGCATGACGACAACACAGGCTATATTGCATTTTACGTTGTGGACGCTTTGTATCGTGGAAAAGGTTATGGGTTCCAAACATTCACGCATGCCCTCTCGCACCTGTCAGCAAGTCCCTGGATCGGCCTGGATGCCGTTGAAGCTCAAATGGAAACGTACAAGAAATCCGGATTTGTGGTTCAAACGAAAATTGTCCGCTATGTCGGTGGTGGTGTGAGTCATCCTGCTCATTCGACCGCGACGGATGGTGTTCGTACCGTGGGTTTAGATCAAGCCACATTAGAGCAACTTGTTGACTATGACCATGGTTGCACAGGCATGCGGCGCGCCACATTCGTGTCGCATTGGGTGTCCTATCATGTCAAGCATGGTTGGGGCTTTGTCTTGTTGAATCAACAACAAAAGATCGTCGGCCTGGGATGCATGCGACGCTGTGCAAGTGGAACTTATCGGATCGCTCCCTTGTATGCAGATACACTGGATCATGCTTTGGATTTGGTGACTCGGTTGACTATGGCGGTTGGTGTGAATGACAACCACACCGAGGCTGCTGCTCCTCATCCTCATCAGTTTGCAGTAGATGCATGGACTGCTACTCCCGCACCTTCAGAGTTGTTTGCGGACAAGCTTGGATGGAAGCCTATATCAACCATGTACCGTATGTGGAGAAAGAACGGCACGAATGCCAATATCGATGGACCACCGCTTGGATCGATGGATGGTTTTTATGCTATTGCTTCCCCAGAAGTCGGATAACTGCAGTAATCTACACAGTATAGCTTAGCAAGCAACATGTGTATTTATTACTTGTCGCATGTCTCTTCAATTATCGTTACATTAATTTAATGTCTTGCCAAGCCAGCAGTAACAATAAATCATATTATGGACCATACAATACACGTCAACTGGACTCATCGAGAGGATATAGAGATGATGATTAATGGTGATGAAAAAAACAAAATGCATTTTTTTTATATGTGTTTTTTTAATTGAATTGTATATGTTTATAGGCTAGAGTCAACTTTCAGTTTTTCTCAGAAATCCCGAAAGATCATCACAACATCGTCCATGCGCTTTTTGGAGGTTTCCAGTCGTTGAATTACTTTTTGCATTTGGCTCAGTTCGGCCTTATCTGCATCGCCCAGCAAATCCATGTTTTCCATTACGTCTTGACGGCTCAATTTATCCAACAAACGACTGCGGATTTTCAATTCTTCTCGTTTCCGTTGTTGAAGGTTAAGGATCACGCGGTAAGCATCGATCAACACCTCTTGATAACATTTTTCCAAGGGGACGTACCAAAGAAAGAATGTACGTGCTGGGGCACGGTCAGCCGATCGAGGTACTTCCTATTACATAGAAACCGACTTATTAGCCCGTCTATTCCCCAAAACCAAATCTAGCATGATAACTTGCCTGAATTTCAACAATGCCCTTTGTGTGCAACAAACCAAGTTTTTCTCTCGCTTCTTTAGGCGGCAACATGGCCAATTTCTGCACTTGCGATTCATCCAGCTTTCCCTTTTCGATCAAGATGCGAACAATACGACACGTAGCAACACCATACTTTTCACGCAGGATGCCCTCAAAGACACGACGCTTCATGGTTTCCCGCAATTTGGCAAAGTTGACAGAAAATTGATTGGCGCCCATTTCATCCTTGGATTTGATAAATCCTGCCTGGTCCGTCTTGAGCAACATAATGTAGGCTCGGACCACTTCTTGAAGGGATGGCTTTTTGTTGGGCTCTAATGGATCGGGTTGTAACACGATATCGTCTTGCGTAATGATTTCTGATGGTATGCAGTTGACAATGTGAAGAGGCGATGCCGAGGCTGTATATCCATGATGAGAAAAAAAAAGTAGAATTTAGGCAAAAAGACAATAGCGAGAACTCATCGTTTGCGTAATATGGATGTGGAAAATACGTACGTGAATCATTCTCGTGGAGACTCTTCATCTTTGCCTTTCCGTAATCTAAAAATGCTTTAATGACTTGACCAGCTGTATGGTTGACCCGCTCGGTTGCATAATCCACAATGGCCTACATGACACATTTAATACTTGGCACGTCTTCACACAATACCACATTGCCCATATTCAATTTCCTTCTCTCCTGTACTTACGTTGTTTCTAAAGATCATTGTAAATTTTTCATAGTGGATACCAAAAAATACTTTTGGATCGACCTCAACATCAAGATCATCGTCGCCCTTCCGTGCTGCTCTCTTGCTGTTTGTCGGGCCTAACGAATCTTCTGCTTTACGTTTCTAGATAATTTACAATTACACCGCATCATTAGGTCGCAATTTCTAAAACCCCATGGCTCATACAGTGTTCCCTTATTCTTTTGCGCCCTTGTTACCATACCATGCCGATTCCTTCGGCCATTGATGATTCGGCCTCAATCTGTGCATGCGCTGCCATCTTAATTGCTTGTAAATCCTTTGCGGTTGTGATCATGTATTTCTCAGCCTCCTTTTCTTCTGCTGCTAGGTATCGATCGGTGCTGGAACGTGTATGTTCAGGTAGTACTGCAGTAATACATCCAGCTGCAGCCATCTTTGTAAACACTTTGGTATACTGTGCCAACTCTGGTTATCAAGGTAATGAAAAGAGAGAGAGAGAAACATTAGCTTTTTGCTTACTCTGCCCAACATTTTAAAAACCCACAAACAGAGGAGCAAAAACGTACTTGTCTTTGGTTTGCCATCATTTTCAGCAACCCACTGTCGAAGATCCTCTAAACGCAGTCGTCCGTTCACATACAATAATTTACAAATCGTCGAAGCCTAATATTTTTTGGTGTCATATAAGTTTGGTTGATACGTATGGATAAAGAAGTGACAACGACCATTGTATGTACGATTACTACTGACCTCTTTACCAAACTGTTCTTCAGCTACGCGCATAATCGATCCGATCCGCAGTCGCATCAAGACGGGTACAGGTTCGACTTGGTAATAAGTCGGTTCGCGTTGACCTTCCACAGGTTCAGTAAAAAAGACAATGCCGTGATGAATCAAAGTAACAAGACTTTCGCGTACTTGTCGTTGCGTTAATTTAGTAAAGCGAGTAATGTCGAAAAGACTCAATCGACCTTTGAGCAGCAATTGGTGTGTCACTTTCTGATAAATCAAGAAAGAATTGTAAGTGTGCGTGTGTGTATGTGAATTGAAAGCAATCTTGTAAAGATCAAGCCGTCAAAAAAACAAGACACGATCTTTCATATTTTTATTACTTACAGCTGCATAGGTACCAAAGTCCTCTTGCACAAGTTCACGACACAATCGTGCTTGGAACGACATGTTCGAGTGTGGGGTTGATGTGTATGATGTATATATATATAGGGAAAAAAAAGAGGATATGTCTAAAAAATTTGTGGTGCGGTCTTCATGCCGAGTCAGAGGCAGCACCGGGGACTGCTTGCTGTCACCTAACTTACTGCCTATTGAGCCGGTTTCGTCTCTCTCTCTTTCATATTACTTTTCCGTGTCAAATAGAGCCCTTTGTTCAAAAATGATGATAACACTGGACGACATGCCGGTAATTGTTATCTCTAAACTATACCAAGCAAGGCTATATTTTTTTTTTTTAATTTGCCAACGCTAACAATTGGATGCACAATTACATTCATGTATATAGGGCGAAAACAACAATCGGCCGCGCATCACTCGCGAGTCTGTGTTCCGTAATGGATATCGTCAAGCCGATAAAGCTGTCGAATCCTTCCTTGACGAAGGTAATGCAATATTTACAAACATACAAAATGCAAAGAAATTAAAAAAAAGGCAATGATTTATATTTACTAGCACGAATGAAAGCTGTACAGGCCCAAATCGAAGATTTACGTAAAGAACTCCAAGCTACCAGTCTTGAACGCGAAACATTAAGGCATTCATTTTCCACGGAACGAAGAGAGCTTCAACATGAAATTGAAAACGTGGTGAAAGATAAAATGGAAGCACAGAAACGAGCCATTCACCACTTTAAGAGTACGGAAGAAGCAGCAGATACGCTCAAGCTGATCAAATCGGAACATGCTGCTATTGTGGTAAAGTTTAAAAGAAGTTTCAAGTGGTACAATCCTATATATGTATGTAGACACTCTTTTTTTAATATATGTATTTTACAGGAAAAATTACGAATGAATATGGAGAATTTGAAAGTAGAAAATGCAGAATTGTTGAAAGAACTGGAGGTGATCCAAGTCGAAAACGAACAGATGCGTGCAGAAAATACCGAGGCACGAGATCAGTCAAAGGCACAAGCGGATGAATTGCAAAACCAAGTTGATACCCTCAAAATCTCGGTGAGTTGTGCTTGGCAATGAACTCTTGATGACCGTATTTGAAAAATACTGACTCAATCGTTTATAAAATTTCAGCAAGAAGGATACGAACTACGACTGATCGAAGCCCAACAAAAAGCGCAAGCACTGGCAGAGGAATTGAGCCAGTACCAAACAAAGCAGGGCGCAAATTATGATGGCTGTGATTCCAGTTTGCTGGATGACATCATGGAACAATACAAACGTATGTATTTTTAAATGACATTAGACACACATAACCGATGGGAATGCTGATTTTTTCTTTTTGACGCGACATATCACTAGGTCAATGTGAACTTGTCAAAGAGTTTGAAGTCAACAACCGTATATTAAAGGAAGAACTGACGTATTACCGAAACAACTATCCTGATTTCGAAAAAGTGCTTGAACAGAAGCTCAGTTTGCAACGCGAAAATGCTCAGGCACAGCAACTCAAAGTAGCATACCGAAAGTTACAAGAAGAAAACGAACGATTACAGAATGAACGAAAAGAATGGTAATTTTCTGTTTATTAGAATGCATTTTTCTTTAGCTAAGTATTTTTTGTGCTTGGTTAAAACAGGGCTCAGTATCTCGAATCAAGCGACACAGCAGATCAGCTGAACACACCACGTGACATCATCTATCGATTAGCGCATGAAAAACAAGCTATTCAAGAATCTCAATCGCAAGTACAACAACTCAAAGAGCGACTTGAACGAAGCGAGGCTAGAGATGTTGAATTAAACAACAAGGTAACTGATCTAGATTCATGGTTCGCTTTCACTTACTTTAAAAATATGTGTACTCACGGAATCGATAAATATGTTTATTATATCTATTTAAGCTTGAAGAATCGCATGCCAAGATTGCCGAACTCGAGACTCTCGCCAAGAAAAATGAGGTCGAAAAGGAAGTAGCAGTGCAAGAAAAGCAACTCATAATTCTCCATCGTGACATGTTGGCTTCTCAAGTAGCAGTGAGTCTTGCATAGCTCATTTCATTTAGGGGAAAAAGAACGATAAAATGAAAATGGTTTACGGATGTGTGCTATGGGGGTTTTGCTGATATTTGAAACGTATATGTAGAGCATGTCAAAGTTGGAAGAAGAAGCTACAACATCAGAAGATAAAACTTTCCCGTTGACCCATCGTATCGAGGAGCTCGAATCGTTGTTAAAAGAATATCAAGGTCAATTGGCTCAAACAAAAAACACACTCATTCGCGAACGAGCACAGCGAGCAACTGCACCACCACCATCATCATCGTCATCGTTTGTATCCAGTAGCGGAGGGGTTGAAAGCCAACAGCAGCATGCTACGGATGAACGTATCTTGGAGCTCAAAAGTAGTCCCGCCAATATCGAACAACAGTGTCGCTCAGAGGAATTGTCGCGCCTTCGAACTGAAAACAGACAACTACTGGCCCAGCTACTGTTGTATCAACAAGATAATTATGATGATACTGTGGACGTTGGTGAAAAGCGAAAGCGAGAAGTAGGCGGATCATCATCGGGAGAGCAGTTGGGCGACGGACACACAATCAAGATCCCGCGAGTTACGCTGGATACTTTGGAACAAGATAAAGAACAGCTCAAGAGCGAAAAGGCTGGATTGGAAAAGCGTATACGTCGTCTTAATGAGGTAACAAAAAATATGTTCCATAAAAGAACGAATTTTTCTCTCCCTCTCTCTATTATTATTCTACGTTATGTATTACATTGTTAACACTTGAATGTATGTGTTTCTTTATATAAAATAACAGAAATATGGTGTACGACACCAGGCAACCTTGGATCAGATCGAGCGGCTATTAGGGTACAAGTTGATATTTACACAAGACAATATCAAGATCAGCTCAGCGGCTGTGGATAGCGATCAACTTCTGTTCATATATACAGTTGATGAATTCGACCGTCCTAAGCTGCGTGTCTCTGGAGCAGCCAGAAACGATTACATGGAGTATCTTCGAGGCACATATGATACCTTTATCGGTGAACAAGGCAATATACCAGCGTTCTTGAGTTCCGTCACTTTGGAACTTACGAATATGTAAGTGAAATTGGGGATTTGGTTACTTTATGTGTTTAGGGAAAGGGACAAAGAGCGATTAATGTGGGGGATCAAAACGCTGGAAACGTTATGACTATTGCTCATTATTATGGTTAATTATTTTTGGATGTTGTTACAGACATGCCGCGCAATGGGATGCTGCCCAAGAGTCATCTGGAATATTTGAAGAGACGTCTGAAACATACTACGATACTGAAAATGCATACGACCACGATGAAGGACAATCTATCCATATGGATGAGGGCGAATACTACGAGGAAGGAGAGGTACAAGAAGAAGAAGAGGAATACTACGACGATGAGGAGTATGATGAAATGAATGAGAATGATCTCAGCGATCAATCTCGTGAAGGACCTGGATATAACCACGATGAGCCCATCACGATTGATGACGATGACGATTAAAGAGTATTTTTAAAAAAATGCTATCAATTCATGCGAGTCCACAAGTGGTTTTTGTATTACAGTTGGGGAGGTGTTTTCTTACTTTTGTATGCGGGTTGTGATGAGTTGGGGATAGAGAAGCGAATGACTGAGAATGATTTGTATTATATACGATGCACATATGTGATATAATTATTCTTAAGATTTTGATATGATATATTTGTCAAATGGTAGATCTATCATCATCACACAGCGAGAAAAAAAAGGAGCTAAACTTAGTATTGCATATACGACAGCTTCAATAGTTCCCAACCAAGATCACTTACATTTCCATCGTTCAATGCAATCGAACAACCAATTTTCGTTAATAACAATCTTGTCTGTATCCAATGCCATCTTGCTGATAACCACATCTGCATCCTTTAAAGAAAGTACAATCCTTCCATTTGCTCGTACAATCAGTTGCTGCATCGAATCTTTGGTCAGAGTGAAGACAGAGTGTATGAATATATGTAGATTTGATGGTAGCAGTTGTCTGTTACTGGTTCGTGCAATTGAAACTCGTTCAAAGAAATCGGTCGCTTCGAATTCGTCTTCGTCCAAATATTTTCCTGACTCTCCACTCTTAAACAGCCTAATGGAAACCCAGATTCGCATGAGAGATAAGTTTTGAATGGAGGGAGGGGGGAGGGTTCTGTTTTTGTAGGCACACGTGCCAGCACCTCGATCTTTAACTTACCATTCTGGTGTAACGATCCATAATTTCTTGATCATCCCGGATAAGACAGTTTCTGTTCGACGCTTCGAGCCCACTAAGGTAACAATAGTAAGGATAATAAAGGGTTTAGTACATTTGCACTAATTCTTTCCAGCGCAAGACAATAAATTGAAACACGATAATTACATATCACATGGGATGTCCGACTATCCACACTATATCATCGACAACGTTAGCACTAATTCCTATATCTTGGATCTACATTTCCATTACTTTCAATAGACATCCCCAGAGATTTTACTTACAACGTCGCTAATTCGTAGGTGCCAAGTCGATCGACGATTTGCCTACACCTATCTCGCACTTGTTGCGTCATACCGGTCATCACAATTGTGGTTTTCGATCTGGAAGATAGTCTTGGTTTCAAAGACGTTAATGAGGATGATGCTGCAGTAATAGTAGTGGTAGTATTAGTAGTTGCTCGGGTCAAAGGCACAGGCTCTGGTGTTGATGCAGGTATTGCAGGTAAACTTGGTCTAGCGTGATGGTTTCCTCCCATCGAACGTCGTTTCCGCCGTAGTGGGGTGCTATTGTTGGATCCAAGAGATAACCGTGATGGTTTGGGCGAGGATGGTTTTGGTGATTCGACATCTCGCACAAAAAAATCAGCCTTGATCTGTGCTCTGATCTGGTTGCTGCGCTCGCGCATTTCTGGGGTAAACAGTTTCGACTCTCGCTTCCTTTCCGTCTTTTGCTTTTCGTCATTGGAGCATTTCATGGCTGCTGCTATAGATCGTTTCTGCGGCTTTTGCTTGTCGATGTCACTGTTACTATTGCCGCTATCATCGTCGACGGGGCTCGTTTCATTGAGTGATATGTCAGTGGTGCTGGTCGTATTAAATTGTTGTTTCACAAGTTGTTCATCTTCCTCTTGATCATCATCCTCTTCGTCTTCTTCAAGGATATCTTCGGCCTTCCACGTCGAGTTATCAATCATTGAGCTGTGTTGGTGTTTTCGTCGTCCAGGGTCCTTTTCTGATAATCGTCGTGTGCGTGGTTCGCTCACGCTATCCGCTCGTTGTCGTTTCCGCTTGTGTTCGTGTGCTCCATCCATTTCTAGTCTTGATGTTGATGCTGTTGACGTCGATGCTTCCATCTCCAATGCTTTAACTTTTCCCGGCTCCATTGATTTACGACGCTTTTTTGCTGACATAATTAATCCTTGGGGTCGATCGATTAAAAAGTCCTTTTCTGCTAACCGTCTTCCTTCACGCTTACAGCTGGTTGCGCATGCATAAAAACACGGTTATGCAAACAATTTCAAAGAGCTGTCACTGCTTTCGATGCAATTTATAAAAAACGACAGTACTTACTATGTAATCCATAACAGATTGACAATCAGCACCTTTTTTCCAAGCGCTTTACGTAGAGTTGCAGTAGATCCGTTCTTAAAAATCAAATGCGTGATGGAATCTATATACACATAAGAAAGGAGGGTTATCAGAGGACAAAGCACCCACGCATAAAATCACAGCCAACAACATCAACAAAGCACCCTCATCATCTTACCCGAAAATGTCCTTCGCGTCTGCAATGTCGTGCATAGGGTGTAACAAATAAAAAACGACACATATCAGAAAATCAGATGCTTAATCTAAATATTTTAAAATCCACTTCCCACTCTTTAAATCGTTTTGAGCACTATGCAGTACGAAACTTACCTTCGCACCCATTGATTGGAGAGCACGTTCAAAGCTTTGAGATACGTCATCCCCGTCCTCAGTTCTGCCAAGTAGAGAGTGGATGTGAGCAATATAGTTTTTTTTTAAGGATTATTCAAATGAAAAACACGGTACCTGATATCCAGACAAGCAATCACCCCTTTAAGGATTTGGCTCGGGTCCGGTCGTCTGATATCTCTGGATGTTGATGTATCGTTATTGCTAGTGCCGGTGGTGGAGAGAGGAGGAGAAAGCGAGGAGGAGGAAGTAGAAGATTCTTCTGTGTCGTTGACGCGTTTTGATTCCGTGTGGGCACTATTGATATCACTTTCTCGGTGTGAATGGTGGGACGAGGAAGAGGTAATGGTACTAGCATTTGGGGATGTTGAAGTTTCAGCTGGTGGTTTCTTAAAGAAGGAATTCAGGGATAATTGTTGTAGATCGGGGACAGAACCAGTTGCTTTAAGGCTCGGTCGAAGTGCCGCTTCTTTTCCGAATCGAAGACTTCGTCGTTTGCTCGGGGACGTTGGCATTTGTGTTGGTGTTTTTTTAAGTCTGTTCGTTCGCCGAATCGTTGGGTGGAAAAGAAAAAGAGGCTTCGGGTTGTTTGCGAGTGTGCGATAATGGTGTGTATGCAAAAAAAGAAGGGTGGTTTGGGGATTGATGTTGTATTTTTCTGAAATGTTCTAATGCTCAACTAAGGAGCCATGCAAATGAATGGTGAAGGGGAAAGAAAAAAAGATGTAAATCGTCAATGTGGGTGAGTTGGGTTTGCCCAAGCTCCTGTTCTTTTGCTGGGTATCAAAAACGGCGACGCGATACAAAAGCGTGTTGTGTGCAAAATTAAACACAAACCTTCTGTTTGCTTTACTTTCCCGGACGACAGAATAAAACTCGCACAGGGGCTGACTACTGCATCTTCCAAGCAGCATTAAAGAAAGCGAGATTTCTTTTTACACTCGAGAATGTACATTTTCCAAACTAGATTAAGTAATACACTCAGAGAGTTGATATGCTATACTTGCGCACTTACTATGTGTATCATACACCTGCCAGACTACAGCTATAGATTCCACCGCAGACTTTTTCTTTTCTCAAAAGACAAGGTTATACGTCTGAGTCACCAATTGCAGCTCTGTTTAATCAAATTGGGGTCAGGTAGAATCGGTATCTTCTCATTAAACAGTATTGCTACGTCCAAGAATCCTTCAGCTTTTCTCTATTGAATTATATGTTGAATAAGTCTTTCTTGTCACAGCAGTAAGCGTCAGAATAAGTGAATTCACCAACTCGCACAAAAATTTAATTTACAGACGCTTTTCCTCTTTACGGCCAGCCTTCACTCTTATCAGCAAAGCGGTGAGATTGAATCATATGCCTCTGTGCTGCGGCACCTTTGTGATACGGTTTTTTCCAAAAAGGGAAGTCGAACGAACGAAATCATGCAGGAAGTCTGTTGCTGCATATAACCACTGGAGGTGACGGTATACACATGCGCACATAGTAGCAGCCCTATTCCTTCGGTGAAAGATATAACGCAATTATAAACATTTACAGAGACTTATTCGTATGTCTAGTTGTATTCTCCAAGGTATCTTTCCATCCTAGTTTGTTTAAAAAGTACTGTACATACTTGTTACGGTGTATAGTGTTCCATTTATCTTGTTTATGATAAGCATCAAACACTATAATAACAGTATCACCGAGTAATAAATTGGCTTTGGAGCAGACTTACCGCTAAATCCTCCTCCAAGGGCGGAGGGTCCTGACTTCGCCCTTTGTTTTTTTTATTGCTGCCATGATCAGGGGTAAATACGAGCTGCCTGCCATCTTCGTTGGAGAATATCATTGACCAGCTTGTATACTTGTTCTTTACGAACAATCGCTACCATATTAAAGATGTCGCCTCAAGTGTTATTGTATTGTTGCCACCTCATTGGACAGATGCCTTGCTCAAATCGCCCACTGCTGTTAATTTGAAACACCCTTGTCTCCTTTACTCCTTATTGCGATCTTGTTATTGATGACAAAATCGTCTTCCTGTTGACGTCGTTATTGTCGCCACAGGTTCTCGTCACGAAACAGAGATAGGTAAGTATTGTTCCATTACTTTGACTTGACGTTGATTAGTATGCATAGTCGCCATGTGTGCTGTTGTCACACTAGACCCATGATTTTTAACAATGATTGTGTCTTTGATTTGAAAGAGTCAGGGCTAGCTCTTGCCGCCTTGCTATTATTGTGAAGGTCGATGGTAACAATCGTGCACTTTGCCCGTGTTGAAAATGCCACATAAGCTGGATTTTTTTTGACCAGCTCGAAATTTCTTCCATGTCGATGTCTAATAGGTCCCGACCGCTGTACGATTTACGCAAAAGATGCAGTCGTCTTTGTGTCCCTTTTGTTTTGTTTGCTTAAGAAAGAAGATTTGAAAGTCTGTCCACAACAACTTGTAATTGATCCGGCTATGTAAGTCTTGAGTGCATGTACCGTTTTTAACGAGGATCTGCCCTGTTGATTTGTCTGAGTGCAGATATTTTGGCCAGGTGGTGAGACTGGCATCTTCCTCTAAAAACAAAAAGAGGGTTTATGTATTTCTACATGTTAGTGCGAGAACGCTGAACACCCGTAATATGTGATAGGAATACAACCCTTTAAACACAATCAGCTGCACAGCATCTCAGATCTCAACAAAGATACCATTTTAATATCCAATAAATTAAAAGAGACAGAGTAAGTCAACGAGACCCGAAAGGAATCAAAACTGCTTTATTATGTTTACAGAAGTTCTCACTATTATTAGAAATTGCTCATCCTTGGAAACTACCACAGCGTGTACATTGAACGGATAACTTGATTTTATGAATTAATCATACTGGTTCAAGTAATATATGATGCGTGAGTAAAAGGTACATCAGGGTAAATGCCTCAGACAGTAGGAAATGTAATTTACGTGATCCATATTGTGACAACTTCTTCCTGAGCATAACTAATTCATGAAACATCAAGATGTGTAGAGACAAGCAAGACAATGGAGAAAGAGTAATAAAGAAAAGCGTTGCTGTACATGTGTCGAACTGCCACCACCTGAAAACATATATGGCGCTCCAAAGGCAGCTCAATCTCAGGCGATCTCCTAAACAGATAGGCACATCCACGTGGATTTAGGCTTGATAGAAAGCCATTTGAAATGTTTGTAAAACAATTCTACTAATGAGTATGAGCATTACAGTATTCGGTATTAAAAGATTTGATCTTGGCTGTAGAGTGCATGAGAAACGACAGTTTAAGCACACAAAGATCGATCAACCTTTTCCAAGTCCAAAAGAGTTCCTGCTGTTGCAAGAAACTTTCTGATGTGCCCAGTACTGATATTGCTATCATACGCAACGGGTTTCACATTGTATTACATGGTCTGTGCATTATGCTTGCGTCAAACAGTTGCCCAGATATCATGTTTAGAATTGATCGAGTCATTGCAAAGTAAAAGTGATTACGAATCTAATGTGAGCCATTTGACAGTGTCAGCATTGTATAAGAACAAGGACACAGCACGCCAAAACATGAGTTCTTTCCTAACTGTCAAATGAAGCGGCGAAGACGATTGAACACAGTCAGAAAGAAAATGGATATTGCAAGGTGAAGCGACACGCAAATATCTTCACAAGGAAAGAAATTGTAAATGAGTTTGAGCAGGACATAAAGTAAAAGAGCAGGTTTTTATTCATTGTAAAGAAACATTTTATAAAAGACAAAAGTTATCGTTATGAATATCAATAGTCGAAGGGTACAAATTTTATTAAAAGAACACAATCAGTGGACAATAAAGACAAATAATAAGAACGCGATTTTACAAAGTGACCTCAACAAGCAGTTCGCACAACCTGCAGGCTATACAAAAAGCATGAAGAAAGCAAGAAGAAACAGAAGAAGTATGTAAAAGGGGGGGGGAAAGAAAGCCACCAATGCCTCGGCCTGGGAGTCCCAGTCTCCCACACATTTGGCTGGGTCAATCAACCACAAACCCAGCCATCATGGTACAAACGAGTGGGAACCATGACGTACACTACGTTTCGAGAGTCAAGTGCAAGCAATCGGTTGTGGATTGCCTGTGAGTGGGGAAGGGGGAAGGGAAGGACGGAAGGAAGATGGAAGGGTAGACGGAAGGGTAGACGGAAGGGAAGAGGAAAGGGAAGAGGAAAGGGAAGGGGTGGGGGAAGAGGAAAGGGAAGGGGTGGGGGTAGGGGAAAGAATTGACTCTCGAAACACCCAAAAAAGAAAAAAAAAATTTGCTGCTGTTGTCGAATGCTGGAGGAGCTGCTTACTGGATACTCGGATGCTGGGAGCCGAACACTGAAGCTGGGAGCTGATTGCCGAGTGTCGATTGCCGAGTGTCGATTGCCGAGAGTCGAATGCCGAGAGTCGAATGCCAGAGAGTTGATCGCTGAGAGTCGAATGCCGAGAGTCGAATGCCGAGCGTCGATTGTCGAGAGTCAAATGCCGAGAGTCGAATACCAGAGAGACGAAGGCCAGAGAGACGATCGCCAGACAGTCGATTGCCGAGAGTCGAGTCCTAGGAGTCGAACGCGATCTACAGTGGCACCTGGCTCCTCATTGCGAACCCCACCATGGCAGACCAGACCAGACCAGCAGACAAGGCATCCAACCGAAAGGACACTACCATATTTCTATGGCGAAAAACCGAAAAGGATTTCTCCGTCCTCTGATCTCGCCTGAAGACCGGTTGTGACCAACACCGTTGAACGCCAGACTGGACAGCCCGCCCAAAGCAGGGACCGGTTGTAGGCAGCGAGGGGGACCACGGGAAAAAGGCTGAGACCAGGACCGACAGAGGCAAGACCAGGACCAAGGGAAGAGCCAGAGCCAAGGGAAGAGCCAGAGCCAGGGGAGGACCAGAGCCAGGGAAAGACCAGAGCCAGGGAGAAACCAGAACCAAGGGAAGAGCCAAGAGAAAGACCAGGAGGATCCAAGGGAGTGAAGGAAAAAGAAAAATGAAGGAAAGAAAGAGTGAAGAGAAAAAACGAAATGGCCTGAAAAATATGGGCGTTTTTATGCTTTTTGGATTGACCCGCCGCTTAAAAAAACACGTCACGTGACTTGTGATTCGTCATTCAAAAATATGTGAGAAAGCAAAGGGTAGGGAAGAAAATACATGTGCAGAAGAGACATGGTCAAGCGGTCAAGCGGTCAAGAAGAAGGCGTATGTGGTCCGCGTGTATTGATTGTCCTACGAAATATGTTTCATCGGTATCATGCAGGGCGTGCCCCGACGGTGTCGCCGCCTGTTTTTGAATAGAAAGATACGTGCACCCGTCAGGCCACAAGGCGCACAGACACGGTTTTAGCAACAAGATCGGGGGGCAAAGGAGATTGGAGGAAAGGGTTAAAAAGAGACAAGTCAGGCGAATAAAAAATCCCTGCCTCTTCGCATCACACACTTTTCTTTAGATATCAACGCGCACCGTCATTCCCGCTTACCGAGTGACTCGACGCTCTGTAACTTGCTGCACATAATGGCCTTAAGCAGCAGTAACAAGCGTTGTCTCGTTTCAATAGTTTTCTCTTCAGGGATTGTGGAGTTGGCTTCTAATACCGGATTTAGCTTGACTGTTCAGATTTACTTACGGTTGCGGCGATGGTTGGTGAGGCGGAAGGGAAAGTGGTGAGCACAGCGGCATAACAGGTATTCGTGGCAGTGGTGGTATCATCGGTAACGGTAGCAGGCGCAAGGACTGATCTTCTCCTCTTTGGATTCCTCTTCTCTACAACTTTTCTTTCTTTTCCTCTTTGTCCTTTCTCGGTGTCAACTTTTTCTTCAACCTTGACTTCGTCGTTCTTGGTAATGGGCGGTACAATGTCATTTGCAACAGGAGATGACGGTAATCGCACGACGGAAAAATCTCGCGGACTATGTACTGTTCAGATGAGAGAGCCAAACACGGGAATGACCAACTTTGTCGCAAAGGCGACAATTGTGGAGCGCGTTCGAGCGCAGTAATAACAGCGGAAAGTACATGCCAGCACTACAAAGCTAGCCCATAATGGCTGGTCAGAGGCAGCGTCAATGCAGAGCATAATGAGCTCGCAAATAGTATTGGGTAGAAGTATTAGCAGGAATGCTGAAACAGAGAGTACGATAGTAATGCGATCAGACATTATAGCTATAGTAATAAAAAACTGTAAAGATCAAAGCGACACTTTTTCTTCTGCACGTTTTTAATGTAAAAATGATTGGAAAAACAAACAAGTTGAGAAGTGGAAAGGTAAAGAAGTGACAGCAGTGCTACCGCCGTATGTTCGCAACATATAACATGCGCGTTTCCGGTTGATTTCAGGTACATGTCCCGTCAAACTCTTTTTTGTTGTCACGGTCTGTGCGTCCACCTCGTATGTATGAATAGACTCCTATAGTTTTGGTGCAAATAGAGATATTTGCATGTACAAACACAATGGATAATGAGTGTCTTATTGCTATGAGCTTTCAAGAATCTTGGCTGAAGAAGCACCTCTACTAAAGTTTTCGATGCCCATTGACTTTGGGTGTGACCGAAATCGAGGGACTACCAAGCGAAAAGTCCAATTTGTGCGATGCACAGCTTAGAATGTATCTCGCTCTTTCATGCAACTCCCACGCTGTACATACTTTCGGTCAGAAATCCTTCTTTTCTTATCGGTTGATACATAATTTAGTAAGGGCAAGATTTCAAGAGTCGCGCATAAACGTAGACCGAAAAAACATTCAATGTTTATTGATGCAGCATAAAACGCTTAAAAGCGTGTATTATATATTCTGCTCTTTTGACAGTTACTTGACACATATACATAATCTTATATAATAAACACATTGTACATTACTACTCGTTTCTGCTAACGCTGTTGTTCGTGAACAGACATGTATCCACTACTGGATCAATAGCCAAACCCTTGAAAAAAAAAAAACTACCGCTGGAGCTGGCACATCATATCTTTTCCAAATTTGCTCACCCTTTAAGATCGATTACAATGTATATGTACACGTGTCGCTGGTGGAGAGCGTTTCTGACCGAGAAACTATCGCGGGTGCTTGATACTCTTGAGCAGTATGCCAAAGCAGATAATGGCAGGACAAGCTGCAGCAGCGATCATGACGACAGGGCTTGGATTCAAGAATGGCTATACGGTTTCATGTTTTTCCAAAAAAAAAAAAAAAATCTGCCATACCAATACAATATGCACTCGCATTTTGAATAATCTCTCTGTTCGGATGAAAATGTTTTGGTACTTTCTCTCTCTCCCTCTTTGCAAAAGCATGGGCAGCCGTTGGTTATATGATGGGAGAAGGGAGTCATGGTCAAGAAAACTAAAACGAGCCCTAATTTTTCAGTTGTTCTGACTGAACTGGATGGCAGTAAAGCAGTCAAAGAATCGCTTGCTTTACTTTTGCAACAGAATAAACCCACTCTGAAAAAGCTGACTCTATGCAGCATTTTAGCGATGTTACAACAGCCAGGGATGCGCTCAACACGTGTTCGAACCTGTTCCATCTCATTATTTCAGCCGACCACCGTCTTTTAGAAGATCAAGCAGCAGCAGCAGCAGCAGAGAGCTACATCTTGCCAGGGAATACATTTTAGGGAAAAGATATCCAGTCTAAAGATCGTCCTCGAATTCGAGTTCTATATCCACGAGACACTAAAGTGAGGTCTAATTGGCCAACCGGGCGATTTCTCGCAAATCCGATCAGATGCGCAGAGGGGAGTGGGGCACGGAAGAGGGTAGTGCCAATAACCGCTATATGTCATCAACATCCTTCGCGACTGGATTTGCTCGACATGGAAATATCTCACTTTCTCGACCCTCAATTCTGGCGCCAGCTGCCGAACTTTGAGTACCTTGCCCCATCAAGAATGCAGTTGGCTTTTGGCGACGACGTGGCCAAGTTCTATCGTAGGATCATGTGCGAATCTCTCAAGTCGTTGCGGTACGGAACAGGATGGGCACGGTACTAACGCTATGCCATATGCTGCAAAAAAAACGATCTCACCCACAAAAGAGCAAGAGTGGCGAAGGAGGGGAAATAAGGAAAACAAGCAGTGAGCGAATGCCCGTGGTTTCCGAGAGATTATTTGTGTCTTCTTGCTCCTCCCACAGCATTGGTAGTCTGGAAGAAGTACCTTTTTTCATTTTCGAAACAGGAAACAGCAGCAGCTCACGTAATGAGAATATACCCTATTTTTATTTTTCAATATATTAACTTTTATAACGGTCCAATGGATTCTGCTGAGTACAATAAACAAAAATAACTCGATTGATCGAGTGTATACCAGGACGGCGATCTCTTGTGGCAAAGACACTCAATAACACGTATATTGCAAAGCCTATAGTGAATTACGTTTGAAGATACCGTATCTCTAAGAGACTATTATCATTTTTTTAACGAGTAAAGGATCGTCATTTTTTGATAAATAACGGATCACATATGTAGCAAAGAAGTAGAAGCATGATGAGAAAGAAAGAAAGAAAGAAAAAATACGCAAATACGATAACTTGTTCTTAGCATGATTACTTTTGCCTGAACTACGGAAGATTCCATTTTCACGTTGTGTTTCATTGTACATAATAGACGAATAGTATCATTTAACCAGCAGCACCAAGGATGAGACTCTTTGGAAGACTAACAGTACAAGTAACAAATCATCCCTTGTACACGTTGTTCAAAAGAATATGCAAAGGGTCCTATATTGCAGACGAACTAGATCTTACATCCAATAAATAGACCATATCACATTCTCTGATATGCTTGAGATGGACTCTCTTCTGGAATCGGCATTTTTTTTTGCCCTCCCAGCATCACTATGAGTGTGGTATGCTACTCTTCCGTTGCGTCAAGCACATCATTGTACAAAGGAGTCCATCTAGTAATAATACAGCATTTAACAAAGTCATATTGTGGCAGGCACCTACATATATATATATATATATATGTATATAAAAGGCAAAGAAAGAAAGAGAGAAAGAGGTACTCTATCGCTGGTCATCATCATCCCGTTGTGCTACAACAGGCCGTAATATTATTTGTGTATTCCTTACCCACCACCTGACCAGACAAAGCATCATAGATTTAGACATATCTGGCACTTTACAGCTCATGTACATACGGAGAATAAAAACCAGTCTACTTTTGGAGTGAAAACGTTCTGTAATCCACATCTCCATTGTTCTCACACAAACACACACACACATATATATATTTAGCTGGGTTGCGTTTTACTAGACGTAATGAGAAAGAGGTGCTTTAGCAGGTTAGGCCCACATACTCTCTCTCTCTCTCTCTATCTCTATGTATCAGTCAGTCTATAAGCGCTAAGACTCTCGTTACCCCTGCTTGCGTGTGGAGTGTATGGAAACATGATGCTGCTGCTGCACGGACATCTAATCTATTGTATCATCGTGCTTCTGCCAATGAAGCGTTACTCCACTCGCTTATCATACCTCACTACTACCAGGTCATCAAATGATCAGAGGCTGGTCTATCGAAGCAACAGAATGCACTTTAATGAAATCAACAATAAGGTTGTTTAAATTGTCATCATCAACCTTGATGATCATTGGTTTTACAGTGCTATAGGTGCTGCAGAAGATTGTCTGACTTTATGGAAGCTTACACCATGATGCATGGCATAATAACATAACTTGTATTTGTTTGCATGCAGGCATATGAGGTAACCGGTCTTGCGTGTCCCCCACCCTTGGTTTCGTTGCCAGGAAACCCATTTTTTTTTATTTGGGAACGGCGTGGGGGTGTCTCATTATTATGATTGTTTCTGCTTAGAATATATATTGGCTTGTTCAAAAGTGAGGGGGATGCATCGTAAGAAATGACAAGTGTGGGGGGGGGGAGGGAGGGTATTTCTGCGTTTGAACGTGGAAACGATTGCTATTGGAAGTTTCTCATTGTTACAAAACAGGTCAACTATCGTGTAGCGTGGACATTTATACCCTTCACTCTTGTTTATGTGCTGCTGCTGCTGCTGTTGTTGTTGTTATGGTGATTAACTTGTTTTTTTTTGGGGGGTGGGGGTGGGAAAGGATCGTTTGGGTCACACAACAAGCTCATCACCAACCCAGCCACCATGACGTCCTTGGATAATAACGCTATTACTTGCACGGAGAATGGAATGACCTTTTTGGGTTTTTTGAAATATACTCCAAGTTCGAAAGAAAGAAAGAAAGAAAGAAAGGAATGCTATACTATGAGTGTTTGATGGTTGGATGGATCACAAGTAGAATTGATGGGTAACCTGATAAGACCAGCATATAAGCAATGCATATGTAGTGGTTTTTTTTCCCTGTCAAGTGTGTTACCGTACGCGGGATAAAACGATGGCAACGTATAGCCGTCTTCTGGGATAGTATTTCTTTTCTTATCAGAGCCCGTTACATGTTGTATATGTATAAGTAGCAAAGGAGACGGGGCAGAAGGAATTACCATAATAAGCAATCATCCGCGGTTCCACAAGAACAACGAGGTGGCTGCGGCAAGTTATTTCTTTGAATTGCTGTTTGCATTGTATTTAATTGTTTGATGTTTGGGGACTCAAAAAGGTGGATGATGACTGTATCAGCGCTATTATTAGTCCTCGTAAGCTTATGCAGCAAGTAGCAGTGGCATAGTATAACAAGTAATTATATGCTGAGGTCGATCATCGTCATTGTCGACCTTGGTGCTTAATAGCCTTTTGCCTTTGCTCGATGACATATGCGCATGATGATGTGCGTCGATTACATCAGAGGCAGACATTATAAGAAAGAGAATCTCTGCCCCCCCCCCCCGACATTCCGCAATTTAACAAATTGCTTTTTGTAAAACAAACAACAACCAAACAGGGTCATTCCTTCTTGCCCCCACCCCCCCTTTTTTTCTTTCTCTCTATTTAATGGTTCATGATAGCAACTGGATTTACATTGGTTGGAAAGGGGGGAAAAAGTGTTCGGCGAGTAATGACTCACTCTTGGACCACGCACCGTTTCTATTGGTCTATGTCTGTGTGTGTGTGTGTGTGTGAGAGTTAACCTCCTTACCATGATCTACTACTACTACTACTACTACTACTTTGCGCACATATTCAGTGTAGTAGTGGGCCCTGAAAAATTAAAAAACAGGTGCCTGAAAGCAGAAAGGAACATCTGAAACCTCCCGTAACCAATAGAATCGCAATCAGCAATCAGCAATTTTTTAAAGATCCGACAGGGCTTCATTTCATGCTAAAATTTTAGGGCCCAACAACATATAAAAGGGACTAGGTGCGATGGGCGGATCCCAACCCGAAAAAAAAAACTTTTTTTTTTTTTTTACAGCAACAACCTTTTCTGTGCCTTTGCTTCTTTCCCCTCTCCCACCACCAACGACAAGAACAAGAAACAACAACAGCAACAGCAACAGCAGCAGCAGTAATAGCAGCAACATCATCGACTCATACGCACAAATGATCACCAACGGCAAAGGACCCATCTTTGTAACAAACGCTGACGGCGACAAGGGCTATGCTATTGTCCAGCGCATGCTCCAGTTCCCATCCAAATACTCACATCTCCCACGGTATCCCGTCTATGCCGGCCTGCCCGATGCATCCACCGCCAGAGCCACCTCGCTCAAAGAACAGGGCGTAAACCTGCGTGCTTTTGATATCTTCAACGACCACACGGCTGCTGTCGACGCTCTGCGTGACGTGGCCAAGCTCTGCTTGATTGTGGATCCTTTGAGCGAACGCATCAGTCGTGCCAATGCGTTCCAATATGCCAAGGCGTAAGTCTTTCCTTTCTTTCTCTTTTTATTTGGCTTGTTGTCGTACTCTATAGAAATACTCATCACCCCCCGCCCCCTCCAAAATAGATTCATCGACGCAGCCAAAGAAGCGCAAGTCAACCACATCATTTTCCTAACACCGTTTTCGCCGCTCGACCCCGTATCGCCGCCATCGTCGCCCTTCCGCGATCCCGCCCAGTGTGTCAGCTTGGCCGACCCAACCACATACCGCAGCCAATACATGATGATTGAAACCTATCTGCGCACCCAATGCGACAACTGCACCATCCTGCGCTACCCAGGCATCCTGTACGAGCACTTGCGCGTCTTTCGCAAATACATTGTCGAGAACAACGCCTTTCCGGTGTCAGGCCAGCATCTTGAATTCGCCATCGAGTCCTCCAGCATGGCCGATATCGCCCATGGGACCGCCTGTATTGCGTATGCACCCACTACGCGCCATCGCAGCAACGTGTACAAACTGACTGGCCCACAGCTGCTCACATTGGAAGAAGTCAGCACGCGCGTCCTCAGCTGTCTCCGACGCGAAGATGCCGAGCTTAACCTGATCGACCTCAAGGCGCTGGAGCAGATTCTGTACGAAAGCATCGGCAACCAGGAACATGTTGCGTTCCTGCTTGAGGTATGGGGTCTCCAGCAAAAGTCAATGGCCGGCGGCCGGTTTGAAATCACCCGCGATCTCGAGGCATTGACGGGACAAAGCGGGAAAACTCTGAATGAATATTTCGAGGATGATAACGTTCAAGATGTATTCCGCTCACCCATGCCAACTCCTTTCGTTGCCTAAAAGAGTAACCTACACACTGCCCTATTATACTACTACTACTACTACCCTCTTCTTTTGCATATACATACTGAACCTGTTTCCCCCCCCCTACTTTTCATATACACATCTCATATACAAAGAAACACCTCGCTCGCTCCCTCTTCTCTCTCTCTCTCTCTCTCTTACTCATATGCACATACACTAAAATAACTGTATCTACATCTACATCATCATCATCATCATCATCATCATCATCTCTCATCCGAACCACCGCGCCCCAGTGTCGTCACACGCTTTTGCAATCTTTGCACTTTACCCCAAATGTTTTCTTTTTTTTTTTCATATATAGCTTTAGTTTACTTTTGTACATACATAAAAAAAATATATAACATGCTTCTTTATCTTATCATCCTACGGGGGGACGGATTCACGAATGCTGATTGGTCCGATAAGGAAGCAGAGATCCTACATGAACCTTATATATCTCCAAAGTATCATCCAAGGACAAACAAACAAATAGCCATCTCCATTACCACATATACTCCAGTCACACACACAGAACAGCATCATTTATCTCACATGATGCTCCTTGATGTTGGGATGACAAGTTGGTTTTTTGGCTTCCACTGTCCGTCTCGCATCCCAATCCACCTACCACATTCTGATTGGTCATTGAGTAGAAAAACTTACCTAATAGGCCTCAACTAGAGAATAAGCACAGGGTTCTCTCTTACTTTGTGTAATCCGAGATCGGTGGAGATTAAGCTTCATTTGGTCTGCTCCCCGCCCTTCCTTTCTAACCATGACATAACACTTGCCACAAAATAGAGCATTGTGCCGTGCATTATGCCCCCCCACCCACGCTCAAGTGCTCTGTGAAATTCACGCCCCGAGAATCAGATAATAGCCAACGTTTCAATACAAACGATTGGCAGGTGGACCATCAAATTTGATTGTTCACTTTCTATCGAGCTCTAGTGATCGAACACTAGTAAAACAGTTTACTATATTCAGTTGCTGCTATTACTGTCTCAAAGTATGCTCTGAATCAAAAAACGAGTAATCCCCCACCAAAGTATTCTATGTTCATTGAAACGACCCACTCGACCGCACAGTGATGAAAGTGGGTTCTTCAGCACGTTGTGCGCTTGAAAAAAAAAAAAAGGATCACACTGTCTGTCTGATTCCATTACAAGAGGTCCTAGTCTGTAAAAAGTCATTGTAACGGGATCTCTCCAATCCTGACAAGAAGAAACAGAAACAAGTGGATATATTATATATGTTTGGTTTTTTGGAGGAAAAAAAAAAAGAGATGTCTATGTAACGGGCCTCCTTGGTAAAAAAAAAAAAAAAGTAAGAAGCGGGGTATGTAGAAGAAATATTTATAGAGATAGGGGGTTTGGATGTGAGTTTCCCTTCTTTTTGGAATGGCTAGATGGAGGTGGGGAGAGGTGGTTTTTTTTGGTCTGTGTACATGTATATACGGAATTGAAGGTGAAAGGTTGAAAGGGGAAAAGAAGAAAGTGGTGTATAAATAGAGAGAGCAAGACGTTTTACGTTCGCTTACGAGCTGCAGTATCAGCATCAGATAGATTGCTAGGCTTTGCAGAAGGTAACGAAAAGCTTCGTACATGGCCAGTGAGTATCTTAGTCGTTGTGGAGGCCGTGCGACTGGATATCGATTCTCCCGACTTGGGCGGTGTGTGAGAAGGATGGGGTGAAGAAGTGGATAATACCGAATGATGGTGATGCGCTTGATCGTCGTCATCGTCGTCGCTCCAACTGTCACGCTGATGATCGTAAACATCTGAATGCAACGTAGTCGGTCGAGTCATTTCAGAGCTCTTACGGAACGGCCAGAACCCAGTGCTTCGTTTGGTAGTTTCATCCGGCTCTTCCCAACTCGTCATGCTACTCGTGTTGGTGCTGTAGCTGCTGCTCAATCGAACAAGCGAGCTGGCATTACTCAATAACGAGCTGGTGTTGATGCTGTTACTGCTCGTGCTGCCGCTGTTGTTGTTGTTATTGTTCATGCTCCCTCCCCCACCATGACTGCCAACAGCGTTGCTGTTCCCTCCGTTATTGGCAGTATTGGATCGACCGTACGCAGGGGACGTTGTGGCGCGCTGTTTGGGCGGTTCTCGGAGCACGCTCAGCTCATCAATGATCTTTTCACTGACCCAGGGCCGCATCAACAGATACTGTGTGATCAGCTGCTGCTCGACCTCAATGCCTTGATCGCCATCCACATCCACACCAAACAAAGCCGACGAGTTGCTCATTCGGTTCTTGGACGACGACGTGCGATGCAAAGCGTTTGTCAAGACCGAAGGTCCGAACGAATGTTTGCGCGACGCTTTTACATACGATGCCGGAGGCCGTTGCGGATACGCTGGCGCACGTTGGAAATGGTGAATCAAATTCACAACGTCCTGAACGCGCGAGTCGTCTTGTGCTGCTGTAGCTGCTGCTGCTCCTTGACGGCCTTTCTTCACTGCCGCCAACAGATAGGTCATGTCATGGATAAACACGCCCAAGAATGGCACCACCGGTTTGGTCCATCTGCGTCTCGTCTCTAGACCCATGTGCTCGCGATACCGGCCGTAATTCTCAGACTCGGACATGAGCGCATTGAGGAGGTCCAGCCTCCCCATCCGTTTCTTCGGAATGCAATCCCACGTCCGTCGAAGTCGCTGCACAGGCGGAGTCCCCAGGGCCGACACAATCGCCTTGAGTGTTTGGTAGTTGCTCAGCGACAGGCACTTTGTTGCTACCTTGATCCATCGGTTGATCAGTTCAGCCCGTCGTGACGCTTCTTGCGGTAATAGGATCGAGTGCTCGATCGCCCGCGTAATGTAATTGAAGAAATCGGTCGAGGCCACGACTTTGGGATGGGGCGAACGTGGCGAGTGCGACAGCAATGCGTCCGGCGGGATGTCGCGGAAAATGGCAAATTCTATCAGCGTCAGCTGATAAGCGACCAGGTGTGGTGGAAATTGCATGACGTTTGGCACCGTTGCTGCGCTCATGTAGAGCGTTCGGACTCGATTCAGTGTTTCGCGCGTTTCTGCAACTGCTGTCGTGCGCTGCAAGATTGTGTCATTCAGCTCACTGTCCAGCAGTGTACTGTTGTTGTTTTCCGTTGACGACGACGACGACGACGACAATTCGGTGGCTGCATACGAAGACAAGGCACGCTTTCGTTGTTTGCATTCGCTCAGCGAAGCTTCCAAATCATCCAACTGGTCTTGCAATCGTCGATGCGTGGTCAACAATGGCGGAACAGGAATGTTTGGAACGTAGTCGATTGTTTGTGTCGCAGTCGGCGGTGCCAAACTGTCTCCCGTGTTGGTTTGGGCGGGCACCAAAATACGTGCATCGACAATGGACTCGGCCAAGACGTCGATAGGTGATATGCTGGATCGATGTTGGTGGTGATGCGAAGTTGTCAGTGATCGAGGACGGGTATCGACCATGGGCAGATGCGAGTATGCATCGGTCATGGTATGTGGACGTGGTGGGGGTATGCTGCCACTTCGTTGCATCGTTGTTGCTCGCGTTTCGTCTGGAAAAAGCCAAGGGGAAAACAGATTGCATCAATTAAAAGTGTTTTGTGTACATCACGAGAACCTTAAAAAAAGCTGATGGGATTTGTTGTTGGTGTCGTCAACGTTTAGAGGAACTTCTTACCATGGTTATTATCAAAATCTATAACTTCATCGTCGTCGTCATCATCATCATCGTCATCATCGTCGTCGTCGTCGGCTAGTCTCACTTCCTCCTCATCCTTAACTTCACTTTTGCGTTCTTCCTCTATAATATCCTCATTGTCCGATATTTCATGATCACTCGTTTGATCTGCAAAACTGACAGAATTGCCACGACCACGGTTATTTCGTTTCACAAATGCAGTAGTGGATGTAGCGACGGCTTCTTGTTCGCTATGCGAGTGATGATGTTGCTGTTGCTGCGGCTGTGTCGGCTGAGGTGGGTGTTGTGGCAAAGCGTTGGGGACCCTGTTTGGTTTTGGAGGTACCGTGGGCTTGTTATGCATCCTTGCAGGCTTTGGCGGGAGTGGTGGGGGTGTTTTTACTGGAGAGCCGCTACTCCGATCATCATCGTGGTTGTGATGGTAGTTGTGGTGATGTGGATGGTTAGAATGAATCAAATGATGATGCTGTTGTTGCTGTTGTCGAGGTACGGGGGATCTTTGCACAGCAATTTCTTCCAGATGCAATAAACTTGATCGGATGATGGATAACGAGTTTTCATATTGCATAGGCTTCGATACCACAGCTAATAATTGGGAAAGCATCAGTATATCCTCATCCTCATCATCAATCATTGAAACCCTTCCTTCTCCTCATCCTATCCAACTGCCTCCCTAAGTTCTTACTGTGATGAACAAACTTGACTCCATGGAGATTCTGTGTGGATAACTCTACTGCAGATAGAAATCTCGTATATGCATCCTACGAACGGGGTTCAAGTTCGTTTTGTGAATACACAACAACACCTTCATAAAGTTTTTTTTTTTCGTACAGCACAATTAAAGAAGGAGTCCTTGATATATATATATACCTTAATATGACCCTCGTCAAGCAGCTGTGATGCCTCCGTGTAAATGAGTTGAAGATGCTCCATTGAGTATGTACAATAAGGTTATGGTGTGGGCCCTCGAACCTCCCGAGAATGTTATATATGTTGCGGTGGTTGAGCAAAACAAGAAAAAAGTAGAAACAAAACGGGTGCTCTTTTAGATATAAAACAATGGGGTAGAAAGGTAGAAATAAAAAATAATATAAAAAGAGGGAGAAAAATCAATCGTGGGGAGGGGAGGGAAAGGAAAGAGAGTAATGTATAATGTTGGGGTCAATGTATGTCTTTATCGTTATAATCTTTCTTCGAGAGACTCTGTGTTGCTGTAGTAGTGAGGTCAATGACTGCTGCCTGTTTTTTTTTCAACTTGTCACCGGGCCAAGCGTGTGTGTGTGTATATAGATAGGTTGGTAGTCTACTACAAGTCGGCTTTACTACTCGTTTCGTCTTTCTTTTGTTGGAAACAGGTTCTTTTTTTGTCGAAGATTGGCTGTTGGGTGTTTTTATGGGTTGTTCTGTTTCTCTTTTTTTTTTTTGTTCTTTCCTTGGTTAAGCAAGTGAGCCCACAATTGCCCTTTTATTCGTTTCTTTTTTGAGGGATTTGGTCAATTCGCAATTTGTAACCCGATATCCGCTGCTTATCGTATATAAAAACCGAAAAGGAAGAAGAGCACACCAAGCGGAGGGGGGGGATGACGCGAAAGAGGTTTGAGTGCAATAACGGAGTTCATCCATCTGTAGACCAATCACAGGTTCGGTTCGGCGAGCCTTCCGAAAGAGAGAGAGAGACGTGCCACGGTTATTCATGTTACTACTACTGTGTTGTAAGGCAAGCTTCACTCACTTTTGTTGAACTCTTTTCAGCGCCGCACGGCTTTCTTTTTCTATTGTGTGGCGCGTGATCATATGGGGTCCTGTTTACACCATTGCCGTCATCATTATCATCATTATTAACGGTTACCTGTTTTGTCTTATGGGCTGCGTAAGTTACAGTAAATATATGAAAAGATAAGCTTGTCTGGACATGCTACCGGATCACAACAATCCAAAGAGCGTGCCTTGTACAAAATGAAGCGCCAATGTGGCATATGTATAAATATCAGCAACTGCTGTTGTTACCCGTCTATTGTGTGAGTCGTACAGAATGAAGTAGCGCATGTAAAGAATACAAAACTCTCCAGTCACCTGAATCAGCCATGTGCTGTTATTATTTGCTTTGGGCAGTTTTTACGCTCCTTGTCTGTTGTGATGTGTGCGACGTGTGTGTATGCTATTGTATTGGTTGTTGGGATAATGATGATTCAATTACACACGACTACATGCGCAAAATCATCATCATTATAAACTATCTATGTAAAAGCTCTTTAGCAAATGTCTACTATAACATTTTGGAGGCTGTTGTCGTTGGCTCTGATGACAATCTTAGTGATACCTGAATAAGAAAGCTTAAATTCAAGAACGGACAAGGATGACGGTGGTATATCATATGCTTCTTTAAACCTGTAAAGGTACTTGCGGGCCGACTTTATCCGATCGATCAGCATTCCATTGAAATAAACTCTTTTAGAGGCCGTGATGCTTGTTCGAAATGATGTTTGCCAGATGTACCTATTTGTTCCACCATAGAGAAGTGGTGGATACCATATAATATTGCATTAAAAAAACAAGTCCTGTTATAATCAAAGCTATGATACTACTCTGTTATTGTATAGTTAGGAGCGAGGGACTTGAGTGAAAATGTACCCTGCTTTTTCGTTTGTGCAGTCTTCTAGCAAGTCCAAATAGCATTTTTTTTTGGTAGCGACATATTTAGTTGTATTACTTTCTCCAATAAGTGCTTGATTGCTTGCTATACTCTGTGCATAGTTGTTATATTTTTGCTGCATTTTGCTCACTATATGTAGTTGCTACGCCGTGCCCGTATGCTGTATTGCATAGCAAAGGAATCTAAGCAATGTTTGATAGTTGTCTATCAGAGACGCTCACTGTTTTCCTTGTGACCTTCATCTATACCCTTCAGTCATCCGTTCGTCACCACGATCTTTCTTACATATAATAAACACGATAACTACTGTATTTTACTTCTATCAATAGTCGATTTTACACGATAACAAATGAGGTCGAAATAAGTTCATGGCACCAGTGCAATGAAGTGAAGGCTTTTTGCAGTTACTGTAACCGGGAAAGACCGAGCAAATGCACTGCCTGTTACTGCTACCACTGGTATACAAACAAGACATATATGGTGATACCCTGACTACGCACGCGCTTGACTGCTGCGGTCAAAGACTCGTGATCGATGTTAACTTTTCGACATGCATTATGGCCTGTTAGCTTGACTATGGCAAACATCACGGTATTTGAACGAGGCAAAGAAAAAAAGCAATGCAGCGCTTATTGACAGCGACCGATAATATAACAAGAGATGCTCTCAGAACAACACCACATGCTAGTAGGAACTGATTCAATATTGGGTTTTTTTCTAGTAAGCATTTTCCATCTTGGAAACAACTGCCCTGGAGAAGAGAAGTTTGAATCAATCAGGATCCCCTAATTTGGACGTATTTCTTAGGAACTCCGACGGAAGTTTGGATTGAGTAAAAAAAAAATTTGTCCTGTCAACTTTTTCTTCTGTACTTGTTCGATCGTCACCAACAACCAACAATCATAAATCATGTCGGGTACTGACGCTGCCGCAGCAGCTGCTGCTGTTAATGAGAAGAATCTCCAAAAAGACCCCGTCACGGGTGAAATGATCTCCAAATCGTACGTCAATTGACAAATTTTGATTTTATCGTACCCTTGACATAACCTTTGTATAAAAAAAATAACACTGTTAGGGAGATGAAGAGACGTCAAAAGCAGCGTGAAAAGGAAGCACAAAAGGCTGCCAAGGCTGCCAGCGCACCCAAGACTACTGAAAAGGCCAAGAGTGCCGAAGAAGGCGAAGAAGAGCTCAACCCTAACGTAAATAATGAAGAGATAGGAGGGGGGGGATGATAATCTATAAACTGGAGAAGAGGAGGACTTTACTAATTTCTTGTGTGTCTGTTCTCCAGCAATACTTTGAGCTCCGTAGCAAGACGATCCAAGCTCATCGCGAGGATCAAAGCCCCAACCCTTACCCTCACAAATTCCAAGTTGAGCTGTCAATCCCTGAGTTCATTGCAAAGTACAGCAAGATCGAGACCGGCGAGCGTCTGGACAACGAAGTCGTCACCGTTGCCGGCCGTATCCACAACAAGCGTGCTTCGGGTGCTAAGCTCCGTTTCTACGATTTGCACGGCGACGGCGTCAAGATCCAGATCATGGCTTCGGCACAAGACAACGAGGGCGACGACTACACGCAGATCCACGATTTGCTGCGTCGTGGCGATGTCGCCGGTGTCCGCGGTGTTCCCGGCAAGACCAAGCGTGGCGAATTGTCCATCTTCCCCAAGCAAGTCCAGCTCTTGTCGCCTTGCTTGCGCATGTTGCCCAAGGCCCACTATGGTTTCAAGGACCAAGAGTTGCGATACCGTCAGCGTTACTTGGACTTGATCATGAACAACTTTGTCCGTGACAAGTTTGTGACCCGTTCCAAGATCATCTCGTACCTCCGTTCGTTCTTGGACGAGCGCGATTTCTTGGAAGTCGAAACCCCCATGATGAACATGATTGCCGGTGGTGCTACTGCCAAGCCCTTCGTCACCCACCACAACGACTTGCACTTGGACATGTTTATGCGTGTTGCTCCCGAGTTGTATTTGAAGATGTTGACTGTTGGCGGTTTGGATCGTGTCTATGAAATCGGTCGTCAGTTCCGTAACGAGGGCATTGATTTGACCCACAACCCCGAATTCACCACCTGCGAATTCTACTGGGCTTATGCTGATATGTACGATGTCATGAACTTGACTGAAGAGCTGCTCTCCGGCATGGTCAAGAAGTTGTTCGGTACTTATAAGATCCAATACCACCCCGAAGGTCCCGAAGGCCCTGCCATGGATTTGGATTTCACTCCTCCTTTCCGTCGCGTCGACATGATTGAAACTTTGGAAGAAAAGCTCAACGTCAAGTTCCCTCCTTCCGAGGAACTCCACACCGATGAGACCAACAAGTTCTTGTCGGACCTTTGCACTAAGAACAACGTCGACTGCTCTGCTCCACGCACCAACGCTCGTATGCTTGATAAGGTAAGAAGGCGATCAGCGTTCGCTGGGGGGGGGTTTGGGCGGGAGAGAGAAAGTAATACCAAAGGGATTTTTGGGAGTGAGCATGAGACTAACGGATTTTGATTATATAGCTCGTTGGCGAATATATCGAAAACACCTGCATTTCTCCCACCTTCATCATGCGCCACCCCATGATGATGTCGCCCCTGGCCAAGAAGGATCGTGAGCGACCTGGTCTTTGCGAGCGTTTCGAATGTTTCGTTGCCACCAAGGAAATCTGCAATGCATACACCGAGTTGAACGATCCCTTCGATCAGCGTGAACGTTTTGCTCAGCAGGCCAAGGACAAGGCTGCTGGTGACGATGAAGCCCAGATGATTGACGAGAACTTCTGTCAGGCCCTTGAATACGGTCTGCCACCTACCGGTGGTTGGGGTATGGGTCTGGATCGTCTTGCCATGTTCTTGACCAACTCGAACAACATTAAGGTAAATTTGACAGGAGGAAAAGGACTGCTGTAAAATTATGAGGACCTCAGGCGATCATGGTTGACTAAATACTGCTTTTCTCTTATTTTTTTATTACCCTCGCGTTTTACAGGAGGTTCTGCTATTCCCTGCCATGAAGCCCGAAGAAAACAACTAAAATATGTTCTTAAATGGTTTTTGGTAATAAATTCGTAAATAGTATCTTACAATCATATAGCGTCTCTTATAGGGTGTAAAGGTGCGGTATGCATGTAGCATGGGCTAAAAAGACAGGAAAAATGAAAGTGCAACAATGGGGGAACTGGGATTCTCTTGGAAGATGTCACGTAGGAGTACTTTTCGTCACTTTTGGGTTTAATAGCGAACTGCTGGTCAGCTCAGATCATCCCAACCTTTTCATATGCGAATGCGTGCTACAAAGTCAGCAAAGTTGCCGTGGTATAGGTCACTTCCGTAATGGCCCAACTAAATGCAGACGTATTAATTTAATGCATTTTTCCCCAGCTTCCTTCCTTCTATACAAGCCTGGATCACGCGGCACCGAGCCTGTCAACATGTTTGACAGAAGGATTGGCTGAGCCAATGTAGTGTCTGAGTATAATAGCGTATCCAAATATCGAGTGCTATGCAACAAGCGAAGAGCTTAGTGTGGTGTTACTGACAAATTTAATAAAGGAGGAAAGGAAATTGAAAGCTCAGAACGATCGCACAGTATGAAAAGAAGCAACCAAATTCTGGAATATCGCGTGTGATATGAGTTTCGTTTAACAGCGAGATAGTAGTAGTAGAAAAAGCCAGTGTAGTTTTAAAGTCTGATGTAGCATCATGGTGATATGATTACGCTATTTTTAAGCATATTTATCTTCATATCTCACGTAATGCTTGTGATACACATCACTACTTTTATCTGTGTACAGTAATAGTAATAATTTAGCCTTGGTTCTATAAGTCATATTTAGGCTTTTGTGTTAGACTCGATCTGTCTTTGAAATTGAGCGGATACACAGAAAGTTACACATTGTTTTATTTTCAACATGCAGAGAATATTTATTGGTAGTGGACAATGCTAAAAACATTGCTCACCGTTATGGAAAGCCTCGTCAACTTACCTAAGCTGTCGTCGTGTAACACTTGACTGCCGAAATTTACTTTAATAGCAGTATCTGAATGATACAATTTCTCGGCTTGCCATCTATTTCTTCACACATTCCAGTCTCCGGAGAGAAATAACTACCACTACATATACAATAATTCATAAATATGTCAAAAACTATATTCATTACAGGCGGATCAAGTGGGCTAGGCCGAACAGCAGCTAAACGTTTCCTATCCGAAGGCTACACGGTGGTAATTACAGGCAGAACCAAAACCAAGCTTAAAGAGGCTGTGCAATGGATCCAGCCTTCTACTGATGGTCAAAAGCGCTTGCATACAATCACTTTGGATTTGGAAAGCCTATCATCTATCCGTGATGCCGTGGAAGCCTTCAAAGCACTGGGCTTGCCAACGCTTGACATTCTGATCAATAATGCTGGTCGCATGACTCCTAGTCTCGAGTATACCGCAGAAACTGACAAAGTAGAAAAAACAATCTTTACAAATGCAATTGGACCTTGGTAAGCGATAAAACGTCTTGAGTGGAATATTACAATATGGAAGCATTCGGTTTTACTGACATCTTTTGTCGTTGTTGCTATTTCTCTTTTATTCTGTATATATTACTTATCGCGCTACTAACGTCTTTCCTATCTTAGGTACCTGACCATGTTATTAAAACCATTAATTCCACCAGGCGGCCGTATATTCTTTGTCACTTCCGATTTTCACAACCCCAACCCTCCTCCCGGCAGCGTATTTATGGCCCATCTCAACACCGATTTACTGATCAAGCCAGATCTGCTCGATCTTTTGGATGGGAAAAAGGCAAAATACAACTCACTTGCATACTACAAGGTCAGCAAGCTTGCCGTGCTCTGGATTGCTTATGTAATGGCCCAGCAATACCCAGAGTTGTCGATCAACGCGTTTTGTCCTGGTTTTCTTCCTTCGACAGGATTAAGTCGTGACGAGCCGAAACTTGTTGGTGTATTCATCAAGTTGTTTGGCAGTATCACGGGTAAAGGAGTGTCCGAGGAAGATGGCGTGTCCAAGATCGTGTATTATGTGGCAAGCGAGGAACTCAAGGGCGTCACTGGCGAGTACTTTAAGGACGGAAAAAAGGAGGAAAGCTCAGAGCGTTCGCACAATATGGAAGAAGCAACCAAGTTCTGGAATCTCGCGTGTGATATTTGTAAAATTCCAGAGTTTGCTTTGTAGTAATTTATCGCTGTCTAATATATCATAGCTCTTCGTATTCATGTACTTCACGGACTCAATTGTGATAGCAGTACCAGCAAACATGCAGATATACATTGAGCACATATCGCCATTAAACAGCAGCGTTCACTTTGTGAAACTCGTAAACAATACATAATGGAAACCACTCAATTCATTGCTAGCATTGGAAACGTACAGTAACACAAAAAATAGTAGCAGAGCCAGCATCAACCCACAGCCCCACAGCCGCAGCATCATGCTTTTTTTGATCTCGCTGTACTCGGATACGGCTTTAGGTGACACACTCAAGTAGTATAGTACTTTTCTCTCTCCTTTTCCTTCTTCTTGTTTTTCCAAATATATATTATCAAATGGCGAATTTTGGTGGTGTCCACAATCCAGAACACATGCCCTGGCTCAAGCACTATAATGATGGCAGCGAAGCACTCAATCGACATGACTATGACGACGCCATTTCGCAAACCACCATGGCGGTCGAAGCCTTCCAATCCATGCAGTATGTAGCAATCCTCGACGTACGCGCCGAAGCCTACGGTAATAAAGGTGACTATGAACGAGCACTTGAAGACGCCCGAGAAATGATCCATTATGCGCCACATTCACCGCTCGGATACCTCCGCGCAGGCGATTTGTATACGATGCAGAGCAACTATGGCGAAGCTATAGATATTTATGCCTTTGGTCTATATTCTGTCGAACCATCATCACTTCCAGAACAACAACAACAACAATATGAACTGATCCTAAGAAAGAAACAAGAGGCAGAACAGAAACAGTATCAGCGGTTGGATTTAATGCGCGTTTTACCATTCGATGTTATTTCAATCATTTTGCAAGAGCTGACACTAGAGGAGTGGATGGCGTGTATGGATGTTTGTGTGCAGTGGAGAGAACTTGTTCCACGATGTCTTGCTTGTCGTCATTTGGACATCATGTTTTGGGGCTGTGATAAGCGGCAGGATGAACACGTCACGAGATTGATGGGATCTCATATTCAGTCGATTGCGCTAGCCAACGTTACGTCGTTTAATGCAACGCGGTCTGCTATAGAAGTGATAATGAATCGATGTCAAAGTATTCGTAGTCTCGGTAAGCCAAGAAAGAAAAGTTACACCGCATTTATGAGTCAATACTGAATAAAACGGTCGGGTGATGAATGGGGGGATATACGTCTAGAATTTCAGATGTGTCAAATCACCATGGATGATGTCTGGCCCGCACTACGACGCGTTGGATATCATTTGACAAACCTACGAATCAACGTGGCGCCCTCGAGCGACGTTACCATCGACGCATTGTTAAAACTATGTCCAAACGTGTCCTCATTCACGTTTCATGCTCCATCACCACACTCAAGAACAACCGTGCATTCTACTACCCAAAGTTCAGCAGCAACAAACGTATCCGACAGTAGCCTCCTTTCTATCACCTATCTTTCAGTAGACGTCAGCCGCTACATGCTTTTAATAGAATCCCTGTTATGCCGATGCCCAAAACTACGTTGCTTAATTATACCTTTTCGGCCCGAGGATAGCCGACAACTGGTTACCCCTGAAAAAGTGTTGGACCTCTGCCCAGATCTAGAATACTTTGATTTGCATGCATCCTTGCCGCAAGATACTTATGCATCTCCACCGGAAAAAAATCAAAAACGGCAAGCTTTATTCAGCACTATCACTAGTAATACTGGCAGCATCATTCCAACCACTATTAATACAACAACGACAACGGGTAATCGTGATAACGAAGAACATCATTTACGAGAGCTATACATTGCCGATCTGCACGGATATACGGGTAACGATTTCATGCCAGTGCTAGAACGTACACGAAACCATCTCGAACGACTGCATATAGGTGTAGGTGCGGGTGATGTGATCCTTATGGATGAATGGTCAGGGCTTGCAGGACTCCAATTCAGCAAACTACAATCGTTTCACTGCTCTATAGCATGCAGCACAGTCTTTTTCAGCTCCATGTTTCGACACTGTCCGGTACTTGTGGATCTAGAATTCTTTAATGTCGCTGTTATTGACGATGTTTTTGACGCGATCGTCAGCGCTGGCAGTTTACAGCGACTTTCTTTTTCATATTGCCATGGTATCACCGAAGCAGGCTTCTTACAATTCATCCGCCATCATGCTACCGCGTTACAAGAAATCGAATTGACACAATGTAGAGCTGTCGGTGACGATTTGTTGGAAGCCATTGCCGAAACTAACAGCCGATCTTTACGGATTCTTCGGCTGGTAGATAATCCTCGCGTCACACCGAATGGGTTGTTGATGCTCGTTCAAGGGCTGGTACGAGCGCCTGCTGCCCATCTCCATACGCTGGTCATGAAATATATGCATTCTGTCACTGCAATGGTACTCCGTGCCGTCCGTGATTTATCGAGTCTTAAAACACTTGATATATCCGGATCATCCAGTGTCACTGATAACGCGATCCATATGGTTGTAGATCAGAACCCGCAGCTACGCCATTTAACCATCAGTAATTGTACAATGATCACTCAGTCAGCCATTGAGCATGCTAGAGAAAGCCATGTTACTCATGTTGTCGCTGAATGATAATAAATAATGTTACATTTGTTTTATTCTTATAAGATATTAATATTTATTACTTGTTAGTAGTAGCTTTTATAGTAGAAGGATCGTCTCGTAGTACGAGAGGAATAGGGTGGTTATGGTCATGACTGTTATTGGTATTTTGTTTGGTAAAATAGTAGGGTGATGAAGGATGCCATGAAGACGGGTGAGGGAAAGCAGGCGGGGTAGCTGTGCTGTTGATCGATTTCGACGACCTATTAGTGTTGTTTGGAAGTGGTGCAGGCAAATCCAACCCTTCTGCCCAGAAATCTTGATGATGTTGCCAGTGTACACTGAATGCATTGGGTGGTGGCATGTGTGGTAAGAATGAAAGAATCAAATATGCGAGGCCAATGGTAAAGCTGAAAATGGAGACAATGACATTGAATGCCTTGTCGCACATGACAAGGCAGCCCAAACTATATCACAGTTATTTTTCAGTCATGGTAACAGAATTTTTGAATTGATGGTGGTGTGCAAGAAAAACTTACAATAAAAAGAGCAAGCCTCGGCCTTGGTGTACACCAAGAAACCCGAAATAGATCTGTGTCAAAGCAAATGTCCTACACTCGTTGACGACTAGCAGGATACTCATGGTACTGAATTGCATATGTAAGTTTCCCACTGTTTAGTTTCAGGTAAGAAAAAGTTATGCATGCGTGTATACTTTACCAACAATAGACAACTTGAATGATCTCGCCCAGAGTTCCATCAATGCTTTTAACGATAGCAGCTGTAAAGACAAGGATATAGAGAACGATATTGATGATGTTGATACTGAGGCAAATAAGGTTCTCGACCTTTGCCCGAGATATTCGCATATAGAATTTTGACAAAGGAGGTAGAAAAATAAAAGGTTTTCTTGTCTTGGTTTTGGATCAAATGCCAACCCAACAACCTTCTATCTAATCCTTCCAACACTTTGCTCGGATAATTTCTAGTTCTTTTTGCAATCAGAAAAAATATATATTACAAGGGATATTGTGTTTAGACAAACTCCAAACAAGGAGGAAGAAAAATGGTGAGAAAAAGAATATTACACACGGAGATAGATAGATTAGAAGAATGTAGAATGGATGGAATGAGGGGAGTTAAGCGGAAGTAAGAAAAGTGGAGACGTATTCACGAGGACGGAGCAATGATGTTATTGTGATGGGATGGATAACTATGATGATGCGTGATGTTGATGAGGAAAGGATTATAAGGTTTCGGTAGACGGTGACGATAGCAGCGAGTATCTTGACATCTACATCAAAAAAGTTAATATGTTAGTGTTAAAAGACAATTAGTCTGATACCCAGTCCAGTTTAAACCAACTGTATAGCTTGCCATCCACGCTAACATTCGCACAAATATCACACAGCACGTTGTCTTTTAAATTTTACCTGTGCTCGAGTCCGTTGCTGCCTTGATGCTCGTTTGTTTTCTAGAAAACCAGAAACCGCTGCAGCTGTCATCATTGATTTCCGAAAGTGCGCCGTCCGTCTCGCGGAGGAAGCCGACGCACCCGCGGAAGATGATGACACCACCGATGATGACGAATCCGCTTTTTTAGGTGAGGATGGTGGTGAGGGTAATATTTGTGCTAAATCCTCACTCAATTCATTCAATTCACTGCTACCGCTCCTGCCACTAGTGGCGACAATGATTGAAAACGCGTCCTTGGCGTCTTCCCATTGCGCTAGCATGAGCGTCAAATCGTGGTCTATTGCTCCGAACCGTTCACCTATCCGTTCAACCGAATAAGCTGCCGCCGCTATGATGTATCAACATTTATGCAAAGTCAAAAGTTAGATAATTAATTATAGATTATTGTGTCGCCCACGAATCAAAAGAATTATCTACCTCGACTTGTAGAAATCGCCTTGGCGTCTTGTCGACACAGCAGAAGCTTCGATTGTATACCTCGCACGTGCTTTTCAAGGACAGTGTAGTAGTGTAACAGGGCTTGTGAGCGCTGATCTGCTGTTCCCGGAATCTTGCGTTCATCTTCTTCCTCGCTGTACACTGCTTAAAAAAGGTTAAAACAAAAAAAAAAGGCATTTTGACCGCGCGCTCTCTCTGTCTGTCTGTCTGTCTGTGTAACCCACTCCAATAAACCATCATCACCCTTTCCCTCCCGATCCCGTCATTAAAGAAAAGGCCACTTACAAGAAGATGAAGTCAAATGCTCATGAAGCAACGGCGTGTGGCGTCGATAATCAGCAGCAAGCTCAGATATGACTTCAATAACCGACTCCCAATTCTGTTCATAATCCATCCGCTCCGAATCATGACCCAATGTCATGACATCCAGTGCCAACAAATGGATCACGCACTCGCGACGTTTCCAGTGGATCGTATGCATCAGGTGTTCCAATTCATCCGTGTTTTCCATGGCAGCCTTAAGCATGCGATCATCAAACACCAAGAATTGTTGCTGCTGTTGTGATATAACGTTAATGTTGTACATGTCGCGAAAACGGGATAAGTTCCCTCCGTGCGATAGGGGTTCAAGATTGCTTAATGCGTCTGAGACTTTTCGAAATTGTGAATGCAAAATATGACACGTCGCGCGTCGCATATCTGATGCCATTCTCGAAGAAGATGAGGACGGAGCACTGTTCGTTGTTGCTGTGTTGATGTTATTGGATGGGTGGTGGCGATGATTAGGTGGTGCTAGTGTGCTTCCTTGTGAAATCACATCGAGCTGACGGATCTGATCAACAAGGCGTAATAGGGCGGTATCACCTTGTTCGCATTGCGCTACGAGTTGTCGTAATCGAACCAACGCTGTGGTGTGGATACTGCGGATTTTTGTACGTCGCTAATATTTTCAAACCATGAGTTTCTTCTTTCTATTCCCCCCGGTTGGGTATGTGGTCATTCTGCATGAAATTGGCTTGCTTACATATCGTCGACGAAGTATAAAAAATGCCAATCCATGGCTGGCCAAGACCAAGCAAGTCAAGGAGAAATAGTCAGGCAAGACTCCCGAGTAGGAGGCCACAAACAACGAAAAGGAGGTGGCGGCTGCAATGGTAATCATGCCTGGCAATATTGAGTGGAAAAGGCTATTTCGAGTGGTGATACTTGTATTACGGCCATTCGTCGCACTTTTGAATAATTTGTTCGCTGGTGTTGTTGTAGAGGATGTGGTAGTGGTGGTTGGTAGTTCGCTGAGTAAGGAGGAGGTGACAAGGAGATATTTAAATTGTTCTTCAAAGGCGGTTTCTTCGGCGTCAGGAAGCGACGAACTGATACAGCTCTACAGTGTCACCATTACAGAAACTTATTAGCTTATCACCATGCTAACTTTTTCTTCTTGACTTTTTTACGCGAATAGGCGCATGTAACGTTTTGCTTTTAAGAAAAGTTCGTGTGCTACGTTACAGCAACCTTCTTTTTTTCTTCTTCCTTGGTTGCGCTCTTTCTAATACGGCTAATAACCACACAAACAACGAAACAAGTGTCCGAGAGAGTGAGAACTTACTCGCACATGCTCAAACCAATGGAGTGCTAGAGGAAGCAGCACTTGACTGGTGATTTGCCCTGCCTCGGCAATGTACTTTTTGACCATGGCAACTGCATAATCGCGTCGCTGTAATAACGAAGCTATTTGGTAAAGGTCGTCAGGGGCGGTGGTGGTGGTGATAATATCAGTAGGTACGGCGAAGAACAATAGAGCGGCAAAGGCGAGCAGCATTAGTGCATGGGCGCCGCTCGGAAAGATGAACGCGATCAGGTTTGACATTACGTGGAAGGAAACATGAGACAATCAGTTAAAAAATAAGGAAGGAGAATGGGGTAAAGGAAAGTAATAATAATTAAGAAAAAGGGCAAACTGAATATGAAAGAAAGAAGAGGCGTGAATTGAGCGCAGATAATTCTCATTGTCTTCGTCCTGCAATAAAAGGCAACCACTCCCTTTCTTTCTTTCTCACCAAACACCCCCCATTTAATGCGCACCATGCAACATATTAGGCCACGATGGTGGTTGCTCATTTATTAAATGTGACAGTTGACAGAGACCTTCTCCTTTTTACGTATAGTTGATCTGATGAACTCCCTGCCTTGCTTCATAGTTAGAGATCCCTCCTTTATTTTCAACTATAAGGGGATTGGCTCGCACGGATATGGTTTATGTCTGATAAAGTTACTCGACTTTGTCAATTCTCATTCGGCCGTAACTATGCTCGGTTCGATCTATATCTGATCTTGGCCCGACGAAAATGTTTACACGGTTTATGTGATGCCAAGACACTAAACTCCCGCTTGTAGACTCCAATTCAAGTCGAGACCCTGCGTAATACGCATTAGGCTATTAGCAGATTGTCTGCTACTTTCCTGATCGTCACATGCATATACATGTACACATTTTACGCAAAACAATGCCATGTAATTTGTTTTTCAATGCGATAAATTACTCTTTTTTGAATATCTGTTATCTGGTGAACTATGCGGAATAAACGGCACCCGCGCTGAGTATTTACAAAAACATACACGTTCTTGGAAAATTAAGAATATTAGCGCAAATCGAACTTTGTATATACAGTATCACTAAACGCTCGTACTAGCTACTTCTTGCATTGTCAATATACGTGTGTATGCAGGAACGTACAAGAGTTGCATATAGAATTGTTTTGATGTGCGCATAGTGAATTGGTGGGGTATTGTGAAATTGCTGTCTTAATATATGATAAACTAAAGATAAGGTATATATATACTCTTACACCTCATTACAAAGCTAGGCCGAAGATACTTCTACTACTACTAACATCTTATTTGGCACTAAGTTGTGCCAACAAGGAATCGATTTCTTGAGCAACAATATGATTGCTGCATTTAGCCCGTACTTGTCTATTAAATTTTATTAAAAATGCAGGATTTTAGTCATTTCCTCCTTTCATCTCTCTTGTCTCTCGCGCTTTCCCTATACACCAAACTGTCACTTACTTTAATCCTTCCATATCCTTGTTAAGGAATGCCTGCTCTCCTGCCTCCTTGAACGCCCCAATCTTAACAAAGAGCATGGGTCGAACCGGTGGGTCGCATCGCAAAATGTACTTGCTTGCCTCTTGGTACTGCTTGGCTTTGATGCATTCTTCAACAAATGGCTATATTATTTATGCGTGATTAATTATGATATGCACTGTTTAAATTGATGGAAATCCACCCTTTACTCTGTTTAATCAAATACAAAATCCCTGTCTCTCCCACCCCTTCAGCTAATCTGTAAAAGTCGTTTACCTCATAGCCGATAGGTGATTTTTTGCTCTTTGCAAACTTTTCCAAATTTTCCCAATCACGAACTTCGACCAGTGCTCGTAGCTTGATCCACCACATGCGTTTGTCAGGTACTTTAAATTCGCTCTTGACTTTTGATGCCTTGTTCTGCTGGCCGAGCACTGTGCATTTATAGATCGTTTCACTGACAGATAAGCCGGTGAATGGTTGGTGTGTATCTTTCTCAAGTTGTTGCTGCATTTGTAACAACTTGATTCCTTCATCCGTAGCCTAGCAATTACCATTTTCACTTATTTAACTTTATATGCTTTATCAATTATGCACCCATCGTTACATTACCTTGGCTTCAAATGCGCGATCCTTATCATCCTGATATGTCTTGCTGGCAATCTTGAGATTACTTATCCGTTCCGCGATATCCTAATTTGTATCCCATTCTCAGTAAGCATCCTTCCAAATACATTTGCCCCTTTTGCTCTAGAGCTTAAATTTTACTTACATCCTGCTCGAATCCTTCCAATAAGATAACATTTGCACTTTCTACTCGACGATCGTCTTGATAATAGAAATCCTTTAGTAGTTCCTTGTCTTGTTGCTTACAATACACTTCCAGTAAACTACATGCCAAAGGCTTGTTGTTGATCATTCGGAAGAACTCGCCCAAGGGAAGTTTTCGTTTTAAAGTAAATATGACCAGATATACTAATAAAAGTGCATAATTTTTGGTTAGAGGGCTCAAGAGATTCTTGAGAGGTACATCGATGGTTCAACCGTTATGAGCTTCCCCCCTCCCATTACCTAGATCTGTATCGCCGCTTTCAATAGCCTTGAAAAGAGCCATCTCATCTTCTTCCATTGACATGAGCAAAGGCACTTGATCCGCTGCTCGAGGTTCATAATCCAATAGCTAACCATATTGTTAAAAAGTATGTTAACATCGCTTATCCACAACTTTTTTTTATAATGTGCAATATTTAATCTTTACCTTTGTTGCAAGTCGAGTTTGACCCGAGTTGTATGCTGTTTTGGCAATTTCTGCATAAGACAATCCAGGTTTCTTGATAAGTTTTTCAACAATCATACGACAAATGGTATCTTCGTCTTCAGAGGACGATTTGATCTAAAATAGAGGATTTATCGTTCAGTTGCTTTACTTTATGAAAAAACAATTTTGCTTTCTAACACCGGGTTATACACAAGAAGAAAGAAAGAAATAAATCATACCTTAGCACATGCCCAGTGGATCAAGATCTTGTCGGATCGTACTTTGAGATATTCAGCAATACGCACTGCAAGCAGATGATGGTTACGACAAACAAGGCGATCCACCACTGAATCTGGTGATAAGCGCTTATATCTAATTGATATATATTGCTTGTTATTTCGAAATTCTTGTCACGCTTTATTTGTACTTTCTTCCTTAATGATAATCTAGTCATAGACTTACTGTGCATATGTGAGCGGTATACCGATATCATAATATCGAATGGCGTTCAAAACGCGCAAGGATTGGGCCATCTCCACAAACCGATCGGCGTTATAGTTATCCAGAAAACATTTACCAAACGACGCTGCCTGTAAGGAAGAAGAGCAAAAAAAAAAAGAAACCATTAGTAAGTCAAAAGACATTAACAAATCAAATGTATCCTTTCTCATTTACCTTTAAAAGTGCGCGTTGATAATAGTGTTGAAACTCAAAGCCAGCTGCTTCTATACAACAATCCACTGCATCCACAAGCTCTGTCTTTATGCTTCGTATATTTTCATCTGCTTTGGGACTTTTTCGCTATCCAGTATATCATCAGCCTTTCTCTTTTTAGTCCCAGAGTCACTTTTCTCCAATCTGCATACCTCAAAATGATCTAAAGCATCAAAGAGCATGGCTGCTGGTGAAGTTGATCCAATTTTGAAAATTTCCTCGGTAGCAGCTACAAAATTCGAAAGATACAGGTTGTGTTGATAAGTGATCTACAGAGAGAGAACAAAAAAGACGGTTCTCAAGTACGTTACCTGGTACTTTTTGGAGTAGTTCACATTTGTCGTTGCTCATGATACGCACACCATCGATTTCGGATATCATAAAAATAGGATCTTCATAAGAAAACTTGATCCAATCACCAAATGGGCCCACCATCAAAACAATCTTATCCCAATACAACACAACCGAATCCGTGCCACACCTATATACATGCGTATATTGTATCAGTACTCATGGAGTCTGTGAACCCGTTCAAATGCCAAAACCCTCAGATTTTTATTTTCTTTGCTTCCTTACCATACAAGCTGCTGTGGTGGGATTTTGGATTTCGTCGCATATTCTGACAAGTTCTTTTGAAAATCGGTGGACACAACCCACAGTTTTCCGTCACCGGTAAATAGGGCCAGGAATTTGCCATTAGGGGATACTGCCATTTTCGTAAATGGACCTTGTTGAAGTCGCTACATTCACATGTAACGTTGAGCGATATAGTACATTTTGGAGGACTCTAACCTCCCCTCTCCATCACACACACACACACAAAGCATCGATCTCCCGTACACTTGAGTATATTTACCTGGTCCACCGTTTCTTTACTATCAACAACAAGAATTGTCGAACCTGTCGCAATGAGCACTTCAACGTGTCTGCTAAGTGTGTATTGAGGTGGAATAACTGTCCAGCTATGCGGTTCTGTATCCAAGCCAGTTTCGGCCATGAGTTTAGGTCGCGGTTCATAAAAATTGGTGACGGAAACCAATTGATATCTGCTTGTCATGGCAACAAGACCATTGCTCCAAATCTGACAGTCGATAATGCCATCTTCTTTTGCTTCCTATAAATCGTACCCAGGCGGTTATGAGTAGGTTTTACTCTTCCTCCTTTACAGCCGCTTTCATGTTATTCCCGCTTACCTTTCCAAGGGAGAACTGGGTATAGGTTCCGTGAAGGGGATATAATCGAACAATGCCGTCTTCAGTGACAACGACAAGTTGTTCTTGGTCTGTCCAGCCTAATGAAACAATTCGTCCTTTATCCCACTGCAAAGAAAGATACTTGTTTTGTTAAACAACAAAAGTTTCTAGATAATGACTCGATAGGAAAATAGTGAGGACAGAAACCCGCAAATCTATACCGAACCTGAATTTGTTCAATCAGCTTTCCTGCAGCAGTATACATGTATATGGTTGGCTTGATCGGTTGCTGCTTTTGTAACAAAAGAACCTTCTTGTCGTCGCGAATAAGAGCTAGTCTCTTGCCACCGTTAGTTTATCTTCACTCAACACCTTACCCCCAACTCCCTTTCGTTTGTGCAAAAACCACTCACCGATAGGTCCTCCATATTGTGCACCGGCAATCATGAACTTTGACAAATCAGTTTGGTCCCATGATAAAGAATAGACTTCTTGCTTTCTAGACATGTACACAGACAAACGAAAAAATATTAAGAACGTATAAATCTCGGATTCGTGTATTTATGTATACGTCTACGTGATGGTCGGTTCGGTTGCTCTTTCTTTCCGTTGTATTAAAGGTTTACCTGTAAAACCGGTCCTAGTATTCCACAGGGAAAAATTAAATTTGGTAAGTACCATGCTTTTACTTTTAAACTTCTCTTTCGAAATGCGAGTGTTTCTTTACATGAAGTTGAATCCAGTCCGAGGTAGGATTGGGTGGCATTTTGCTTAAACGAGAAAATAGGGGAGGAAAAGGGTTAAGGTGACAGAAGAGTGGAAAAAACTCCGTTGATATGCTGTGTGCATTCTGAAACAAATGTTTTGCCACACATGGACGCGTTATCTGGGTCCGTGTCGTACCGAATGCTCGGGAAAGTGATTGTCAAAGCACTTCAATGGGAGCTGATACTTATCACTGCAGTAACCTTTTTACATGAGCTTTAAATCATAGTGCTTCTTTGTCGTCGCTTTCTCTTGTGTAACGTGTGCGCGTCGTCGTCAAGCAGGCATACAACATCGAAACGAAACCGACCAGAATTGATAAAGCTCAATACGATACAAAACTATCATTGCTCAAGAAGACACGTGCGCTTTGTTGCTTATCAGCAACTGCATAGGGTATAAGCTGAGAGCTTGAATTTGTCAAAGAGTCCGTATCACACTTCCGTCCACACGTCAATCATCAAAAGAAAAAAGATGTTGCCAATAGACATGGCCGCCTATAAGTCATTTTGTGGCTACTGAACCAATATAGAGCAGCTGTAGTCAATTAACGATACAAAAGGGTGAGACCATTTATAACAGAGGCTTATGATACGTGTGTGCATACACATATCAACTATGTATGTGTGTGTGTACTTCTGTGCATATCGGGCAGCGCGTGGGCCTGACAGTCACTTGCCGCTAATCCAGCTGTCTTATAATAAATGCCAGCCCTCTCTGTCTCTGTCTCTTTTTTCTTAACTTATTTGTCCAAACGCTCTCTCTTTACAGGAACAAAAACGTTTTTTTCTTTCCTACCGTACGAGGAACTTCGAAACCCCAAAACTCCAGGTACATTCAAATCGTTTATTTAAATCTCCTCTTTCTTTTGTGTACAATCTACAATATAGAAATTTACCAAATTTTCGCCGCGTCCTTTTTCTTTTATTTAATTTTTTTCTACCACCAGCAAATAGAAGATACACGGAAAAAAAAGAGCGATCGCCTTTATTATGCTGGATCAAAAGAGTCCCGAAGAAATCACCAAAGCTGCTCACACGGCTTCTGATACCCTTGAACGTACCAGCAGTGTAGATACGCATATTCCTACTATTGGTGATCTGTTTACAGGTAAAAAAAAGTGTTACTTTTTTTACTTTTTTTTGTTTTTGTTTAATCAACTGCTACGTTCAGGATGTCCCTTCTTGACTAGCAATTTATGTTTGAAAAAACAAACACGTCGTCTTTTCTTTAACTGTCATTGTTTTCGTATCGTACGCGTCTATTTTTCTCTAAACAGCATCCAGCTCCGGTTCATACGAATTGCCAGAACGACAAGCAGTTCAGCCATTCCTCCCAAAGCATACATTCACTCTACCTCCTGTTGCTCTTGAGCAGATTCAAAAATGTAAGGCTTCTTTTTAGCTTTTTTTCTTTCATGTGGCCGAATATTGATTGGTGAAATTGATTTGATTCATTTCTTATAATGTAGGGAAACCAGGAGATGCTGCTGGTCTTTTACCAGAGATCAACCGCGCCTACTTTGCTGTAGAAAACCGATTGTATCTGTGGGACTACATTGAAAAGTAAGAGGAGGGGAAAATATGGTATGGGGTGTGCTAATGCGCGTTGATGAATGAGATACTGAAACCTTTGTATTCTTTATTAGAAAGGACGTGAATACGTATGAAGAAACACATTCTATTGTGGGCGTCGGTCTCGTCAAAGCCAAACCCGGGATCTTCAACGCTGAAATCACGCATGTTCTCGTTGTCGCCACTACAATGAACGTCAGTATCATTGCTGTCGCATTCAAGGCACAGCCTGGCGAGCCACATACTTTGTCGTTTTATCGCACCGAGATCTCCACGAACTCTTCGGGCGCGCAGATGAAAGAGATCATTGGCACAAAATTCGGTCGCATCATTATGTTGAGCAACCTGGGCGATGTTTGGGAACTCGATTATAGAGTATGTTAATGGTTTACATCAGGGAGGGAGAGGTAGGGGAAGGATTTTTTGTGAAATGGAGACTGACCGCAAATGATGGGGGGTGATATACTTTACTTTAGAGAGAAGAAGGCTGGTTCACCAGCAGATGTACCAAGAGACTGCTAAGGTCGGCGACATCTCTGTTCACCAAAAGTAATGGTAAGTAATGATAATATACATATTACTCAAGTAAGATGTCCAATTTTCACTCACCCACATTACGTATGTATAGATCCTTGCACCAGCATTGCAGTTGATGAAGAAGGACGCGTACTGTACCGACTCTTTGCTAACTCTGCCATCCAAGTATCTTATCTGGGAGAAGACGGCCTATCGTACAGCGAAGGCGAAAAGAATCAAAAGATCAACGATGCCGCAAAACTCATGGCCCCTTCATCCGTGCATGTCGAAAGCAGCCATTTCAAGATTGTTTCTATTCATCCAACAACGTCTTCGGAAGCTTCCACTTATCAGCTCGTAGCCATCACATCGACTGGATGCAGACTCTATTTTACACATTTCAAATATGGATCGACTCGTTCGTCACCCAGCAGCAAACCCGATGCACTTGAACTTGTCCATGTACGAACACCACCACCTGTTCCGTCTACCCCGCAAGGTGTGCCTCACAGTAACGCTTTACCTGACCATCCTGTTATTATCAAAAGCATGTACAAAGATGGTATTCTATTACTTGTCGACAAAAGAACCGAGCAGCAACAGAGCATCATCACAGCTAGCCCTAATATTGGAAAGATGGCAACTCAGGTATACACAAATTCTAAAAAATAGGAAAGGCTGGGATATAACAAGGTGGTTATGGTTCAATGTCTTTGGCATTAGAATGATTATATTGACAGTTATAAATATATTAGGGACGAATGGCAGGATTCCCAGAGTTTGCAAACCGTTTGGATACACATGGACATGTTTTGGGTATCGCCGAGATGCCTGGCGTGCAATACACATTGAACGAATTAGCGTCCCAACCCTCGGAACCAACACGTCATTTCCTCGTCTTCACAACCCATGGCATGTCTGTTGTCACCAAGCAACGGCCTGTTGATATGTTACAAAAGTTATTGGTTGGTGTCGGTGCACACATATCCGCCCACTCTGGTGAATTCCAAGGTTTTTTCGAACTGTTTGGTACAATCCATGCATGTGCACTGTGCTTCAATCTTGTCTGCCATACATCGACACCACTCTCAGGAATTGCATGTAAGTCTTTTCGTTGGATACTATCTCTATTGCGATCATGATTCGTAGGCTCTTTGGAAACAAAAGAAACCTTATCAATTCTGCCTATTGTATATGTATACTGTATAGTGCAAGCAAGTGATACCGTTTCCATTCCTGTTGTCAAGGGAGCTACTCAGCTTTTGGAAACGCTTGGTCAAAAGCCATCTTCATTGAACCCATCATATAGCAGCAGACACGATGGTCTTGCGTTATTCATATATCGACTGATCAGCCCACTCTGGACACAGAAGATTGTGAAAGAGAGGTGTGTTTGAACATGTATCAGCAGTGCTCTTTACGGATGGATTCAGTTTGGATAGAGAACTTTTTTGCGCTAACACGTTTTGGGTCCTTTTTCTTTTTTCAAGTGTACAAGGCGCTGTCGTCAATTACAGTACAGTGGTTTCTCGAAACAAATTAATCTCGATACAGCAAATCTTACGGAAACTTGAAGGCTTCATGGATCTGTAAGTGATTCTATACATATCGAGATCATTTATGGAAACTAATAGGATTTTCTTTCTCGCAGGAACGCCTCGGTTCATCCTCAAGTACAACCACAATCAGACGAAGAGCGCTCTTTGTATGAGCTTTACGAATTGGTAGCTCTTATTTCTGAATCTATTTCGTTTTTACTGTTCTTGCTCGACAGTGATGTTTCCAAGGTCATGAAGAGGTATAGCATTCTTTTAATTCTCTTAATCAATATCTATATATTGCTGGAAGCACCCAAATTATTGACGAATACGCCACTTTCTTTCATTTAACAATATATATAGCTTAACGCCAGAGATGCAAGCTCGATTCAAAGCATACACATTCAAAGACTTGTTAACATCAAATGAAGGCCGATCATTGGCGACTCACCTGGCTATGGCCATGATTGATGAAACAATGGCACGCTATGCGAATATGGATATCGTGATTGATGTGCTCGAACAGCGTTGTGGCACTTTCTGCAGCTCATCCGATGTGATCTTGTACAAGGCCAAAAAGCAGATCCAAGCCGCCAAGAACGAAGCCAACACAATGCCATCACGAGACGCATTACAAGAATCTCTCAAGCTGTTAAAACGTATTGCTATCCATATATCATACGAGCAATTGCAAGAAATTGTTCACGATTACTCCCAACAAGGCGCATTCGTACTGGCTGTGGAATTGGTTATAGCATGTGCCTATGCAAGAGATCCACAGAATGTCACTACCGCATTCCTTCACGATGGCTTTAACGTAAATGATAATCAACGACTAGCAATCTACAAGGCAAAGGAACCGTTTTACCATTGTGCATTTGAGCTTTTAAAGCTGGCGATTTCCCCCGGGACCGAAAAAGGTAAGTAACGGGATAATATCTACATAAAGGTCCCACTATGTCTGATATTTTTATTTTTTTGTCTGTTAGTCCTTTCTGCAGCACAAAGACCCCAGGTTTTCCAAACGGCGTTTAGCTTTGACGATGAGTGTTTCCATCTCTACATTTACAAACAGTTCGTGGATCAAAAGCTGGGACATGAGTTGATAAAGGTTCGTTTTTCTTTTCTTGCTTTATCCTCGACGTCTCCCATTTTAAGCCAACGTCGTTGCTAAACGAGATGTATTTTTATGAATAGCTTAACCCACCATTGATCGTGGACTACTTGAGAGACCAACCATTCGATTTGGAACGATATGAGCTGTTGGCAGAATACTACAACTTGCATGATGAATTTGAAGATGCAGCTCAAGTGTACATGTACTTATCACGTGTTGCGTAAGTACCTTATATAATGTTCAGGAGTGATTATCATTATTTGCTTATTCATTAAATTTTCATACTCTTCTATGATGTTTTAGGGATGTACCCATCTCTACGGACAGAAGATTAGAATATGTTTTGCGAGCCTCTACTTGTATCAAGTCGGTAACGGCACCATCAAAGCAGTTTGAAATGTTCGATTTCCAGAAGCGGTTGAACGTGTGGATAGAAGAATTACAGCAGCAAAGACAATTAGGACCCATGGAACCCTCAAGGGCCTGAGAAGACTAGATTTGCTTTCTTTTCCTGCACACATTTTCCACACGTACAACAAAATCATCACTACTACTACTACTACCGCCACAAACTACTACCCATTACACTCCCATCCACTCTCACCCTCACATACAATCACACACACTCACACACATACACACCACAAGAAAGCAGATTATTATTGCATGAAAGAAAAATCATCATTACCCATTTCTTTAGTTACTTTTATCATTCTTTGAGAGAGGGACTGGGTGATTTAAAGGCAGAGGTTGCGTTACGATGAAAGGAAAGGAAGAGCAGAATATTCTAACTGCTATAGGTGTGGATAGATGAATAATTCCAGACCAATGAGTAACACATGTACACTTGCTTTTATACATACTTCAACCACGAAAAGCAGAAAGGCTTGAGATTTTTTGTAGATTTTGACAGAACCTCAAGTACAACCGTGTATGATCAACGTGCTGCTTCAGCCACAAAGTTTTCAAATTGCACTTGCTTGTTCCAGAAAGTTTGAATGCGCCACACCTTGTTTGATATTCGTATATACCCCACAATGATGTGTATCATGAGCACACTTTTCTTTTCATACATAGTCTCCTTTTTGTATATGTACCATTACAAGCCTTGGCCAAAAGCTATTACCTCGACCCTGTCACGTTTTACGGTATAATGGTACTCTCATCGGTCTCAGTTCGATTGCGTTCATTGGTGCTATCATACGGCCAGTACAATCTACAACAGTTTGACGTCGTCGCTCGTACATAACGAATAGTATATATCCACAGATTATAAATAGAAACGTTCAAGCGCGCACACGTTGTAATATCATAACAGATCAAAAAATGCGCAAAACGCATGCATATGATAATGAATATCCTCGTTGAACCTTACCAGACTCTTGATTCCAAGCAAACTGCTGACTATGAGTGGGTTTAACTTATACTTATACATGACAGAAACCATATGCCATCGATAGAACCGTGTTTTACCTCCCTCGTCACCTTCTTTGGAGGTGACAGTTTTATGATAATTCTATTTCAAATGTCGCTCTTCTACGCCGTGGTAGTCCTTGATCAATCGATTGCCAAACAACTGAACTTGTGGCCTATTCAGTAATGGGAAGAGGTCACACGAAATCACTGATTTTTTGACTTGATGTTGTCGGCCAAGGCCAGACGTACAGTATCAGCTTCGGGATTGAAACGTTTGGTCACTTCATACTGGGTTTTTGGGCTGAACGTGAGATTGGTTTCGGATAATGACGACTTGCTAAGGATAACGGCTTCTTGTAACTTCTTGAAAGCATGGTCTATACATCAGTAGTACAGTACAGTATGTCATGTGTGATCTCTTAAATCTCTTATACGATTATTTACCAAGAAAAGGGCGGCCGATGATGCACTCAGAATGGATGTCTTGTCACCAAAAGTTATATTGGCGAATTCAAGTCCAAAAAAAAGGAAAGGTATCTGGAAAGGAGGGGATTGGGGGTAATGATAGCGGATAGTGTTATGCAAGTTGTTTATTATCTTATCACCAGGATGACTGAGCGTGTATTGGATTGGGTTGGAGTAAATATGTGCTGAACGCCGTAGCCAGCGTCTTCATGGGATCCAGTGAAACATTGTAGAAAGTCTCGGCCATTGTTGTATCAACTGTGGTGGCATGTGTGACGAAAATAAAAATCACTCTCTTATACGAGTATATGCCCACGGCAATCAGCTTTGCCGATCCTCCAAGCCCGCAATGAAGGATGTGGCCAGCTTAAAAATAAATTGTCAAGAGCAGACTATAGAGCAGCACGGCTGTTTTCAACATCGTATGTGCGTCATCCTGGAACTACTACTAAATCATTTATACAAGCTGCTTCTTCAGGTTGATACTGTTGTTTGGTTTGCTCGTTTTATCCACCACCTGCCTGAGCAGCAGCGATACAAAGTCAATCAGACGTGTGTGACTTCATCGGCGTATGTGTGGGTGATGTACGATAAATGTGGGAAAAAAACAAAATACAAAAAAAAGCAGGATGGTCGGCTCGTACGAGAGTCAAGCATGCATAATCTAAGCCTTGCTTCTGAGCACATGAGTTCGTCTTACGTGTACTCTCATGTTCTATGTGAAAGTTGTGCCAACAATGTTTTTGGTTAATCAAGGGGTTGAAAGGGGCGTGGCAAGCGAAGCATACCATTAAACCGGTTCTCTCAGCTTAGAACAGCTTGCGTTAAGCATCGTTGTTGCTGGTGTGCATAGCCTCCCAACAAATACTTCCTTTCGATTATTTTCGCGAGCAGAACTACGCGACCACAGAAATGTAAAAAAGAAGAAAGGTGAAAAGCGCGCACCAAAGTGTGATAAAGCGCGTTGTGATCGTGTCACTGTCGGCTACAATACAGAAGATCTGTCATTGTTCCCCGCATTGTTAGCCTGGACCTGTGGAGGTATTTTTACCTATTTAGCAGAGAAAAAAGGGAAGCGGGATGCATATAAAGGCAGTCATTTTCCGCAGCGTGTTGCTTCCTCGCTTTTTCTCTTTTTCACGATCAGGTACTTTCTTCTTTTTGTGGACCTAACGCGGGTTTTTGTAGGTCGTGGGTGGGTGATGATGCTTGTTCTGTAGGCACGGGTCGACTAAGGTAGGTGGCGCAGGTAAGTGATTGCAGGCTAGTGGTCGCGATTGGTGAGACGGGACTGGGCATCTCAATACCAATCGACCTTCGATGATTCACAAAGCAACCAAGACAAGACCCTAGCTTATAGGTAGAGGGTTACGGGAGCAGATGTCGATGTACCATCCTGTGGTTGCTCCTGTCAGTACCTGCCTAAGAACAGGGAAGCTAAGAAGACATCGACAACTTTAATTGATTAGTAGTATAAAGTATCAAATAAGAATGTTTTTTTTTCTCTTCCCGTTTGTTGAACTTGTTTGTGCGTGTTTTATATTGTTGTTATACTTCTTCATATACGAGCGAGAGTCGTCATTCTCGCTCCTGATTGCACAGTGGAGACTTTTGTAACGAGCAATATAGTTGCCACGAGATCGTCGACAAAGTGATATTGATAACAGTGTTGAGGTTCGGGAACAGTGGAGTCGACATTTAGAACGCTCTATGGGAGCGATGGCAAACGCTCTATGGGAGAGATGGCAAACACTTTATGGGAGAAATGGCAAACGCTCTATGGGAGAATTGGCAAACACTCTGTGCGAGCAATGGCAAACACTCTGTGCGAGCAATGGCAAACACTCTATGGGAGAGATGGCAAACACTCTCTGGCAGAGATGGCGAACGCTCTATGCGATACAGCCAGCACTAACCCAGCTTTAATTGTAAAAGGCTATTAATAAATAGAAGGGCTTCAAAGACACTCTCATTCTACCATTACCGAGCTTCACCACTTGTCCTTGGTATACACTTTGCTTTGCATCACGCGTACTTCACGGTCGTCAACTTCTGCGCCATTATTTCTAGGTGTATATGGCTTCTATTTATGTGAGCTTCTTGTTACAATATCAGTAATTTTTATTTTCTCAATGTCAACCATTCCCGGCACCTGCCATTTACTTTTTCTCTGGGATCTTGTTGCTGAAACACTGTAAACCGTGTCTGTGCGCCTTGTGGCCCGACAGGCGGCGACACTGTCGGGGCACGCCCTGCATGATACCGGTGAAACATATTTCGTAGGACTATCAAAACACGCAGACCACATACGCCTTCTTCTTAACAGCTTGACCGTGTCTCTTCAACACCTCTACTTCACATGGTATCTTCCCTGCCATTTTACTTTCCCACCTGCTGATTGAATGACGAGTTACAAGTCACGTGACGTGTTTTTTTAAGCGGCGGGTCAATCCAAAAAGCATAAATACGCCCATATTTTTCAGGCCATTTCGTTTTTTCTCTTCACTCTTTCTTTCGTTTCTTTCACTCCCTTGGATCCTCCTGGTCTTTCTCTTGGCTCTTCCCCTGGCTCTGGTCTTCCCCTGGCTCTGGTCTTCCCCTGGCTCTGGCTCTTCCCTTGGCTCATCCCTTGGTCCTGGTCTTGCCTCTGTCGGTCCTGGTCTCAGCCTTTTTCCCGTGGTCCCCCTGGCTGCCTACAACCGGTCCCTGCTTTGGGCGGGCTGTCCAGTCTGGCGTTCAACGGTGTTGGTCACAACCGGTCTTCAGGCGAGATCAGAGGACGGAGAAATCCTTTTCGGTTTTTCGCCATAGAAATATGGTAGTGTCCTTTCGGTTGGATGCCTTGTCTGCTGGTCTGGTCTGGTCTGCCATGGTGGGGTTCGCAATGAGGAGCCAGGTGCCACTGTAGATCGTGTTCGACTCCTAGGACTCGACTCTCGGCAATCGACTGTCTGGCATTCGACTCTCGGCAATCAACTCTCTGGCATTCGACTCTCGGCATTCGACTCTCGACAATCGACGCTCGGCATTCGACTTTCGGCATTCGACTCTCGGCGATCAACTCTCTGGCATTCGACTCTCGGCATTCGACTCTCGGCAATCGACACTCGGCAATCAGCTCCCAGCTCAGTGTTCGGCTCCCAGCATCCGAGTATCCAGTAAGCAGCTCCTCCAGCATTCGACAACAGCAGCAAATGGCTGTTTTTTTTTTGGGTGTTTCGAGAGTCAATTCTTTCCCCTACCCCCACCCCTTCCCTTTCCTCTTCCCTTTCCTCTTCCCTTTCCTCTTCCCTTTTCTCTTCCCTTCCGTCCTTCCCTCCCTTCCTTCCCTTCCGTCTACCCTTCCATCTTCCTTCCGTCCTTCCCTTCCCCCTTCCCCACTCACAGGCAATCCACAACCGATTGCTTGCACTTGACTCTCGAAACGTAGCGTACGTCATGGTTCCCACTCGTTTGTACCATGATGGCTGGGTTTGTGGTTGATTGACCCAGCCAAATGATTGGGAGACTGGGACTCCCAGGCCGAGGCATTGGTGGCTTTCTTTTCCTCCCCCTTTTACATACTTCTTCTGTTTCTTCTTGCTTTCTTCATGCTTTTTGTATAGCCTACGGGTTGTGCGGACTGCTTGTTGAGGTCACTTTGTAAAATCGCGTTCTTATTATTTGTCTTTATTGTCCACTGATTGTGTTCTTTTAATAAAATTTGTACTCTTCGACTATTGATATTCATAACGATAACTTTTGTCTTTTATAAAATGTTTCTTTACTCTATTATTACAATGAATAAAAACCTGCTCTTTTACTTTATGTCCTGCTCAAACTCATTTACAATTTCTTTCCTTGTGAACATATTTGCGTGTCGCTTCACCTTGCAATATCCATTTTCTTTCTGACTGTGTTCAATCGTCTTCGCCGCTTCATTTGACAGTTAGGAAAGAACTCATGTTTTGGCGTGCTGTGTCCTTGTTCTTATACAATGCTGACAACGTCAAATGGCTCACATTAGATTCGTAATCACTTTTACTTTGCAATGACTCGATCAATTCTAAACATGATATCTGGGCAACTGTTTGACGCAAGCATAATGCACAGACCGTGTGATACAATGTCAAATTGTTGTGAAACCCGTAGCGTAGCAATATCAGTACTGGGCACATCAGAAAGTTTCTTGCAACAGCAGGATCTCTTTTGGACTTGGAACAAGTTGATCGAGCTTTGTGTGCTTAAACTGTCGTTTCTCATAGAATCTGCACTACATGCACTCTACAGCTGAGATCTCTAGTTGCCTTATTATACGGACTACATACTGATTAGTCTAATCGTTTTATAAAACGTTCTAATTGCTTTCCATCAAGCTCAGTGGATGTGCCCATCTATTTGGGCGATCGTTTGAGATCGAGCTGCCCTTGGAGTGCCATATATGCTTTCATGTAAAGGCAGTTCGACATATGTAGAGCAATGCTTTTCTTTATTACATTTTCTCTGTTGAATCTTTTTTGTCTATACAGTTACGATAAGAATAGTCGTCGTGTCATACTTTTCACTTATCACCCACATATGGCATAGAACACAGTGGCTGCGACCAGTTCGCGCTTGAAAGTAATGATTATCTTGAGGAAGTACAATATGATGGTTCTCAAGCTTCAGACTGTCTTCCGATGATTTTCCGTTTAAGATTACCACATTTACCAATACGCTTTTTTAAATTAAAGCCCTATTGCTTTGTCTCATATCAAAGAATTTTTGTACAGCATCTTATCGTCGCCCTTTGTACTGCACTTCTCCTAACAAGAAATACCCGTATTGACTACTTCAAACCAATAATGATTTGGCGGTCTATATACATCAAACGTACGTTACACCATTCCTTTCATGGATGATGGATCCATATCTTGTCCTCGTGTCCTATAATCAGGAGTGAAAACGTCGTAAAAATGTCTTTCGGACGTATCGTGAGATTATAGATCAACAATTGGAGCAACCCTGTGGATGGTATACAAGGAGCTCATGTGAGCCTTCAATTTCTCCAAAGCACGGGAACGATGCGAGATGGTATTTTTGGTTTCCTTTGACATGTCAGCATATCTGATACCAAAGAAAATACTGTAGTTTGATTTAAAGAAGATACGGCCGGAAGCATATGATAGTAACTTATGTGTGATCAAAACCGTAGGTTGGAAGGCTCAATCCCAACCAATTGTACGAGGGGCCACGTGGAGGCATAATTTTGCCCTACATTATGTCCAAGACGACCATACAGTCCATGATATAAGATCAGCAAGAATACAAGAGCCCCACAATTTTGCTATTTTTTAAAGCTTTAGAAACTTACATCGGTACAGTAGTACCTTCAAAAATGATGGGTTACTGACCAGGCCCTTGGCAATAGGCAAATGTGAAGAGTGCATGAGCAGATAATTGTTAAAACCATTCAACATTTTTACAAGTCCTTCAAGCCCGGCACGGTAGCATCCAAAAACCATTTGCTAAATATGATACGTAATGTACTGTACACTATTCGGTAAACCTCTCCTCTTCATCTAGAACTTACATGTAGGGTCCAGGCATTCTCATATACCTGTTCAACGGAGGTGTACACCACTAGCCGCTCTCTTGTGGCATTGATAATAGATATGAAAAGTTTGCAAAAACGTACATATCAAGACGAAAGATGAGCTTGATCAGCTGCAACAGCTGTCTTTTTAGTATAATAAAGTCTTGGTATTCATTAATTAAAGATAAAACGAAAGCGGAGAGAAGAGGAAAAAGAAGAATGAGGTAAAAGAAAAGATAAATATACACAAGTAGTTCTATAGTTCTACTAATATAGAGTTTGGGTTCTTTTTTCTAAAAGTGAGGTACGTTGCAAGCTCTTAAAACAAGATTAACGATAGCAAACGTTCCTTCACCCAGTACAAATCCGCTAGCAACAATGATAATAAACACCTTGCCCACGTGTCGGCGATATCGCCCAAATAATTTATCCCAAATCGACGAATCCATGTTATTCCTGTTACCATCCGTTGCCTCCAAAACATCACAGTACCGATCCCACCAGTGACCAAGGAAACCGCCAATCACACGAGCCAGCGTGAAATTCGGTGGATTATACATGCCGATAGCGAACGCAATGCCTTGAGGAATACATCGTCGCCATCCAACGTGTTCCAGCCCTGGCTTTGTTTCTTTGAGCAGTACCAAGGCCGCAAAGATTAAAGCAAAAAATAGAACAAATTCGGACACATGTGGTGGAAGAGGATGACCATTGACAAGTCGTGACATGTCTAGCCATACGTGGGCTGTAGGTACCGGGAATTCTGGACCTGGAATCGTGTAAACTGTGGTATACAGCTTGTATGCAGCTTATAGAGTATTTGTACACATGACGCGTTAGTTTACTTTTAATCATTCCATCAATAGCTCTTGAGAAAAAAATAAAGTACCCGTGGCAACAAAAGCACTGACAAACGATCCAATAAGCTGACCATAAAACTGTGCCTTGGGTGAAGCTTGTAATAAATGTCCCGTCTTTAAATCTGTGAAGAATGGCTCTTAATTAGCATGAATTCGCTCCTAAAAATCAAGAGTGCTCGAAGCGTATGAGTATATAATATCTGAATAGTTACCCTGCATTAGATCGCCAGCTTGTTGTGCACCTATTATCGTAAAATAGTTAAATAATCATTTTTAAAAAAAATGTATGTACAATTATTCTCACCTGCTTCGGCAATACCACCGGCGATCAAATTTGCTGCGATTCCTCCGGGCATAACCATGGCGAAAATAACTTGGCTGATCTTTCCGATGCCACTTACCTGGTCACACATTCATCATTTAGTTCGACTGAGCAACAACAACAAAATAAAATTGAATAAATTTACCGGATTAAGATCCGTTTCGCCTAATGCGCGCACAGCCAACACGCTCAGAAACATAGCAACTGCTATAGCTAGAATAGCCATACGAATAGGCAACACATCGGTACCAAAGAGAATTGCAATGACGCAGACACACAGTAATGTTGAAGCGACGAGACCAATGATAGTGGTAGAGGTCTTGACCAGTTGTTCTGGAGGAGCATCCTTTTCTTCCCTTTCGTCTTTGCTTCGTGTTCCTTCCTGTTCTTCGACCCATTCTTGTTCGATATGCGATTCGGCTGTGTCAGCATCTGATGACTGTTCATCAGCATCAACACGCTGATACCTGACATCATCACGCGCTCTTTTATGGGCTGTAAGTTTAATGATAGAGCGTACAGAGACGATGGCCAGCGATACTACAGACTCTGCAACCATGACACCCAAAGATATCCACAGAATCCAGCCCTTGGATCCAGTTTTCCAGTCAGAAACAGGACCTGGTGCCCAACCAGCGTAGTGTGCGATTGGTGACAATATGCCCCATCCAATAACACATCCCAGTAGCATTGACAGTGTTGTAGGCAATCCCTGTTAATTTTAACGACTTGTATCAGTAAAAGAAAAGCGATCACAATTTTACTGGATATCAGGTAGTCCAGATGAAGTCTTACCATAATAATGCCCTGACCAACATAGCTCAAACTGGGCGCAAAGTACCATTCCCACTTTGCAAAATCAATTAGGTTAAATGAAAGCCAATTAAATAATGGGAGAGCATAAATGATCGGAAAAAAGTATGATAAAAGAGTATAGGCCGACGATAAGCTGAAAGAGATCGTCAGTGCATGTAACTTTAGCGACCAGTCTTGTTCACCTTCACGTTGACGAGTGGAAGTGTGTAGATCCGAGTGGGCGATGGGAGTAAGTGCGACGCCAGATTGGTTGGATCCGGTAGAAGTGGGTGAATAGGTAGGACTTGAAGACGATACAAGCAAAGGTCGATCTTCGTGTTCAAGGACTGAGTCACGACTAGATTGATGGCGACGGCGAAGGATCGGTTCTTGCGGATCTTGGTGTAACAGCGAAATCATCTGCGCCGTGGCCGTTCCAGAAGGAAACCGCAGCTTCTCGTGGATGATGGTTTGCTTACGAAGTGGAACAGCAAAGAATACACCAAAAAATGCAACACCGAGCGACCAAAGGACCAGTTGCCAACTAGAGAGTACAATTGGTCCGTCTGGGTGATCATTGCTCGTCAAAAGACCTAGAGCAGGAATGATGCCGACAAAGCCTAATATATATAATACCCACATACCAGCACTTTTTAAGTATCTCTCATCACTTACACCTATAAGTCCTGCCATGAGAACGAACCTGCTGCTAGAGGCATTGTGGCAGTGGCAACTGCTGTGGTTTGCAAAACAACGTTTTCAATGGGCCCGAACGGCGTACGGAGCTTATCACGGAAGGGTTTGAATATAGCATAACCTAGCAACGAAGCTTGAAGCGACATCATGGAGATCCAGCCGCTTTGCAAACCAAAGTACATGTTGGAAAAGCACATTACGCTTCCAATGAGTAAACCAACAACAGTTGCCCGGAGCTACGTTATGATAGTTCATGTCAGCGGTACATTTCTGATAGCAAAAACTAGAAAAGATAAGTAGAACACTTTACGGTAAAGTGCCGGTGCGTCACCGGATCGCTAGCGACCGGTTGCCGATCGTCGTCTATAATAAGTGTGTTAATTGCTGGCCGTGCATTAAGCGCTAATATGAGATAATCGACCTTGTGTTGATCCGGATCGTGGAATGGTTGCCATGTAAGAACAAAGGCCGCAAAACTTTACCACGCTGGTTTGATTATTAATCTATCACACACTGCACACATACATATAAAGCCCGTCATATGTAACTGACTGTTTCACGAGTGCAGCGTACTGGATGGCATCATTTTGTAGTGCCACTTCACATGACTTAAATATATATTTATTTTTATATGACAAAAGTGTAGTTTATACAGAGGTTGCAAGTTTCATGACAAACTTTGTCTTTGGATGCTCTGGACCAAATACTACAGATCGTACTCTAGCAGCTTGGTCAAACGCTTCCCGAGCCTCCTTTCGCCACCGCTTGCTCAGCGCAGCACGATCCTGAGTCTTACTGGCCATGAGATCACATAGCTCGCCCAGATTTTGCCAAAAATCCGATATCTCAGCAGTGTTTCTCGGCAGGCTTTCTTTGGCATGCTCCTCCATAGTATCGATAATATAGCGATTGACGTTGATGGCCGCATTGATATCCTGGCTGTGTCTGAGGCAGTTCATAAGGGGGATCGATGCATTGAGACGCAAGGCGTTTCGTGGATGCAAGTCGCCGCCCTTATCACTTTCTGACTTTTTCATCGTCACCGTCGTCACCAAAGGCTCCAGTTTTGATCGTGCTCGTCGATAGTCACGCGCTTTTCGAATTGCCATCAATCCTTCCATATACATCTCCTGAGCCTTCTCAATCGTTGAGGACACCGACTGGGCGGATGCAGCACTGCCACATTTAGCACACTTCCATTCTCCGCTTGGCTCAACTCTTCTTCCATGAACAAGTTCCTCCATAGAAGACGGTGGAACCACATAGACATCTTGATAGCATGTCTCGCACACGATGCTCTGCAAGAATCGATCCACAGACTTATCCATAGGCGATGTGCACCTTTTGCACTTACACCAGAAATGCTTTGTTCCCCAAAGATCCTGTCGTCGCTCGTCACGCGATGCGTATAGATCGATATAGCTGACTGTCAGCTCTTCGTCTTTCTGTACAGGTCGAATCGTTCTGAAAGCGAGCTGGCCGTTCTGGACACCTACAAAGGCACAGTTTGGGTTACATGCATGGTTAAAGAACATGGCGCCGACAGGGAAAAGTCCGAGTGCTACATCCGTGTTGCGCGCTTCGTTGTCGCCTAGACCGTGTGCGTTTGAATTGATCCTATAAATAACACACAGACAAAATCCCCCACGCATTTCCCACACATTAGTAACAAATATAGCCGTCGGCTGGTTTCAGACCCAAAGTAGCTCTTGTTGTCGGTGTCGTTGCCGTTGTCGCTGCCCTGTATCCCGGTTACCTGCATGCGAGCGTAACCAAGTCATCGACTGGAACTTGCATAGACTCTGCCATTTCGGATAATAGCCGTTCACCTTTTTCCGTGATCGTCACCATCAAAGCAAACGTCAGAGCTCCCGCTTCCAGAATGCATTATTCGTTGATACTGCATACTTACCTGCTTCTGTGACTACCCGGATAAACGCTGGATTGGCATGGTCGCGATGGCTTATAAGATCGTTGGTGCACCAAAACGGGGTCGGAGTACTGGTTTGTTTGTCTTTGCCGTCGTTCTCTTTCTCAGAAGAATCTCGTTGGCGTCGTGCAAGTAACAGCGTAATTAGCCGCAAAAGATCTGGATCAACATCTGTTACCCGAGCAATGCTATCGACTTGCGCCATGGTTGAGCAAGCCAACGCATGTGTATCATCACGTTCCAGGCACGTCTTGGAGCAATAGAATGCTTTGCTGCAGTCAGAGCACATCATTTTAGTAGAGAGCGAATCCAGACATACGTGGCAATGCTGATCGATATATTCGGATCGAACGACAAATGCTGTTGCTTGTTCTAGACAGACTGTTGTGCCTTCACCAAGTTGTTCGGAAGCAGCGGCATGACGTCCTTTGGTCTTGGTGTTGCGTAAAAGTACTGGGTATTTGTGCATAACTTGTTCATAGTATGGATCAATGGGTGCAACAGGTCCTGATACAGCTGCCTTTTTCTTCTTTTTGTTGGCTTTTTTCTTTAACTCAAAGTCGACTTTTGTATCGAGCTTGGTGTCGTCCTTGTTGGTCTCTTCTACCATGGCAATAAGTTAGAAAACAAAAAGAGAAAGAGGAAGAACGACAGGAGCCTTCGGAGGAACAGGGCCAAAAAAGCGTGGTTGGAAAATTTTCTGGAAAGTCAAAAAAAGTGGTGACGTATCTGAGCTGGTGAAACCTCAAAAAGCACCGGCCATCAAAGGTCATCGTCGGGTGTAACGCGAAATCAGGAACCCATGGTCATAAAGAATACGCTAGACGGGTTTGTATGAAAACGATCCAAATTTTCTTTATTGCGTACAAATTTGGAACAGCACACCCTACATTTATACGTAAATATCTTTACACTACTGATGGTATAGCTGAAAGCAAGAAATAGAAATCGCGTATTATCCTTATGAGAAAAAGTCGGTTGTTCACTCTTTCTTGTCGCCATGTATGCAAACGAAATAAAGCAGTGACACTGTATTTATCTAGTCCATGCCGATCAAAAAGTTAATTTCATGCTCGAGTGATGGAACATCCGTTTTCTTTCGAAGAGAACAATTTTACTTTACTGCCTGTTTATTATCAAAATAACTGCATTAGATTTGCGCTGTCAAAAAGTTGAATTATATAAAGCGTGTTATTCTTCGCGCTCATGATCGTCATCATAATTTAAAGCAGAGTGCAGATTCAGAAATTCTCTTATTACAAAATAGAAATATGTGAGGTAGTGGGTACTTGATGCACACGTGTAGTAGAAACTCTCTGTTATCGTTTATTTACGCAACAGCTTTTCTTTTTTTCTGCATTTCTACTTTGAGAATGATGCATTGCTATATGTTGCTTGGAAATTGGCGGTGAATAGATCTCCCGGGTTATCCCTGGTAAACATGTATAATGAGGAGCACATGTTCTAGACTACATACTTCTTTTAACAATACTGTTTCAGCTCCTATCTCTGAAAATTTGACAACTTCTCAAGTAGCAGTAGCATTTTCAATATATTAGATGGCCATGGAGATTGAGAACTACCTAGTAATAGCGCTATACTGCGGATATGTTACTAATTCTCGTCCAATTCCGGCGGTTCTTGTTGCTACCGATGGCCATCTTTTTTTAATCAAACATTATTTCCTTCCAACTTGCAGCATTTTTTAGGTTGTCTGTTTCATCTACTTTATGCATCGGTAATTTGATCTACCACGGTATTGATTATTCCGTTGGCGTATACGGCTCACCCGTGTAATTTAATCGTTAGTCTGTGCTGCTACTACCTCTGACCTATATTGATTATGATCAGCATCAATATAAGTGTGTAGATCGATTCAAGATTCGAAAAAATATGATACAGCTATCATCGGTAGCTAGTCCTGGTGCCCATTGTGGCATGAAAGCTGATTAAAGTAAATATCATTATACTGTAGAACAGCTGCCGCCACATCAAAGTAATGACTATAAGCGCGCAGTTATAAATCGGTGCGGGTAGACGTACTTCTCTTACTGGCCTCTCCAGAAAGAAAGCATGTATGTACGTACACAAATATGCAGTGCCCGGGAACTGAGCATTTTTGTTTTTGCTAAACACAGTTTTATATCTAACCTAGTGCATCTCTGTTGTTTGTCGTAGTGCAGGTTGCAGTAATGTCGAGAATATGCGGTAGCAAAGAATTTTCTATGGCTTTAGACTTGTGCACACAATGTCTTATTATTTAAACAGGAAATGCTGAATCTTGTTGTAATCCTTTTAGCGAGTGCTACGCCTACTACTTTGTAAATCAACAGTATGACCACCTTATAGAGCAGGGTAAAGGCCAAAGACCACTGACCATAACACGAGCTAAAAAGAAATTATGAGCTTCACATTATAGGTTAACAGAACCTGATGCAACACTGCTGGTATTTGTACGTGCGTGATGTATGCAGTATAAGCTCACATAATTAGAAATACCATAAAATATGAATATTCTACGGTGTCTTTGCTGCGTGACATAATGTTTTTGAAACGTCCCCTTTGCTGCTCTTCAACGGATGATTTTTATCTTTGATGTGAAAGTGCAGTTGATAACGTATTTATCTATGAAAATTGCACCACAATTCATTGAAATTATTTGCTCATATCAAATTAAAGCTAAAAGGATGAATGATGTCTTGGTGCCACATAATGATATTTGCTTGATTATTAATACAGTCATCGTTGATATTATTCCTGATGCTGACTAAGCCACTCGCTGTACTGCCGTGCTAACTATGATGGTAGCACGCTATGCTTTCTATTCAAGCTATCAATACTTGCGAATAAAATTAAAAGTAGAATTTGTAGCATCATGCACGATATATGTATCGGAAAAAGAAGAAACGTGTTATGTTATATTTTCCCACTGCTAACATCGTTGATTTTTACCATTTTGGCTCCAATGCTACGCGTGAAAAAAACAGAGCAAAAATTTTTCAGAGGCGGCACGCATACACACACAGAAGTACACGCGACTAGACTTGTATTTGTCAGCCGAAAGCTCATGTATGATCAGCATTCCATTTTAGTGTGTCACCGATCTAATAGTTTTGCAGCAACCATCATCTTGACTGCGGTCCAAATCAAGCCATTATCTTGAAACAATTGAAAGGTGATCATAGGTACGTAAACACATTCCGAAAATACGATTGTTGGCCCGTCAATCAAACTGATACCTATGATTCGCAGTCCATTGAAGCGCAGCAAAGTGGATTGACTATCAAAAACAAAAAAGGATAACGCAAGCACCTTCCAAAAACAGCTACACCTTCCATTGGGCGGAGCGGACTACGGTATCATTTGGGTACTACTTTGCTGATCCATGCGTTAGATAAGACTGATTATACATCCAATAAATTCGTGCCTACCAGTCTACAGGAAAAAAATGTAGGAAAAAAAAGGAGATAGAATAAAATGATGATGGTGATGATAATGGCGGTATGAGCAGCCTTAAAGGTGTAATAGGCGGTGCTGCTGCTACTACTACTGCTGATCTGTGTGTACTAATAATCAAACAAACAACAACGTAGCATCCATTGATTTCGTAGCATGAGCATGTTGTCCCCCCTATATATCTTCTGAAACGGAAGTGTCCCTCCGGCTCATTAGAATTCCGCGATCCGTTTGCAAAATATTTTGCTTTGTCAGCTCATCAAAGGTATAAAAAGGGCAGCGCAGATCAGGTTCAAGGACCTTATCTTCTCCTCCTCCTACTGCTGCGACGTGCGCTGCAAAATACATACAATGGAAAAAAGCGGTGAACATCAGCACCCTCCATCACCACCTCAGTACCCATATGTCCCATCTGCCGCGGAGTCAGTAAATACGGTCACCATAGATCACGATTTCAATCAAAAGGCTGGCCACAATGAGACTTATGGCGAAGCGAGCGCGGATACCGTTAATGTTGAAGGTACTTGCAACTTTTGTAAAAAATTAAAAGAATCGCATGAATGATAGATGTGCATGGTACGCGTTAATTGATACATTCTATACTCTTACCCCCCCCCAAATATTAGCTGCCATTGAGGAGTATCATGAGATGAAGAAAGAGTTGTCGCGAATTAGCCGTCACTCCGTCGCTGATTTTGACAAGGCTGGTGAAGAAGGTCGGGTGTCAGAAGAGGCGTTTGACCTAGATCAGTTCCTGCAAGGATTATCCTATGAAGATAAGCAAGCTGGAAAGAAGCCGAAGCATCTGGGCCTAGTATTTAAAAACCTTGAAGTTGAGGTAAAGAAAACACGCCGTTGCTTTACGTTACACAAAATGGGTGATTTGTCTATGAGGGCGCTTTGATTTGTATTCATTCATTGTGGTATTTGTTTATAGGGCGTTGGTGCCGATGCACATACGATCCCAACTGTGATTACAGGCCTTCTGAGTCTTTTACAACCCTGGAAATATTTTGGATTTGGTACGGGCGGTAGCACCAAAACAATCCTCCACCCAGTGTCTGGATATGTAAAAGAAGGCGAAATGCTTCTTGTCCTTGGCCGTCCTGGTGCTGGATGCACCACATTGCTCCGTGTCTTGGCCAATATGCGCGCTTCGTATACTAAGGTCGATGGCGATGTTAGTTATGGCGGCATTGATCCCGTCACATTTTCAAAACATTATCGAGGTCAAGTTGTTTACATGGAAGAAGAAGATATTCACTATCCAACGTAAGTGGTAGCCATATTATTCTCTTGAATAAAAGGAGTAAATTAAGGCAATATACTGATGCTAAGAAATCAAATTTGTTTGTATAGGCTCACAACCAAGGAAACTCTTGAATTTGCTCTGCGAACCAAAACGCCTGGTAATCGATTGCCTGACGAAACCAAGAGAGTGTTCAGTAAGAAGCTCATCTATATGCTGGGTAACATGCTTGGCTTGACCAAGAAAATGGATACCATGGTCGGCAATGCCTCCGTCCGTGGTCTTTCCGGAGGCGAGCGTAAACGTCTATCTATCGCTGAGGCCATGACGACTCAGAGTTCAATCAACATTTGGGACTGTGCCACGCGTGGTCTTGACGCAGCTTCAGCGCTTGACTATGTTCGATCTCTGCGTGTCATGACCGACGTCCTCCACAAAACGACCGTCTCGACTCTTTACCAAGCTTCCAACAGCATTTTTGCGCTTTACGACAAGGTCATGTTGCTCGATAACGGCTACTGCATCTATTTTGGTCCTGTCAAAGAAGCCCGTCCTTACTTTGAAGAACTCGGATTCTATTGTCCACCACGCAAGAGCACTCCTGACTTCTTGACTGGAATTTGCAACCCACTCGAACGCGAGGTTAAACCAGGATATAATACTCCAGAAACACCACTGGATATGCAGCAGCGCTATTTGGAGTCAACCATATACAAACGCATGATGGTCGAACTTGACGATTACGCGCAGAAGATTACCAACGAAAAGCCCGCTGATTTGTTCAAGGAAGCTGTAGCACAGGAACATTCAAGATATGCGCCAAAGAGTCACCCGTACACTGTGTCTTTCTATCAACAAGTCAACGCCTTGACCATTCGCCAATACCAGCTCTTGTCTAAGAGTTACGAGGCGCTTATCTCTCGTTACGGAACAGTCCTAATCCTTGGTTTTGTCATTGGCTCCTGCTTTTACAAAAGTCCACTAACCGGTGCTGGTGCAATCTCTCGTGCTGGTGCCGTTTGTTTCACCGTGGTCTGCAATTCCTTTGTGTCGCATTCAGAATTAGTCAATTTTATGACGGGTCGCCCCATTTTGGAAAAGCACAAGCATTTTGCAATGTACCGGCCGTCAGCCTATTACCTCTCCCAAGTCGTAGTTGACGTACCTCTCACTGTTGCTCAGGGTTAGTATACAGATATCTTGAATGTGTACTGCTACTTTTTTACGTAACGCATACTTGATGCTCATATTGTTTTAAAACAGTTCTTATTTACCAGTTGAGCTCATACTTTTTGATGGGTCTCTATTCTGATGCCGGTCGATTCTTTGCATTCTTTATTATTATGGTCTGGATCACCTTTGCCATGATTGGTTTCTTTCGCTTTTTCGGTATCATTACAAACAGCTTTGTTATTGCAAACCAAGCAAGTTGTCTTGCATTTATCGTATTTTTCTTGTATCTTGGTTACTTTATCACCTACGATGCAATGCATCCATGGTTTTTCTGGTAAGTCTTTCATCATTATAGTTATCAAGCAAAATTAGCTTTTAATCCTAAATTTTCTTGATATCATGATAACAACAGGCTACACTGGCTCGATCCATTGGCATATGGGTTCAAGGCACTACTTATCAATGAAATGCACGGACAAGTCTACTCATGTGAAGGTCCGGGCAACTCTATTCCGTTTGGTACCGGCTATGAAGACTGGTCACATAAAATCTGTACCATGAAAGGCGGAAACCCAGGCGAAAACTTTGTGCTTGGTGACGATTATTTACGCGAAGCACTCGGATTTGAACCCACATGGCTCTGGGCACCCAACTTTGTCATGCTTATCGCAATTTTCTTGTTCTTCACAGCACTCAATATGCTGTTGGTGGAATATGTTCAAGTCGGTGGCAGTGGCTCCTTGACGAAACTGTACTTGCCTGGAAAAGCTCCCAAGATCCGTACCGATGAAGAAGAGCGAGAGCGACTCGAGCGCCAGCAGAAGATCACTGAAAAAATGGATACCATCTCGACGGGCACAACCTTTTCTTGGCATCATGTCAACTATTCGGTCCCTTTCAAGGGCGGTCCATTACAGCTTCTCAATGACGTTTCCGGTATCGTTAAGCCTGGTCATCTGACTGCGTTGATGGGATCCTCAGGTGCCGGTAAAACCACGCTTTTGGACGTACTCGCTCGCCGCAAGACGATTGGCAAGGTCGAAGGTCGCATCTATCTGAACAATGAGGCTCTCATGAAAGACTTTGAGCGTATCACTGGCTACTGTGAGCAGATGGACATTCATCAGCCTGCAGTCACTGTCCGCGAAGGCATGCGATTCTCTGCTTACCTCCGTCAAGATCCAAAAGTGCCCCAAAGCGAAAAGGATGCCTATGTCGAACAGATTATTAACTTACTTGAGATGGAAGATATTGCCGATGCTCAGATTGGTGAAATTGAAAATGGCTTTGGTATCTCCATTGAGGAGCGCAAACGATTAACAATTGCCATGGAACTTGTCGCCAAACCACAGTTGATTTTCTTGGATGAACCTACCTCCGGATTGGATGCCCAGAGCTCATACAACATTGTTCGATTCTTGCGCAAGCTTGCTGATGCCGGCTGGCCTGTCTTGTGCACAATCCATCAACCTTCTGCTATCCTGTTTGAACATTTTGATCATTTGCTCTTGCTCGTACGTGGTGGTCGCACTGCCTATTATGGTGAAATTGGCCATGGTGCAAAGACCATGATCGATTACTTTGAATCCAACGGCGGTCCCAAGTGTGCACCTGAGGCCAATCCAGCTGAATACATCCTCGAGGTCGTCGGTGCAGGTACTGCTGCTGCTGTCAATAATACGTCAACTCAAAATTGGGCTGATGTATGGATGAGCTCAAAGGAGGCAAAGGCCCTCGAGGACGAACTGGAAACCATCCACAACACCGCCAACATGAACCCTTCGCGCAAAGCTCTCACCTATGCCGCCCCGTTCTGGACTCAGCTTTATTTGGTGCATAAGCGTCTTAGTTTGGTGTACTGGCGTTCCTCCGGTTACAATCTGGGTCGGTTCATCACTGTCGTTTCCATCTCGTTGTTTCTTGGTTTTACCTTTTGGAAGTTGACGCTGACATCGCTGGATATGCAGAGTCGCTTATTCCTTTTGTTTGCCACAATGATATTGGGATACATGATGGTAAGCATTTGTTAGTACATTTTTTAAAGTTGAAAAGTAGAATAGAAAAAAGACTTGTTATTTCGTGATAGCTAACACATCCTTTCTTTACGAATATAGATCATCCTCGCACAGCCGAAGTTTATGCAAGAAAGAGTCTTTTTTAGAAGCGAGTACGCGTCTCGTTTTTATGGCTGGATGCCCTTTACAATCTCCACCATCCTTGTGGAGATCCCTTACATTCTTTTCCTCTGTGCCTTGTACATGTTTGGTATTTACTGGACAGCCGGCTTTGTCAACACCTCAGAGGCTTGTGGCTATTTCTACATTATGCTGGTCTTCTTCATCTTCTGGGCGGTATCCATCGGCTTTGTTCTTGGTGGTCTCACTGAGAACCCATACATTGCTGCAATTCTTGATCCACTGGTTATTACGACCGTAATTATTTTTGCTGGCATGGCTCAAACGGAATCTTCACTGCCCCGTTTTTGGAGCGCTTGGATGTATTGGCTTGGTAAATCTCCTTGAAAAGTCTGCTTCATAGTGGCTTTATATGACAGTCTTTTTATTAATATCTGTATCATTTTTTCATCATAGATCCATTTCACTATGTCATGGAAGGGTTTGCGGTGAACGAATTAAAGAACCTGCCGGTTGTGTGCAATAACGGCGACTTATTCAAGTTTGCACCTCCCCCTAACCAAACGTGTGGCGAATACATGGCAGATTTCTTTGCCAACGGCGGCTCCGGTTATATCACTAATTCAAACAGCACGACACAATGTGAATACTGTACTTATACTACAGCCGAAGAATACTACAGTGGCACTTTTGGCTGGGATGCAGCCAACAAATGGCGCAATTTTGGTATTATTGCCGCATTTACTGGCTTTAACCTTCTGGTATTTTCTGTTCTCGTCTACTACAAACGAAAGGCCAGACGTTAAAACCATATCTTTTGTCATCTATTATCATGTACCGCTTATTACAGCTTATCCTTTTCACATCTAATACCGCACTATCTAAAATGACCCCTTCATGTTCCCTAATCATCAATATCTGTATATATCGTTTGTTGAGCTTATAAAACATCTTTTTCTCCTTATAAGTAAACTTTTCGACACTTGCATAACTATAAAAACTATGACTGCCCTCAAGGATCATTATAACTGAGTATAACATTAAAGAAATACAGTACTACTTTGGCTATAAACTGCCAACAATGACAGTATAACGGGCCATGTGCGTAAACACATAAGGCTCGTCGTATCATAGTAAATGTAGCTACTTTATATATAGACATCAACTAATTATGTAGAATCATAGTAATATAGAATGGGGGAGTCGTTTGAGATTATTAAATAAGAGATGTGTAATTATCTATATATTTGATTGATTCCACTATCTGATTTATACTACTAATATGTCACAAATGATCACGGCTGCTATTTTTTCTTATAACCTTAAGTGTGTGGCAGGTTTCTCCTATATTTAACACTTCTTGTTACAACGGTTTATCAGTTATTACATATTCAGGAACAAGAAGTTGTCATTTTATTATGGATCACATAAACCTCATTATTAGAGTTTATTCATGGCCACTTTCTCTTAATATTGCCATCCATTTTATCTAACGTATTACGTATATTTATCTATATGCCCAAATTTTTAACTAATAACGCACACATCCTGGTAATTGCCATTGCTTTTGAACAGAAACAAATCGCGTTTTTGAAAAAAGTAGTTAGATTTTTAATTGCTCTTTTATTCTTTTTTGCCTGAAAAAAGTTTATAGACATACAGTGCATTTCTTTGGTAAAAGGATTTTATTAAGGGCAGTAGATTTTTAATCAAAGTTGATTACACATAGTGATAGTAATGATGATGGACATTGATCCTTTGAAAGCGCGCACTCATTGTTCTTGCATAAGTTTACCGTGTTATGACGCTGTAATCCCAGTGAAACAGGTTTATACCGAATCAAATTCTTTGATGTCTATCATATTGTATAGCACCAGTAAAGTAGGATGACATCTCACACTAGTAAGCTTCCCAACCGAGAAACCTCTCTTGTAAGGCCAAAGCGTCAAACGCCTCACTAATGCCTGTACATCAATCATGTAGGAACAAAGTAGAGGATGAAGATGGCTGCCATAGCTACTGGCAGGACTTTTATGCGCAAGCACCCTTGTTCAAAATAAGCTGAACAAGCAAAATATAATTCAGCAGAAAAAGCAGCACACAGGCATAGTTAATTCATCATGCGTTAATAGTAAGCTAGAATACTCAAGGGTTTAATGACCCAATAGATACGTACTTCTTATTGCAGCGGTACCTACATATCCCTTTGACAAAGTGTATAAATCTGAAATCATATATTTGTATCCACTTCTTTTCACATAAAAACAAAAAATGGATAAAAAGGTAAATGTTGTACAATGTAAACACGCACTGTTAGGGTGCCACGTAAATTTCTCCTGCTTCTAATACGTTTTGGCGGACGATTTGAAAACTAGTCTTATTTCCAAGAAGAGCGTCAAGACCCCCCGAGCAGCACCATGAGTCAACGAGATGCGTCCCGCATCCAATCTCATGCTGAAAATGCTCAGACGAGTCAAAACCAAGAATCCAAGTCAAATGCTCAGCCTGCTGCTGCAGGTAGCCGCGTCGAGCCCATTAAGAAAAGTAATCAATAAACATCTGTCATCCAAGAGAGCTATGCTTTTTGATAGCGAAATATGTAGTTGTAGCAATTATATTTTTGTCCTGTAATAAATACTTTGCATGTAAAGTACTGTTGTCGATAAGATAAGCTTCCGTCTCGAGTTTACATTTAGTGGGACTTTAGAATATGACCAAGTATGCTTCTTTTCACATATTCTTTTAATAGAATGATGGTAGACTTTCAGTTATAATCATAATATCTCGTCCACTTGTACTATCAAATGAGCCCAGATGGCTGCACAATACGCGGTCGCCCTCCTTTGAACGCGAATAAACTTCTACTAATTTAGGATACCACCCTGTCTGGAGGGCGTTCGCCCTGTTTGAGCACATCCTTCTTCGTTACCCCTTTGTCTCTGACTTCTGGATAAGTATCCTTTCTTTTCCACCTGATCGACATAGAGGTACGACTGATGCTGGAGGCTATGGTATCAGTAGTGATGATGTCGCTGAGTAAGATTGTCAATCGTTGTTAACGAGACAAATGGCTTCATAAGCTTAAAAAGGAAGAGGGATGGTTAGTTGATTGCCCAATATTTTAAGTTGAGGTATAGGATGCAGTATAGGAATGATACTTTTTGATAGACTGGGCTTTATAGGGTTTGGCACGAAGTGGGGGGGGGGACAGGAAACGTACGCGTTGTCACCTGGAAATACAGCATATTTCGGTTCAAAGATAAATTTACCCAAAGGAAAACGAAAAGCACGATGGCAAGTTTTGCAGCAGCCGTTTCAGTCGTCAATGTTCAAGCATCAGTGATCGTACGTTACAACCCCACCTTTTTTTGACATGCAGCGAATCGCTTGGTTCAGATCGATCGGACCAGAAAGCGTATTCGTCAAACTTGCGTTTTCTGACCGGCTTCGTTGGAATCCTCAAGTAACGCCTTTGTGTTTAATAAAAAAAAAAGCGAGAAAAGCACGATTGATCGTTTTCCTTTGGTAATGTTGACGACACGATATCGGAATGGTGGAAAGAAAAGATGATTCATGATTCAGATACCGCATGCACACTCGATCAAGTCCTGCTCTGCGATGCAATGGGGTTTAAATGATAGCGAGAGGAAGATCTAGTAAAGTTCCCTGTCGTCCTGCTGCTGCTTGGTTGTCGTGTCGCACCCGAATCCAATTTCGTGTAATTCCTGACCGCACCACACCAATATATTTATAAAGCTAAATGACGATTTGCTGGTAGTACTCCAAAGAGACTTTTTTCTTGTCGCGTGAGGAAGATAGAATAGTCAAGTATACGGGGAATTACATTATTGCCCCCATATATCGAAGGCTGGTCTGCTTTTTGCAAAGGGTTTAAAGAGAGAGAGAGTTTTCCATGTATAAATGGAATTGCTAATGTCACTACTACTACTGCTACTACTCCGACGCATGTATAGTACACAGCATTTTGAAAACGCCAACAAGCATATTAAAGCGTTTCAACGCTTTTTTGTGCTGTGTGTATAGGTGCGTGTGTGTTGACATGGACCTATCATAAAGCAACTTGCAAAATATCGTTACGATAATTCCACCCGACCCGGAGTAAAAAGTGCAGTGATGATTAGTAGGATAAACGGGCATCATCGTTATTGATATCGTCATCGCTGGTATCATTATCATCGTCATTCAATAGTGTGTGCTAAAGAAAAAAAAAGAAGCTGTCGCTTCGCTGATCGCGAAGGACTCTCCCATCGGTCAACGATTGATGACTTTGATTTCTTTTTTTCTTAAAATGATATCATAAAGTTATAAGCTAGTAGCGTGTCTCTGTCGATCGGGAAAATATATGTAGGAGAGAAAGGGAAAGTGGCAGATGCATTGTTGTGTCATAAGCATGTGCGTATGCATTTTGCTCTGGATGCGTTTAGGTTGGTATGTGCCGAGGAAACATAAGTCGGCTAAAACTCTACTCCTACTGCAGCTCATGTTCTCCAACCTTTGTCACAGTTTTTTATAAAAAATTCTGTCAAGAAGAAAAATCAAGACTTTTCATTTAAGGTTGACCATGCCAACAACTTTATAGTGAAAAATAGCAGCGTTCACAACTCGGTATACAAACTGGAAAATGAACTTTTCAACGCTCTAGATAAACTAGTAGAATACCCGTCACAACTATGTGCATGTATGGAAGCTCAAAGAATTGGCAGCAATGATGGCGATCACCATTTGGCAGGTTTGTACATATTGTTTATGTTTTTCGTAGCGTAGTGTGAATGTTAAAAAAAGTCCTGTCAGCCTAATACCATACATATTGCAGATCACCCGCCAAAAAAAGGAGGATCGCTGGAAGAGTTCCTTAAAGAAGAGATAAAATATTGGGACTTGATTATGGCATGAGATAAATGATCTGAACAGGTGACAACATCAACGGTCTACATGCTTCTATAACAGCAAACAGCTACTTTCTTCGATGGTACAGTACATCATGTACAATAAGTGCTCAAATGATGTTTTCCTGTATACTACATGAATGAAGCATATCATTGTGCATCATGGTACTTATACAACGGTCCTACCAGCTAAATAGTTGTCAGATAAATAGCGAATGCTTGTATGCGTTCGATCAACGGCGGTTCGTCATTTCTGGTAAGGGCAAATATAATGATGATGTGTTGGCGATTAACATGTAGATAATGGTATTTATACTGTTTACCATATCTTTCCAATGACAATAACAATAATGCATCAGATCACACAATCTGATATACAAGCATGAGTATGTTTGGTAGGGGATTACGAGAGAGAGAATAAGAGAAACCATGAATAATATATGATGATGTTTGATGGGGCTTTAAGTAACATAAACACTATTCCATCAAGGAACGAAAGTGTTAGATAATGAAGTGTAGTAGGGCATGATGATAGGTATAGTATTTATGGTAAAAACAGACAAAAGAACTTTCAACTTGGGGCTCGTGTGAAAAAAAAAACATACGATGGGCGTTTCTGTGATGATGATGGAAGAACTGCATTGGAATGCAAGTAGGCAGAATATTATGCTGATATAGTATATGCATGTTAATAAACAAAAGAATAAAGAAAAAAGATCTGACAAACGTATAAAAGATACGTGAGTCATGTATACTGCATGCATGCAGTGTGGACGATGATGGTCAGGCAGGTGCACGAGCCTACATATCCTACTGTACATTGGCTGCATATCTATTTCAAGAGGGTGCAACTAAACGTGTGGTGTACCTTTTTGGCTTGCTCGCTCGATGCGCGATTTTTTCAAAGATCAAATAAACGTGTGATCTACTACAACAACAGCGATTTAAGAAGAGAATGTCAAAAGACAAAATAGGGCATTCGTTCCATTGAACAAGATATGTCAGCAACAGCAACAGCCGAGAACTTGGTGTTGTTGTTGTTATTGTACCTGACTTTATTATTACTGCCACAAGGGTTTGTTGTTCGGGTTAAACTGTCAACAAAAAGCATGCATAAACTATTTATCAAAAACAAACCCCACAGTATGCGTCTGCGTTAGAAAAGACAAGAAAAAATGACGCCCCATGTAATGTAGATGATGATGATGTTGTTGCTTTGATGAAACCGATCATCCTGGTAGTTTAGCAGCAACATGACAGTTTTTTTTTTTCATGCCGACCGAACTAGGGGTTTAATTGGTCACGTTACTTGCATTAAGTCTGTATTACCGCTTCAAGCCATAATCAATGTGTTTTGCTGTGTGCAAAACGTTAAAGCATCAGTTGAACATGGGATTAATATTACTCGGATCTCTTTTGTTGTTAGCATGGGTGGTGATAGGGTAGGGTTTGTGGCGTCCCAGCCATAAAATTGTTTCATCGTTTCTACGGACGACGGTACTTGGATGTTATGTATCTGAAACGGTGTTCTAATATCTGGTAAATGGTATGCCATCAACTCGTCTTGTCCTATACGCTAGCTAACGAAAGCAGTTAATGAGAGAGACGAAAAGACGTAGTTAGTGATTATGTTTGTTGTTCCCGGGCCCGGCCGGGATATACAACATTGATGCTGTAAATCAACTCTCTTGCTAACTATCACTATCATTTAACTGCTTATAAGATTCGGTTCAGGACAATTACAATATTTGTTTGGTTAACCCAGACTCGTCGGTTGGACTAACAATGATATTAGGGATGCAATATAAAGAAAGGGGCGCAGTAAAAGGGAGAATTAATGAGAGTTATACACACTTGTAATGATATCAGAAGATAAGGGACCCTTCCTTGAAGATAAACTGAGATCGACAGCCCAGCGGACGGGGCAGATGAGAATTCTATTGGGAGCTGACATATGATTCGAGATGGAACGGGTAATCATCCGACACAAACAGCATAGATTCATATAGCACAAGCAATAAAAGCAAACGTAGAAAAGTAAGCAACACATAGTACTCACACTAGCTACGTAGCCAGGCTCACTTTTACTCTTACATAGCACACACATAAACAACGCTCCCTTTCCCCTTTTTAAACATCATCTGTCAATTTTGGGGAAGTTTGTACGCTCAACCCCTCCCCCTCCTCCTCCTCCCCCAAGTCCAATCACACACGCACGTAATGCAGCAAAAGCCCATCGGAGAAAAATCATTCGTCCCAGCAACAGAAATTGTCATTCAAGTACGCCTATTGCATCATTTGCTTTTTATACGAATCAAAAATCTCGCAGAAAAATATCGCATTCCCTCTTTGCTTTTACTTTTCCTCCCTCCTTCACTCCCCTCCCTTTCTTTCTTTGCTCTTTCTCTCTCTCTTTCACCCTACAGACAAGATGATGTTGAATCTAATACTGGCTGCTATACAGGTAAAACTCAGAAACATCCGAGCAACAACAATAATCAACAACAACAATTAACACGGAAACTGTGTGGTTTTATGTTGCGCTCAGTCAATTCTGCAGGTGATGGTGATTGTATTCTTCGGGTTTGTCCTGACTCGCACTGGATATTTTACAACCGATAAACAAAAAGTAAATGAAGATCCTCATTTTGCCCCCCTTTGTTCATCCTTCAATTTATATGCATACTCACCATGATCATTGTTAGTGGCTGTCTCGACTCAACATGGTCTTCTTCACCCCTTGCCTATTATTCTCCAACATTGCATCCGTCATATCCTTCGAGCAACTGCTCGCCTACTGGCCAATTCCTGTCTTTTACATCTGTTTTGCCGGCTTGTCATTTGCCTGTGCACACATCGTTGCTCGTATGCTACGCCTTGATGCTGCATATCGCAGATTCGTACTTGCATGCGTCATGTTTTCAAATACAAACTCGCTCCCTATCGCTGTCATTTCGAGTCTGGCCGTCTCCGAAGCCGGCAAGGTTTTATTTTGGGATGCAGATGATACCCAGCAAGCGGTCGCTGCACGGTAAAGTTTCGGATTTTCATTATATTATAAAGGGGGAAAGACCTTAGAGATAGAGAGAGAGAGAGAAAGGGGATAACATATGCTCATTGGAAGTCTATTCTTATTATAGAGGCATCTCGTATGCGTTATTCTACGCCATCTTTGGAAACCTGTTACGGTGGTCGTATGGCTATAGTCTACTACAACTCTCGGACAGTGACGATATGTCCACTGTGGCCGACTATTCCAATCGAGACAATCTTCCACAGCTCGAATATGGCACTGTTGTAAATCCCAATCACAGCAAGCATAACCATCACTACTTTTCATCAGAAACACTAGCATCTTGTTCATCTTTATCATCAGCTGCATCCTCAATCAATTCATCAACAAACACGGATACACGGCGCACCAGTTCTGTCACATTGGAAGGTAGCAATTATCACCAACAAGGCGATCATTTGACCAACGATAATGATTCTATTGGAACACCACAACAACAAAAGCAACGACATGCCGATGAATCGACTCGATTGTTATCTTCATTCCCGACCTTGCCAAGCGATGTCGAGGCAGCAGTCCCGCCCGATACCACAGGAGCAGCTACAAACAAGACCAACAAGTACATTGCTCGTATCCGTCAAGTGATCGTGGCCGTAGCAGCACACATCAACAAGTACATGACGCCCCCTTTATATGCAGCTACGCTTGCATTAATTGTGGGTCTGATTCCACCCTTCAAGCGACTGCTGTTCGATCCATCCAGTTTCCTCTATCCATCCTTGACCTCAGCCATACAATCGTGTGGCAAGGCTGCTGTGCCCTTGATCTTGGTATGTCTGGGTGCTCAGCTGACTGATATCTATCAATCTCCATCACACGACGACGATGATGATGATGATGATGATAACAATAACGAGCAGCATCAAGTCGATAATAAGCCGGTCTTTGCAGCCATTGCTACGCGAATGCTATTGATGCCCCTTTTGGTCATTCCGATTGTTCTGACATTTGTGGCCTATGGCGTCGATCAATTGTCTGCACGTATCGCTTCGGATCCGGTGTTTAGCGTCATGATGATCATTTTGGGATGCACGCCAACGGCGATCAACCTTGTGCAGATCTCGCAGGTCACTGGTGCCTTTGAAAACGAAATGTTGCGAGTCTTGTTCTGGAGCTATGGCGTTGTTTGTGTGCCTGTGTTCACCCTCATTGTCTTTCTCGCCCTTAACATTGTGGATAAGTTTGTCTAAGTATATAGATTTTCCTTGCTCTTTCTCTCTCGCCCATTTTTATATATATACACATAGTGCGTCGTATAGTATACCCCCTCTTTTACTCATCCGATCTTTTGCCGCCATCTACCCAACAACTCCCCCACACAGATGATGTATTGTTTTAGACTTTTCTATTTCGCGCGTCTATTGTACATACTACCACTAAAGGAGAAGAAAAGGATCTTCTCCTGTACACCTACCCATGAAAAAAAGAAACCTTGCTTTAGTTGCTGTAACCCCAAACTGTTCCACCCTTCCATGTAAACGCCATGCATCCAAAGCATATACATATATATACATTATATCACCATTCCATCTGCTAAGCATCATACAAATAAAAACCTCATATACCATACATTATGTAGATTTCTTTTTCCTTTGAATAGTTGTTGTTTTTTTTATACATGATGAATAAAAATGAAGAGGGGTTGTGTAAGTAGGTGTAGTAATAAGCGAAAGGGTGGTTCTTCTTGGAGAGAATGTGAGGTTATGTTGGGGGATGTGTGGGGTATCAGCATCATCGTCATTATGGTTGGGACATTTCTAGTAGTAAAATGATATTAATGTGTCGTTGGTGTTTTCCATGGTTGCGCCAGTGGATTCAATTTGCTTGATGCACTACTACTAGTGTCTTCCTTGCCCGGCAGTTTGACTGTATACTGCGATAGTCGACCATTGATTTCTGTAGTAAACGTCAGATGTCCATCTTCGTTCATAAAGTAGCTTTGACGATGGCTTGCTTTACGTTCCTTAGTGTTGTTTGATGGGGGAGCCACTACTGTCATGGATTTATGTTTTCGATGCTTGCTACTATAATTATTATTATTAGCAGTAGCAGTAGCAGTAGCAGTAGTAGCAGCAGGTAACGGTGATGCTGTTGTAGTACGCGACGGAGGACGAACAGTGGCCATGGACGATGCAGGTCGTGGCTGTTTTACCAAAGCAGCAGCAGTAGCAGTAGTGGATGATGATTGACGACGCAATTGTTTTTTCAACTCGGCAATTTTGCTGTTTGCAACCTGATATTTTGACTCCAACTCGGTATACTTTTTCGCCCATTCATCCTCGGCAACCACATCCGCCCAATCCATCGTGGCCGTCGAAATGATTCTATTGTTGTCTGTTTGCACATCCCGTGAAACGACCGATGTTGTAGCTGATAGATCCGGTGTAGTCGTGGTAGTGGAGGATTCACCAGCACCAGCAGCTGTAACGCTTTTCTCTATTGTTGGTGCGCACGGACGATCCTGTGTTACCACCGAGCTTGTTGTCGTTGTTGCTGTTGCAGCCAATCGTGTTTCCAGCTCACTGTTTCGCTGACGATGCATTTCCACTTGTTTTTCCAACTCGGCATTGCGTTGTCGGATCGACTGGAGTTCAGTCTGCTGTGCAATTTCCTTGAGCTGATACCCGCTCACTTCATTTTCCAAATCAATCCGTAATTTACGCAAACTCTCCAATTCTTCTTCTTCAAAGATTAAATCGTCGTCGTCGTCCTCTTCTTCTTCTTCTTGGTCTTCTGGACTCATGATAGTTCCATCTGGATGATATCGTCGTTGTCGTTGTCGTCGTCGTTGTGGCCTTACTGCCTGTTGTTGCTGTCGTTGTTGCTCCTGATTCATGCTCAATTTGTGTAAGATGGACGCACCCAATTCCAACATGTCCCGTCGCTGATCTTCCCAAAACCGTCGAGCATCCCGATGACTCTCTGTGGCTCGCCATAGAATTTCCGAAATGTTGCTCTTTAATTTCGTTTCGATCATTTCATCGATGCGATCCAGGAGTCGTTGTTCATGGAGCGCGTAGTTCAGGTCGGTCGTGTCGGGTGCAATACTACTGTTCTCAGAGGATGAGTGGGTTGCTGTAGGTGGAGGAGGAGGAGGTGGTGGCGGCTTAGCATATGAGGACATCTTTGATAAATATATATAAACAGCAATAACTGGGTTAATTTTTTAATCGTCCACTGCTTCCCGTCCCCGTCTGAGATACACACACACACACACACACACCTTCTGTACATAAAATCATCCACCTGAGTAATCACTTACAAATCCACTCTCACTCAGTTTCCTTAAAGCCATGAATCGTGGACTGACAGCACTCGTGCCACTGTTCTTGCTACTTGCTTGCGATCGCGTTTCTGGAATATCCGACGACAACGATGGTTGTTGTTCCTGCTGATTGGCTGCTGCTCGTACTCCTTCCAACGTCACTGCCCCATTCTGCTGTGCGGTTCTAGATTGCCGTCGGGACCGCATCAAATGCGGCGGTGGTCGAAGCGAAAAAGGATGTACACCATGCATTAATTGTTCTTCATCCGAACGGGTTTGATAACTTTCATGCTGTTCCAGCCAACTAGCACGATGATGATGATGTTGTTGCTGTTGCGTAGTTGGTGTTGATGGTGGTCGTTCTACGATAGGAGACAAAAAGACATCTTGGATGATATCACCGCCTGCAATGCGGACGTTGATCGTAGGTGGATCTGGCTCGGGCGCTTTTAATGATTATCATTATCGTGTGCAAGTGAGTTTTTCTTCTTCTTCTTCTTCTTCTTCTTCTTTCCCCCCTTGGATTTCCCCCACCCCTTGGTAATGATGATGATGATGATCCCTGTCCCTTACTTGGAGTGCCAATCGCGCTTGTTCGTCGTCTCTTCTCGGGCTGTGGTGTCATCGGAGACCCTGTAGATGCAAGGAACGGGGCGCCAGGAGAAAAGTAATCATTGGAAGGAAAAGTAAACACAGACTGTGGTAGTGCAATCGTGCTTGGCGGAGCCGTTTGACCATGCTGTTCCTTTGCCACTCGTGCCAGCCGTGTGTGCTGCGTTACCTTATCTTCACTATCCAGCTGTGTATTGTGATTGCGCAAAGGAAAGGGGGCTTAGCTGTTTATGCTTTCTTTCTTCCTTCTACACAATCTAATCGACACAATACGTGTGTATGGTTCTTGTGTAACAACAACAACAACAACAGCTACTACTACTGCTACTACTAGTCGAAGGATAATAATCTTACCTCCTGCGCCAGTTCAAGAAAAAGCTCTTCCACGTCTTCAACGTCAGTATCGTCCGACTCGTCTTCTTCGTCCTCGTCCTCCACATGTCCGTCGCTTCCGTTGTCATTGTTGTCGGGATTGTTGTGATGACGACGCGGAGAAGCATTCCGTGTTGTCGTTTGAGATGACTGCGGTTTTTCAGCTTCAGGGAGCTTTATGAACGGAATTTTAGCCCGTTCCGATAATGCAACTGAGAAAATTTCTCGGGTTTGAGTATCGGGTAACTTAAGAATCGCCTTTTTGTTGTTGTTGTTGTTGTTGTTATCACCATAAAAGATATTCAGTCAGTATCTTCTTCTTCTTCTTCTTCTTCTCGATACGTATGTAATCAACAAAGGGAGAAAAACAACTCCCCATCTAATTGGCATGGTTGTTCTGTTGCGTTTTTACCTACTTCCTTCTTGGCTGTTCGCTCTGCCCAATCCATTTTTCGGCTCGAAGTCTCTTGCAAACGAACGGTCGACGTTGACTGGGGTATTGCGGCTCGTTTTTCTTTCTCTGCTGGACGCTGTTGCTGTTGTCTTCTCGAACGCGTCCGATCGATCGTCATCAAAATGGAGAGGGAAGGGAGAGGTGAGAACAACTAGAGTGGGTTGGAAAAGAAAAAAAAAAAGAGAGAGAAAGAGGGAGAAGAGAGAGAGAGAGAGAGAGAAGTAAAATAAAGTGTCTTGTGGAACTCAGAAGCAGAGTTGAGCAAACGAGCAGTTGCTACTACGGGCGTGGATGGTGGGTGGTTCAAAGGGATAGAAAAGGGGTGGTTTGATATGCGCGCCTGAAGCTGCCATTTGAAGCAATGGGCCCAACCACCTGTTCATATTTCCAAGCTACTAAAAAAAGCGTAGTGGGGGTGGGCGGACATTTTTCTTCATGATTAACTACTATTGTTATTATTTTATTATTATGACAGGCGCCAGCCATAGAGAGCAGCCTGAGCTAATTATTGCTCAAAGTGGGAATAAAACGTGGCAGGTGTCTTTTATCTATTATTATTATTGCCAAAGGTTATACAAAGCTCTGGAAGTCAGGTTCCCCTTGGGATGGACCAATCATCTTGAGGTGTGCAACCCCACCTGCTGCCAAATCCACAATTTCGCCATCCAAGCACAGCTCTGACCCATGCTTCACCCGCAGCAGCAGCTCCGGCGTCTTGTAATACTCCACCACACCGCAACCATCATCATCATCATCGTCATCCTCCTCCACGTGTCGTCCTCCGTCCAGCACCTTGATCGTTGCCGCTTTCAGCTCCTCCCGGCTCACCCCACGCATCATCACCACGTCCATCTCCCCCGTCGTTGGCGATGCAAATGGCGCGATTTTGAACCCACGTTCCATCGAGTGCTGCTTGCCTACCAAAAAGTACGTGAACGGCTTATCCTTCAAGACAACGTCTGCTGCCTCGTGGACAAATGCTTTTCTTGTAGCATCGTAGCGCTGCGCATCCTTCATGGTCAGTTCCCCTTGATGTTGTTGCAAGAACGTCATCAGGTACATGGCTACCCAACTGAACCGCGTATTGCCCATAAATGGCTGCAGGTATCTGGATTTGGAAACGAGTTGGGCATGAAATCCCCAGCTCATCACCACCAGAATCCTCCGTCGCTGTTTCCTGCTTGCCGCCGTTGCTGGTTCAGGGTCCAACGACACATCAATCAATCGAAGTGGTTGCGTGCGTCCTTTGATCACTTGAAGCACTCCGTTTTCGATCGATTCCAGATTCAAACTGAGCGAAAACGCGTTGCCGGATCCACTCGGTATGATACCGAGCCGAAACGTGGGGATTTCTTGTTCTTCTTCTTCTTCTTTCCACACGTGTTTGTCAAAGGCATCCGACAGCCCATTCACCACTTCATGCGTCGTGCCATCGCCACCCATACAAAGAACAATCGTGCTCTTTTGCTTGTCCTTTAGCATTTGTACTCCGAGCTGTTCTGCCAGGCCACGCGTCTTGCCATTCGGTTGGGTATGGGTTACTTGGAAATCGGTGAATCCAGCCGTCGACAGCATGGGCCTCACAATCGTTTCCCACTGCCTCAAGGCCTGTCGTGTTCCTGCAGCTGGATTGAGCATCACCATAACACGCGTCGTCGATTTCTCGTCCCCACGAGTAGTAGTAGTAGTAGTAGTAGTAGTAGTAGTGGGGTAAATGAGTTTGCGGAATTCGTTGATAAAGGGGGTTGTGTCGTCGTCGGCAGTAGTAGTAGCTTGAAAGTGGAGCGTCCGTCGTTCCCAGAGTCTAATACCGGCGTTGCGAAAGTTCGTTATTGTCTGCTCGCCACCACCTTCTCCTTTCTCTTGCGGGTCCGTAACATGACAGTAGTGGATAACAATAGTTGCTGCCTCGGGTTCTCCTTTTGTTGTTTTCTTGTTGCGATCGATGCCATAGATATATTTCAGCTCGTACTGTTGTTTAGTGTCTTGAGACTCTACGTAGAGGTATGCGTTGTCCACAACACGTAGTTGAACGAGTGCTCCAGAAGAATCTGTTAATGACACACAAAGAGTTGCTGCTGCTGTTGTTGTCATGGAAAGAAAGAGTAAAGGACAAAGCCGGACAAGGGGGGAAGGAAACGGTTCCCAGATTCTTTTTCTTTGCTGCTGTGAAATTTATCTTTTGCATCACTAGAGAGAGTACAAAAAATGGGGCTCATCATCACACCTATCCATCGCATCCTATATCCTCCAAGTAAAGATTAGTAATCCTTCTTCTTCTTATCATGACATGAGCCTCATTTTGTTTTGTTTGTTGTGCAGTGGATAACTCATCTTTAAAAGCTATAGAAATCGGATCGGGATGCGGCTATTTGTTTTTACCGAGATCTACTATGTGTGTACTGGTTGTTATGCGTTAAACAACAACAAGAAGTTTTAAGTAGGTCCAGATCGTACTACTACTGCCACTACTACTAACTGTTTATCGTTATTACGACTTTATTTTCCCTCCGCTATGAAATCATTCATGCGTGTGTCTGAAACCAGAATGGGGATGATAAATCCAAAACGCATGCATGAAATTTGTGATTATTTCGCCGTTGGAGCTTTTTTCAATTTCAAACCCACCGTGTATGTGTTGCTTCTTCATTTCTTCTTCTTTGCTCTTTCTCCACACTTATTCTGACTACAACAGATGAAGATTGCTTGGAGCATTCTTAGTACTCTTACTCTTTGCCTAGTAGTGGCATTATTTGCCCAAGACGTCAATGGTAAAGCTTGCATCTAAAGAAAGAAAAAAGAACTCGCACTCACTATGTAATATTCATTATCCCCCACCCCCAGCCGATGCTCGAGAACAAGCACTCGCGTATCTGCGAAAATACAAGATCCCATACCGCAGGGAAATATCCAATGTCATCACTTCTGCAGACAACAAACTGAACAAACACGACGACGACGACTACCTTTTACAGACGGTGAAATACTACCGGGACTCTGTAGCCATGAACGTCGATCTGTTTGGCGAAAAGATTGATCGAATTCTGAAAGGATTACGCATCAAGCTCGAGCAACAGCACCAGCTCACACAAAATAGCATTGAAGGCTTGATGGAATTATTGCAACACGCGCTGCGACGACTGGAACTGCGCGGCGAATTGACACGTGAACGAGTATTTGCCGAGCTCGACAAGCTGAAACACAAGGCGATCGAAAAGAAACTGGTCACCGAAGCACAATGGAAACAGCTCGTGAACGATGTTGCGGGCTCATTTGAAGCCGATGCATGGTACCGACGGTTTTTGGGTGGCCGATACCATCGACACCACCATGACGATGACCAAGACGATGGCTTCCATCGTTGGAAACAACATTTGCAACGCCGACTCAAACATAACAAGAGGCTGACCGAAGCACAAATCGATCAGAGTCTGGATACGGTCCAACGGGCGATCCACAATACACCCGATGCATCCAAATTGGCTGACTCGCGCTGGTGGCGTCGCGTGGAACGCGAATTGAAACGCAACCTTGTCGATCCTGAGCAAGTCAAGAGTGTCATGGATTCGGTCCGGGACGAAGTTCAAGCTTACAAGATCTTTGCCATGGATTATGCGCCAGAGGAAGCCAAGCACTGGTTCTCAGACTGGTATGACTATATCCGTGATCTGTATCATGAATTTTTCCAGTGGTTGTATAAACAGTATAATGATGAGCACACGCCAGAGGCATTGAAGGCCTCGTCGTCTTATGCTGTCGTGCAAGCCCATTCCCGGTCTATGGGTTTGGCTGTTCAATCTGCCGAATCAGCTGCTCAATCAATGACCCAGGCCGTCCAGGATACGACTCAGCATTGGAAAGATTCGTTTGCAAAGTATTGGTTGCAGAAGGAGAAACAGGCTTACAAGCGGATCGGATATACGGAAGCACAGCTTCAATGGTTGCATGACCATTTGGAAAAGACTATCAAAGACCGCAAGTCGTTGGCCAAGCATAATGTCGATGCATCCTTGTATGCCATTCGTCGGTATCTACAAGAAACAAGAGTGCAGTCGGCAACACAGATCGAACATCAAATCAGTCGTATCCAGCACTTGTTGGAAATGTGGAAACAAACTTTACCAACCGAGCGCGTTGAACTATAAGTCGGTCCCAGACCTCCCTTTCATCTCCTCTTTTCTCTTCTTCTTTTTTTTGCTGTACATAGTAATGTTTCCCATCGTCTTTGCTAATGACTCTTTGTCAATAATATTACCACAATGTTATTTTCTCATACGAATTAATAAAGTCTCTCATTTGCATATGTTGATAATCATGAAAAGTTACAATATCAGTATCGTCCATGGATTTTCTACATTCTTTCTTTCGTTTCTCCGTGCGCAACAACGACGTCATAGCTGGAATGATATAGTTAGTAGCTTTAGCTCATGAGCAGGAACCGACACATCTTTTTTAGTTATCTGCACAGCTTGGACGTAACGCAAATAAGTATAAAAAAATGTGGCTCTGCATGATTTTCTCTCAATGTTTATGTATCAAAACGGCGCACCTGATCCTGGTTTCCTAATGAGTTTCGTGCGAGAACGTCACAAAAACAGTTGTGGGCCAAAACACTGCATGATCATGACCTGAGGAATTTTAATGTTGCCGATCATAGCACATGGGAGCGCCAATAAAAATAACAAGTGCGACATGCAAGTGTCAACTAGCACGGGGAAACAGGATCATATTACTGCCCGTGATGCAGCATTGTTGGCATAAAACAGGTATCCATAGGAGCGCTTTTTTTGTAGTGTTAGCAGCTATGACGTAGCCTTCTTAATTTTGCTTTTTTGTCCAAGAAAACGTCTGTATGATACATATTAAATGACGATGCGGGCAGTACGTAAAGCATGTTTGAAAAGCTTTATAAAGGGTTGAAGTACTATGGCCATGTAAAACGGGTTGTTATGCAGCTGGCAATGTAAAAAAGGCAATTTGTGTCTTTTCCTGCGTTTAGAAGCACGACCCAAGGTCACTGTAATGTACGCACACTCATCGACAGAATCCTTTGGGTTATCTTCATGGACAAGAGTTGTCTCCGTCTAATGGGTAAGTTGGGAGAATATCTTATCTCATCAATGAAAGTTTGATGCCTTAGCATTTTGCCATATTCCATCAACGCTACTGTAGATCTAGGATGATGTACAGTACGTACCATCGAATTGTACAACTTAGATGAGGCTTCTAAAAGAGGTATCTTTTATCGCAATTTTGGGCTTTGAGGGATAGTTGCATCTCATGGCATATTCGGATATGTCTGTAGATATCTTCACCTTAAACATATCCTTTGGTGCAGCCTTTGTACAGGCATAAATACAGTAATATGTTTTAATAAAAAAAGAATATCAGCCAATTTAGCAACGGCATGGACATGGTAGTGGGACTGATGCAAAATATAGACAAAGGCCATAATCATTACCTCCGGTCCGCTCTTCTACTGTTTATAAGCACCAAAATATCTACGACATGCAAACCTGATTCAAAAACTTTATGTGTGCCTGACAAACTTTAAACACTGGAGATATTACATACACTACAAATAGAATATCATCTTCTGCCAGTTATAAGAAAATAACTAGAATTAACAGTTTGATCGAAAAATGCCACGGTGATCCGTTTATCTCCATCCGTATAGAAAGGATCTCTTCCCATAGCTAGGAAACACCAGCTGTAACCTTGTATAAATAACATAGGCTATGGCTGCTCTTCTTTCCTTGATATTGTTAGATAGAATTTGCCTTACTACTAGTGAAAGCTGATCATGCTGCATAGTACTTGTAAATATAGCTTTATTGTGCCGTACTTTAGCTCATTTATATGGATACACTAAGCTTAGTGTAGAAAGATTATTATCAAAAGCAGGTTGAAATTATAGCAATTATTGCGTTCCTTGATGATTGACATGCTTTGTCCAACCTTGTTCCTTTACTGCTATACCACACCTTGAACATTATGTTAAGTCTCTTCAAAAATGCCCTGTAGCATCGGAAGTTGCCTCGCTACCTCTTTTCGTAATGATTGATCAGTTATATACAACGACACACATACCCGAGTCTTCATTTTTTACTTCGGTATAACTGTTGCTGTTACATTGACCATTATATAATGGATTGAAAAAAAAAATTGGGCCTGCAGTGATGACAGATCACTCTTTTTTTTAAATTGGCAACGTATCCCAAACGTATCGGATACTCAAGCATCCACTTGGAATGAGCTGCTGTGCGCCTTCCTGCTCCGGCCGGCTACACGCTTGCTATAAAAAATTGAGTCAGGTACAGTATAGGCACCTTTGAGGTCAATTTTGATCGTAAAATTCTCACGTCATAACAAACCTTTTAAGGTGGGTGCTATTTTCCAGTATAATGTACGAACAGTACACAAAGTTTAAGCTTTCTGGACAATCCAGAAGAGTGCAATTTGCTTGTGTGTACGGTGATCGTTCTGTCATCCCCTCCTTCAGAGAGATAATTTGACTGCCTGATTTAATTAGTTCTTTGTCATCCTTTCATGTTGCTTTATTCTTTTTATCTTCAAAGAGCGCGGACTTGGCTAGACATCAAAGCTGAGAGTCATCTCGTAACACCGTCCAACTAAGCCCAAGTGCTCCCCGCTAAACAAATGACATCCTGGTAGTATCTGTTCCTCTATATCAGGTCATTTTCTGCTGACGATGACTGTCCTAAGGCACAGTCATTGGTCAAAAGTCACTTTATGGAAGATGTAACCAGGGATGATAGCCCATTAGCTCCACAGGATTACAAAATAGTATAACATGGTGTGAGTATCTCTCTCACATAGTTTTATAAGTCATCTGATCTGGTCTTTCACTCAATAGTTAAAAGCAAAGGACCCGCCCAGCAATTCGCTTTCTTTCACAGCTTTCTTTTAGTAACTGAAAGGTAAGTAATCTCAAATCTTTGCGCGGAAGCCTCGTAGCTAATTTTTTTTATATCTTTAGAACATTTTTATCGTGACAAATTATTTGAAACAATGAAGGCAGACAAAACAGGAGAATACGCATGCCAGGATTGCACCTTGACTTTCAGTGGTTCTACAGCCGCCAATCGGCATGCAAAGTCAGCAAGTCACAGAGTTTATCCCACCGGAAACTAAATCCAATGTATACTGTATTATGAATTATGATGCAGCATGTGTATGCGACCTTTGACACTTATGCTATGTGTAATAATCCAATAAATATATTGTGCAGAAACCTGAGATCGCTGTTTTTGAATTGGTGAATTTGTTGCTAGAAATATATTTGCTGTTGTTATTGTTGTTGCTTTGCGTTGCGTTGTTGCCGAATTATCTGTCCAGTCGTTAATGTATAGCTTGAAAGTATAAAAGAGGAATAGGATAGATCAACGCAAGATTATTGTCGACCTTAGAATAAAAGTATGGTAGCATAACAATAACAATTTCTTGTTGGACACTAATAGAAAATGTATGGATTCAACAGTAAAAAGATGTTTCCGCATTATGTATGTACAACGTTGTGTTGATGATGTAGAAATAAGGATGGTACGTAAAGAGCTAACAGCAGCAATTACGGAATCTTTCCAGTTTCTGTCAAACCGAGTTTGTTTGCCGTCATGAGTCGCTACAACTACGCTTTCATATACCGTATTTTATACTTATTGACAGCGGTTTGTTCTTGCTTAATAAGATCACGTTGTCTATTTTCACTGGTACTAGCAACCTCGTCTATGCATATATCCAATTCTTTATGGCACTAAATTCCACTATCGTCAAGTTCTTTCCATCACTCACAGTGCATCTAGAGCGCATAATGTAGATGAGAGACTTTGTGTACATCGCATGCGTTTAGTGTCTCTATCTCGGTGTCGCATAAGCCGCTGATAATTGAAAGTAAAACCGTGCATCCCGCTCCCCGCATTATTCGTTTCTGTCCTAGTACAGTATCGATTTTATCTTTTTCTTACTACTCTTCTACTTTTATCTGCATCATGTTTTTAAATATCGGCGCAAAGGCATTTGAGAGCTTTATTTAATCACCAAGCAATGGAAAAACTAGAGAGAATGTGATGGTTTTTAAATCTGACAATGACAGTCCATGGGCTGAACTTCTTGCTCTTCTTGGAAGCACTTAAGGTCAAACAACTGCCTCAGCATTTGATGTAACTTGTGAAAGTTTCAAATGTGAGCAACATTGCGTTCCTTGAGTGCTGCCAAAGAGCTTCTCCAAAGCAGGTAATCGTTCCAACATAATCTTGATTTCGTACGCGGCTGAAAAATGGGACAGAAATGTAGCACGAAAGTTGGTACGCAGGGTACCATAGTGATTGATGATGATGATGCAGTAGTTCGTCGGTCTTGTTTGGCAGGAGTAGTGGTTGGGACAAGCTAACTTTCAGCTCTACTGTGTCGATGATTGGGCAGCGGCTGAGCATGTCGACACTTGCGGACATCTTGTCGCTGCTGGTGTGGTTAGTGGTGGTATTGATGGTATTGATGGTGCATGCTCGTCTTACTTTGATCCGTGTGCATCATATCCGAGCCTGTGTCATACAAGTCAATCGATTACTCCCTTATTCTTTTTTCATTAGGCTTATCATGCAAGCTTAAAGTTCAATGGCGAGCTGGCCGTGAAGAGGAATGGTGAATAACAGAGATTAGAGTAGATATCGTCAGTTTACATCAAATTATGATAGTCGGGGACAAAATGGGAATAATTCATAAGTACCCTTGTTTTCTGGTATGGCTTTCGATTTGGCCGATGCTTGAGGACTCTGCGGCTTGCTGTTGTTGCAGTACGAGCATCCAGGATGATTCCTGACTCAGTGATCGGGTTTTAGTGCTGCTCGATTCCGTTGTTCAACCAGTCCCGACACTGGTATAACCGCCCAGGCGCAGTGATGTTTCATTAATTGATAAGCAATGCCTTTTTGAAGAGGTCTTTTCACCTGTTGCATCGTATCATCACTATTCGCTGCTAGTTGTTGCTGTTGTGCTGCTGCTTGTATGCTTGGATTGTCCTCGAGGACACGAGATGCTTATGCCACCACTGCTGGGCTCTGTGATGAACGACCCGCAAGGTTTTTGTCAGTATTGTCGTAAATAGTCTGCTCTTCGCTGCTCGTCTTGCTGCTTCTGCTAGGCCCAAACTGATATTTTTTTTGTCGGCGAAAAGGGGATACGGGTGGGGTGCATTTGCGTTGGATCATTAATGATTGTTTAACTTTCTTCGCGTATTACGAATGTATTACACCCAGCCTTTACGGGAGAGGCGAAGGTAGTGGCGTTGCTGCGGCCGAGCTGCCAGATAGAATCTAGTAAACCTTAATCATCCCATTAAGTAAAATGTTCATATAGAGAAAGATAGCAACAATCTATGTATTACCTAGAATGGGCCGATGTGCGGTTCTATCGCATGTAGTATATTTCGTAGCAGGAGAGGCTGTAACCATAGGATTCTTCTCAGAGGCGATACAACACTTGTGTTCTTTGCATATCATAATGAGATCTATACGAGTCTTGCAGTATGAACAGATTCATCAATGATAGATCTGTTGCTCTCATCCGTCTTTGTAGGTATCATCGCCGTCAAATCACGAGCCCCGACTAGCTTGACGATGCAGTTTTTTCCTTGTTATTGAGCTTGTTGCTTATTGTCCATCCGGTTAATCTTCCTCTAAACATTGCTGGCGTTGCGGACTTGACTATTTCTGCTGCTGCTGCTGCTGCTGCTACTGCTGCTGGTGCCGTCGCTTTGTTGTTGTTATAATCATATTTGTAAATGATTCTGCTCGATTATGCGTCTGACAGTGTTACTATTTGCGGCCAGGTGGCCTTTGTTGTTGTTGTTGTTGATGTTCTGAGCGAAAGGAAACAATGTGAGGCCTGGAAAGAGCGGGGGCGGGTCTTCAGTTGATATCGTTGATGGTAGCAGTGGCGCGACCGGTTGTAACATTATCTTGTAGCGCTCTGTAGAAAAGAAATTCAAAGAAATAAACGCGTTATTGCTAATGTTCGTTCCTCTTTACTGTTTGACAGCATTTTCTTTCAGTTTAAAACCATACAGGACTCACTTTTAAATATTTCTGACGTGATTTCTGACGTGCTTTTTGGCATGTTTGTGATTTTCTTCTTAATGTCTAAAAAGTATAAAAGAATCATCTCGTTAAAATTTTCCCTTTAGCTATATAAATGACAATAGATACTTACTTTCTATGAAAAGAAACGCTTATATAAGTTGTAGACAAGAACTTCGCGACGGAGGCACTCGCGACGTTCCGTGCAGAATCTTTCAATGTGTGAGTTTGTCGCGGCCAAGACTTGTGCGTGGTCGTCCGCCACGTCGAGATTACCGAACAAATCAGCGAGTTCTTCGACAGCATCTTTCTCTATGGTGACTGACGGCGAATCAGCAAAGGTAAGTGGAGACAGATCAGCAATGGTAGGTGGAGACAGATCAGCAATGGTAGGCGGAGACAGATCGGCAATGGTAGGCGGAGACAGATCAGCTATGGTAGGCGGAAACAGATCAGCAATGGTAGGAGACAAATCGACAATGATATGAGGAGCCAAATCAGCAATGGCAGGAGACAAATCGGCAGTGGTATGAGGAGACAAATCAGCAACGACGGGAGGAGACAAACCAGCAACGACGGGAGAAGACAAATCAGGAACGACGGGAGAAGACAAATCAGGAACGACGGGAGAAGACAAACCAGCAACGGCGGGAGGAGACAAACCAGCAACGACGGGAGGAGACAAACCAGCTATGGTACGAGGAGATGAAATGTTTTGAGAGTTAGATGATCTGGGGGTAGGCGGATCGATAGGATCGCACAATGGTGGAAAATATGCGGCAAGAGGAGAATTAATCAAAGCATAATAAAATGGGCTAAAAAACAATGCAACAATGACGGTTGCAATGATGAGCTCCAAACATAAAGTGAGATTTTGTGCCATAAAACGTATGGCAGCAAGCAAGGTGAATAACGCAAAGATGATTTCAAAGAACATGTTTGAAAGTTGCAGGGTGTAAAGAAAAGTAGCAAAGGTGCTGCGGCCACGCGTTAAATTTATGTACGCGCACACAGCATAAGAAACTCCGGCTGTTTGTTGCTCACGTGAGCTGTTGTTGGCAGTAACAAGATTATTCTCCCATTTGATGTTTATGAAAGCTATTTGTCTTATTCTGCGTCATACTGACACGCTATACATATCACAATTTCTGTCTCTTTTTTTCTAAAGTTATGCAGTCGGACCTGGACTGTGACAGATAAAAAGAGAAGGACCCTTGATGATTATGTAAGCTGATGCAATCAAAGAACATACCAGCCGACGATAAGATCAAGACCCAGTCTTTTCCACACGTAACAGCATGAACAATTGTATACTCTGCTTGACCGTCATGTGAGATCTTTAGAAGCATTGTGCCTAACAATGTTGGATGATGTGAATGAGATGGATAATGAGATTGTGTGAACGTTTCTACCATTTTGCGTTAAAAATAAACAACTAGACTTCAAGTATCTTAACATAATGATCAACTCGCAGTAGCAAGTAAATTTGGAACGTTACATATTGCGTTTTGCTTGTGAGATTACCGATACATCTTATACTTGAAAATTCTTTATATGCTTACATTGCGACTGCTCTTTTAACGATGTTTGACGGCATTTATATCACATATTTATATTGCCCGGACCACATGTTCCCAATTGCTTACTGATGGTCTTTACTACGGGTAACCCGCTCTTAATTTGCAAACATTCCAATCCATGATACAGTGAATTCTAGTGAGAAATTAAGCACATCCCATATAGATAGATTTGAGTGCTTTGAATAACGTTAGGAGCTGTAGGTATTAAATGTTGCCATAAGTCGCTGTATCAGTAGTATTTATGTTGTAGCTACAGTGGAAGTGGCCAAGAACCTATAGTAGATTACTTACTGTATTATGAACAAGCTTTAGACGTGGCTCTATAATAAAGTATTGCTTTTATGTGAGCAGCCAAGACACATCCCGCCTGCATTAACTAGGTTCTACGATACTTATTCTATGTTCCGTACCATCTCTGAAATTTAAAATTGGGTAGCAAACCCTTCCTTGCGAGATATTGGACAATAAGATAGAACTTTTGCAGTTCAGCAGAAACAACCACCGACACATCAATTACCAATCGATCTAAAAGACAACGATAGTATCTCCAGTCGGATTTTGACAATTACTAAGACCTTGAGCGCACGTAGAAGTGAATTCGGCAACACGATATCAGGCGAATCACAAACTAGAGTACTCTACAACACAGCGCTTAGCACAGCCTGCGCTGTTTCATTCAAAGAGCTGTGCCTATTTTGAAACAGCGCAGCTATATACTCACTTGAAAGCGTATAATACATGTGGAATGCTATATACTAATTCATCCGTTTTGATGATATTTAAACAAACCTGTGATGTTGATTTGCACTGCAGCTGTAATCGATGTTGATCTTCTAATCGCAATCTTAAAGGGATGTGACATAGCTTTACGACCTATAAGCAATGTGTAAATTACACCTGCTTTGGTCAGAGGACCGATGCGATATGTACATGAAAAATAAGGGGCGGATCGAGGCTGGATTAATTCATGACAGTCAAGGCCCGTGTTGTGTCAAATCTACCACTTCTTGATTCTTTCACTTTTTCACTTCTGACATCTTCACTTCTGTTGCAACTAGTTTAATATAACATGACAATAGCAACAATTGCTAAAATTCACACATCAGTCAGTGTAGGCGATGCTCGCGATTTGTCTGCAGTAACATACCTCGACTTGTTGACAACATATCACTCCACAGCGTTGCTTCATCGGGTAACTGCCTACGGCTGGCAAAACGCGCTTGAATTCGCTCTGGAGGAAAGTCAACACACTAATAATCCACAGATTGATAATACTTGCTCTCAAGCGTATTTGACAGGAACTGAGCGGGGCCCTTGCGATATATTGACTTCGTTACGTGCATACTGTCTAGTCCCGTAGAAAAGAGTCAGCTCCTACCAGTTTTTTCTTGAAGCCTACAGTGTCTTCAACATTTCATTTTGTCAATAAACAGCGCGTCAGACGCGTTAAAAGAGCTGTAGATTTAAAGTTTTGGGGATCTGGCTGAAGGCCTCAAATTTCAAGCATAGAAAATAGCAGTGTATATCATATTGAAAACTGAGTCAGGTACCGTATAGGCACCTTTGAGGTCAACCTTGATCGTAAAATTCTCACATCATAACAATCCTTTTAAGGTGAGTGTTTTTTTCCAGTACTCTATAAAGTGCAAAGTTTAAGCTTTCTGCACAATCCAGAAGAGTGTAATTTGCTTGTGTGTACGGTGATTGTTCTGTCATTCCCGCCTTCAGAGAGATAATTTGACTGCCTGATTTGATTAGTTCTTTGTCATCCTTTTCATGTTGCTTTTCTCTACTTCCATTTCCATAGAGCGCGGACGTGGCTATCATAGATATCAAAGTTGATAGGAATCTGGTACTACTGGCCGGCTAAGCCCAAGTGTTTTCTTTTCGCTACGCACTACCCTATATACAGCGAAGTTGAGAGTCATTGTAATATCCAATAAACCAAAAGAGACAGAATAGTAAACGAGACCTGAAAGAAATGAAAACCGGTTTATTATGATATCAGATGTTCTCACTATTATGAAAAATGACTTAACCTTGGCAACTACCACAGCGTGTGCATTAAACGGATTAATTGATGTTTTAAGTTAAGCATATAGCATCAAGTAATATATGATGCGTGAGTAAAAGGTACATCCGATAAATGCCTCAGATAGTAGCTTTAGTGAATTACGTGATCCATATAATGACAACTTCTTCCTGAGCATAGCTATTCCGTGTTACACCAAGATGTGTATGGATGAGGAAAAATCCGCACAAGTGAGGTTATGAGACGGACCAAAGAATATGTGTTATTGATCATGTTGTATACAACAGTCATCTGCTACCACCATCCAACTGAGCTCACACTATTCTATAGCGAAGTTGAGAGTCACCTCGTACCACCGTCCAACTAAGCCCAAGTGCTCTCCACTGCACATATGACATCTTGGTAGTATCCCTCTTCGCTACTCACTTCTCTACAGCGAAATTGAGAGTCATATCGTACCACCGTCCAACTAAGCCCAAGTGCTCTCCGTTGTACAGATGACATCCTGGTAGTATCTGTTCCTCTAGATTAGGTAATTTTCTGCTGACGATGACTGTCCTAAGGCACAGTCATTGGCCAAAAATCACTTTATGAAAGATGTAACCAGGGATGATAGCCCATTAGCTCCATAGGATTACAAAATAGTATAACATGGTGTGAGTATCTTTCTCAAATAGTTACCCAAGTCATCTGATCTGGTCTTTAACTCGATAGTTAAAAGCAAAGGACCCGCCCAGCAATTTGCTTTCTTTCACAGCTTTCTTTTAGTAACTGAAAGGTAAGTAATCTCTAATTTTTTCAAATCTTGCGCGGAAGCCTTGTAGCTAAATATTTTTTTTTATTTCTTCAGAACATTTTTATCGTGACATATTATTTGAAACAATGAAGGCAGCCAAACCTGGAGAATACGCATGTACCGTATGCGACGCGACTTTCAGTGGTTCTACAGCCGCCAATCAGCATACAAGAAATACAGGACACAACGTTTATGCAACCGGAAACTAAATCCAATGTATACTGTGTTATGAATTGTGATGCAGCATGTGTATGAGACGTTTGACACTTGTGTTATGTGTAATAGTCCAATAAATATATTGTGCAGAACCCTAAGATTGCTGCTATCAAATTGGTGAACTTGTTGCTAGAAATATATTTGCTGTTGTTAATCTTGTGGCTCTCGACGTTTTCTGTGTTTCACTTACGGCCGAAAAAACCTCATTTGATGTGTCATCGTCCAATGTATTCTTTAAGGTTATGCTTTCTTTGTGGTATCCTTCTGCAGCACATTATTGGCTTGTTATTTGCCTTTTTACTGCACAACTGCTCATCTATACATCTTTTTGTGATAAAGCCTTTCTTCATACTTGCTTTTCAGCAATAACAAAAGGTATCACGTAGCTTTCTTCGGCACATTCTTCACCAGCGAATTATCTTCCGCCTTTTGCTTTATCAAACGATTAATCTTGCTTCCTTGTTGCATGTCTAACCTCTAGGAAAGCTATACATGGATATCCAATCGCTCGAGAACTTATAATTTTGGGGTCGTCTCCATCTTCCTGGTTTTATTTATCCCGTTCTTAGAACTTTTTGTAAAATTCAGCACTCGCGACATTGGCCCAGCTAAAAAAAGAAAAAAATTCTACGAGTTTCGTAACGATCTCATCTAATCAAAAACGACGACGAGCATGACAGAGACGATGAGATGCCGAACTAGGATTGCGACGAATCTTATCGTCTGCGAAAACTACGTAAAGCTGACGATCGAAGAATGATGGCAAAAGCAATAGCAACGACAGTGGCCGAGTTAGCTATGACGACGGAAGTATTATTCAAACGACCTACTGCACAACTGGCTGAACGATGGAAAACGCTTTCCGATTGACTTTGCGCTATCAATTTCCCAGCACCCAATTATCCGAATACTGGATCTTTACGATGTTTCTATTCTCAACCATATTCTGGTAGATGTTTTAGAGCTTTTAAACAAATTACCCAACGTGCGATAACTACAGTTGTACCCCGGTTTTCGCAACCCCCGGGTTTGCAATTCCTCATATATCTGCAACTTTTTTTGAAAAATCCAAAAAAAACTTAGTAGTTTCGCAAATTTGCAACTTGCAAATGAGTTTATACGATTTGCACGTTATCGTGGTAAAAACAGCTTCAATTTTTGCAATATCAACTGAAAGAAGCATCTGTTGCGGATTATGAGGAATAAAATGATACGGTTACTGCGAGATAAATATGTAAATATGAAGATGTATTTATTGTCGAAATAAAAATTATTACTTGGTAGCTGAGCCAGTAGAATTGGGACACATATATAGCACTGATTGGGTTGAATCAACAAAAGAAATGAAGAAGATATAAGAAAAAGTGAACACACTACATATAGATATAGAAATAAAATGTTTGCTCAAATGAGCTTTCAACTACATACATCGAAGAAGTCATCAAGGGATGATTGTCGGGAGAATGGTTGCTGCCTGAGACTCTCTTGAATCCTACGCAAAGACTTCTTTAAGTCGCAGTCATCGATATTATCCAAAAAGCTCAAAACTCCTGCAATTGCAACCTGTTTTTCCTTCGACGTTGGCCCTGGAATAGGCGAATCAGCGCTTTCGTCCACCGCCCGCTCAAGTGCTCGTCGTAGGTTCGATCCTCTTGCTTAGAGGTGAACTTGTGGAACGATTTTGTCATGCTTAAAAGAGCTAATAACTATCAAACCACTAGACAGCTTAATAAAAGAACGGTCTTATATATGCAAGTAGTAACATTTAGAGCTGTATGAATATTCCCACAGAACGTATCGTACATAATCTCTGACAGATAAACAATGGGCTAGTGTTAATAGGATGACTTAAACAGTGTCTATTTGAAGCAAAATTGTTTACCCCGTTACTTGCAAATCCTCACTTTTTGCAAAAAAAAATCGGAAAACCCTCGGTTGCAAAAACCGGGGTACAACTGTAGTTAATGCTGCACATAGTGGGACGATTGGTGTAAATGCCATCGATACCTTGGCTGCCATCACCACCTTATCAAGTCTTTCGATCAAACGTTTTAACAAGTATGTATATTCATCTTTACCGTCAATATGGGTATGATCACCAAATAGACTTGGTTGTCATGACGAGGTTCGTCCTCGTCCTCTTCAATGCTTGTTAATCTGTAAAACCGTGGATAATGCTGATCTCGGACGTATAAACTAACAAAATCTTTTTGAATAATTGTTGTTGCCGACCGCTAATTTCTATAAACCAAAAGATAGATGTGTATTAAAATGCAATATCTTCTAAGTACATATCGTTAGAGTACTCAATATCATACTCGAATGCAAAACCTACCAAAGTACACATGAGCTAGCCTATTTATAGTGATACTATTGAAATACTTTGGAACAATAACTTCTTTAGAGCACTCGTTATAAGACTGTTATTTTGACCGAAAACATCATTTTATTACGAGTGCAACATGTTGCCAAGTGTTAGCTGCAGCCGACTGGAGATAAACTGGTTTTTCTAAGCAGTGGAATGTCATGCTCTTTCTGTGAATTGCTACAAAATAAATGTCTGTTTAAAATTGAAACAATACATTATACGGTTTTTTTTTCTTTTTTTTTTGGCCCTCAGTCGTCATGATGGGCAATAGTAAAAAGAATCTTGCACCTATACTGGGCACTATGATAAGCACCGCTAACAGGAGAAATGACGATTTGCTCGAGCGTCCACCGCAGAAACCTGTCTCTCTGCCATGTAGTTGCATCCGGGTTCTCAAGGTAGAGGATAGGCCACCCGACAAAACGACACAAGAGCATTTTTTCAAAAGTATCACTGTAGCTTTTGAAGATCATCCCATGTTTCTGTCTGGCAAGGCTGCTATTTCGCCTCTTTCGCAAAAAATTGGAATCCCATTGATTGTCTATCTCGAAGATCCGCTTGAGGATGCACTACACAAGCCCGCGTTGCGCAAAAAGTACGCCAACAGAATCATTAGGGATCTGATGATTAAACTCGATAGTGGATCTGTGCATTGGCAATACAAGATTGGTGTTGGAACGGCCATCGTTGCGCGGTTGGACAATAAACCTCTGTCGGTCGGCTTATTAACAGCAATGCATGCCTATGCATCTATGTTGCTGAGCAAACGATACGGACGGGGCGATGCTTCAAAGGTGCAGGACTCCATCTCGCCGGATGACTTTAAGGAGTTTGCCATCAAGTTTGTGGATAAAGCGAAGAAGAACTTTGCCAAAGACTGGAGTTACGGATTTCTCTTCGATATAATGTAGTGTGATTCTTGCTCGTAACAAGTAGTAAACCTTGTATGATGATTACCTTTAGATATATAACATACGTATGTTATTCTATTATCTACGTGACGGGGAAAATGTTTGTTCTTGATGTCATGAAGTTGCTTGATTTTAGTTGGCTTCCTTTTCGGAGACCACCTTATACATTTTTTTCCTCGCAGATATTTATGGATTAGAGTTATGCTGCATCTTCACCAGGCGTTAACAGTTCTTGTTACTGCTCTCTAAAGATATAAGCTGATCAACTAGCCTTAATTTTCATTACCGTACGATATACAATGAGACAAATGTGGAGCCTATTACATTTATAACTGGATAGAGTGATATAGAGCCGCTGTTTTCTGCGTTAAACGTTATATCGTTGCGTGCTTTGACAGCCTTTAAATATTTTTTTCGTTGCAAACCAGTTTTTTTCCATATGATGAAGTAGGCATTGTCAAACCCAAAGGAGCTTTTACAGGTATTATATAAGCTAACCATGTCCACATTAACTTGGTACAGAGAAAGTAAGAGCGCCAACCACCAGATGTCAAGGAAGCGATCCTATTGGTCAATTCGAAGACAAAAACTCCGGCGCTTCGAGTCAAGCATACGATCGCTTCGGAATTCTTGCACAGTCTCTTTTTCAGCCATCATGGTATGGATCGTATATAGAGGAAGAGGAGTGATGGGCAGAGAATGTATAAAGAGCTGGATGCACGAACTTGGATGACGGATGAAAAGGATATACGCGTTTTATGGATAGATGGACTAGAAAAAGAGGGATGGATGGATGGATGGGTGCGAAAAGGACAATGTTGATAAAGAAAGAGGTTTACTCATTTGACATTTTCTTAATTTCTACTGTATGTGTACGCATTTTAGTCGCTCGTCGTCCCTGAACGGAATCAGGTTGGTGTCGAATAAAAAGAAAAACAGCTATTTAGCAACAACGATTATTACTTTCGAAACTAATGTATCAAACGATTCGAAAATAAAATATCCTTGTGATATATAGTTCCAGCACATCATCCGTTTGCTTAACACCAACGTCGACGGTAAGGACAAGATCACCATTGCCTTGACTTCCGTCAAGGGTGTTGGCCGTCGTTTCGCCAACGTTGCCTGCAAGAAGGCCGATATCGACCTCAACAAGAGGTAAATATAAAAAAGACACAAAATACACCGAACCCTCGATACAGTTCGAGATGATGTATATGTGTATATGTACTTATATAAAATGTTTTTTATAGAGCCGGTGAGTTGAGCAACGAAGAATTGGAACGTATCGTCACCATTCTCCAGAACCCCGCCCAGTACAAGATTCCCAACTGGTTCCTCAACAGACAGAAGGACGCTGTCGATGGCAAGTACAGCCAGGCTATCTCCAACGGTATCGACACCAAGATGCGTGAAGATTTGGAACGCTTGAAGAAGATCCGTGCTCACCGTGGTCTCCGTCACTACTGGGGTCTCCGTGTCCGTGGTCAGCACACCAAGACTACCGGTCGCAGAGGTAAAGAAAAAAAACAAGGAGTGAAGGGAGGAGGATCAAATATTACCGTTTGACTTTGACATTTACTAACTTATTACCTAATACTATTAGGAAGAACCGTCGGTGTCAGCAAGAAGAAATAAACTGGTAAGTCGAACAAATTGGTTTTTTCCTGTTTTGAAATTGTGGATATGCAAAGTATAGTGTATTGATTGGTTGTTTTTTTCGCTTACAAAGGTTTCTTGCCGTCTTGTTTCTTTGGACACAATAAAAATATATTACAATCAATTCTGTCAAAGCGGGTGCATGTTTGTTGATGTTTATGGGCTTGTGGCGAGAAATTGATTATGAGATGTGTGTTGATTTGTTCTACATCACTTACAAGAGCTAGCACGGCCATCAGGAGGGATGTAACCAAGAGGGACATCAGTGGTATATGGACTCTATGCGGCTTAAAAGCTAAATAGTAAGTCTGCAAGAGCTCTTGGTAAACATGTCAGCGATTATCAAAGTAGAATATTCGTTGCGATATAGCATCAAGAAGTAGATTGTTTGTTTGAAATGCTTAAAGGGCTTGTATCCATGTTCTACTGATAGCAAAATTGAAGTCCGGACTCTACCTTCCAAATATAGAAATACGAAGAAGTATATAGTAAAAACCAGTAACTTTTTGTTTTCTGGTTTAATCAGGCGAAAAAAGAAGATGTAATGAACAGACCCAATGATACAATACCGTAGTTTACGACTTTATCTCCTCTTCGGAAATAGGAATATCTTTAAGCTCTTTTGTTGAAGAGGAATCGCTGTCCTCTCTGCAGGAAAATCTTGGGGAACGCTTAGTTTATCCCACGAACAATTATGTATCTTCTCTTCATCGCGTCACTTGTTTTAAAGTTTCAATATTAAGTATTTTGAAATTTGTCTGCTATATAATTACGCTGTATGAGAAGCGCTATACGCCAGCAAATGGTTTGTCGCTCTTAAATACATACAAATATGAATATGATATGAAGAAGTATGTAGTGTGTTTTAGAAAGCATGAAGAAGAGAGACAAAAGAAAAGAAGATCTGATGGATGACGACTTTTTCAACCTCACCCCTCCCTTTCTCCTTTGTCGCTTTAGATGCTCATTCAAACACATTGAATTCTCTCATTCTGACAACACAGCTGCGTTTTATCTTCTTTGTTTGTTCTATGCGGCGGCATTAAAGCGTTATCATGTCGAGAATTTCCCGCAGTTGACTACTTTTCGAGTTGTCATCATCCATTATCTATAAAAGTTTAATGCACTGGCGCAAGTATGTCCCATTATTGCTGTAAAGAGATACTAGCGTACGTGGTCGTTTGAAATTCTTTTTGTTTGGTTGCACGTTAGATACGAATCATTGGTAAAAGTTATGTCTCGGCGAAGCGAAGATTCATTAATAGTGCTCGCTAATAGAAGTAGTCTGCGTTGTCTTTTTATAGGGCTGTATGAGGCTTAAGTAAATCTTCTCGGATATAACGCCCACGCAATAATTATCCGAAGCAATTAAAAGTGATGATCAAGAATGTATGATATTATTGCTGCGCATCAACATTCACATGGATTTTGAAGTTGTGTCATTTTGTCAGTAAACCGTCTTCCCATGCCAAGAGACATCGAAGGGGCTTCAGTGCAATATATGTCCAATACCGGACTTGAGTTACATGTAAACGACCTTGCGAGCTCTTATTATGTTCTTCCAGAGATGCACAAGTACCTAAACTCTTTCATCAATTTTACTGCTAGCCTAACAGCCATCGGTTTTAGCCAGAATGTACTCATTAAGGCTAATCTGGCGCGAAATTATGCTTGTACATGCAAGAGACGTGTGCTATCATTTATGCATGTAAATTTATGGCTTGATCTACAACAAATATGATGGAATTGCATACTTTATTATTATGATGGTGATGATTACTATTTACAACGTCTTGACCTTGCCACGGAAATCCTCCAAGGACTTATAGCCCTTGGCCTCCATGATTTCAGTAAGCTCCTTCTTGACACGAGCAAAGAAAGAGGGACCCTCTTCCTGGAGTTGGGTACCGATCTGGACAGCACTTGCACCAGCGAGAACATGCAAGAAAGCTTCCTTGCCGGAGGTGACACCGCCAACACCAATGACCTTCTTGCCACCCTTGAGACGACGATGGAAAGCATTGACGTTTGCAAGAGCAGTGTTGAGGATCATTGCGCCACCCAGACCGCCAAAGCCATCCTTGGGCTTAATGATAGCTGTCTCAGTCTCAAAATCAATGGCCAAACCATTACCGACCGAGTTGACGCAAGTGACAAAGGCCAGGTTGTCGACCTTATTGACGATAGCGGCGACGGCATCAAAGTGGGCAATGTCAAAGTAAGGAGGCAACTTGATGCCAAAAGGTTTCTTGATGATGGGAGCAAGGGTCTGCAGAGCATTTTCCATGGCTTCCATGTCATAACCCAGCTGAGGCTTTCCAGGCACGTTGGGGCAGGAAAAGTTGACTTCCAAGACACAGGGCAGGTCAGCAGCAGCAAACTTCTCGACCATCTTGACGTTGTCTTGCAAGCTCAGGCCGGAAAGAGACACAAACAAGGGCTTGGGGTTGGTATAATCGTATTTTTTGGCATATTCAAGGTAGTATTCGTAGCCCTCGTTGGGCAAGCCCATCGAGTTGATACTGCCAGAAGGCAAAGGGCAGTAGCGAGGGCTTGGGTTGCCTTCACGGACTTCAAAGGTGGACGATTTCGTAATGAGCGAGCCGGATTCACTGTCCAGTAATTCCTTCAAATCAGATTCGTATTGGCATTTGACACCCGATGCATTGAAAAAGAGGTTGGGGAGCTGGACGCCAGCAATGGAGGTAGACAGATCAACCATTTTATGTGTGGTATAAAGGTAAGAAATTATTTTTTTTTTTTTGCGAAACCACGAACTAGGTTTTTTTTTTTTTTTGACAAGTCCCCGACGACCGGCCGGAGCCTCGGTCCCCCACCATCAGATCGTCGATATCAATCACTAAACAATAAACATTGGTACGACAGATACAGGTAAGGATGCAAATCTATCTTTTACTCATATAGTCTTCTCGACTACATATAAGAAGTCGATCATCTCCCTTTTGTCAACGAGTTTGCCAATTATAAAAATATGACAGGTTTTCTCCTAATGTTGGTTAAACCTTTTACCGAAAGCGGGGAAATTCAATCCAAATCTGTCAAAAAAGTTGAAAGGAGAAAGCAGATCCAGTCTCAGCAAATTTAAGGAAAAATAGACTTTAGATACAGGCAGGCTGATCAAAGCCTACGCAACTATATGTATTATGTATATGTATTTTTGTAATCTTCATCCGCCTTTACTATGCAGGGCAGCAGAAAGGGGGTAGGAAACAAAACTTGAACCCGCCTCTCCTTTTTTCGAAAAATAGTAGTTAGGACTATGCTGGGAGGGTAATTTGTTATTAAAATAGAGAGAGACAGAGAGAGGAAGATATTTAAAAGAATATGTAGACTAATAGTAATAATAATAATGTAATACTAATTATAGTAAAGAAATACGAGTTATCGTACGAATATAATAAGTTATTAAAGGAAAAATCAAATAGTAAGTAGAAGAAGGTAAAACTCTCTTGGTTACAGAAGAATTTTAGCGATTGCCTCCTCGAGGAGATTGTTGAAGCCACATTGAATCGTTGGAGTTCTGACGTCGAATATTATTACTATTGCCCTTGCTATCATCGCTCGTCGCGGTAATCTGGGAAGCATTCCAATCAGCTTGATCGTCGGAAAGATTTACCGATACATGGGGTGCTGCTGTTGTTGGTGATGGAGGAAACTGGGTTACTGCTTGTTGCTGTGCAGTTGGTGGATCGACCTCCTTTGCAGCCATGTCCTTGCGACGTGTAGAGAACCGATGGGATACCAGGGTTGTCGTCGACGGAGTAGATGAAGGGCTTAGTGGGTGCTGTTGTTCGCCGCCGATACCGCCTGCGTTATCAGAAGTGGGTGGGGGCGGCAATGGTCCGCGCTGATACCCGCTGTTATGGTTGGTGTTAGTAATATTATTATTGCCGTTGTAATGAGTTGGAACGGTAATCACGGATTCAGTATAGTGCAAATAATCGCTCGATGCTTGAGAAGGCTGGACCATCAAGGCCGTCGGCGTGGGCGCTCCAGGGAATCCGTCAAGTGGTTTGGCAGAGGACAAAAAGTCGTGTGCAGGCTGTTGCATGCTTGAGCCACCACCGTTTGCAAGTGGCTTGGGATGGAAAATGAGTATCACAATAAACCACACGATCATGGACGTAACATTAACTAGCAGAAAATAAAAACAAGTTGTGTTCGTATCTTAGTGATGTTGTCTTTTTCCAAGATATCAAGGAGGGTTGTAGAGTGCAGAGAGGAGAAGAAGGAAAAGGAAGTATAGTGGTGCTACTTACTGTTACAGATCATGAAATCAGCAGTGAATTTATGCGCATTCAAATATTTGCGACCTGTCAAACCATCAGCACTAAGGATGATGAAGGACAAGGCGCAATCTATAAGGATGATGGCAAGCATCAAGTTAAGTTCCTGTATGTATACGCGTTGAGGGGTCGGGTCAGATTATTTATATCACAGACGATACACTGGCTTTCTCTTCCTCTCCCTCTCTCCTTCTCTTGAAACAGCACAAAAGCAGCTTTTGGTAGGTTAATGTATTCATTTTAAGGAGGTGAACTTTGTTTACCTGGAAATAACGAATCTTGTGCGTAATCGATCGCGCATTGTTAGATTCACGCGAGTTGTTCAACACCTTTTGGAAACGGAAATGGGAGATAAAGCCGAGAATGGCAATGATAAATAGCTCTGGAGAGAGAAAAATTAAAGTGTTAATTTCAGTCTGCTTTTCACTATTCTTCTGTAATAGGTTGAGGCTTTCAAAGGAGAAGAGAACGGGAAGAGAACTTACCGATACCATAAATGAGTTCGGGCATGATTTCCTTATATGTGGGATCATATACATCTCGGGAAAAGTTATACTGAATCACAGGGAACATGATGATACTGATGCACGACCTAAAAAAATAGTTTTCATTCATATTTTCGACAATGGATATTGTATTTAGCTTTCTTTTCGTGTTTCTTTGTTTGCTTGCTTGCTGCAGCTGCATGATAATGATGATGCGGACTTGTACGTACCAGACAATGTAGAACAAAAACTCGCGACTACTCATGAAGCTTGCTTTTGCGACGGAGTTGGCGAGGTAGTTCCAGAAGCACTGCAGGAGTAAGAGAGTGCCACTAAACATCGGATAGAAATATTAGCCGCCGCCTTCGCCGTCGTCGTTGCTTATACTATACTTACGTTTGCAATGAAAACCCGACACACAAACTGTAGTCTATTTGTAAAGATAAGCGAATAAATGTGTTAAACAACAACATTTTTTAAACATGGGACGAGGATCATTTCTTTTTGTTTTACCTGTAGGAATCACAAGGCCTTGGTCAGCCTTAGTCCACATCGATTCAGGTTTGACAAAGACGTGGCCAAAGATGTTGGCAAAGCCTTCTTCGTATTTTATTTTGCATGACGTTACATCTGGAAATACCAGATCTTCGTTAGCCATCATCTATATCATTTTGCCTCCTCAGATCAAAACAGATATAGATGTATTACCATACATAAGCTGAAACGGTATCATGAATAATATTAACAGTGTTACGATACTCTTCAGCTCGCCTTGGCGAAAGCGGTTTGGATGCAAGCATTGGAAACGATCTAGCGTCCAGATACGATACATGAACCAAAAGTAGAGGTATGACAAGGACACCGCTCGTTCTATTATATTATTATTATCAGATAAGTTATATTTCTTTCAGTAAAGAAAGAATCCGGATCTAATGCAATTTTGCTGTTGATAATGTTGCTGTCATGGTTTGTCGTCGGTTTTCGTGACTTTTGACGTTGCTGTTACATGCACGCAATATTGAGAAAAACAAACTTACGCAAGAAACTGTAGTCGCTCAAGTGCGTCATGATTAGTGAGAATTCAGTAGAAGTATTAGAAAGATAAAGTGGACAAAAGAAAGAAAAGAGAAAAAAAAGTGGTCGAACGCTTTCCAAAGTAGAGATATATATGTTCTTTGCCGAAAGAGAGGGGCGGTATATATCCGCGGAGAACGGAGACGAGGAGGTGGGTTTTATCAAAGCGAGGAAACGCTGCTATCGAGATGATAATAGACACAAGAGATTCATAGAGCTCTCATCTTGTCTTCACCTCCGTGGAGGAGCAAAAGAAGAAAGGGACCTGGGTCACTTGCTTCTGCTGCGGTTGGTGCTTCTGCTTCTACTATCACTACTACTATTACTACTACTAATAGCTCGGAGGCTCAGGGAAGATAGGGTAACGGAACGATAGTACCTGATATAATGAGAAGCCTTTTTATTATCATAGTAGGGAGCAAACTAAAGCGAGCGCTTAGATCTGTTATGTGTGTGCGTGTGTGCGTGTGTGCGTGTGCTTTGATGCATGCTATATAGACAATGTAGATGATGAATGAGATTTGCTTATTGCCCGTGTAATGATAAGTATGTGTGTATCTTTTGCGTAGAAAGGGGGTTAACGTTTAATCTGTCTTTTTCCTTTTTCTTCCTATCATTGATCACATAGTGAATGTCCCCTTTCCTCTCTGTCCTGTTCTTCTTCCTCCTCCACCTCCCATCTCCCCTCTTTCTCTCTTTCTCTCTTTCTTCCTAGTTGTTAGTATATCTACTGAATCGGGGGCCTGCGTTTTTGGAGATACCTCGTGTCGATCCACTTGTCATTGTGCTTATTTCAAACCAGGGTTGTCCGAAGGTTAAGAGATACTAACAATTTATGCTTGACGCTGGGGGCAGTAATGGTGCATGCTACTGCTACCCAGCCTCATCGTGGATAATTATATTGGCAACAAGCAACGAGTGAGAGAGAACAACAGGTGCGTCTACCCCTTCCTTCCATCAGAGTATACGGCCCTATTACTGAACTATTATCCGCGCTCATTCGTTCCATGGAAACAACATCAATAAGGTGCCGTGCAACGCTACGGGATATACGCACACACAGCGACACGGGTTATTGTTTAGTAAAGTGAAGTTTGCTATTGTTAGCTTGAAAAAATCAATTTTAGGAATTAAATGGCACGTCAAGAAAAGATATAAAAGATGGCGCGCGCGTAATAAGAAGATCATGCAAAGTACATCAAAGAACTACAGTACTGACATGCGCGCACGGTTGGATCGACACATTAAAGATAACATAGCACATGAGACACGCACACGCACACACACGCACGCACACGCACACATACAAAAATACTTGATGCGTTCCTGGCCTTACTAAGACGAGGCACAAAGGATCGAGGGGTGGGAGGGGAGGGGAAGTGTTGGCTTGGTTACATACACACACTCTCTCATTTTACCGTCCGCCGCTTATGCTTTAATAATCAAAAATGTCTGTGTGAAAAGAACACTTATATAAGGTCGTGCTAGTGCGATCTATAACTTTTTCCCCCTCTTGTCATTTTCTTTCTTCACGTAAAAAGACATAGGACAATGAAAATTGAAGATCTTGGTCAAGCGACTTCCGGCATTCGAAAAGGGTGCGTAGTAGCATTAGTTTTATAGGAGAGAGGAGTACGTTGTTACCTCCCCATATGGGTTAAGCATACATAACACGCACGCACCTACTCCTTATTTTTTCCCCGCGCTACATAGTTACCTGCTTTTCGCAAGGTTCAGATTGGAGAGTTCAGATGAGTACTCCTTATTAATCGTTTACCCTATTGTTGTTGTTGTTATCATTACTGTTATAGTCATGAGCTGAATGCAGCAGCATTGGAAGACTTTTTGGTCAAGCACGTCCCAGGCTTCGTCCGCCCGCTGGAAATAAGCCAATTCAAGCTGGGCCAATCAAACCCGACTTATATGCTTCGAGACGGCAGGTGAGTGTTAATTGTTGAAACTAAATTTATATGACATTCACACACACACACATAGCAAGCAGCAATATGTCATGCGTAAAAAGCCGCCAGGACAGCTCTTGTCAAAGACGGCCCATGCAGTGGAGCGTGAATTCCGGGTCTTGGACGCACTGGGCAGGTCTTCCGATGTGCCTGTTCCAAAGGTCTACGCCCTTTGCGAGGATAATTCGGTGCTAGGAACTCCATTTTATGTAAGGTTTCCTTCTCGCTCTCTTTCTATTATATTACTCCCTATCTGTATATATTTTCCCCTCTTGTTGATGCAAATGCCTCTATCAAAGAAACTAAATCTATTTTCTAGGTCATGGAGTTCCTAGAGGGCCGTATCTTTTCTGATGTGCGCTTACTTTCAATGCCTTATGAAGAACGCAAGAAGTGGTAACGTTGTCATTCTCCATTTGTCATATCTAATGATCATAATACGTGAAGGGTGATGTTGATTTTCTAACAAATTATAAAAATAAAACAGCTGGTATTCTGCCGTACGAACACTTGCCCAATTGCACAAGGTGGACTATGCAAAAGTCGGTCTGAAAGGATACGGAAAAGATGCAGGGTTTTACGACAGACAGATGAACTCATTTGCCAAGATATCAAAGACTCAGGGTGCAGTCAAGGACGAGGATACCGGAGAGCTGGTGGGCGATATCCCCAAAATCGACGAATTGTTCGCGTGGTTCAAGCGCAATCAGGTTACCGACCAAGCTACAATTGTCCATGGCGATTTTAAAGTATGTACTGCACATAATTTTTCTTTTTCATGGATGCAAGTTATGCTTGGATTTGCTGCATGCATGCATGAATTTTAACGCATCTATCTTTTTGTCTCGGGCAGATTGACAATATGGTAAGAAGAATACGAACATGCCTCTCTCTCTCTCTCATAATCCTGCGGTTATAACTTCTACATGCCTATTTTCTTCCAATCAAGAGAGGACTCGTGACTTTATATTCATCACAGTGTACTCACTAACACTATTTCAGATCTTCCACCCTACAGAACCACGTGTGATTGGTGTCTTGGACTGGGAGTTATCGACCATTGGCCATCCACTGTCTGATCTAGCCAATCTGTTATTTCCTTTCTATCTTCCTTCGGATCTGCCAAATATTGCTGGTTTTAAAGGAGCCAAAGACCTACCCATTCCAGGAGCCGATGAGCTCATGCAGGTATATTGTACGACAGTCGGGAGACCTTATCCGATTGACCGCTGGATGTTCTGTATTGCCTTTTCTGCGTTTAGGGTGAGTTTTTCTTCTTCTTCTTCTCCTTCCCTTTCAGCGCTTGGTTGTTTTACAAGTTATTGTAAGTTATAGATATGTGCAATACTAAAGAGTCATCTATCTATCTACAGTTGGCTGTGATTTTCCAAGGCATTGCAGCTCGTGCAGCACGTAAGCAAGCATCATCTGCACAAGCTAAAACGAACGGTGAGCGGCGCCATCCAATGACTAAAATTGCCCTCGAATACCTGGAACTAGGTGATCTCCCCCGACTTTCCGGTAGTAAGCTGTAGTAGTAGCAGTATTAATGTCACTTGTACTTTGATTGAACGATTAATAATAATGAAAACCTACCTTGTAATTGTATAAAACTCTGGTCTATGTATTAAGAAGAAAAAAGCCCACAAAGGATGAAACAAACCACTGCATAATACACATCTGTATTTATTATTTCACGCGCGCACTTTTTCCTTTGAGGAAAAGAAAGGGCATCTGACCTGAACGGTTGCTTTTTTTACTGCTGTCACGCGGGACGCGATGTGTTGTGGTGATAGGAGTGAACCAACGACCAAGACACATATACACATATGCGCACAAGAGAGAAAATTGTCAATGCGCGTGATTCGCACGGTTCGTCAACGATTATGTACACACATGAAACGGTTTTGATAATTGTTATAAATGAGCTGTGACGATTGAACCAGAACTCTGGTTATACAATATGCGCATTCCGGGAGACTGGTCATAGCCTGTGGTACCTTCAACTTGGTCTGGGAGTGGGGGCAGGATAGGCGATCATTCCAACCAAAAAGAGAGAGAGAGCGTTTCAGGATCTTTGCCATGCGCCACCTTGTTATTTTTCCTACTTGGATTTCCCCACTTGGATTATACTTCTATTGGACATACCAGCTATCATGCCCTCCATTGAGTGATGTATAATTGCCCTAGAGCATGTATTGTTGTTGTTGCTGTTGTTGTCATGGAGAAGCCAAAGATAGATAGGCTCTAGCATTGTGTTTCCCATGGTGACTGGATTGTTTATTAACCATGGAAACACCTCTCCCATCTCCTCCAGAATGTACATACTCTTTTTGCCATGAACTCGCTGTTCCTTCCCGCTCGTGTGTGTGTGTGTGTGTGCACAGTCGCGATCATTGTGTCTGCGTGATACAGTTCGGGTTACATCAATACCACCCACCCGCTTTTTGCTCCACACTTTTCTCAAGAATTTGGCGATCGATCATGTCTCGCAGCAGCAACCGCACTTTTTTTTGTGAATCTTAACGAAACGAGAGACCTTGATAGGGTAAGAGGAGCCTCCCCCTTTCCTACCTCCCTTTGTTTGCACGCAAGATGAAAGATGAAGCAGCAGCGGGCAGGCTGTTTATTATTATTTATTGCTTCGGAGTATGCCATGTCTATGCGCTCATCATGTGTTTTTCGCCATCCAGCATTTGACAGGCTGCATGCAGGCCCGCATCGTTTATTATTATTATTGTTATTATTATTATTAATGCTCCCTCTCTGCTGCTTGCTGTCCATCTCGTCAGATTAAATATATTTGTGTGAGAAACGCACTTGTTTAAAAATGGCCAAAGATGAGTGGAGAGAGCTCGTTTCGTGACTCCGCCGATCCCATATATATCCCGGTTATGCGTTTATGCATGATCTTTTCCTCATTTCTCTCTTTCTTTCTCTCTCTTAACTTTTTCTCTGCGTATCATTATATATATTGTATAAATATATATTTCGCAACAACAGCATATATACTTGTATTGTTATACAGCATCACATTGTTCAGAATATTACAGCAGAATGGATATTGCCGAGTTGATTCATACAGAAACCTCGAGCAATGGCAGCAGCAATCGAAACCCGAAACGACATCACTGTACCTGGCCAGGGTGTGGCAAATCTTTCAGTAAGCACGCATAGCATCATCACCATCATCAGGATCACCCTTGCTATTATCATGATAATCTTTGCGATACCAGTCTGCCATTTTCATTGACCACAAATCATCTGCTTATTTATTCAGGCCGACCCTCTGACACTGCACGGCATTACCGCATCCATACAAACGACAGGTAGAATCAGAGAAAGAGTGGGGAGGAGGAGTAGGGTGTGTGTGTGTGTGTGTGTGTGTGTGTGTGTATGCGGGCGTGTGCATGTGATATTCCAAGATTCTCAAACAAAACAACTAACACTGATGATGACAGACCGTTTCGATGTGACATTCCATGGTGCGGGAAGCGTTTTATTCAGGTACGTTAGCCTAACAGTGTGTTTGGCAACACACACACGGAGACGACCGATATTTTTCTTTTTTGTCAATTGTTTGTCGGTATATACACACACACAAAATAACAAACCCCGCTTCCACCCTTCCTCATCCTAGCGATCGGCTTTAACTGTTCACCTACGCACGCATTCGGGAGAACGGCCTCATACGTGCGAAGTTGACGGCTGTGGTAAAAGTTTCAGCGACAGCAGTTCTCTAGCTCGTCATAGGTAGTGTACAAAGCAACAACAACAACAAACAAATAATCGATCTGTTAGTTTATATCGTGACAACAAAAATCCTGTTTGGCTTTTAGCGTATTCCAACACTAACTAACTGATTGATTGTAATATCACGAATCATTCCATTTAACTTGCAATGAATGATTACTAGACGCATACATACTGGCAACCGTCCCTACCGATGTCAAGCCCCCGATTGCTCGAAAAGGTATGTGTTGTATTTGGAGTTTTCTTGTGACACACGCCTCTTTTACTCCTCTCTCTATGTTTGTGTGTGTATGTGTGTGTCTCTCTCTCTGTTATATTTCATCCGCCTCCGCCTCCGTCTCCCTCTGTACTGGGCGCACTCGCTTCCTCAAATAACGTGTTGTCGTCATTTGTTTAGTTATACCAAAAAAATGTTTCTTATCCGACACGAGCAGAAATGCCATGGGCGTCCGCAGCCAAGAGGTGCCCCGCCATCGTTATCATCGTCGTCCTCTTTACCATCCTCACCATCACCTCCAGTCTTGTCACCGCTGACGCCAACCACAACGCCAACAACATTGCTACCTCCACCATTACTGGTAACAGCAGCAGCAGTTCCAGCGCCATGTTGTTATCCGTCAGCACCACCTCCTTTGACCAGGAGTTTGTCATCTATCTTCAATGAAAGCTCAGCATCACTCTTTGCCACCATGTGATAAAACACTTGTCTTTCTCCATAACATTTATAAGCTATCCCTCAACTCCAGCCCCACACTCTCAGACACAGACACACATCTAGCCCACTCTTCAGGATTGTTATATATATATATGTATGTTATTTAGTATTTTTCTCTTTGTTTCATCGGCTCTTTTCTCTTATATACACTTTTACTGTAGCAAACCCCACTCGTCACAACAACACTTCATATTGCACTACTAGTACCATAACCACTTCTACTCCCCCAAAGCAGCATTTTGTTCAACTAGTTCTCTTTACACACACACACACTCTCTCTCTCTCTTTTTTTTAGTATGTAGTCTTCTTTTCTTAAAACCTTGTATATGTTATTATTATGAAAATAATATAGTTCACCGCCATCATAGCTATGACGTCATGCACAACCAGGAAATATCATTATCTTGAGGCACATTACTTTCTTGTGGAATGCAACGTGGTCCTCCTCGTCTACTATTTTGTAAGCTCCTCCACCGCCAAAAATGATAATCTCATTTGTTTCACACTCCTAGTGCACAAATAGTCCATTAATCAGTTTTGCCGCTTCTCCGGTCCGAACCTCTGGATTGTGCCACGCTCATGTGCGTATGTGTGGGAGACATTCATACAGATGAACGTTTGATGGAACCGTATCAAGTACTAGTTACCTATCACCAAAGTTCAAGGTGTCAGCATCATTGCCTGCTTGTTCTTCTTTTTTCCCTCTCCAAGCAGATGAGAGAGGTTTACTGTTAATCTGCAATGATGCATATAGAGCTCTGTTATTTTTATAATTGCGAGAGCGGCATGGAAATTCAGCTAATTGCCAAGGTTTTACCGTACATTTAAATGCATTTGACACAGTTATTAGTGTCTTAATCCAGGTTATCCCTAGCATGATAGTAAGGTAATTGTACTTCTTTGCATGACTCACCCTGCGGCTGCAGCTGCTTCAGCCGATTGTGGTTATGTTAAAGTGTCATCGGAATTGAATGTAAGGCTGACGTTGTTCTATTCACTCGAATGTTGCGGTTAATGGTTTTGTTATGTATCAGTATTATTCATTTTTTTCTGTTTTTTTAATCCAGTAAAAGTACTTTGAATGCGTTGTCGCAGACGAAGTAGGTCCATTATTGGATCAGCAACAACAACGGATGAGAAGGGGGGAAAGGGAGAGACGTGATTATGAACTCTTAGATAGCATAGTATTACACACTAATAACACGGGTACTGATACGTTTACACAGCAAAAACGCACAACTCTCCCTGTCTCCTTTTTAACTTACGTACTACGTTTGACGGCATAAATAATGAATTCCAGAACTCAGGTTCTGTGCTATCATCAGAAAAGGAACGAAGCGTTTTGAGATGTGTTACACACACACTATGTGACCATGTATCCGTTAAAGAAAGATATCGTTGTGGGTGTGTCTTTTTTAATCCTTTTGTTCGCTCGATAGTAAATGCATGCAATATGTATATAATGTACAATAGTGGAAAAAGAATGGTAAAGTGAATAATAGACACATACTTGGTCAGACACACTGTCAGTACCACCTAGCACTCCTTGAGATCAAATTGCTATCATGAACATAACAACGAGAATACAATGCAAACATGCATTTCTTCTGGAACATCACGAGTTACTACAGCGTATTACTAGCTATTCCGAGATTGTTAATATGTAGTAAGTTCAAGCTGTTCATGTAAATGATGAACTTCACGTCACAGTAGACTAGTAGGTCCATAACGAATATGAAACAAAACTGCGCTGATCATGATGATGATGGTGGTGTGGTTGCTCCCCACAATGGAACTTTAATATACCGGGATAGCAGTAACAACATGTTGTGCTACGATCATTTTCTATTACACTATCATCGACATATCAACCGCGGGGTCGTTGACATATATATTCATGATACGTAGCACTTGGGCGCAAGGAAAGTTCTTTTCCCGAAACAGGCAGGAGAATCATTGCTTTCCATTTCAAGGTTCTACGCGCACGCACTCTTCTTCCTCGGCTTCAATTGATGTATTGGCATTTACGCGCGTAAAAGCAGAAGCAAACTCTAAAAATTAAAAGCAACATAAAGCCTCTATTTGTTGCCACCTTTTTAAGAACACCATCGTATTACGTACGGCATTATTTATTTTGAATCCAGGAATGTATGCATGTATTATGCATAACGAACAAACGTCGTTTTCATAAACACTTTGAGAATATGCAAGTAATAATAGCACGATAGTATATACTTTGAATTGTAAAGAAAGAATGAAGTGATGACCAGCTTTCTATTTGAGATGTCAAAGAGAAGTTGGATGATTATATGCTATATAAGCAAAAGCGGCACACTTTCTGAGAGAGCAGGGTAACAAAAGTACAGCGGCTGGCGTTATTAGAGCTGGGGTAAATATACCATGTCATTTTAAGAGGTAATTCCATCTGGCAACTAGGGCGCAGCGATAAATAGAAGTTCCGGAAAATCCAAAAAACGTGTAGTTGCTCATGCTATTCAAGAAAGTATATATATCTAACATTTGGTATGCAATACGTGATAGCAATTACGTGAATACTAGAAACATAATATAATCGACGTAAAGCGATTAACGTCATATGAATATATGATCAATATACGAACACTGTGCTTATGATGCTGGTGTAAATGGTATGGTGTGCTTGAACCCGCCTTACAATAGGATGTTGGTGACAGCTCACACCAAGAACCCAAAAAATGTATCGTGTTGAGGCTGAATTCATGTAATCTACAGCAAAGAAATACTTCTTCTCATGCTTTCCAATTTTGGCCGCTAACCCCGAACAATGCCATGCGTCTTTCAGCACTTGAACTTTCTCAAGGGAGATACCATAGCAGCTACCACTGTTTTAACTGAAAGTAGAGGTAGTAGCAGTAGGTAGAGATAGATTTCTTTTTCTTTGCTCTTCACCTTATACACCCGTTTCATCACACAAAAGGCCCGCGTCAAAGTGGAACCCGTACCACGTTGAGAGAGGATGATGTTGTCTCGAATTGTCCTATCATCAGTTGGACATGTCGACGTTCTTCCCTCGCACACGCACACACGCACACACCAATTACACAAATTAAAATGCATGATTTGTGTATCTTTCGTTACATGCGACAACAACAACAGCAAGATGATAACGTTACCTTGGTTCGATTTCTTAGGTTGTCGAGAAAGCAAAGCAAAAAGCGCGCAGGCTTGTTTGATTGTTATGAGAAGACATGTGTGTGCTTCTCAATGCTATAAAAAGTTTCTGTTCTGCTGACCTTGTCTGTTCTCATTACAATAATGTGGAGGCAAATAAAAACTGACTGTAGTTCTCCTACAAAAAAAAATTCTCATTACAATAAAAGAAATTGTGTGGCTAGAAAAAAGAGAACGCCCGACCTGTTAGTTTATAATCCTATTTTCATGTTATAAACTTTTCTTGTGTATGCGTCTTACGCCAAGCGCGCCGTCGTTGTTGATAAAATGTCATCTTGTATTCTCTTGTTAGGCAGTATTGGGTGACGTATATGCATAGTAGCTGCGCCAAGTGCATCATTGGTAAAGATGTGCATAACACAAGCGATAGACGAGATAAGTACATATAGCTCTTTGTTTTTTTGTTTTTTGGGCAAAATCATGCGCTCACAAACAGGCAGTCATCTTGATCACCCTATATTGCGGGCAGAGTATGTAGCACCATCGCCATGGATCGCACGAATTCATTATAATATTGTTTTTTACTAAAACAAGAAAATGTTGAAACCCAGTTGGATGCACGAATGAGAGGTTTCTTGCATTACTAGTTGTTTTAGCTTTCGTAGCATAGTACTGTATCGAAGAGGGGAACAACTTGTGTGTTCTCTCTTGCTGTGGTCGTAGTACAGATACTTTGTAATGATATGGCGTTTTTAATAACAAACATTGGTGTGAACAGTGCATTCACACGATATTGAGATTGCTATAGTCATATACAAGAAAGGATGACGCTAGTGACGAGCAGGTTTTATTTATGGAATGTGTGGGGTAAGTTGCGTGGGAATCATGATGGGTATGCATCCTAACTTCCCCTCCTAGAACCACCACTAGCACATCGAATATGTAGATGAATATATATATATATATATAGAGAGAGCGAGAGAGAGAGAGAGAGTAGTATTTATAACGAGAGCAAAAGACAGAGTTCAGTCGCCAGGATGAGCAGGCCATTGTTTGCCTTGATGGCGAGTGGTTCTTTTTTTGTCCGTTGCATTAGACAATCAAGCACCTACTGGTTCCCTCTATGTGGGCACATCCTATTTGTAAAAGTTCACTTATCATGAATCGCTGCATACTGATAGTAAATAACAGTAATGAAGCTACCATTAGAGATACACATACATGGAGTAATGTCCTTTTTGACCGCAGTGAATGCATCGAACGTCAGTAGTAAGCATTGTACAATGGTTGTTTGATACGTGAGAAGAAGAAGAAGAAGCACAAAGTTAAAAAAGAGATACAGGAGTGGGGATGATGGTGGCCTTTATATATTATTTTTGTTTGTAAACGAACAGAAAAAAAAGAATGTTCGATCGAAACGGCGCGCATGCATGCGTGTGCTTGTGTTTGATGTGGGGCGGTGGGGGTGAAATTAGTATCGCATGATGCTCGAGAAACATTTATCCGTTGCTGGTGGCCCGCCGCGGAAGGCGATCTCTCGATCGAAGACCACATGGCAGCTCTTGTATTACCTTCTCTGTGAGAGAGAGAGAGAGAGAAAGAGAGAGAATGATACCATTTTCTTGTGTATCCTCCTCCTCCCTCCCTCACCCCCACACCTGAGGTTGTGCAGTACTAGTCAATAGCACAATTGTCTTTTTCTTCTATGACGTTTTTTATTTTCAATTCGTGGGAGCGCACGGCCATTCGAATTAAAATGGAATACCACTTTTTGTTGCTTTTTCATCTCATATCTACATCCAGTTTATCTGCTGTTGCCATCATCTTTAACTCCTTTGCGCATTGAGAAGAAATGATAAGTAAGCGGGTTAGCTTATCTTAACGAGACGCTCTTGTCATGTGCTTTTCTTCTAATTAACAAAACCCAGAACTGGAATCGCGATAACATTCTTGCTTGACCCATGATTTGCTGTGTTGTTGTTGTCCGAGAAAGCACTAACTTTTATGGCTTGCCTGTTTTGGGGTTTATGATACGTGTGTCGTTCGTCATCATCTCTCATCTATCATCTTGAACAGAGCGAGCCGGCTGCTGCTCTGTTGAGTCGTTCCCCATGGATGCATAAAACCTACGACCCTATTCTGTCTTTTTTGAGAACATCTCTTTTAAGATCATTGTTATGCTACAATGTACGTGGGACTTCATCTACTTTTTTTGCGATTTATATATGACTTACTACATAAACCATGGTACCACGTGCTGAGACAACAATCATCGACGGATGGAAATGCAGAAATGAACAAGTCTTGCTTAATAGATAGAACAGTGAGCCACATGACTACGTATATTTGATATCTCTTTCTCCGTATCGTTAAAGTGTGTAAGTGCCAAGCGGATGGAATAAACGTCGTTACACCACCCCCCCCCCCACCCCTCACCGTACAACAATGGAAAAAGAGAGTGCTTTATGGCTCAGCGTTTTTGGATGCATCGCTTATGAATCATTTGCCGCTACTACTAGCTAAAGGGAAAAAGGAAAACACAATAGCGTGTGAGGCTAATGAAAACCCATCTTTCCTTAATTACAATTGCTCAAAACCACGCTATTCATTCACCCTCCTTTTCTATACTGTAACAAAAAGACCACATTTTATGGTTACAATGTTATGCTTGTACTAGGCAATAGTATACTGTTTTGTAAGGAAAATTTGGGTAATCAACAGCCAAGGGCATCCAATCCTATCCAGTAGCAGCGACGATCGTTGTTGTCGTCATTATCGTTGATATAAAAAAAGCATTTCGGCACCTTTGTTTGACGGACGATGATAAGCGATCATGAAAGCTTTGTTTTTTCTCTTCTTCAAAAAAAGGATAGGCCTCCCGGGTATTCGTTTTCAAAGTACTTGCAATTCTCTGGCGTGTGACTATCAATAATGCGATGGGTTGGACAAAACGCGTTGTAATGAAATGGCCCGATGACTTGAAACTTGACATGTTGGTCATAAGCAGCGACGTAGGCGAGACCCGACTCAAGATTTTGCTGTGGAATATAATAATCGCCATCCAAAATCACTACAACCGATCCTTTCCATCGAACCGCATCCTCTTCTTCAATCCTCTCCGGAAAAACTTCCAACACGCGAATAGGTTTGTTGTCGTGCTGCCAATACAGAAACAGTGACCCTATCGACTTGCGTACATTGTTTGCGCAGATAATGTCTTGGTCTTCTTTGTCCTCTCCATGCATAGGCAAACCCGAAAGTCGCATGATCATGTAAGCACCCGCCGCACTACGAGGAATAGCGGGAACGACTGTGGCTTCCTTATCACGCTCGATTTTTAGGCCGCGTTTGAGTGCTAGCATGTACGATCGTTCAGGTTGAATTAAAACTTCAAGAACAACCCAATTCTTTTCGTCATCAATGTCTTCTTCTTCTTTTGTTGGCTGACATTCAACAGTTGTTGTTGTTGTTTGTGGTGGTGAAGGCAACGACAGAGACGCGTAGTAATTCTCGGTCGACAGTGTACGGATGATCATGCTAGTTTCGCCACTGAAATTCCGTCGAAGCAATTGACACGCCTCCTTGTCACTGGTAACATGATTGTAAAACGTGTAAATTAGCACATTCTTACGATCCGAGATCCACCAAGGCCGAAACCGGTCATTGCGTGCAAACATGTAGTTCGTCAATGGAATGTCAACGGGTGCCATATTGTTTGAAGAGGTGAATACAAAACAACAAGTGTAAAAAAGTCCAATTTTGTGCGACAGTTCAGTCAGGTCCGAAATGATACACTTGAGAGTTTTGCATGATTAAAGAGAATATTGATAAATAGCGCAATATTGTTTGTTAAGCACTTTTTCCCCATTCTTTCTATATGCAGTGATGATCCAGGAGGTTAAGTTGGAAATCTCCTATCTGATTTAATAGCAGTAAAAAGAAGGTTTACTTCATTTCAATCTATCATACGTACTATTAAGGAAACTAACCCCGCAGCTCTTCATGACACTCGCAAGTGCTCTCTGGTGTTATACATGGCAACAAAAATCAATGTGTTGTCAAGGAAGGCGGTGTGCCTTGAATTGACCAAAATTAGTAGTCAGGAGTAACCACCCAATCAGAAATCACAGTGAAGGCCCTGGTGGTTGATGAGTGGGTGAGAGTGGAAAGTGTGGAAAAGAAGCACCGACAAAACCTACAACCTACCCACCTACCCTTGTTTTCTTTATATTGCTTCTACTCAGGGAACCTCACAAAAAAAAGGCCAAGGTTGTAAAAAAAGGTTGGAAGTAGACATTGAGCTGGAAAGCTGGGCCCAAACCAAATAAAAACGAGCATCACAGGCGATTCAATGGATGTCTACGCACTTACTCGAAAGAAGCGACCCACTCGTCTAACACTCGGCCAGCCGACTCGGTCATCAGCCCTTGAAACGTTGGAATCGCCGACGTTGACAGATCAGACTGGTTCTTCCCTGGAATCGAAACGTCAATCTTTAAACAGCATTTTGTCACTATCCGATACAGTGACAGGTCCGCCATCCAGAGACCATTGGAAGGTAACTTGATGTACTATAACAAAAAAGGAGAGAGAGAGAGAGACAGGTTGTTGTGAGGGGGGGTGTTTCTATTGCGCTCTCTTTCTCTGCGGGTGTGCTCAAGAAGTGTACATATGCCCTGACTATTGGATATATTTTTCCTGTAATACTAGCCGGACGCTGACGCTAGTCATTGTGCCTACATGGCATGTACAATATCATTTGGACTATTCGAACGAAGGCACCACTGTCGGAAATGCGGCGACATTTTCTGCTCTACCCATTGCTCTAATTACTTTCGACTGGACCAGTCTTCGCAATTCCACCGAAAAGGGATATTATCTCGAGGCTGTGATACTTGCGCAGCCGAATACCGGAGGTGGCAATCGGGACAACAACAGCAGCAGCAGCAGCAGCAGCAAAAGGATACCCCGCAGCTACAAGAAAACCAAGAAGGATCGGCAGGTCACGACGAATTCGACACCAAATTTAATTATAATAATCAGCATCAGCATCAGCATCATTATCAGCATCAGCATCATCACAACAACAACCATCATACGAGCAGTAGCCGTCGTCGTCGTGCCGGCATTATGACGCAGCAACCTCAAGCCATGGAAGGAATAACAGAGCTAGGCAGAGATGGTAATTTGGAAACAATTAAAGGGGGAGGAGGATGCTTTGTTTAGGGACAAGAATTTTGGTTTTCTCAAGTCGCTACTTGCATAATTAGATATTGTTCAGCCTGTGGAGCATCATCCAAAAGGAATTACCATCAGAAGTAATCCTGAAGGTAATAAGCATAGAAAAGTCACGAAACCCGGGGTCAAAGGAGGAGGATCCAAGGGGGGTGGTTTGAGGTTTCTTATCGGATTGTTGACCATCATCAAATGCTTTTAATAGTTGTTTTCAACCCTATCCCATCTGTTCCAGCCGATTGGCAATGGTCAACATTTTAGACACTTCTGCCTCCGTTTCGCACTTTTTGCACCTTACAATTCTCACTATATTTTATACACACACACACACAACACGCACCTGCATATTCTATATTAACTATTTGTTACCATTTTTCATTTCTTTTATTCTAACTTTGATATATTAAAAACTCTGAATCATTTCTTCTCGTTTTACCAACTGGATATATGCTCTTTCGCTGTTTGTTCGGGCTGCATTTCCGTTCATAGATGGCGCCAAAATGGTAAGCATTTGCTCTTCCCCGCCGAGCAACGATCAATTACAGACTACATGAGCCCTTTATTCATTAACACGAACTATCCGCAGCATTTATCCTGTTTGTACAAAAGGTGGTTTCTTAGGTACGAAGCTACGATAAGAGCACCATTGTGCTGTCGTCCAACCCTTGGATTAGACCACCATACTATTACGGATACTGCTGAAGTCGTCGCATTGTCAGATATCCAAGGCGACCTCGAGAAGGACGCACAAATTGCAACCACGCACATGTCACTGAATAGCACGCAACACAATGGTTACGACTTTATTAACATCTTACCACAACCCTATCTCGTATATCTTTAGCTGATCTTGCCAAAATCTATACAGCGCATCCCATATCTCACTGACACCAGGACAAGCTTGCTCCTTTTCCTCCTGTCATTAATTCTTCCAACTTCTGGTATGAGCAGCAACGTGAAATCTTCTTCGAACAAAATTGTCTCCACACGATGCAGGCTCACAAAAGGCATATCAAACTTTTAATGTATCGTGGTCGAGTTCTCTAATGATACGGAGGGGGGAAGAGAGCGGGATTCACCGAGACTACAGCGGAGTAACCTATCTACGATACTGCTGAGACACAAATTAGTTCTTTATTGTTCATGAGTTATCTTTGGTGTACTTTGCCTAGACAAATGCAGGATGTATGTCTGTCGAGGGTCTTCTTCTCTAAGTCCAGCTGTTACACTTTCCACGTGGTGTATGCACACTGCGCTGCCACAATGTTAAAAGCACTATTCAGAATGTGTACTATCCGGTACTTCTAAACGCCACCAACACCCACCATAAACCGTCTTACTGTCACGTATAACCTACTATCATATCTACTAGCGTATTAATTAATCAGAAAATACCGTCAAGAGCGTGTGAGTAACCTTATCATTGGTTTCACTGAGATACAAATGGGAATGGTACAAACATTTGGAGGTCAACAAGGTACATGGCATCATCAGGAGCAAAATAAAAACACACACATTCGCAATGTCGATCATAGCCCAATACGGAAGATCAGCTAATAACGCTCTTTCTTCTTTCAGATAGACTAAATGTTCTTCTTCTTCCGCCCCGTTACGTTCCTCTTTTTCTCGATAAGTTCGAACGGCTGGATGGTGTTGTTGAGTCGATCCAGCTCCGACCCACAAATTTTTATCATGCGACATGACAGCCATTGCTGATTTGTCTTTTTTAGGCTCGCGACAAATTCCGTTACGAGCAGGTTCACAAACGAATGGAGTTGTCCATTAAAAGAAGGGGTGGAGGGGTGGGATTGTAGTACAAGGTGTAACGCCACTCTGCCTTGCATTGGGCGCAATCGTTCGAAACAGATCATTGACACCCCACCAACCACAGCAAGCCTTCGCACAGCCCATAATATTTTGCACCTCCCTCCCTCCTTCCCCTCCTCCTCCACTCCTTTTCCGTTTCGTCAAGAAAAAAAACGCGATTTTCTTTTTAGTTTGATCGATTATCTTTCTTGTTCTTCCTCTCTTTTTTTGTTAGCCAAGAAAAGAAGACATCTAGCAGTCGTTGTTGTGGGAATGCATTATCATCCTCAAGCACTCTCATCCACATGTCAAATCTATGCCACTGGCAAAGTTTCCGTAGCGCGTCGAACATCCGTAAACGAGTTACTCGCTGCAGCAGCATCGTCATCATCCAGACCCTCATTGCATCCTCGAAGAGCAACGACAACAGCGGTTATCACACCAAAAGATCATCGTCAGCATCATAATAGCAGCAGCAACAACAACAATAACAGTAGGCGGTTATCATTTACTTTATCATCACTCGTGCGACGATTTGTATACACATCGAAAAAACATCATCGGCACCAACAAAAAGATGGTGATAACAGCTCAATCTCTTATTCAGCTGACCTGAATGATTATGAAAAATTACATGTTCTCGGTAAATGCTAATCTTGATAAAGACTTATGCCCATTCCCCCCAGCTGTCTACGCATACACCTCGTCTAAAGAATACGATGACTCATTCTACGATATGTGCATGTTGCTGTTGTTGTCTGTGATATACGACACATGAAAAAGGCGTAGGAGGTACTGCAACTGTATACGCCTGTAAACACAAACCGACAAGATCGACTGTAGCAGTGAAACAAATTGATCTGGAACTATTGGACGTCTCGCACGAATCAAAGCGACTGGATGGTCTACGACGAGAGATACAAATCATGAAGCTATGTCGACATGAACATCTTTTACCAACATTTCAGAGCTTTGTTAGCTCGTCCTATCTGTATATCATCATGCCCATGATGTCGTCAGGTAACTTTAATCATCATAATTAATATTTTATATTGCCACTTGTCGGGATCTTCTAAAGAAACGAACGCTTTTAAGGTTCTTGTCGAGATCTTTTGTCAAATTTCTTTCCAGAAGGATTGGATGAACATCTGGTTGCATGGTAAATCTTTTATATTTTTATCCCTTGGTGTAAAAATAATAACTCTTTCTTTTTGGTTATTTAGCATTATGAAACAAGTTGTGAAGGGCTTGCAATATCTTCATGAAAACGGGTTGCTCCATCGAGACATCAAAGCTGCTAATCTCTTGTTGGATTCTGGCACGGTTAGACTTGCCGATTTTGGTGTGAGCAGCCACCTGTTAGCGAGTACTAGTAGCAATAACAGCAATTTTACTATTGCTGCTACGTCAGAGCAGCAGCAAGGACAAACCTTACGACGGCGGAGGTCTTTTGTCGGTACACCATGTTGGATGGCGCCAGAAATACTACAGCACCGCGAATATAACCAAAAGGTCGATATATGGGCACTAGGCATCACTACATTTGAACTCGCTTCTGGTTGGCCACCACTCTGTGAACATGATGCGGCTACTGTAAGCTCTCTCTCTCTTTGTCACACTCAGTGTACCCATATACCTTTTAATGGATCAGGGCTATTGACCACTTTTGTCACGCTCTCACGACTATTCACTGAACAGATATTTTCTCATGTCATTCATGACCCGCCTCCTATTCTGGACGAGCCAAGTAGCTATACCGAAGCTTGTCATGGCTTTATTGCATCCTGTTTGAAGAAGCATCCAGTCGAACGAATTTCTGCAAACGAGGCCAGTTACCACCCCTTTCTCGTACAGGCGCCAGATCGCGCAGTGTTGAGTCAATTTCTACAACAACTTGAATGGCCAGCACCTACGAGTAGTCCATATACAAACGACAATGACGATAATAGCCCACAGCCGGGTAGTAGTAGCACGACTACCTTTTCTTCTTCCTTAAAAAAGGATTATCACCACCACACCGACGACAGACATCACAATCATCAGCCCAGCATAGATTGGGATTTTTCCGAAAGATCATCAGTTGGGCCAGCACAACCACCACCATCATCCGTCATCACCACCACTTCTTGCTATCCACCATCCCTATACGATAACGATTCCTTATACGATTATGAATCAACACCAGTCACCCCCGAGGATGAAGTTGCTTCCTTCTCTAAACCACTTGTTCATGATCGCATGCTTTTGCTAGACACTCCATCTGATTTCCATATTTTCTAACATAGAGTAATAGTACTGATGTTCTTTTTTGTGTAAATATATCCTCTCTTACTTGTTTCAAAAAATAAAATATACATATATTCTGAACTGTACGGAAGAAAAGACAGGCTCTTGGCACATATCTATTTTTTTTCCTCTTATCCAGCTCGATCCATCTTTTCCTTTCTTCCCGTTAACACACAACAAAAAAAAGACACACTTATAGAATGAGCTCGCCAACCGAAACCGAGATGAGAGCTGCCCGAATGGGCAGTCGCTCATTCTCTTTGCCGTTCGTGGATACCATTCTCCAAAACCGACGTCGCAAGTCCAGTCAAAGTCAACTGGATGGTGAACTACAGCGTCAACAACGATCGCCGTTCGTTTCTGTTCATCCTGCAGCCAGTATCAGAAGCAGCATTATGGGTGGTGGTGGTGGTGGTAGTGGAATGAACATTGAGAATGACGAGTGGTTTAATGGACAAGAAGACAATGTCGAAGCAGACGTCCTGTTTCCACAATATGAAGGCGACATGCAAGACAAGGCTGATATGGCGGCTTTTGGTGAAATGGTGGATCGACGCACTTCGAACGACGCCAGTACTGTAAAGTTGTCAAGAACGTTGAGCAAGCGGAGTCGATCCTACGGCGACCCACATGCCATGGTAAAAAAAAAATCAAATTTCTGTTTTCTGCAAGCACACGCCTATTTTATTAATTCATATCTACAAAGTATGGAGTGGTGGATCCAGAGGCTTATCGGTATCATATCTATGCTTCCGGTAAATCAGAAGCGCCTACACAGCGGTTGCAGCAGTTGTTGACGGAAGAAGGTCGCAAATTACTGGATGTGGCATTGAAAACGTCGGGTTGGTGGGTCGATGTATTGAGCCCCACGGATGAGGAAATGAAAACGATAAGCAAGGTATGTAGTACAGGAGGATGTACGGAAAGATATGCGCTCACATATACTGACAAACGCGGGGACTTTAAGACTTTTCATATCCACCCGTTGACGGCTGAAGACGTGCTTGCACAAGAACCACGCGAAAAAATGGAACTATTTCCAAACTATACCTTTATCACCTTCCGAAGCTTCCAGATCGACCCATATACCGAGCAGATCCTTCCTTTTAACTTTTACATTCTAATTTTCAAGCAAGGCCTTCTAACAGTACGTACTACTAAAATGCACTTGCGTAATTTGTTTTATATCTGTAAGAAAACAGCTAGTGCTAACTAGACCCCCCCCCCAAACACACATTGCAAAGTTCCATTTCAAAGCTTCCAACATCCCTGAAAGAGTACGGGACCGAACAGACCAACTTAAATCAAACATGACGATCACGCCAGACTGGATGAACTACGCATTGATAGATGCTGTTACGGACGAGTTTGCACCTACAATACTGCAAGTTGAAATGGAAGCCGTTTCGATCGATGAACTGTCACTTGTCCTTCGACGATCCGAACAAGCGGATATGCTGCGGCGCATCAGCCGATGCAGACGTCGATCCACACAATTATCACGGCTGTTGGCGTCGAAATTGGATGTTTTGAAAAGTCTAATGAAACGATACGAGGACTGGGCAACCGGGGATGATGATTTGTCGGACGATCCTCTTACTGCAGAGGGAAGAAAGGCATTCAGTGACGTATGTCTCTATTTAGGGGATATCCAAGGTAATCACAAACAAGGTTTGAGATCGAATGCAAGGACAGTTGGTTTTTTTTTAACCTTGCCCTCCCTTCTACCCCCCCATCCTTAGACCACGTCGTTACAATGGTGCAAAATATTAGTCATTATAATCGTATCCTTGGACGAGCACATACAAACTACTTGGCTCAAGTCAACGTGGAACTCACGCAAACATACAGTCTCACGAACATGGTGATGAACCGACTGACCTTTCTTGCCACAGTCTTTGTGCCACTTACCGTTGTTGGCGGTTTGTTCGGCATGAATGTCAAGGTAAACTTCTGATAACGAAACAAAGAAAGAGAGTTGTTTTAGTTAATGAGAAGAACTCTTACTTTGTTGACACTAGGTTCCAGGCCAAGACTACTTGGACCTCAGCTACTACTTTTGGATTTTGACTGGATTTGCACTGTATATCATTGCGACTGCGTACTTTGGAAAATATATCGGCATGTTGTAAAACGAATGAGATGCATGTACTACTATCATAAACACACGCGACACACCCTGTTTTCCGTCTCAGATTCCACACCACACGCAACAAATAATAATATAGAGCCATCTTGCATTTGCATTTGAGAACGTCACGCACGCCCACGGGAACCCACAGAAGAAAGAGATGGTCTTTTTGTGTACTGGAGGTGCTTTTCGCGCGATTGTCCTCAGGGGGGGGGAGGCGAGACTCTTTTTCCACTCTGTACGTATATCTTTTTCCTTTTGGAATGACCCCCTTCTTAGGTGTATTCACTATGACTACTGCCGCAATAAATGGGGCTACTTGACATCGGGTGTGGCAAATGATGATGGTTGACAGCTAGGATATATTGATAGTAGATGTGATGTTGTTCTTTCCTAGAATAAGACATCGTTGTCAAAAATGAAACACACCTTGGCGTAATAACAGTTGGGGAGGAGGGATGGGGGATGTTGATGTTGAGGGTTTATTACTACGAGAAGGTTTGAATTGGGCGCAGGCGGGGTGATGCAGGTCTCTTATAAAACTAATGAAAGGATCAAGATAAGCCATATAGGACAGCATCGAAAACCTTAAAAAATCGAGGCACACACAGGGTAACAAAACCACCTATGTCATTGTGCATGAAGAACTGGGAAACTCAGTCAGTTCGAGTTTGGTTTTATGCCAGATGGAAAAAACGAATTAATCAACCATAACAGCCCTTTCTTCTTTCTTTTTCTCTCCACAGAAAAATAAAATAACAGTTTACAAATGCACAACCCGGCACAAGATGAAGCGTACGAGATTCAAGTGCGTAACATTCAGAGTAACATTACGAAATACCAAAATAAACTGGTGAGTGACGTGCCCTGTCAGTGTTTCCGTAATGAGTTGCCTTTCATTTATTTGTTAAACTGACATTTGCTACAACCTGTCAATTGTAGAAAGAGATTCAGTCCAAGAGCAGCAATGCCTCCGTTGCCAAGGTAATAAAGCACTACTTAGTAATAGCATGTGTATCCTAGCTACGTGGGAGGCAACAACACTCAAGTCCTTCTTTTCAAACAACGTTTCTGTATTCTGCATATTAGCCTTCGTAAGTGAAGCTTTAGGCACCACAATTACATAGCAGTAAAAGAGAAAGAGAAAGCACACATATAAACATTGAGAGGCTAAACCCATTTCCTTAAAAAACAAAAGTAAAAAGGAGCAAGAACTCGTGCGACAGCTAAACATCGAATTCGCAAATTTACGTAAGGCGCGCCTTGAACGTAGTCATCAATACAAGGAACGGTACGGTGAGCTTCCAGCAATTCGGAAAGAGCGACAAAAGCAAATTCAGGCACGGCAACAAGAGTTCGAAAAGGAATTAGAGGAGAAGGAAGCCAAGCAGAAGCAGAAAGTGACTGACAATGGCATGGGAGCATGCGACGAGCTCTTGCGACAACTCCAACTCGTGCTAGAACCGGTCGAGCAACTGGAAATACCTGATAACCAGCATCAAGAACAAGATAACAATAGTGACGACAATAATGGCAGTGACAGCAGCAAAGATAACAATGACAAAAATAGCAGCAACAGCAGCAGCCTCATTAGTACTAAACATGTTGACAGGATACAGGTTGTCAATGCACCCTACGACGAAAAAGATAACGAAGAAGACACGTCAGTGCTAATCATTCCACTCAGTATCATGGAGCTGTTTTGGGATGTTAGCATACAGGTTCCTGTCCGAGTCAGCGAGATTGAGCCCACTTTAACTCGGATTCGAGAACGCCGTAGCGAATTGTCTTCTCTGTAGCAGTAAAGAAAAAACAACAACAAAAAGCAGGATACAATGACTAATACTCTTTCCACCAAAGCATACCTATACACATAATCCCAGTACCTTCCTCCCTCCCTCTCTTTCTCTCCCTGCCTTATGCGTATACCAAACAACATACAAACACATACCACACCTCTTTTGCACTCTCACCCTCTCTCCTTCTTTAAAATCCATTGTGACCCTCCTTCTTTTTTATCACTTTTTCGTTGTCTTTCTCATCCACAAATACTCGTACAATAATCGTCTAGCTGTTTCTTATGTGACAAAAACGTGTGGTTAGTGATCGTTTACATGCAGGGGCGTTTCGACTCGTGTCAAAAGGAGACAGTCCCCCAAAACCATCTCTGCGAGAATATCTACAATTGCGTCATCTACAACCTAGTCGAATATGAATGGATTGTTCTCTCTCTCTCCTATGTTTTCTTTATTATGATCGTTTTATGCGTCCCCTCAAATAACAGCGATGATGTGTAAATATTGAAAGATTTAAAGTTGGTCCCTCTCTACAATGCATTTATCAATGTAATGGCGGTGTTTCTTATCCGAACTTTGCAGTACACGTCTAATAATACTAATGGTATGTATGGCAGGCAGGCTTCTGGATCCGTATTCCTGACTTCCACAACAGCTTACTGTCTTAGCTCATCAAATATCTCATAACGCAGAGAAAAACATAATTACATACACCATTTGCAGGGCGATGGAAGAGAGAGAAAAGCATTTAGAAGAACGAGCGGTAACCCGTAGCTAATTTGGGCCTGCTTTTAAAATAGTGGCTTGGTCAGTACAGTACAAGACTTTGTCATTCTGTATCCACAAGTATGACTACTCTATAGTTTGGCGTACATAATGGGATTACGTACAAATGCGCTCATTGTTAAGGGAACACAAAGAAAAATTCTGGACGATTCTAGAATCGGTTATTTTTTGAAGGGAATGTGTATTCAAGATGGTGTTTTTCTTTTTAATTTCATATGTTGCCAGTGACCCTCACACCCTTTTCGCCTGCACTCAACTGCACAGAGTACACACCCCAGCAGTATGATATGTGTGCGCTTTCAAACAAGCGAAGGGATTCCTCCCGTGCGTATTTGATTATCGGATGTATCAACTTTGGCTATGTTCTTTGTGACAACGACGCTGTTTGTATACCGGGCCAGAGTATTTTGTCGTTCCAAGAACAATAAGCAAGAAGCTCTGCAGCAAGAGATCCTGCGACGGCCACTACGACAACGCGGTTTGTTCGGCACCATCATGAGCTCAATCGGTCATTTCGTGTTCAGCACCTCCGTGTTCATGTTTCAAGCCTTTTATACCGGTATGTCATGCGACATACTGCTTTGGGGTACCTTGGTCGGGATGTACACGTGGACGTTTAGCATCTGTTGGATTGCGTATCGCCTCCATATTCTATTACGCCTCAGCGTTCTGAAGCAACGGTTTCTCGACGAACGTAAACGAGTAAAATCGGATTCACAATATCGATGGTTTATGCGTCACCGGAACTTTGCATCACTCAGCGCCGGAAACGCGCTCCCACTTTACACCATCATCCTAATAATCATTGTTACGATCTGTGCCGCTAGTGAAGCTACCTATATGCCAGATAGACGATGCAAAAACTCGTGGGCAAACCTTCCCTTAATCACTTGTCTTGGGATCCTATTTTTTTTTATCTTTCCAGGCATTTGGTGGCGATTACGCAATCACAGGGACATGCACGGCATACGCAGCGAAATTCTGATTTTATGTACTGCTGGCGTACCGTGTATCATCATGTACATGGTATGGTCGATTGTCTTCCGAGCGCCCTACAGCGAAGCACCTAGTGCAGCACGTTTGCTATTTGCACCGGGCAACTGGGTAGTGATCATGACGACCATCGGACACATTTTGCTTGTTCTTATACCACTTGCTCGATCATATAGAACAAAGAATTCCTACAGCATACACGCTCTCGAAATCGACAGCAGCAGCAGCAGCTACAATAACAACAACAGCAACCGCAGTAGCTTGGATGATTTATTCGGCAATGCATCCGATCCTGGACGACGACGAAGGCAAAAGCCACACCAAACACGTAGAAACGCAGGAACAGAGTTGCCACGCTTACCAAACACGCACCCACATTACGAATTGACGGCAGATGCACTTGATCAAGCACTACAAGACCCGGATACGATCAAAAGTCTCAAAGAACTTGCAACCAAAGATTTTAGTGTGGAGAACGTTTTGTTTTACGAGGAATACCTCAAAGTTCGGAGGAAAATTGCCTATAGCCAGCAGTTGGGCAAAATGGATGAATCAAATCATACTACCACTACTAGTGGTGCTGCTACTACAAGTGTAGTGGTAGCATCAGCACCAGCGCCAGACAACCTAAACAAGGCTCATAAAAGAGAATCATCTACAGTATCGTTGCCATCAGCAACTATGAATGATAGCGGTGAAAGCGAGCAACAACAACAGCCACTGTTGATCCAACAGCATCAATGTGCACGACGTGTTCCACCCAGCTGCATAGCGGATTGCATTGGGCTCTACCAGACATTTATTCCCGATAGTGCCCCGTTACAAATCAACATTACGGCCAAAGCACGCAAAATAATCGAGGCAGGGTTTATCCAATCAACAACAGCAACAACGACAAGCCATGGTACTACTGCTCCTGTAGACGAGAACAACAACAGCAACAATAATAAAACGAGTAGTGTCACTATCAACGAAGCCAACTTTACTCTGGACAGTTTTGAAAAGGCTCGCTCTGAAGTGTTTTGGAACATCTTTACCAGTGTGTTTCCGAAACTCGTCAATCTGTAGAATTAAGCAAGCGTAGTTGGGTTTCGGATGATTTGCATTATTTATTTATTTCTCTTTTTTTTTTCTTATAATGGGCTATTTCAAGAAGAAAAGGGATTTCTCCTCTCTGCCTTGGTTTACATAAATATTCCTTTGTTATAACGGTTATAGCACTTGTACATTACACGGGGTATAATTCAAGTATAACGCATATGCCATTGGTGGCTCGTCGAGAGAAAAATGTGGTTACTCGAGAAATCACTCGAGAAATCCAAGAGCTGACTCATATACTCACTGTACCGACAGCTTCTTGTGGTATCGTATACTTCTTTCGACGTCAGATCAAAGCAGAAAGAAAAGTTTGATAAAACGGAGACTGATATATATTCTGTTGTGACACATTACAGAAGACCATGACAACACATGCACAACGTTCCGCCACTTGACGATCCACAGTAACAATACCAGTAACAGTACGACAGCGTCCTCGTCTTCGTTATCATCATCTTCGTCAGCCGCAGCGCCACGATTTTTCTCTATCCTCCCTTTGGAAATCCATCTGTATATCTTGCAATTTCTCGCGCTTCCAGATCTTGTCCGGTCTATGCGTGTCAATTCAATCTGGCAAACCATTATTGTTGATAATTCAGACCTATGGAGCACTATCGAGTTGACTCAGCCGATCTCTCCGCACGCTCTACAACATTATCTTCAGTTTGCGAAATGTCAACCTTACCGGGTCAGTTTAAAAGACTACACATCTGCTTGGTCTTTACAGTGCCTAACACAAGATTGTGTATCACTACATACCCTCGGTAACGAAACAAGCCATTCTTTTAACTACTGTGATACTGAAACAGTATAACAACAACAACCAAGTATCATCACTAAATATCACAGTATGATAGATTTATCTGGATCCCAGTTCGTGCTAGGCCAGACATTTGCCAAACACTTTTGTCATTTGCGGCTCCACAGTCTAATACTTACGCACAGTCGTGTCGATGTGGCTACTGCCATGGCGATTGCTTGCCTGTGTCCAACGCTCAGATACCTCAACATATCACATTGTTACTTTTCCGGCGAGTTACAAAACTCAGAGCGACTAGAACCTGATTTCCAACAAGGACGTTTATTACAGATGGAGCATATGGACATGGGCACCTGCCGCCTCGACAAGATTGATATTTCTGGCGTCTACAGAATAAGCATCCACAGTTTCATCTGGATTCTGTGTCGCTGTCCAAACCTAAAGAACCTCAGAGCTTATGCTTCAGCAGTAACATTATCAGCATTCCTACGCGCATGCTTCATCTACTGTCCAGACATGTCGGTGATCAAGTACAGTCCTGCAAGAGAAACAGCAGTGATTACGCATCCGACCATCAATCAACGTGGGATACTGTTACGAGGACGCGATCTGTACAACATGAATGCCAGTAAACTCGTCTCGCTTGTTTTGCACGGCACCGTCATCAATAAGCCATTGATGGAGTTTGTGATTGATCAGTGTTATCAGACGATCGAATCATTGCAATTGTCTAATAACTGGATGTTGCAAAATGATACCCTTTATTATCTGGCACAGCGACGACCACCGCGGTTACGCTCCTTGGTGCTTTCGTCCTGTGCCAATTTTCAGGCGGATGCGCTCGTGTGTTTGATTCGCGCTTGTCCTCATATCCAATCCTTTCGTCTAAGTCGTGCAACGGCAGGCGTGACGGATGAGTCCCTTTATCAGATACTCGATGCGCTACCTGATCTGCAGTACCTCAACGTTGCTCATTGTCCGCGGTTGTCCATAGATGCCTTACAGTTTTTAAAAGACCAGGCTAAAGTCAGAAGAATTCACATTGTTATATAGTTTGAACATATAAAACTGTTCTCCCCACGCTGCTGTAATAAAGACACTGTTTATTTATTTATTTGATTAATCATACTATAGTCAATCAAGACATGTCATTCTGTATTATTTTGAATTTTGACAGCCATATCTCTAAGGTATTAAAGTTGAGAGTCTCTCTCTTTCATATCCCCTAAACCCAGAAAAAAAAACATAACAATCTCAGGTCCCCCTACAATTTGATTGGCTGGCTTGGAAAAAACAAGCTCTTTTTTGTGGTCGCGCAAAAATCGTGTCACTACTTTTTGTGTGTCTGTGTGTGTTCTCTTTCCACCCTTTCAATAATAATGGCTGCACTTTTACCGATCAACATTAACGTGAACTACGACGAGGACAAAGGTAATTCAGCATTTACCTCTGGCGTTTGACTTTACAACCTGATATATATTTCAATTTTTACTTTGCAAACGTTATAGATGCCTTGACGACCTTTCTTCAGGAGTTCAAATCAACCAGTGTTGATGCCATGCTCGATATCGACCAAGCACCAGGTCCCAAGTACATGAACATTCTGGTAAAGTTTATTCTTCTTCCTTACTCTAATCTTGTCTAGACGCGTTCCTAAATGTTCTTGCAATCACTTTACACGCAAAAATTTTATAGCAAAAAGTGGTCAATCGTGAAGAAACCGTAGTTACTATCGAATTGGACGATCTTGCTGAGGTGAGCTATATAGTAAATTACAAAATAAAACTTGTAACTCACTACTGTGTTTTTTAATGAAATATTCTAGCATGAGGATTCGACGGATCGTGTTGTTGCAAACATTCGTCGTAACACAAGACGCTACATTGACTTGTTGTGTGAGGTGATTGACTCCTTGTGCGCGACCTTGACACCTCAGAACGGTGATATTGGCTACAAGGACAGCGTGCTTGACGTGATTATCGATCAACGACGCGTTCGCGACCAATCCCGTGCCCAAGAGTCCACTGATACTTTCCCACCTGCCTTGACGCGTCGATAGTACGTGTCTTTTTTATTTTGGGTTCTTTCAATTATTTTGTTTCGTTCTGCAGATATGCATATCATAAAACTCAAAGAGAGGTATGAGAGAGAGTGATAAAACTAACAGAAATTTACAACTAGTGAGGTGTTCATAAAGCCCTTGTCTAAGGATGAAGCCTTGTCTGTTCGTCAAATCGGTGGCACACAACTCGGTCAGCTCGTCACTGTGCGCGGTATCGTCACGCGTGTTTCGGATGTTAAGCCTCATTTGCAAGTCAACACATACAGCTGTGATACTTGTGGCTCTGAAATCTTCCAGGAAATCAAGCAGCGTCAGTTCACGCCTCTTGTGGAGTGTCCTGCTGAGGAATGCCGAAGCAACAATGTCAAGGGTCGATTGTATATGATGACCAGAGCATGTAAATTCTTGGCCTTCCAGGAAGTCAAGCTTCAGGAACTTGTAACGTGTCTTTCAAAAGCGAGGGAAATAGACAGGAGGAAAGGCTGTGCTTTATTGATTACTTATTAATTTGTATGCGTATGCGCAAATGTAGGCTGATCAAGTACCTGTTGGCCATATCCCTCGTACCATGACGCTGCATATGTATGGTGCCATGTGCCGACAACTTTCACCTGGTGATGTATGCCACACCTCGGGCATCTTTTTGCCAATGCCATACACTGGCTTCAAGGCACTCCGTGCCGGTTTGTTGACGGACACCTACATGGAAGCCCAACACGTCTACCGCTTGAAGAAGCAATACGATCAAATTGAACTGTCGCCTGAAGATGCGCAGAAGATCGAGGAATTGAAGAGCGACCCCAACATTTACGAAAAGCTTGCTCGCAGTATTGCACCCGAAATTTATGGTCATGATGATGTGAAGAAGACCCTTCTTTTGCTATTAGTTGGTGGTGTGACCAAGGTGGTTGGTGACGGTATGAAAATTCGTGGTGATATCAACATTTGTTTGATGGGTGATCCCGGTGTGGCCAAGTCCCAGTTGTTGAAGTTCATTGCCAAGGTTGCTCCCCGAGGCGTGTACACCACTGGTCGAGGCAGTTCCGGTGTTGGTCTCACAGCTGCTGTCATGAGAGACCCAGTTACCGATGAAATGGTCCTTGGTAAGTATGCGTGTAGGCATGGAATGGAAGTAGGAAATAAAATACAAACTAACTTTCAATCTTTCAACAACAAACAGAGGGTGGTGCTCTTGTGCTTGCTGATAACGGTATTTGTTGCATTGATGAATTCGATAAGATGGATGAATCGGATCGAACAGCTATCCACGAAGTTATGGAACAACAGACCATCAGTATCTCCAAGGCTGGTATCAACACAACCCTGAACGCCCGTTCATCTATTCTCGCAGCAGCCAATCCCTTGTACGGCCGATACAACCCACGTCTTTCTCCTACACACAACATCAACCTTCCTGCCGCCCTGTTGTCCAGATTCGATATCCTGTACCTGATTCTCGACAAGCCCTCTGACGATTTGGACAGATTACTTGCAGAGCACGTCACCTACGTCCACACCCACAACAAGCATCCTGACTTGGACTTTGAAGCACTTGATTCAAATGTCATTAGACATTATGTCGCACAAGCACGCCAAAAGAGACCCGTCGTCACCCGGGAGGTGTCCGAGTACGTCACTGGCGCCTACGTCCAGCTTCGACGCCAATACAAGCTTGATGAAGAAAAGCAGCAGCATTTCACATACGCATCCGCACGTACATTGCTTGGTATCATCCGTATGGCCCAAGCTTTGGCACGTATCCGTCTCTCCGATCTCGTTGAAAGCCAAGATGTCGACGAAGCATTACGCCTCATTGATATTTCCAAGGCATCCTTATTTGATAACCAGACCGGCGACAGAGCCCAGGACCGAACACCCTCTACGGGTATCTACTCGGTGGTACGAAGCTTGCGCGAAGTATTTGGGCAATCAATGGATATGTCTGTTGTACGTGAGCGTGCTTTGGCTCGTGGCTACACTGAGGTTCAAATCAGCGATGCTATCCGGGAATACACTGATCTAAACGTATGGCAAGTCAATGCAGCTGGTACCAGATTGACTACTGTAGAGTAGACGAAAAGATGGAACAAATGAATCCACAACCCAAACAAAACAAAGTCCCTCTTCCCATAGCACATAAAAAACCGCACTATTTTACATTTATCTGTTTCTCTTCTTTCTTTCCTTTTCTTTGCATCTATCCCTTTCTTAATATATATAAACGTCATCCACTTTTATTTGATTTCCTTTTCTATTCTTGAGCCTGGATGGCATCTACACTCTTGTCAATGGTATCTGGGTCTAATCGCGATCCTTTAGGTCGTGGATCGTGAGCTTCAAACATGGCAACGACGAATTCAGCCAGTGGTTTGACAATCCATCGGGTAGGTTGTCGGAAATGCTCAAACCATCCGATATGTCCGCCATAGTCAGTGGTAGCCAGTACGACATAGGGATTAATTCGAATTTCGTCGTACGGAATTGATTCAGCTGGGGAAATGGGGTCATCCAAGGCGTTAAAGCATAGCAGTGGAACGCGCACATGCTCAATAAACCGGCAAGAGCTTGCATCACGGTAGTAGTTATTTACAGTGGTATAGCCGAAAACTTTTCGAGTGCATGCATCATCAAATTCGCGGATCGTAGTTGAAGCATTGACCTGGTCCAGGTCCATATCCTTATTCTTTGCGAGCATTTCTGTATGTCTATCCGATACAGCAAACATTTAGTCTTCCAACACAGGCGCAACCACATCTTTCTTTGCAAGACAATAAAAAAAGATCTACTTAGAAGGTAATCCGTTCTATCCATACCTGCTAAAAGCACGCTTAAGATTGCTAGCCATCGTTCCCGAATAAACCTTTCTAATCCAATAAGTGCGATCTAAAGCGTATGAAGAGCTATACACAGCAACATTATTAAAATTTGCTTTTTTTCCCTCCTTTTTCGTTCATCGCCATATGAGCTAGAATAAAACCTTACTTTACAAAGTCGAAGGGATTTGCCACCGAGATAGCAGCCTTAAATGGGGTCTTGTCGCCCTCTTCACCAAGATACTATATTATTTACATTGATTACATCATCCTTTACTGTTTTTTCCCGTCAAATATACCAATCTCGATTTCCTTGCTTACCTTGACCAAGATGTTGGACCCAAGCGAATAGCCAATACCAATCAATGGTGTTCCTTCGGGCAACTGCTTTTGAATATGTTTCAATACAAGACGCAGGTCATCGGTATGGGCGCCGTTGAAGAGTTGTGGTGTAGTCAGCTCAGTGTTTCCGCATCCACGTGCATTAAACACAACGCCACGATAATTGAAGGGAGGGCGGGTTACCTAATTTTTGCACATGATCATCAGTAAGCAAAACCGATATAGTTCCACCCAGCAAATTATTTCTTATTTCGGAAAAAGGGAGAAAGGGAAAGGGAAGGTGGTTTGTTGTCACGTACAACTTCCAAAAGTCCTCGAATATACGATTCGTGGCTACCACCGGTTAAACCATGCAAACAGACCAAAGTTGGCGTATTGTCCAACGGCTTTTGCGCAAGCGGTGGGCACCAATCGAGCGAGACTTGACCACCATCGGGTAATGGCAACATTTGTCTGTGGGTTTATTATAATTCCCAAAGTTTTTTTAATAGATCTGTCAGTTACCATAGCAACCACAAAAGTATACTTGTATATAAAAATAGGTTCTCGTGTATAGCTATTTACCTTTCATAACAAACGTCATTCATTGTTGGCGTACCGTTATAATAAGCTGCATAACCAGTTTGAAGATGACCGTTGAATAAATAAGGCGTAGGTGAAAAATAGGCTTTGGGACCGACAATGGAGGGACACTTTTCGGCAATATAATCTGTCAATTTGACAGACTTTTTATTTCCATTTATTAACGGAACGGACACAGGTGTTGGGGAATGGAATAGTTTAACGGCTGACATTTGCATTGTGATTTATGTAAAGAGAGAAAGGTCAAAAGAGAAAAAAGCAGCAAGGAACTCCTTTTTCTACACTGCAAACACTTCTTCGATTTCTATTCCGGTAAAATCCGGACCGGTTTCCGAAAGGCAAAAAAAACGGATAACCTATGCGCCCCTGTTCGCGCTGAGTAATTGGCTGTGTTTTCCTTCATTAATTGCCAGTAACCACAAGACCATAAGCAGACATGTTTTGTTGAACAACTCATACCACAATCATACTGTTGGCACACGTAGGCAACGTCTCAAAAAGCCGCTTGATAGCAATTTCTCTTGGCATTGTAGTACATAAGAAAAACGGTTGTTGCAGTTGGACAATAACTATGTACTAGATGTCTACAAGTGCAACTTGCGATGACAATTTGATGCAAGCCTAAAACATATCGTCTCTGAAGATCAGATCGCCTTATGATGCTGACTGTAGCTATGCACACTCCAAAGGCTGTCAGAATTTACTACAGAGACGAAGCCTGACAATTGAATGGACTATCAAACATATAACGTGCCTAAAGCAGTAGTAACTCAGTGTATTCAAACAGGTGTTAACCGCTAATTGACCTGGCTAGTTCACGTTGATGAATGTTCACCATCCAATCATTAATAGCTTTACTATCCCCATGCTTTACTGATAACGTCTCGATATACCGCTTTGACGTACAAGGCCATGTATGGATCTCCCTATAAACTAAGAGCAATGATAACGACTTTTTTTGCTGCTTTTCTCGGGTGGTGTGGATTTTCAAACAAATATGATACCTTCTGTATATTGTCTTCTAAAGTTTTCGTTAACCGCACTGTCGTAATTTTACTAATTAGATACAGTTCCTTACATTCTTGCTACTAGCTGGTAAATTCACAGTGTGTAGTGTCTTGACGAGCAATATAGCAAAGTATATGCCTGTATCATACAATAGTGATACGTGCTTTTGAGTACACGCAGCAAGCTTTTGGTTTTGGGTTGTGGAATGCTTCTATGACAGATATTCGCAGTATACAGCACAAAGTCAGCTTGTGCATATACTATCATACCCTGTTCTGGTTGTTAAGCACAATACTTTCTTCTGCCTTGTAAGTCAACGTAATTTGGCTTATTGAAGGCATATCGTAGCAGCCCAAACTAAAGGAATTATTCAGAAGAGTTTTAAAGATTTAGAAGAGTAGTAAACAGAAGAAAAAAAACACAAATGATATGTGCAATGTTACGCAATACTACGTGTAAATTACGTTACTCCTGAAGCCGCTACACTGTGTGAGTGAGCATTGTACTATAAATTCATTTAAGAAGTCTCATAGCTATCATCCGAATAGCAACCTTAATGAGTACATTTATTTTGAGCCTACCCTACACAGTGTTGCTTTATCAATTTCTAAAAAGAGTCTTTGATAGCTCACATCATTGTCAAAAGGACTTTTGATTTGGGCTTGCAGGAGAGATAATAAGCAAACTAAGAAACAGAACAAGAATAATAAGAATACGCGCATCATCTGCTAAATCAAATGAGATGATACTTCTTTTTACCATTGACATTCATGGTATTTAATGCTTAGCACAGTAACGGAGCCGATATAAGGCGTCGGAGAGCCGAAAGAAACCCGACCAATGTCAGAAAGTGACAAAAGCTTGCCAAGAAGAGGAGGTCCTTGCATTGTGTAACACTATCAAATCTGCACATATTACCCAAAATTCCTTTTTTTTAAAAAGTTTCCTTTTTCTCTTTTGTATTTCCCAAACCCGTAACGAAAACAATAACTACCTGAGAGCTAAATACGCTCTTCCACATAACAAATGGATAGTGGCAACAACTCTACGGCTATAGAAGAAGACACATGTCCCAGTTCCGCAGGACTTGAAACTGTTCACGGCTTGTACGTCCATCGTATCTTTCTCGAATTTCCATTGACCGTAACTTAATTTAGATAAATTATCTAAAAATCGTACCTTTTTCTTCACACAGCAACCCAGGCTTCAAATGGTATGATCTGGTGGATCACCCTAGGTACGGAAACGACATATGCTAAGAATTATAGAAAGAGCAACGAAAAGGGCAGAAAAACTAAACAACATGATAGTCAAAACTGGCATATCTGGGGTTGGATGGTATGCTTGCTTTTACTAGTAATCACTTGGATCGTTGCCTTGACCACAATCACGCGACACATTCGGCATTACTAGTACGTTTCTCTTCGTACATGCACGCAGCACCTGTAGTAAAATCTGCAGCTGATGAAAAAGCAAAGAGGTTGGAATGAATGCTGACTATACTATTTGTATTAATTGTACAAAAAAAAGTGACCCGAATATCCAACGACACAAGTTACGGGTCTTGCTTTACCCGCCCGTTTACGCCACTCTGTAAGCCTCAATTTGCACGACGAACAGCACATGGGGCGGGGCTTGTTTTGCATGTCTTGGCTAACACAGAATATGCAAACGATAGGTCGTGGATTTCGTATCTGAGATACGATTATAGTACAACCATCATGTTTTTTGCCACACTGTTCGAAGCACTTGCTATTTACAACCTATATACGTGTCTGGAGGCATATTTACAACCGTTTCGAGATGAAGCGGGCGAGACAAAGGAACCGGTACATACAAAAGTTTTTGGTCTTTTTAACGTGAACTTGTAAGTATTCTTATTGAAACAAAATCACTTTTGCAATGAAGATGTCGTAGTAGATGGGTCTGACAAACATTATATCTCTGCTACTTACTAGAAAATCCAAGTTCGGCTTCCATTTTCGAACCATTACAACGATCATGGTATTGCAATACCCTCTTTGGTATGCAGTAGCTGGTTGATATAGCCCTTTCCTCCCGTCTATATTCATCGAGTCAGGTACTAACTATTGTTCCAATTGGATCCGCTTAGGGCCATCATTGATGCCTTAATATCCATCGTTTCTTCGGTGAAAGGTTATTATTGCGCTGAATCGTACAGTTTCCAAGGAGGTAAGTGTTACGATTATTATGTATGCCTATGTATGCAAATGCTCGATTTTCTTGATTTATATCGTAACACGTTATCTTTTATTAGCGTATGTCTACCTCACAATTATCAATTTTATTCTACTGTCTGTTATATTGAGTGCCTTATTCACTTACTTGGCCGTATTTCACGAAGAATGGAAGCGAGGACAAATTAGTGCACACGGCATGTTTTGGTGGTAGGTTTTTTATATATTTAGTGTGACTCGTGCCAAAAGATGGAGGAGGCTATAGGAGGACTAGGTCAGAAAGAAAAAGGATTGCTTTAAAGACTTGGAAATGAAAAAAAGTACTAAAATGGATAAATATATCTTAGCGTCAAGGGTCCTGTTATGGCAATTTTCTATTTTGGCGATATCTTATTGAGCATCCTCGAAACATGCAACGTGATCAAAGGAACGGATGGATCCCAATCGAGCGATGGACTTGCGTGGCCAGCTGCAGCTGTCAAAAACGGTTTGGACGTAATCATCATCTGCGTGGTCATGGTCGTGGCTTCCTTTTTGATGAACAAATATTTTGGACCACAGCGTGAAATCATGAAGAGCGGGAACAATCAGCGCGTCACCGGTTGGAAGGCGTTTTTGGATGCTTACATTTCCTACATACCCGAATTTGTCAGAAACATCTTGTGCTGTGGTATTGATTCGTATCGCTTAGCAAGAAAGCGAGCCGAACTCCGTAAGCGGAAAAAGCAGGGCATGTATTCGACAGATAATAATAGCGCCAATGCATTGTCTCCCGCTTTGGAGAACAGCAAATCACCGTCATCGCCACAAGATGATAGTTATGCGATGGGAGAAGTCCAGCAGTCGCCCTCGCGGTTTACAGCACCTTTCAATGGTGGATACGCGCCTGTTCACGAACAACAGCGTTAGCAGAAACGAGTAGTAATGTACAATGTGTTTATTATATAAGATTATGTATATTTGTTAAGTAACTGTCAAAAGAGCAGAATATATAATACACGCTTTTAAGCGTTTTATGCTGCATCAAATAAACATTGAATTTTTTTTGGTCTACGGTTATGCGCGACTCTTGAAATCTTGCCCTTACTAAATTATGTATCAACCGATAAGAAACAAGGATTATGTATGTAGTGACTAAGCTGGGTATTTGCCAAGCACAACAGCATCTTCATAATACGGAAAACGTGATATAAAACAAAAACAAACACCTATTTCTGACCGAAAGTATGTACAGCGTGTGAGTTGCATGAAAAAGCGAGAAACATTCTAAGCTGGGCATCGCACAAATCGGATTTTACGCTTGGTAGTCCCTCGATTACGGTAATACCCAAATTCAATGGGCATCGAAAACTTTAGTAGAGGTGCTTCTTCAGCCAAGATTCTTGAAAGCTCATAGCAATAAGACACTCATTATCCATTTGTGTTTGTACATGCAAATATTTCTATTTGCACCAAAACTATAGGAGTCTATTTATACATACGAGGTGGACGCACAGACCGTGACAACAAAAAAGAGTTTGACGGGACATGTACCTGAAATCAACCGGAAACGCGCATGTTATATGTTGCGAACATACGGCGGTAGCACTGCTGTCACTTCTTTACCTTTCCACTTCTCAACTTGTTTGTTTTTCCAATCATTTTTACATCCAAAACGTGCAGAAGAAAAAGTGTCGCTTTGATCTTTACAGTTTTTTATTACCATAGCTATAATGTCTGATCGCATTACTATCGTACTCTCTGTTTCAGCATTCCTGCTAATACTTCTACCCGATACTATTTGCGAGCTCATTATGCTCTGCATTGACGCTGCCTCTGACCAGCCATTATGGGCTAGCTTTGTAGTGCTGGCATGTACTTTCCGCTGTTATTACTGCGCTCGAATGCGCTCCACAACTGTCGCCTTTGCGACAAAGTTTGTCGTTCCCGTGTTTGGCTCTCTCATCTGGACAATAGTCCACGAGATGTTTCCGTCGTGCGATTACCGTCATCTCCTGTTGCAAATGACATTGTACCGCCCATTGCCAAAAACGACGAAGTCAAGGTTGAAGAAAAAGTTGACACCGAGAAAGGACAAAGAGGAAAAGAGAGAAAAGTTGGAGAGAAGGAGGATGGAGCAAAAGAAGAAGAGGAACCCAAAGAGGAGAAGTTTCAGTCCTTGCGCCTGCTACCGTTACCGATGATACCACCACTGCCACGAATACCTGTTATGCCGCTGTGCTCACCACTTTTCCTTCCGCCTCACCAACCATCGCCGCAACCGTAGTAATTCTGAACAGTCAAGCTAAATCCGGTATTAGAAGCCAACACCACAATCCCTGAAGAGAAAACTATAGCAAGTTACAGAGCGTCGAGTCACTCGGTAAGCTGGAATGACGGTGCGCGTTGATATCTAAAGAAAAGTGTGTGATGCGAAGAGGCAGGGATTTTTTATTCGCCTGACTTGTCTCTTTTTAACACTTTCCTCCAATCTCCTTTGCCCCCCGATCTTGTTGCTAAAACCGTGTCTGTGCGCCTTGTGGCCTGACGGGTGCACGTATCTTCCTATTCAAAAACAGGCGGCGACACCGTCGGGGCACGCCCTGCATGATACCGATGAAACATATTTCGTAGAACAATCAATACACGCGGACCACATACGCCTTCTTCTTGACCGCTTGACCGCTTGACCATGTCTCTTCTGCACACGTTTTTTTCTTCCCTACTCTTTGCTTTCTCACATGTTTTTAAATGACGAATCACAAGTCACGTGACGTGTTTTTTTTAAGCGGCGGGTCAATCCAAAAAGCATAAAAACGCCCATATTTTCCAGGCCATTTCGTTTTTTCTCTTCACTCTTTCTTTCCTTCATTTTTCTTTTTTCCTTCACTCCCTTGGATCCTCCTGGTCTTTCTCTTGGCTCTTCCCTTGGTTCTGGTCTTTCCCTGGCTCTGGTCTTTCCCTGGCTCTGGTCCTCCCCTGGCTCTGGCTCTTCCCTTGGCTCTGGCTCTTCCCTTGGTCCTGGTCTTGCCTCTGTCGGTCCTGGTCTCAGCCTTTTTCCCGTGGTCCCCCTGGCTGCCTACAACCGGTCCCTGCTTTGGGCGGGCTGTCCAGTCTGGCGTTCAACGGTGTTGGTCACAACCGGTCTTCAGGCGAGATCAGAGGACGGAGAAATCCTTTTCGGTTTTTCGCCATAGAAATATGGTAGTGTCCTTTCGGTTGGATGCCTTGTCTGCTGGTCTGGTCTGGTCTGCCATGGTGGGGTTCGCAATGAGGAGCCAGGTGCCACTGTAGATCGCGTTCGACTCTCAGGACTCGACTCTCGGCAATCAACTCTCTGGCATTCGACTCTCGGCATTTGACTCTCGACAATCGACGCTCGGCATTCGACTCTCGGCATTCGACTCTCGGCGATCAACTCTCTGGCATTCGACTCTCGGCATTCGACTCTCGGCAATCGACACTCGGCAATCAGCTCCCAGCTTCAGTGTTCGGCTCCCAGCATCCGAGTATCCAGTAAGCAGCTCCTCCAGCATTCGACAACAGCAGCAAATTTTTTTTTTCTTTTTTGGGTGTTTCGAGAGTCAATTCTTTCCCCTTCCCTTTCCTCTTCCCTTTCCTCTTCCCTTCCGTCTACCCTTCCGTCTACCCTTCCATCTTCCTTCCGTCCTTCCCTTCCCCCTTCCCCACTCACAGGCAATCCACAACCGATTGCTTGCACTTGACTCTCGAAACGTAGTGTACGTCATGGTTCCCACTCGTTTGTACCATGATGGCTGGGTTTGTGGTTGATTGACCCAGCCAAATGATTGGGAGACTGGGACTCCCAGGCCGAGGCATTGGTGGCTTTCTTTTCCTCCCCCTTTCACATACTTCTTCTGTTTCTTCTTGCTTTCTTCATGCTTTTTGTATAGCCTGCAGGTTGTGCGAACTGCTTGTTGAGGTCACTTTGTAAAATCGCGTTCTTATTATTTGCCTTTATTGTCCACTGATTGTGTTCTTTAATAAAATTTGTACCCTTCGACTATTGATATTCATAACGATAACTTTTGTCTTTTATAAAATGTTTCTTTACTCTAATATTACAATGAATAAAAACCTGCTCTTTTACTTTATGTCCTGCTCAAACTCATTTACAATTTCTTTCCTTGTGAAGATATTTGCGTGTCGCTTCACCTTGCAATATCCATTTTCTTTCTGACTGTGTTCAATCGTCTTCGCCGCTTCATTTGACAGTTAGGAAAGAACTCATGTTTTGGCGTGCTGTGTCCCTGTTCTCATACAATGCTGACAATGTCATATGGCTTACATTAGATTCGTAATTACTTTTACTTTGCAATGACTTGATCGATTCTAAACATAATATCTAGGCAACTGTTTGATGCAAGCATAATGCACAGACCATGTAATACAATGTCAAATTGTTGTGAAACCCGTTGCGTAGCAATATCAGTACTGGGCACTTCATCTACATGCTGTGTGATAATTACGCAGAACAAGACTTTGCTCTAGAGAACTTCTGTTATCATAATAAACCGATTTTATTTTCTTTCGGGCCTCGTTCTCTTAAATTGCTTGGAGCATCTGCAACGGGGTTGTTAAAGTCCGTTGTTACGCTAAAACTAACACCGCAATTTAACAACCTGTGTCTGCAACGGGAGTTATTAATGCATTGTCAAACTAAGCTATCTGTCAATTTATCAACGCGCTCTTTTTGCTTTTTTTTTCCTTATCACCTTCCGTCACCATGACCATCACAAACGCTTCTACTGTTTCTTCTTCAGCTAACACCATCACTACTACCCATACTACCACCCCCATCGCTACTGCTCCTCCCACCAGCAATAGCGAACGTGGAGAATCATGAATAACGGAGCATGACGTGTATTTGGTGAATGCTTACTTGCAGGCAAGCACGAATCCCAGAGACGGGAATGCCATGGGTGAAGACACCCTTTACGACAAGGTGTTGCAACTCTTCACCGAAAATTGCGGCAAGCCCATGAATCGCACTGCAAGCCAGTGTAAATACCGCTTCGCCGTCATTTCCGCCCAGTGCTCGTATTTTTCTGCTTGCTGTGGGAAAGTCTTGGCCGACGAAAGAAGTGGAGAGAATCTCGATGACAAGGTACAATACCTTTGTCACATCCGTAGCTAATTATAAAGCAACTAATATACAGAAATAGATTAAGCGAGCCAAGGAGTACTACAGCCGAAAACCGCCCAGTAACAGTGGCAAGGTTTTCAACAAGACGGAATGTTGGACCATTTTGAAGGAATAACCAAAGTGGCAACCGCGCGTTCCCTCACGCAAGGATGAAGCTCTTGATTCAAGAACTTTTCCTGAACGACCAATTGGCAAGAAGCAAGCCAAGGCCGCTGCCAAGGGTAAGAAGCGAGCTTCGGAGGATGACGACCGTGCCTTGGAGCCTTCATATAAGCAACAAGAACACGATGAAAAGCGCATGAAGTTGCAAGAGAGGGCCTTTAAGCTGCAAGAGGTGAACGCCAACACCCAGCGAATTAAGGCAGAATTCGAGATCATGAAGGAGGATGCGGATACCATGCAAGGTATCCGAGCTGAATATTTGAGGGGTATGCAGCAAGACATCGTGGAAAGATGGCGCAAGGAGTGGCGCGAGCGCGAGCAAGAAGCGTCGACAGGCGTAGAAAGAGACGCGGTGGAAGAGACAGAGGGAGAGGGAGAGGGAGAAGAGGAACAGCAGCAGCAATAGTAAACATCAAGTGATTTTCGAATAGGATGGACTACAGGTAAGTGTGAAATTTATTCATCACTATGGCGATGCCAGATGTGTTCGATGAGGTCGTTTTGGAGTTGGGTGTGGAGTTTTCTGTCTTTTATCTTTTTATTTTCGCGTATGCATTGGAGCAGTTGCTCCGGTTCTCCACCACGCATGAGCGAGGGCGCAACAGAAAAAGAGCACTCGTCATAATCAACCTCAATACGCCGAGCGTAGTTGTCCCGCTCATCTTTGACAATCATGTTATGTATGATCATGCATGCAGTCATGATTTTGGAGAGGTCCTCCACGTGCCATACGCGTCCGGGTTCACGAATGATTCTGAACCGCTTCTGGAGAACTCCAAAAGCTCGCTCGATATCCTTCCGGACTGATTCTTGTCGCTTGGCAAACAACTGACTTAGTACGTTTAATAGTAAGGCTGTTAGTTATAATCTAAAGAAATCACACAATAAACAGATTACTTCTTTTTGTTCGCGAGTGGATGGCGGATGGTCTGACCAGCGTTGCCCCGGTAGGGTATTCGTGATCATTGATGGTATACGTGACATGGGGAGCCCGTCCACTCACAACGTCGTCGAAAAGTGGGGATTTGTGCAAGATATATATCATTACACGATCCGGGAATGCCAAATCCACAGGTCATGGGAGGCAACGGCTTCAAGGATTACACTTGTTCCTTTTTCTTTCCCGGACTTGTACATTCCGGCCCATCCTTTAGGGCAATTTCCCCATTGCCAGTGCATGCAATCAAGTGAGCCTAGCATGCCCGGAAAACCTCGTGCTTCACCAAGGGCTAACAATCGCTTAAGGTCTTCTTCGTTGGGAGAACGTAGATACTCCTCCCCAAAGCATTCGATGACACCTTTACAAAATCGGTACAGGCAGTCTTGAGTTGTGCGCTCGCCGATTTTAAAATACTCGTCGACGGCGTCGGCGGGTGCACCATATGCAAGCATGGGCAAAGCTGCAGTACCTTTGACATATGGGTGGAAACCCAATTTTCCAGTTGCATCAGGTTATGCTGGAAATACGGATATTTCGATTCTAGTTCGCCAATAATGCGCAAAAACACTTTACGACGCATCCGGAACCGACGTTGAAAGACCTTCGCATCGTATCTTGGCGTCTCAGCAAAGTAATCCTGCATGAGTATCTGCTGGAAGAATTTTTTTTTGTTTTATTATAAATTTAGGGACTCGGCGCCCTAAAATTATTATTTGGACATATATTTACATCAGGGAGAAGGAAGGGAAATCTAGCTAAAAGGGTGTGCAGGTGGTTGATGGCAGCAACATGGCTCCATGGGGTTTCATCGAGGACTGAATGCCAGTGCATGGTCCATATCTGCTCGAAGAAGATACTAATCTCCTGGATGTCACACGCGCCTGTACTTTCAAACGCGCGGAAGAATACAAAGCGTAGTGGGGCTTCTGTAAGCATTGTTCCGATTGCCACTTGGAATCACGGATCGCCGGTATAGCTTTCCAGAAGACAATGCCCCCGTCATGCGCCCTTATCGATAGTCTAGGCCTTGTGTAACCTCAGTGTCGAGTAGAAGAAAAGGCGTCATCATACTTTAACAAGTGGAGACACTTTGTGAGAGCCATGTAGAAAGACAAGACTAGTGTGTACGTGTAGCCTGAAGTGAGCACATTGCAAAGGGGAATGTCAGTGAGGTTGCATTCCGAATGCCTCGGGAGACGACAGACCCATAGTTCGGCGTGTCCAGAGTGTGCTTGTCGGTGTAACATGGCATCACCTGGGCTGGTAAGTGACGCTGTCAATTTTCTTTTTTTCCTTTTTTGGATCAGTTGACCAAGCGAACAGATAAGATATAAAAGCTTGGTCTGGTTTTACAAACTGTTTGGACAATGCATTGGCGCGCAGTCTTAGATGAGTCGCCATGGAATCAAACGATTGCATTACAGTATTTGCAGGACCTAAAGGCACGTTACCCCTCCATAGCACCCATAACAGAATAAGCAACATATTTTATTGGGGCTCAGAGCCCTCAATTTAAATAAACTTTACTCATACAAAAAAAAAATATAAAAGCATTATATGGAGATAATTTTTGCTACTTTGCTCCTCTCTCTCTCTCTCTTTCTTTTCTTTTGAATCATGAAAATTGTGACCAAGATTTCGAATGCAAAAAAGTACCCGTGCACAGTGTCGACGAGCATAACGATGAACCGGGATGGCCGCGTCCAAAAGTTTGTCGTTTCAGCCAGGACTACCCGTAGCAGCAGAAGCAGTGGCAGCAGCAGTGACAGTGGCAGTGGCAGCAGCAGTAGCAGTAGCAGCAGTAGCAGCAGTAGCAGCAGTGGCAGTGGCAGTGGCAGCGGTATGTAGTAGTAGCAGTATGTAGATTAATAAAAGCATATTCTTTTTTAAAAAAAAGGCAGTATTGCGCTGTATAAAATCAAAAGATACGTCGCCGTATTTCTGCTGTTACGTACCCGTGTGTGTGTTTTTGAGTGTGTTTTTCAGTAACTTAAGTCATCAGGCATGCGAATGGGCCCACGAGAACTATGGGGACTCAGGCACAGGATATGATTATTAGACGCTAAAGTCGCTTCCCAACTGTTGTGACGTGCTGATTAAAGCATTCATTGGTGGTGAAGACCGTTGAAGTGTCCGATGGATACAAGGGATTATCGCGTATATTCGTTGGTTTGGCCTCGTCGCGGCCAGTAGTAGATGCATTACTCGAGAAATCATTCCGAATGTCATGGCTAAGATGCACAAGGCTTGTTGCCGTGCTTTCCACATTGGATTTACATCTTACGACGCTCAGGATAAATCAAAAAATGAACGAGGAGACGCGTTTAATACCACTACTACGTATGGAATGCCACCAACTGCAAAATTTAACGCTCAGTAGTAGGGGGGGGTATAAGGATACCGGGATTCCTCGGGCGGAAAAATGCTACGACACCATTCATTATACCAAAATGTCTCCGCAGCCGACAACAGCAGCAACAGCAATTGGTTGTCAATAAAGCAAACTCATAAGCCTTACCAAAGAAGGGGTTTCATGGAGCGCGCAAAGCGAGGACATCTTTGTTAAGGACATTGGCTGGTACAGTACAGCTACTCGACCGCCTACGATAAAGACCAGATGTTGGAGGTCTGACGCACGTTCATTGGCAGCCATACGCCAGAAATTCATGTTCGCTTTCTGAAATCTTTAAATGCTCTGGAAAGCTTTCCAAGGCTTTCGAAGGCTTCAAAAAACATCAGGTTACGATCTTAAACATACGACGTAATACGAGTCACAGTAGACATAAAACTATTTTGCCGTCCGTGCTACTGCCTACATATGTGCTGCCAATCATCCTGTATACCCTGACTGCTATCTTCACATTTCAAACAAAAGCTAAAGTCATGCTTGCTAATTACATATTTCGAGTAGTGGATGTAAGGAACAACTCATGCCGACAAGAGCAATGTCAGGTGACGACGCGCTCTATAATTTCTTTAAAACGTCACATTGCTCCTACTCTCCTTTCTACTCCTTCTGTTCATCGACAACCTGGTTGTTGCGGCTGTGCCCCTTGGCCGTCACTGCCACTTCTTTCTTTGAATCGGCCGCTGTGGCATATTTTGACTTACTTGGAGTGAACTTGTAGCGATTTCCATGGTATCTGAATTGGTGCCCTGGAAAAACTTTCCGAAGCACCGTTCATGCATGAAATCATAAGAGATTTTTGGTGTTACTCACACTTTCGGAAATGTTCCCACTCGACTCTTGCCCCTTATGCATATGGTACACCGATAAGAGGCAAGCTTCAGTGAACAGAAAAGAACGAAACTCATCGTGATCGCCAAGTAGCGAGATGGGACGAGTGTGTGCATGGAGCCTGGAGCGTCTACAATGTGCAGGTGTTATCGGTGTGAAGCATGGCCCTTGAGAGATTGTCATCCATTGTTCGCGATCCTTGTGCAACATCGGATGGTCAAACAGGTCAAACTGTGACGCCTACAAAAGAACTGGACTCGACTGCGCATTTCCCTTTCTCTTTCTTCTTCCTCACTGTCGAAAGATCTTTTCCACCTTTTCCACTTCATTGAACGATACCAATAAAAACCACTTTTCAGCTTCTTTATTGAAGGGTTGCCTTCTGCTACTTGATCCGAGTGGGTGTACGTGCAGAATCAGTATTCGTTATTGTTTTCGGCGTACATTTGCGATTTTCATTAGGATCTTTGTGGCGCAGTGCACGAGTCGCTATTGCAGCGAGCCCTATCCGTGAGCGCACTACAAGCCGTAAAGTTCTTTACCGCTGTGCACTCACAAAGTAAGTATACACGTAATTCCCCCCTTGACAAACTACTCTCACCCATCTTCTTCTATTTGTAGTGATTTGTTATTGGGAGGTGTAGGTGAGCGCACTACAAGCCGTAAAGTTCTTTACCGCTGTGCACTCACAAAGTAAGTATACACGTAATTCCCCCCTTGACAAACTACTCTCACCCATCTTCTTCTATTTGTAGTGATTTGTTATTGGGAGGTGTAGGTTCCTTTGGAACTGAGGCTTGTGGAGACCAAGGGAGAGCAACCTCTCCTTTGAGGAACGAAGGATTCATATACAAGCCGGTCATTTGCAAGCAACGATAATAAACGTGTCTTCTTCTGTCTTTGTGTACAATAAATTTTATTGATTTCGTTTCTACTCTCTTGAAGAAGTGTTTGTAACTATCCTGAGCATGGGCTGATCAATTGACTATTTATAATAAATGCTTTTCGAGGAGCAGCTTGCTGCAGAAAACGAGACCAGCCTCTCTATGAAAGAAAATTATGAATTGTGCATTTACCGGTGTGGTTCCGTGAACAGAGCGATCCATTCAGTGATTATACAACCAGAAGTGCGATCTCTGGCGTGCCGGTGGAGATTCTTTTTAAAAATTTGCTGACCACAGTGCATCCAACTTTATTCTGTTTCAATGTAAAAGAGCTTTAAAAAGGC